TGATCATCATTATTCATGTTCCAAGTTCATGTATAGTAACTCAACTGAATAACAAGACACCGAGAAAAAAAAATGAAATTGACTGAAAATTCAGCAAAATTTACCCTTCAATTGAAATCCAATTGATGCTATCATGTTTTTGTTATTTTCTATCTGAATTTTTCATGGTAAACCAGGATGACTCTGAACAGATATATTCATGATTCATATACTTCATGATTTACAATAAGGTTACGTAAATTGATTGATCCAAAGTATTATAACAATAATCATGATGATACAAACTCCTGAATAGAGGTACAAAGATAAATCTGATTCAATGATTAAAAAAAATGATTCCAAAGATTATCATGGATGTAATTCAATTCATGCGGTTTCTCAGCAACCAAAATGAAACTGATTAGATGATATTTATTGATTAAATCATTTAATTTTGCAAAAACAGAAAAAAACTTCATCATGATTAACCAATTATCTATCAATCAGGGTATCGGTTTCAATCAATTCAGGATCACCATGAACCATTTCAACAGAATTCAGATAGAGAGTAAAAACTTTGGAACTTTAAAATTGGAATCATTTTTTATTCACCTTTATGAGATAATTTCATTATTCTCATGAAATATAAGATGATGAAAACATTGAATTCATTTATCGTTGTGATTAGCATGATAATTCAGTTTGAAATGATCATTAATCACACGATAAAATTATCATCCAAGTGACTTTGTTTTTCACTTTAAACTTAAAGTAAATTAATTTACAATTTAAAATTTCAATTACCTGTCAAAATATGATACACCTTTGATCATGATGATTATGATTAGTTAACTACACAGGAAACCAGGATAATTAATTCAGCTAATTTTAAAATGAATAAGTTATTACAACAAAAACTTCATGGTTATATCACGATGTTCATAATCATTAAGATTAAGTTTCAATTTGAGAAAACAAAATCACCAATTTGATAAATTAAAGAGTCTCAATCATGGTGATAATGATAATTTCAACTATCATCGCATGGTATTGATTGATTCAGAGAAATCATCATGGTTATCAGTTTTCATGGAGTAAAAATTGTTTCCATTTTTTTCCTCAGTCATTCAGTTATCTAAATATTATATCAAGAGGGTGGTGAGATTTTCTTGTTATTTCCTTTGATTGTGTAAAAGAATCACAATTGTTCAAAAGTCTTCATGTTACATTATCATGTAAAACCTGATTCGACTTGAATTCCCAGTACATTTTCAACTATTATCACTTATTTACTTTCACCTTACATTTCATGTTATACCTCATGTAACTATTTTCTTTCCCTACTGAGCAAAAGAGTAAAAGAAGATGAAGCTGAATAAAGTTCAGAGACTTTGAAAAGAACTTATCTCTCTCTCTCTCTCTCTCAAATCTATTCTTAAACTAGAAAAGGGAAGAAAAGAAAGCAAAAAGTTCCGTATTAAGATTCAATTGAAAAAAAGTTAGAGTAACATGATGATGAAGATGAAATAATGATGACGATAATAATAATAAAAAGATTTCAAATTTTTCGTTCACAAGACAATTTTCATCTTTACAATCACCATCATCTCCATGGTATCAAATGATTTTCACTGAACATTTGATTCAATTTTTTCCTCCTTCCTCATTGTAACTGTTTTCTCATCTTATTCCTCTTTCACCTCTGTCCATCGCTCGGTGGTCAGTTAACCTATCTAAAGATAAACATGAATTGATAATGTTCCCATCTCATTGAAGGAAAACTTTGTCATTTCATTTTCTCATCCATGTTATTTGATTCCCTATCAAGTTTTTACCGTTATTTTGGCTCATTTGATTTCATGTTGACTATTATTATCTTGATAACAATGAATCTTTGAATCCCTCCAACAGCAACAACACTACCACCACCACCTCCATCTCATCATCATCATCATCATCCTGTCCTTTGCTTTCTTGACCCATTATCATGATCCTAAATTGATTTACCTTTTCCCCTCTGATAAATTAAGTAGCTTTTATATTCCTCAGTCTATTGTGTAATATAACATTTACCTGGTTCATTTGAATATATGATCAACTCTTGTGCTTGTCTATCAAAATGAAATTTACATTAAACTCACTCTCTCATCTTGATATACATTCATTGTCATTGTTATTATTTACATAATAGGTAAAAAGATACAAAACAAACCTTAACGATAACAATGATGATAATTCTGGTTCGTCATGATTTAATCATTAATTTGGATCGTATTGTTATTGATTTAAAAACCTTAATGTTTTCCCATTACTCTCATTAGATTAACTTGAGATTTTCTCTTATTTTTCTATCAAATAAAATTGATTTATCATAAGATTTACCAAATATCGGTTATTATCAAACCGATAACCATGGTAATGTGATTATTAAAGATATTCCAATGGTTCATGTTCAATATTATGGTCAATTGAATCTCTACTGACCTGATGAAAGTGGAAAGTTCAAAACCTTAAACCTTTCCAGAGATTTGATTACTCTGTTAATCTACTAATCTGAAAGAATTAAACTTTTGGAACCTTTTTCGTTACTGTTCAATGTCTATTCCAATGAAATCTACATGGAGTTGATCATTTTTTGAACTTTTCCTTTTTCCTCACCCTGTTCCTATTCAATTAATAAATCAATCAGTATTGGTGAACCTCATTACTTTCATGGTGAGTTCATGTGATAATAAAAAGCATATATAAGATTCCCATGTTATCTCAAGTCTATTTTATCATATTCATTGTGATTCCCTGTTCGGGAGTAGAAAATAATATTGTATGAAGGAAAATGCTCCTTTTCCCATGAGTCAAGTGAAGTGGTGGTGGTGGTGGGTGACTAAGGATAGGGAAGAGGGTGGAAATGATAAGTAAAAGGGTAAATTCATCATTGATCATCTTAAGCGTCAAGGTTGAGATAATCTGTCATCCATGTTGTTTTTCTTCTGCTTCTGTTGTTATATTCTAGGCAATTGCTTTTGCTTAGAAAATTGTTCATATTGACCTGAAAGATGAAGATGAAGATAATGATGATGAGAATGAGGATGAGGATAATGAAGAGACCTAAACATCATAAATTGTGGTCTTACCAAATTAATATGAGAAGGTGGAGAGAAATTAATTGCACCTAAAACCAGAAAATCAATCAATTTTCTTCATGTTGATATTTCATTTCAACTTCCAATTCAGATTCGATAATCAATTGTCAACTTCATCAACTTGATCGTAAATGTCTCATGGAATTCATGTAATTTGAAATTGGGTTGTGATTAATTGTAATCGAGGATAATTTTGTAGAAAAGAGAGTGAGAAAAGTCAATTCAAAACAATTAACTAATCGTCAAATTTCACAGAGTATAATTTAAAGTAATTTCAAGAGATGGAAAATTATTTATCATGATTAATTTAGTTAATCAGGTTACATCATTTATTTAGGTGAAAAATTTAGTTACTCTTGAATTTAGGTTGGTAAAACTAATTGTCTTCACTGTTTATAACAATCAGATAATCAGATTGATTTACTTTCTAGTGATCAGTTAATTATCATGTCTTTTCATCAAGTCAATGATTATTCAACTGGGAATGATTATGATTTTATTGAACAGTTGATTAACTAGATGATCCCTTTAACAACAATCAAGTTGACGAGTGACAACAAATCATCAACAATTAATAATATCCGAAAGATACTACATATAAATTAAACAATCAATATAATCAAATGATGCTCACAGTTAGCAAATTAAAGTTCATACATTTTGTTCAACTGTAAAGTTAACAAGAGTTTCAAGGAATCAACATTCATCATGATTAACTACAAACTTGATTAATCAGCCTGAATATTTGATCATTAGATTAACTGTAAATTGATCATTAATTGAAAAAGTAAATAAATATTAATATAATATTTCAATATCAATGGTCAGTAACAGGGAAGTGAAATTTTTGACTCAATGTCATGAGGATAATGTTAAGTGTTGCATTGAATTAATTTTTGTTGAACTTACTGAAACTTTTATTGATTCAGATTTTCAAGGTGAGTTTCATGATAATGGAAACTGATAAGTGTTAAAGTGATTATCATGAAAATTGTTACACAAAAATATTAATTGCTTATTGGAAAGTGAACCAAAATGTAAATAATTATCTCTCAGTTTTATCAATTCATTTGTATGATTCATTTTCATGACATTGATGGTTAATATTAAATATATAAGATATCAGAATGTGCCTTCAGGCTATTGAAACTTATATATTATATGATAAGATGATGACAAAATGAAAATAGTTTCCTTGTTAACATAAAGAAACTTTTGTCACAATTAGTTTGAACAATTCTCATGAAAATTACCATGAAAAGTTCAGCTTATTGTCCTAAAGTGAATTAATTTTCATACTCAAACTAATTGTTCAGCCCATTGTTTTAATGGGAAAAACTTTTCAATTTTGTTTATTTTTTGACACTTCATGAAAAGTTACATGTTACATTTTTGAAACTTCAGATCAGATTCACCATTAAGGATAAAACTTGAATGAAACTGAATTTAATCATTTTCCATGCATCATAATCATCACAAAAGTATCATTACAATGTAACACATTCACTTTAATAGTGATTAACTTGTATGTATATTGAATTTTAAGCTTAGTTTTATGTGAGATAATTATATTGTTAGATTATTGTTATTATCGTTTTCTGATCATAATGAACAATTTACGATAATTTTTTCTCCTCTTTTTCAAATAAGTTACATTTTCTCATTGGATAATCTATTGATTGTTTCCTCATTAACCTTCATTGTTGAGGTAATAAAAATGTTTCCTTGTTGCACGAATACAAAAATTAAGGAAACTATTATTGCGATAAGTTTATGATAAAGGTAAATGAATAATCTACACGAAGGTCAAATGGCAAAAAAGGTGAAGACTATCACCTACTTACTCCAATGAATACAAACCATGTAATTTTCATCAAGATCTCAGTATTCAAGTTCAAATTATTATCGATTCATACAATGAAAGTACCAACCATTGAACATTAGCCTTTGACCGGTCTATTGGTCAGGCAAAAAAACGCGTTTTTTTATTTAAGTTAAAATTTGCCGTTAAATTTACACGAAAGAATTTACAATGACCTGGTTGACAAAATAATCTCAGCGAGATTATTTTGAGTCCATTTGCTTACATCTCCAGGTCCGAATCTCTATGGTTAATGACGAGAGTCGATTCGGTGTCAGGAGGTGATTCCTGGTTGTCAAAGCTCAACCCTAATCCTAAGTTTAAATTAAATTGCAAATTGATTTTCAACTTTCGCCACAATGTTGACAAGGAAACTCGGTAACGTTTTTCCTTCAGAATTTTGCAACTTTTACCTCTGAATTGATTTGACTTTTTCTCATGATAAACAAGAGCAATTCTAAGTTTATCCGAGAATAACCTCAAATTACCTTCAAAGGTTTTCTCTTTGATTGAAGAACGAGTGAAAATTGGGTCATTCATATTCTGTAAACAATAAAGATCAAATAAAACGTCTTAACGGGGATTCGAACCTATAATCTTACTCACCTGAGTCGAAGACATTACTAATCGGCCACGACGGTTATAAAAATGAGGTGTAAAAAAGCTTATAAAGTTAACAGGAAACGAGTTGAACTAACCGAACCGGTAACCGAAAAGTAACCGAAAAACCGGTTTACCTCAAATTTGGTGACAAATTTATCTCTAGATTTAATTACATTCCAGTGATCAAACAAGTTTCAAGGTCAAAAGTCATTTCGCAAGTTTGACGACCTTTTAACACGTTAAAAGCACTTAGAATGCAAGAAAATTCAATCGTTTTGTTGTTCGGAATTAAAGTAACAAATGAAATAATCAAAATGATTTATAACAATCAATCGTATTTGTAATAAATTGTATTTGTACAAATGATTTAAAGGCAAAATTTATTGTATTCATTTTCCTTGGTTTTTAGTAATTTTAATTGGTTAAATTGTATTGATTATTAATGTTGATTTTGTTTTCTTGTTACTTTTTGTTAATTTAGTTTCACCGGTTGTTTGGATTCCCAAACAAGTGATTGGTTCACATTTAGGTAAAGATGTAACTTTAAATTGTCACATTGACTCGTTTCCACCATCAGTTAATTACTGGATTAAGGAAAATGGTGAACTGATTGCTCCATCATCAAAATATTCAATCTATCATGAAGACAAGGAATACAAGACTCATTTATCTTTGGTCATTCGAAATGTTCACAAAAGTGATCTCGGCATTTATACTTGCTCAGCAAAGAATCAACTTGGATCCAAGGAAGCGATTGTCACCCTCATCGGTTAGATTATTTTTCTTTCTGATAAATATATTCACAATTAAAGAACAACAATTGAAATTGATTAGTTTAATACCTTAAGTTCATAGGATAATAAATAATTCACATGGAAACATAGATTTCTCTCTAGCTCTTATACTCATGATATGGAAAAATATTATTAGAATTATAAACAGAATCAAGTATCGAAATTGATTAGAACTTTTTTTTGCTTCTATTATGAAAAAAACATATTCTCATGATCAATTCCATCAGGTATATAAGAATAACCCTAGAAAAAGAGGAAAAAAAAGTTCGATAATCTAAAATTGTCCCAATCATTCATCTAATCATCTTTGTTATCAATGGTTTTCCTCTCAATTCTTTATTGTATTCATATATTATCATCATGATGATGATGACGATAATCATCTTTATTTGCCAATTGTATTCTCACAATTGTTTGTAACTCTCATATTCTATTGACAGTGATACATAAGTGCTATTCAAGTTTCATTCCTTTTCATTGGTCTCGAGTTTGACACTTCTTTTTCTCTGTATTTCCCATTCTCGTATCGCCGGGATATTGAAAGTTCCAAGTGAAACTCACCCCACCTTCTTACACCTCTTGCCTTTTCTTCATGGAAAATGTGTGACAGTTTAAATTGAAAAAATGATTCCAATTGAAATATATGTTCACTTACATTGAATTTGTTTCCATTCTCAATTGGGAATAGCTTGGTTAATATCTTTCTTTTCATTGTGATCATTGATCAACAGAGGGAATCATAGTAAATATATTATTATCATCACCATGAGAATGATAATAACTTTGGTATAAATACTGGCAATGTTTAGGAATCTTTATTATGGTGAAAATTGTTTTATCATATCGACAAATGAGAGCATAAGGAAATTCAATTGAAACTCATTTTCGAATAAAACTTTTCTCTTTCTTTCCTGATCATCTCTTTCAGGGTGAATTTTCATCTCTCTTTCCATGTATCACTTTAGCTCTCTTATTATTTGTGTCTGTTTGTTTGATGTGTGATTGATGATAGATGATTGAAAATAAAGAGTAAAGTTGAAGATGATGACGAGGGATGCGGATGAAGATGAGAAAAGGAGGACAAAAGAAATTGATTCGATAGAAAAGAATGAAAATTTTCTTCTTTTTTTTGTCTCTTTAATATTTTATTCTATTATGTAGCAACATTATATTGACAGTTTCAAGATATTCAGATGAAGATATAAGACCTACAATGATGATGAGAAAGGATGAGGATGGAGAAGGAAAAATGATGCAAGGATGATGATGGAAAGCGAACCAAATAGAAATGAAGTTTTCTCTCTCTACATTTCCAATTTCGAATTGGAATTTTTTTTCTCTCTTATCAATATTTTCCAATTCAAGTTAACAGATGACAATTGTCATTTGTAAATTGTTTTCATCTTCATTCATCTAACAACTTTTACCAATTTGTCAAATCATTTCTAACCTTTACTATCATTCAGACGAAAAAGATACAAAAGTCTCAATGAAAATGTCGAAAAACTTTTTTTTTCTCAATTGTTTTTCTCTGATTATCCAAATCGATTTAACTGATTCATTAACAAAAGTTCATTAGAACTCGATTAATGAAGTTGATGATATAAGATCTTCGAGAATAACTGATTAAATCTAATTTTGATTCGACGAGATAGTTAATAATATCATAGAACTTTAAAAGTTCAACTTTTGATTTCGTCGAAAATTGATTCAACATGGTTGATTATCACGCAACGATTTCCAAATTTTAATTTTTCCACCACATCGAGATGATAGAGAATCGATATTCATGGATGATAATTTGAATACGATATTTTCCTTAGCATTTTGAGCTTAGATAATTTTCTGATGATAGATTTTCAATTGATCGTTGAACATTTTCAATCTTGTTCCAATTCTGATAATATAATCAATCACCTAAGAGTTTTAACAATCAAATAGTTCAACATGATAATCATGATCATGATAAAATCTGAGAGAAAAAAATTCAAAGTTGCATCGTATTCAGAGTATCATGAGAAGTTATCATAACTTTTGATAACAATTAGAGATGATTTGATTATGACATTTACTGTTTTCTAATCAAAATGATTTGTTAATTAGATGACTTGATGTACATATAAATTGTTCATTTTGTTAATTAACCAGCAATCATTATATTTAATGTCACTTTTGTTTTCAACATTATTATTATTGCCTGAGGCATTTTCAATTGCTTCAAATCATTTGGTTCATATGTTATCATCATCATTAAATTTGTATTAACTGACAATTCAATTGTTATTATGTTTTCATATTGCCCCAGGGGTTATTATTATTAACTTGAATGTTATCATTATTATTTCCTATGATTAAGTTACAATGTGTGTGTGTATGTGAGCTAAAAGTACAATTTAGTCACACTAAAGTTAATTGTTCACAGGTAGATTTGTACAGTTACAATTTACTTTTGGATGTTGGCTTTTGTTAATCACTGTAAAGTCTCAGTTAATCAGGAAAGAAAAGGTTATCTAATTGTTACAATTAATTTTCTCTATCAACTGTAAATCTTTGCTAATACTTGTCCAGTGTATGTGATAAGTGATTAGTTTTGATTGATTAGTTTTCATCATTTGATAGTCAGATAAATTGTGGACATTAAGTTGGTAATGAATGGAAATTAATAATTATCTTGGTTAGTGATTAATGATTAGTAGTGTACGATTTTGATGAGGATAAATTGATATTAATACAGTTACTTTTTTTCAAAAGATAATATTAGCATTATTATGATGATGATAATCAATGTAATCTTTGCAATTGGACAATTACAATCAATTGAAATCAGTAAATCACTAACCAGTGAATGAGAAAAAAAAAACTTACGCTTCATGAACATCATTTACTATTCATTTTCATGTCAAATGAATAAATTGTTCATTCATCATAATTTTCATTTTTCTCATTGTTCAAATATAATCATAATCATCATCATTTCCAGTATTAGCATCATCTGATTTGCAATCAATATGACAATTAAACCTTCAATTATCAATTGATAATTAGAGTTTTTTTTTCTGTCTGGAGTTATCAAAGAAAACAAATTAAATGATAACAATCAAGAGACATGTACAGTTGAGGCAAGAATACAAATGACAATTTGTTCAACTATTAAAGTGACGTAGCAATTTAGATATTCAATGTGATTCAATTGAATTGTTTCAATTAATCTACCTTGAATTTTAGTATTTAGCAAACATAACTTTGTTATCCACCTCTCATCCTTTTTCATGGTGATGATCATGCTAATTACTGATCACAATCAACTTGTAAATTTCAATTTTCTTTCCTGGTGAAAATCTGTTTTCCTTTGTAATTTTCGACACATCCACTGAATTCAAGTTGAACTTTTTTCAGAGAAATTAATAACTTGTCACCATGTTAAACTTTGTTCATATTGTTTTCGGATCCATAGATTTTTTGATTACTTCCTTATTCATTTTCTTTGTTATTATCATTCCTGTTGTTGTTGAAGGTACATAAAAACTGATCATTTTACTCCTTGGTTCCAATGAATGAATTTGACCTTAATCGAAAAATGATAAACTTTTTTTTTCATCTTCTTCTTGTTTTTCCCTTTGCTTTTCGTTAAAATCATTGTCCTCTCCTTTTCCTTTTCCTCTTTCATGTAACTTGTTCCCATAGCAATGAAAAATGATCTCCAAATGGAACTTTGGTTCACAGAACAATTCAGTTGACAGGTTGAATATTGTTGAGATAGTTAAACATACACTGACCATGCAAATGGATTGTGTACAATTACAATTGTAATAATAATAATTTTCTTCCTGACTGATGTAACCATGATGCTCAGTCGAATCAAAAATTTTACTCCAACTTGAACATAATATTTTAGTTGGAAACAAAATTTCACTTGAATTTCCATTCAATCTTTATATTCACCGGTGTGTCTCTGTATTTCTTTTAAATGATATTTTAACCATGTTACCTGGTTGGAGATATTCAATGTTTCTGTCTTTTAAATTTCCTCCATGATGATTTTCATTGAGACACTTCAGAAAGTTTAGAACCAAAATAACCATCAACAATGTTTAGTGTGAATAACGAATATCATGACAGCAAAGATCGAAGATCGTATTTTACTTGTTCGATTTTGCATTAAGCCATTGGGTCTTCTTTGATATCAGATATTAAGTTTTCACTTTTTCTTTCCCTTTAAATGATAATGATGTTGACACAAAATCATTGTAACTTTTCACTGGGAATGTTTCTTTAGCTGTTGTTTATCACATCATTTCCTTTCATCTCATAAATTTTGGTTTAACTTTTTTTCCATCTCAAATTTACTTTATCCGTTTCTCTCTTTGAATCAAAAATCGCTCTTCTCCAAAAAAAGATCATGTAATCAATACAACAATCGATACGATAGAATAGGAATCAGGTTACACCGTAGAAGAAAAAAAGATTTATATATCAAGCGAATACCTATTGATGAGGCAAAAATTGAGAGAAAGAATTAAAATTAGATTAGAGTTTAAATTAGATATGAATTAAGTTAATTTACTTACGAAATATTAATCGAAGCCAATTAGTTATATAGTTTTTGTTTGACTAAAGATCATATCTCATTAAATCTGTTCCGTTGATTTGACATGAGGTTGAGTTGAATTTTCCATTAAAAAGATGACAACCAAATGATCACAATAGATTTTCACTTATTGTCCACAATTTAAGTGGAACAATTATTCAATTTTCCATGTTGACCATTGATTAAAAAGATTATTCTCTTTGACTCTTGTTCTTTTCTCTTCTTGTAAAATGTAAAATCTCCCATGGGTTTGGCTCCATTTTTATTCATTACGATATTTTCTTTTCTCCTTTTTGTTATAGATGATCCAAAAGACCACAGAATAGGATCAGTAAACCGGAAACAGCAATACATCCAAGTTTCAGAAAGATCTCCATCTTTCAATCATGATTTAAGTAAAAGTTCATCTGACATGGAGAACTCAATTCTCATGGAAGAAAGTGAAGGACTCAAGTCATCGTCTCCCTATAAAAATAAACATAATTTGATAGAGAAACATGTTAATTTAATCATTTCATTAACTATTGTAACCATTGTTTTAATAAACTAAAGTATTATGGAAATATTGTATAAAAAAAAATTCGACAGAAAAAAAGAGAAAAATAAAAAAATGATACATACTTTTTTTAGAGAACAAAAAAAAAAGAAAAAAAAATGTCTCCTCTTTGAATCTTTTCCAAGGGTAAACTAATTATAGAAAGAGAACATTTTGTATAGAAAACTGTGAACATAATCACAATTAGCTAATCAATCACTCGGTGGGCTAATTAGATGACCAAAATTTGTAAAACGATGACCATCATCATGTTGATAGGGAAAAAATGATCAAGACACTTGATGATCTCAGAATATTGTCAATTGTTTTCACTTTTCAAATTGTTCACTTAAATAGACACTGATTACCAATAATTGTCCATCAAGTGTCCAGTTAGTTGATTGTCCAAACATTAAAACCAAAATGATGATGAAGAAAGAAAAAAGATTAACACAAAAACCGATTAAAAATGTTACATGTTCATCTATTTACAGACAAGAAAGAAGATAAATAAAAGTCACAAGATGAAGACAAAATGGTGGAACAAAAATGAGAGAAAAACAAAACCATTTAGAGAATAGAATGTTAATTGTTTAAACAGTTAATGTTCGATGATTAAGATGATGAGAAAATTGATGATGGGAAAGATTAATTAATTATCTCCGAATGGTGTTAATGATGATGATGGAAACAAAGAAAAGTGTTGGCAGTTTCCCGCTTAATCCTCGTTCCTTGTAATGTAAATGAAGAGTTTGGCAAATCATTGAGTCACCATGTTGATTATTCAACAAATCAGGTTAGTCTTTTGTTTACTTTTTTTTTTAATTTTTTCTTTTTTCCGAATTAAATTATTTGGCATTTTAATTGTTTTATTCTTTAGTGAACTTGATGTACGTTTGTTGATGATGATTAAAATTAATCATAACCAGAGAGATTGTTGATTACAATCTGTTGATTGTTGATGAATTTTTTGTTTGTTCTTTTCGTTTTGATTTTTCTCCTTGTTAACCAATTGGAATGAAACCAAAAAATTTTTTCTTCTTTTTCTTTGTCTCTTCGTTTGTTAAATTGTTCTCTGTTAATTCTGATGGATTAAAAGGAGATGATGTCGAAGATTCTGGCGATTTTAATCTTTTCCATTTTTTACTTGTTAATCGTCTAATCGGTGAGTTTTTTGTCATGTAATTGACTCTTTGAGTTTCCATCGGCGATCCGTTTACTATTGTCACGTCTTTCCGATCAACGCCCATGTGACTCTTTATCGAATCAATATAATTATCGATATCATGACTGAATTGTGTTCCTTTTTTACCTTTCTTTCCATGTCCATGACTGTGATGACCACCATGCGAATGTCCATCAACCCAATCCCAAACATCACCATGATCACCATGACCCCAGGAACCCCAAGGATCCCAATGATCCTGATGATGATAATGACCCCAAGGATCCCAATGGTCACCACCACCACCCCAATGGTGACCATCATTTAGAATAATTATATCATGATCATGTTTCTTTTTCTTTTTCTTTTCTGGTTTATATTTTTCAATTTTCTTAATCTCCTTCTTTTTCTTACCCTTCTTTTGCCCATAGTGAACATGGTGATGAGTTATTTTCTTTGGTTCCCAATGATGATCACAATCATGTTTATGGTGATGAATATGATGTTCATTGTCCCTCTTGCTCTTCATGTGCCAATGGTGATGGTCATCATCATCATCGTCCCATCCTTTGTACCCCTTATGCCCTTTATGTCCTTTATGTCCCTTGTGACCTTTATGGCCCTTATGACAATCACCACCACCCCAGTGATCCTCATGATGATGACCACTACTCCAACTATCAGCGCACGTTTTAACAACCACAGGCTTGTAGTGTTTACATCCAAACGGCCACCACCAGAAGAGGATTTTCTTCAATTTCGATTTGTGTTTTCTCTCAATGAAAACCATAGTGTGGTGATGATGTTCCTTACCATTCTTATGATTATGACAGCCCTTGTGACAACCCTTTCCACCTTTAGAGTGACCAAAACCTTTTTTATTACATGCATAGTCCCAACCATCCCAATCGTCATCAGACTTTTTCCACAAGGACCATTCTTGAGTTAATTGGACAAATGTCAACACAATTATTATAAAAATTATCCATCGATGCATAATTGTTAACAATTAACAGGAAAAACCATTTATCCTCACTTATTACACTGATATTTTAATAATTTACCAAACTCTCTGTGGTCACTTCACTTGGATCAAACATCGTACAAAAAATTGACTCAAATTAACTGTTTTTTTTTTGGATAACACTTATTATGGATTTAAGTTGACATGGTGTTCAGTTTGCTTGATGAATGGAAAATGATTTAACAAACCAAATTCTGGCGATATGTTTTTTTTTCTGCTCATCAATGAATTTATCCAATTCAATTAGAGCAAACATCATTCAGCTGATTAGTATTTACATGTTCAGTTTAATGGTAATTCTTATTATCTATTTCAATCATTTTGGATCACTGGGTGAATCCGAAATTAACATCAATTGATACATTTTTTTTCTTCTTCTCTTTCTTTTCTACAGGTAATTTACTTCTTCCGTTGTTAATTAGTGATAAGATTTTAACTTATTTCAAGGACCAGTTAATTGTTGACTACCGTCTTTTAATTACCTTAACCCACTATTTGAATTGGTAAAATAAAGGAAACGAAGATGATAAAGAGTCAAATGAGCAATCAGTTAACAAGGATGATGGATAAAAAATGGTTAAATAAACAATAACGATCTTAAGTCTTAATTGGTGAAAATTTGAACTGTCAAAATGTTTCTCTTACGCTTCAATCAACAAATCGATTGGTACCTTGATAAAACAACAAAACTACAACACAACAACCCGATTTAGTTAATTTGGTTTGTATTTCATCTTCATGATGAGCTTTTTCCTCTCATCTTCCTCCTGTTTCACCTGAAATTGAGCTTAAATCATCAATTAATCAGCTACAATTAGTTTAACATTAAAAGGGCTAAATTTAGCTTAACTTTTCTTGCGACAATAATGATGATCTTGATAGTGAAAGCCCTCTTGCTTTTGATTATCTCGCTGTTGGAAAAGCTTTTTACTCCAATCATTAATTGCTTATTAATTTCTCCTGTGACACTCGGTGATCATACCAACTATTAAACTACTATAATCAACAGATAAATTAACTAAATTCATCTAATTCTATTTTCAGATAAAAGAAACAATTGAAATGGAAGATGAATCGATTCAACAGTCAAGATGATTAAAGAGCGAAAGTTTAATTGTTATGAACACACTTGATAATGGCCATGGATTGTTGTGGAATTGAAACAATATTAATATAACCATTAACACCCTAACGGGTTAATTATTATTTATCATATATTAGAATTGGTTAATCGTGGAAATGTTGATCGTATATAAGATGGTTTTCATTTTATCATATCGATTTCACTTTCATCCTGATCATCGTACAAGTTTGATCGATCTTCGAATTTCGATCGCAATTAAAGTGTACAAAGGAAACATCATGATGTTTCCCTCGATTAAGTTAATTAATTTAACCTTATTGGTGATTGGTTTCATCTCGATTTTTCAAATATCTCCAATCTCTGTGGAGAAAAGGATAAAGGACAATCAATCATAATGGACGGTGGAAATTTAATCATGAAAGATCACGACAAGAAGAAAAAAGGTGATACAATTGTGATTAAAAGTTCCAGTGGAAGTGGTTGTGGTTGTGCCAAAAAAATGATTCCTGTGCCTTATCCAATTGTGATTCCTAAAAAAGAGGTTAGTGATTAACCTGTGATTAGCATGAGATTATTTCTCAATTATTTTAATCTTATTGCTCATCTTTCCAGCACTTAAATTATTTCAAATTAATTCATTTTCATGACTCTTAGTCTTCCGTCGTTCTGTTTACTCAGATAACCATGAAAACCTATCAAATTAACATGTTTGAAGGAAACAAAAAGTGTTTAGTCAACCTGATCATCAAAACTATTGAAAAACAAATAATGTGCAAACCGCTAACCGGTTGACTTTTGGTGTTAATTGAATCTTTTAAATTGTAAACAATTAGCTTTTTATATCATTGATATGTTATAATTGTAAACAAGGAGAAGGCTTCTCATTATGTCGTATCAATCATCATCAAAATCACCAATATCTTATTACAATTTTGTCTCAAATTTAATTTTCAAACTTTAATCTGAGATTATAATCTCATCTATTCAATTGATGATTAATGAGAATTGTTTTTCTTTCATTGTTTTGTAGGTTAAATATGTTCATGTTCCTGTTCATGTTCCCGTTCCCGTTCATGTCCCTGTTCCTGTTCACCATCATGGCGGTTGGTTTGGCGGTGGTGGACATGAAATGATGTCCGGTGGATTTGCCCGATCAGATGATGAGGTGATCAATGAACCAATGGAAAGACCAGTGATTGGAATTGGCGAGAAAGTCTCATCAGCTGATTATGATCTTCCAAACGAGGGCGAACCTCGATTGATAGATTCTCCTAGGCCACCGATGATCCCTGAAGAATTGGGAATCCTCATGTGATTTGTTAATCGTCATTCTATCATTTAAAAGAATCGCCTTTCCAATCTGGTCTCAAAAAGATTACATTTAAAGCCATAATTGTAAAAGTAATAAATTAAATCAATTAAATACAATTAATTTTTCCATAATTTTCTTTTTGGCATCGAAGTTTATTATTAATTTGATTTCTGTTTATTGTTGTCGGAAATTGAAAATTTTTAAATACAACTTGTAGGTGAGAACATGGTTCATATAAACATTTGATTTCAGAAAAGGCACGAAAATTGACCAATAATTGAATTTAATTCAATTAATTTGGTGATCTTTCTGGTTGGTAACAGAGTATTCCTTCATTTTGAATATAATGGTTTATATTTTGGGATTTAAATTGCTTATTGATTGCATCGTTTTCTGTATCGATTTTGGCTTTGGTATAAAGATGATTAGGCCACAGCAGATTCAACTGAATTTGCTCGCGCTTGTCTTGACTTACGAGCGATATCGGGGATTTGCTGGGTGACTAATTTAATGGCATTGGATTGAACTTTACTAAGTTCGGATTTGGCACATTTCAATAGAAACTCTCGATCGTAAACAATTTTCCTGGAACTGTCGATTACATCCTTGGGTGTAATTTTGGCCAGTTTGGGGGAAAGACCGTTAGATGAAGCAAGAGATCCATGAGAAGCTGATTTTTGATATTTCTTTTCAACAATATTTGCATGATTATTGCTTGAAGTTACACCAGAATTGGATCCATTAGACTTGGCTGGTTTGACAGATATTTCTGAGTCGTCACTTTCTGATTCAGCATAAGTTTTAAAAATTGGATCCGTTTGAGACCGTTGGAAATACTTTTCGAGAACACTTTTGGCTTCTTTTGTCAATATTGGTTGAGAACTTGAGATAACCAAAACCTCACTTCCCACAGTAATTGTTTGAACAAAACCGTCGTCAAATTGTCCCTCGGCAAGAAGCTTGTGTACAGCTGGAGTACTAAATGAAGTTATATGTCGAGATAAATTAAGGGGAACTGGTTGTTGTTGATGATGAGTTTGCGGTTGTGGTGGTTGTTGGTCGCAAGGTATTGGCGAGGCATTACGCTTAATTGTATCTCCAATGTAATACTTGGCTTTATTAATAGAAGACTCGTCTGGACCAGTAATCTGAAGTAATCTGTCTTTCGCTCCAGGGTTAACTGCAAAAAAAATGAAAAAATTTGATTATTTAATACAAAACAAATGATTAAACAAACAACTTGGATGCAAATTTAGATCATCATACAAGTAATTTATCGTGCACTATGGTCAAATGACCTCATTAATAGCTTATCATAACATGGATTATGAACTAAGAAATCAGAATTAGCTAAAAGAAGCGATTATTGTCTCGGTGTTAAAGTTAATTGCGATGCATAAACATTCCGAATTTCGAGAAAAAAAGATTAGTAAAGTGATTGGAAGTCTCTCAAAAACATAAATTATTTGGTTAGAGAATAGTAAATATATAAAGAGATAAACCTCTTTGAAAAGAGATGACAGTGTCACTCAATTCTTCAATAAGATGAACTCGTCTTCCTTTGATTCCCATGACTACGAAGACATGAAAATTTCAACCAAAATTAAAAAGAAAAGAATTCAAAGATAAACCGAAGAATTAAAATTCTAGAATTTCAAATGACTTTTGTGACAAATGATTCAATGATTTAAAGACCTACCCTTTCCTGAGTCACAGTTCTTTATGATGAATTCATCTTTTACGAAATTTTTTCCCGGAACTTTAACAGGCTTCTGAAATTTACCAGAATGTTTGATCACATCTCCAGATGATGACGGTGACATCGAACTGTCTGTGGATTCAGGTGACGATTGTTTAACATTATTGTTATTATTGTTACTAATAATAATGTTACTATTGGTGGTGCTCAAGGTTGTAGATGAGGCTGATGTTGATAAATTGCTTGGAGATTGATGTTGGTTATCACATGATCTTTCGGTAGTGGCATAATAGGCTGCCATCTCTTCAGGAGTCCTCCAACCCAGTGATCGAAGCTCTATTATTTCTAGAAGTTTCGTTCGACTTGCAGAGTCCACAGCAAGATTACGAGAAAGGTTACGCATGGTTTCGAAGTAATGATTAAGAGCAATCGAATTTGGTCCATTGTCCAATTCTTTACCTTTCTTTTTAAGGTACTTGCAACACTCAGCGATAAGACAATCGTCGATATTACCACTATTGGTAGAAGATTCGAGTAGCTCGAGAATTTTAAGTGGAGCTAAATTAGAGAAGCAAATAGGGTGGGGAGAGAAAAAGATACAAGGAAAGAAAAAGAAAGAGACATTTTGAAAGCAAATGCAAGGGGAGATAAGAAAATGGAGAATAGAATAAATATAAAAAAAAGAGAAACAAATGGAAATAGAATATTAGACAAAATTCAAACACGTAAAAAAAAGAACAAAAAGAACAAAAATTAACAATTAACAAGACAAAAGAGAAGAGAAAAAAAGAGAAAAGAGAAAAGAGAAAAAAGAAAATACGAAGAAAACGCCAAACCTCTACGAGAGAATAGAAAATGATTAACTGTTACTTACCTTTCGATGTTAAGGTTATCTCTTGAGATAGAATTTTTCTTGTTTCCATTTTCGATGATTCAGATGTCGGCATTTTAATGGAATAAACCTCATTTTGAGATTTGTTCACAACAGAGTTAACACTATTTAAAACCATTGATTCCACAAGATCAGGATTAGCCTTATTCAAGAAGAAACAATCTCTCTGGGAAAAGCGTAATTGACTTAATTGACTAACAGTTGCCATGGTATTTATACGTTCGTTTATTAGGTTAAAGGTTCGCCGCCTGTTGACAAATAATCTCGTTAATTTTAACTCTTTTCTCTTGCAATTTGATTGAGAAAAAGAAAACAATTTGTGTTTGTTTTGAAGAAAATTCTGTTGGTGACAATTAACTTGATGAAGAATTGAATGTGGGATTGAAACACTTATATAAAGATGGCGATGAACAAATTAGATGAAACTGAGTGAAGGTTTTGGAGAGTTGAGGTTAATTCTTTTTTTGGGCAAAACACACTTTTCATTTGAAAGAATTTGTTAGACTTACAATTGAAACTTGATTTTGATTTTCTTTTCGTCAATTAACCGATCAAATATGAGAATAATCAATTAGTAGTCATGGTGATTGATCAAAATTGATAAAATCTATTTGACTTTATGGTCCTGGATCCAGTGGATTGTTATGAGAAGGAGCCAACGAGAGATTTTGATTCAATGTAAATTGTCCGGTTAATTGTTGATTGTAACAAAGCCAAAGATCAACACTTGAAAAGTAAGATAAAACCATTTAATTAACATTAACTCTCTAAACAATTTGTAAACATTAACAATCAAATTAATCAAAATGAAAACAAAACAAAAACAAAACCAAATATCCTTTTAGCTTTTGGGTTTCTGGTTACAAATCTCAAATGTTTATCTTAATGAGAAACAATTTTTCCTAATCAAGTTGATTGTTAACCAACACAATCAATTGATTTTCTAATTTCTCTTATTAAACACCAACAACCCAATGTTCAGGTTAATGTTCAGTCCATTTCATGTCAGGCCACTTTTACCTGGTAAGTGTTTCGGTTCATCATGTTTACTAACGAGTTTCTCTTTCTCTTTCCCTCTTACCTTTTTCTCTTTCTATTAGTTTCTTTTTCTCTGTCTTCTTTTATCTTTTCCTTTCTATTTTCTGGTTTCTTTTTTTATTATTATTCCTCTTCTTCTTGAGAGTCACATTTGATTTTTTTTCTTCTCTCTTTTTTTTTGTTGTCTCTCCATCTTTTTTTCCTTCTCCCTTAAAATTTCAGTATAAACTCATCACCATCATCATCATTATCTTCATCATCTAATTACATTCCTGTTTCTCAATTGATTCTTTGTCTCCAGACCCTCAAGGAACTTGTTTCATCCATTTGGGTTGTCAGTTGGAAGGATAAACGATTTGACCATTTAACTGTTTTTCTTTTTTCCATTTTTTACCCTCAATTGAAACATGGATCATCCTGATGAGGCAAATGACAATGAATTAAGTGATTTACTTGAAAGTAAGTTTATTCTCTAATCCTTTTTTTTTGTCTATAAATGTGAACATATTTTACTCTAAACTTATCTCTGTTTTGTTTCTCTGTTGTTACTCTTTCAGGTACCTTAGGTGATTTCTTTAAATCTTCGGCATCATCATCATCTACCTTAAATGCTACCTCGTCATCTTCATCAACTGGAAGGACATTTGGTCAACTACCAAATGGAACATCACCTTTTGATCAATTTACCAAGAAACATTTAGATAAATTTGGTAAAGAGGGTAAAAATACCCATGGTGATAGTGAAGAAGATCAGAGTGATACCGATGAAAATGATGCCGAAAAAGTTAAACAAAAGCTTGATGAACTTCTCAATGATTTCATTGAAAAAGAGCCACAATTAAGGGAACATTGGCAAAAATTAAGTGAATCTTACCAATTGCCAGGTAATTATAAATCAATAAACCAATTGATTTATTGGTAATGAGAGATAATCTTATTAAAGTTCAATTTTTGAGGTGTCCTGAATCAATGGTTAAGTGGTCATAATGCTCCCGGTCAATTTAAGGATTAATTGACGATTTACCAAAGTCTTAATTGATTGTCTCTCATTAGCCAATTATAATTAGGCCTCACTGGTGCAATTATGACTAGAGTTTCACTAATTTATCTTCTTCCTGTTTCCATTTTTGTCTCACCTTCAATCAGCTGGTTCCGAAGAAGCTTTTGATACTTTAAATGAGACCATGAAGAGTCTTTCAGAATCTGCTAAATCGATTAACAGTGATGGTGATATTTCCGAAGAAGAATTATCCCGATTATGGAATAAACTTGGAATCTCTGGTGAAGGACAAGGAGATCAGAATGAAGAAGGTGTTGTACCTGAAGTGTTTTCCCTTGTCACCAATTTGATGCAAAATCTTCTATCTAAGCAAGTTTTATATCCTTCCATTAAAGATCTAAGTGAACGGGTAAGTGACCATTTTAGATTAGTATTTTTATCAATTCTATTTATAAAATCGAGAAAGAAAGAAAAACAAATCGCTTTTCAAATCTAACCAATTATCTAAAACGACGAAGAAGACATAACCCATTAAACTAATATATAAAACGTTGATATTCATCCGCTAATTACCATGTTAATTGATTAGATTTTATCTTTATTTTTTTCTCTCTCCTTCTATCTCTTCCAACTATTCTAGTATCCTGGTTGGATTGATGAACATCGAAATGAATTAGATGAAGGTGACCTGGAACGTTATACCAAACAGTTTAATCTGATGAAACAGGTTTGCGTTGAATTTGAAGCTGAAAATGAATCCGATCCATCCGAAGTTAAAGATTCCCGATTCCAGAAAATATTGAAAATAATGCAAGATATGAAAGATTGTGGGTCACCACCCAAAGAATTGGTCGGTGATGTGCCGGACATTGGATCGGACCTTGACTTTAGTAAATTATCCGAAATGGCCGGTGGAATGGGAGGTGGACCAAGCGAACAAGGTTGCTCAATGATGTGATAAAAAAGATTTTTTCTTTTCTTCTGTTTTATAATTAAGACACAATTCTAATGGGAAATGTTTTAATTGTAAATATAATCATCTTTTCTTCATGTTCCAAATTTAATTTAACCCTAATTTCAGCGAAACAATTTAATTTACTAAACAACAACAACCAGAACAATCAACAACAATTAAGGTGGCCGGGAGAAATTAACTTGATTAGTTAACAGAAAATAATTTTTTTCTTACAATTATCTTATTACCAATTTGATTTTAAATTTTATTTTGAATATTTAGTTTGAGGTTTTGTTTGTTTTTCTTTTTGTAAGCAAAAAAAATAATTAATTTGATTGTAAATAAATTAAAATAAATTAATAGACAAATTGATCAACAACTGATAATACAAAATTATACATTATAGACAAAAGGTGCAATTAGAAATAATTAATTGATTAATTTACAGGATTAGATTTGCTTCTTAATTTCAAGTTTACTCTTCTGGTTCAGCTGATTGAGTCTCTTGATCCGGTTGTTGGTTTAATTGTTGAGAATCAGCATCGTAACTCCTTTCCTCTTTATCGTCGGTCACTGTAACTGTTGTTGAATCTTCATCACCATTGGCACCATTTGCATCACCACCACCGTAGCCATTTTGGTTTCCTTCAGCTTCCCCACCGGCGGAGTTAGAATCGGCTGAAGCTTCATCACCTCGAGGTTCTTTCTTGGTTTCATCATCATACTCTTCCTGTCTCTCTTTAGGATAAGAGCCTTCATCTTCTGCTTGACCATCAGCTGATCCTGGAGAAGATGAGGATGAGGTTGAAGAAGATGAATCATCTTCATTAGCTGAAGACGAAGGAGCCGATGAACCTTCATCAGATTCACCGCCGTCAACATTTGCTGTTTCGTCATCTGATTGTCTTGATTGTCTTGATTGCTCTCGTGGTGATGATGATGAAGATGATGGTTGTGATCGTGATACCGCTTCTTCTTGAGCAGCCTTTTTGATCTTAATGTACCTGTCGGGAACTCCGTCATCCTCTTTCATGAATGGCCTCTCCTCTTCATCGTCATCAGTTCCACGACCTTTCATCCGTCCGTTATCATCTCTTTCGAAGTCACTATTTTTCGCTGCTAATTCTTCACTTGCTTCTTCTCCCCACCGGCGGCAACTTCTCGGAAATCGTTGTCTTGAGATTTCTCTAAATTTCGTCCAGCAAATCGCCGACCACCTCCTCCGCCTCCACGGCCTCTCATTGATCCTCTTCCCCACCGATTGGAATCAGCATCATCATAAGAATCACGATTCGATGCGAAATCATTATCAAAATCATCCTCAACCTTGAATGGTGAACAATCAATGGAAACAATTAACACCAACGTGAAAAACATACACAAATTAATCGGATTCATTATGAAATCAAATGTAACAAACTAACAGCAAATTATTAACTTTTTCACGATAATTAGATTTATAAATTAGTTGGAAAATTGGTTTTGATAGAAACTTTTAAATTACTCGAAAGGACTTTGATCAATTCTCTTCGAGACTTGAACAGTTAAACTAACTAAGATGAAGTAAATTATTTACTTGAAGATGAAACGATTTTAAGTAATCGATGATCTTATCATCCTCTTTATCATCATTTTAAATTGTTAGTATTGATTTTAATTGTCACATCCACACAACGATTACACCGCCTTGATTTGTATCAGTTGATTGAATAAAAAATGTCTGACCTATTGGATACTAAATACTTGCAATTGACTTAATTGATTGTTAATTGTATCTTTTTTGGTTGATTTTTTGTTTATCAACCTTAACTGTAATTAAATTTTCATCATTATCATCACGATTTGAGAAATTATCTCGTCAATTGAATCTAATTTTCAATTAAAAACAAGACGATTGTTAAACGAGAATCAAGAAGAAAATTAACTGAAAACGTTGATTAACAATTAACCAAGAGAAAAAAAAAGTTAATCAAATCAATTTTGGCCTTGTGAACATTAACAAAAAGAGGAAAAACATTTGGTTAATTAACTAATTGTCGCTGATTGTTGAGGTAACAATTAAAAAACTCAAATAAATAAATAAGAAAAGCCAAAAAGTGATTTTTTATTTTGATCTTGATGATTTGATATTTGATCTACTTTTTAATTTGATTATCATTGATTATCTTCAATTGTAATTAGACAATTAAAAAGGTGAGAAACTGAGAAAACAATTAAACTGTAAACCCAATTGATTGACTCCCATCAATTAATTGTAATGTACTTAATTAGAATGAAATTAAGATGTAACAATTAGTGAGAACAAGAAGAAGAAGAAAAAAAACCAAAATCGAAACGTTTACAATTAAGAATAAGGAACAAAACAATTAAAAGTTAAATTGTCTTTAATTGTTGATTAGAAACTTTTTCTCTCTTTTCAACAATTTGATTGTTTTTCCATAAAAGTTAATGATAATCTGAATGATAACCTGAAGGCTAATAGCGAATGGGATAGAGAGAAAGAATTTAATTCCATGGGTTGATACGAATGTTGATTAACCTACACAATTGAATTGATTGCGAATTTAAATTGTTGATTAAATTGGTTTTCAGAAATGAACAAAAAAACCCTTAAGGTCTCATCTTCTTGCTCTATTTTCACTCTTTCTCTTGCTCTCTCATCTCATTTGTTTTCATCTTCACCAATGATACAGAATTGGACAAATTCAATCGTTAATCATCTGTAATCTTAATAGATTGTTAAGCTTTGTCTTCATTTGCTACCAAAAACTGTTTCTATTTACCTTCACAACAATGAAGATCTTGTTTTTTAAATCTAAATTTAATTGTTGCTTTTATGTGTTCATCAATTTGTCACAATGCTCAATGACAAGAGTGGACACAATTGTATCCACCGGTTAACCGACCACAGTTAACTGGTTATATTGTGATTGGATATTTTAAATCTGAAATTGAATTGATTTGATGCATGGAACTGTGGGTAATGAGAATTCTCATTTGAAATAAGAATAGAAAAAAAATTGATCACAATTCGATTTTCAACTTGGTAATTCTTATTCTCAATCTACTCGAATTAATATAATTTAAATTATCATCTTAATGTTCGTATTATGTATTTACGTAACAAATCGAAATCAATAGAAATCGTTAATTAGTCTCTATTATTTCATAAAAGTAGTTTAATTGTATCAAATTATAAATATAATCAAATGGAAAATTGATAAAATTGTAACAATCTATCAACATGAACGTTCACTTTGTTCAATTCAGAGAATTGTAATTAGCCCAGAGATGATCAACAATCAAATCAACGATCGCAATAATTTGATTAAAGGTAAATCTAAAGTAACACGATTATGAGGATGTTTCATGGAAAAAAAAATTCATTTCAACAATTTAATTCTAAATAGCAATTAAAATTAACAGGAACAAAGGACAATTATAATATTCATTATTCATGCAATCGAATGACAACAAATAATTAAGAAGAATTATGATTCTCAACTTTTCCATGGATTTTGGAGTAATTTAGTTTAGATTTTGTTCTAATAACCATGGAGTATTGATTTTCGATCATTCCAACAATCAGTTAGTATAAAGTTACGATCAAAGTGTCCAATTATCAAGAAACACTTCCGTACAACGAAAGGAAGTCAACGATAATTCATGCGAATTGACAAATAATATCGTTTACCTTTAATTTACCTTAATTATTCTGAGAGAGTCTTAGTTAATCGTTAAAGGTGAAAACCTATTGCAATGATGGTGAAAAGACAATTAAGTTATTCAGGATTCCGTCGATATCTGAATTATCAATTGGTGGATCTTAATTATTTAACTCCGAACAAACTTGCAACTGATTATCATCCATGGCGATTTTATTTGGCCTTTTTTATTTGTATCGTGAATCAAATTAAATTGTCAATCATATTCTGTCAAAATGAAGTGACCAATCTGTCCTATTATATTGGTGATATAACTTTGCCTGCGGGTAAAACCAAGAAACACCTAACGCTCATCTATTCGAGCTGGATTATTGGTACTTTTATGTGTACCGTTACTTTGTACCGATCTCAATACACACCAAGATTACAGAAATGGATCGATATTGGAATAATATTTGAACATTTATCGACCAGAGTTCATCCGATCTCTAGGTTACCGACAATTGTTCACAAGTACTTCATACGATTTTGCTTCAGTGTTTTTTGCTCTGCGGGCTTTTCAGCGATTCTAATTTGTTTACCTTCGTTTTTCATTTACCCTCATCAGTTTCTCATCTACATTTGGATATGGTTATTCATCACATTCTTAGCGGGCTTGATTATTGTCGGTCATGGATGTGGTTTCGGGCCACTTTATGCCGCTCAGATTTATCTTTTTGGTGCGAAAATGAGTAATCATACAAGTAGCCTTATCCAACGTCTTAATTTCGTGTTGGCCTATCGGCGAATCAAAAAAACACACTTATCGTCAATCGTTTACAGATCAGTTCAATCGAGCACTTCAGTTCTCAGAGAATTGGTTGAAGGTTATCACTTTTGGATTCATTATAATCAAGCAATTTTCTTGGCTACTTTCATCGCTCAATCGATTGTATTATATTTAATTTGTTTTGTTGATATTCCTAAATTTCTGAGATTAGCATTAATCGTATTGGGTTTTATCAATTGGATTACCGGATTATCTATTCATTTTTTTCTAGGTGCTTATGGTCAACGAAAGGTAAGTGAACATTTCGTTGGTTCTTTCACTTGGTATCGTGAAAATTATTACATAATTACTTTATTCTTAAAGATTGGACAACATTGTAGTAAATTACGACGAACACTTTATTTAAATATTTCCAATCAAATGAAGCTACGATTAGTTAACTATTTCGAGCATGTTGAGAGTCGATATTTTTTCAGTATATTTGGTTCAATAAATTATTCACTTTATCATTTTCTTTTGGTGAGTATATCAGATTAACTAATCAGAATCAATTTGGACTAATTTCTCCTAATGATTTACTATTATTCTTACAGGTTGTCCTAGAAAACGCCACAAACCTCCTACTATTAATAACGACGTTGGGTAAATAACATTCACCTTAACAAATAGGCCAGAATTCCGTCTTGATTACTCAAAACCAATAGAAGGCCTTTGTATTAATAATCTTCGAGTTCGAATAAACTTTATGTTCAATATTAAGTTCGATTTTATACGAATGCTGTGTAATTAATATTGATTGTCAATAAAGTCGCAATTTATTTCATCAACAATTTGCTCAATTAACTCAAACAGAATGATTCTAATATCATCAAGACAATTTTGATGAACAATTTAAGAAATTATCTCGTCAATTAAAAACAAGACGATTGTTAAACGAGAATCAAGAAGAAAATTAACTGAAAACGTTGATTAACAATTAACCAAGAGAAAAAAAAAGTTAATCAAATCAATTTTGGCCTTGTGAACATTAACAAAAAGAGGAAAAACATTTGGTTAATTAACTAATTGTCGCTGATTGTTGAGGTAACAATTAAAAAACTCAAATAAATAAATAAGAAAAGCCAAAAAGTGATTTTTTATTTTGATCTTGATGATTTGATATTTGATCTACTTTTTAATTTGATTATCATTGATTATCTTCAATTGTAATTAGACAATTAAAAAGGTGAGAAACTGAGAAAACAATTAAACTGTAAACCCAATTGATTGACTCCCATCAATTAATTGTAATGTACTTAATTAGAATGAAATTAAGATGTAACAATTAGTGAGAACAAGAAGAAGAAGAAAAAAAACCAAAATCGAAACGTTTACAATTAAGAATAAGGAACAAAACAATTAAAAGTTAAATTGTCTTTAATTGTTGATTAGAAACTTTTTCTCTCTTTTCAACAATTTGATTGTTTTTCCATAAAAGTTAATGATAATCTGAATGATAACCTGAAGGCTAATAGCGAATGGGATAGAGAGAAAGAATTTAATTCCATGGGTTGATACGAATGTTGATTAACCTACACAATTGAATTGATTACGAATTTAAATTGTTGATTAAATTGGTTTTCAGAAATTAACAAAAAAAAACCCTTAAGGTCTCATATGTTTTCAACGGGTATTCGGTTAAGTGGTTAAACCAGTTCAAGTTTTATCCTTTTGTTGTCAATTAATTTGGTTTACTTGTTAATTTCTAAATTGTGACAATCTTGATGTTTAATTAGTTATTTTTAATGACACAATCGCGAAAACAACAAAAAACAAGAAAAATTAAAGAGAATCAACATTTTCCCTTCTTCCAAAAGCAGGTCATCAGTTGGACTCTCTCTCTCTCTCTCTCTATTTTGTGCTTCTTCTTAAGGGTAAGTGATGAGGACCTGTGCCCGTGAGGTGTAAAAGGTAAACCGAAATCAACAGTGGACCTGGAAATCAACGCGCAAGAAAAAACAACATCATCAATATTCACCAGTAACCAGGAGCGATCAGCATAACAACATCATCACCAGAAAACCAGAAGAAATGAACAACAAAAAAGTATCTCGATCACCATGTCCAGTGTTTAGGATGAATAAGTGAACAAAACTAAGCCTGAAACCATCATCATCTTTATAAGAATCTTAAGAACATTTTTTATGAGTTGTTTTGTTTAAGGTAAATTTTTGAGACGAAAAGAGAAGAAAAAAATATAAGAAAAGAAGATTAAGATTTAGAGAAAGAAAAAAATTTCTTGTGTTTACCTTAAATATTTTTCTCTTTTCTCACTCTGGTCACTTTTTCTCATCTTTTCTGTGCTACTGCATCTTTTTTATTCATCTTGTTTTATTCTATCCCCTGTAACTCTCTCTCTCTCTCGCTCTCGCTCTCACTCATTTTCTACCTCCCTCTCCTCCTCTTCCTTATTTCTCTTGATTCTCTCACTTTATCATCATCATCTTTTCTCATTCTATGTGTATTTTGAGGGAAGAAAAATTCTTCAGTCTTTCTGCATCTCCCCATCTCTCTCTCTCTCTTTCTCTCTCTCTCTCTCTCTCATTTCTATCTTCATTTTCTTCATCACCATCATTTTAACTTGCAATTCCATCCTCCTCTCTCTTTCTCTATCATCCCATTTGTTTTCATCTTCACCAGCGTGACAATTTCACCATGAACGACATTTAATTGTTTCTGTTGATTCCTTTTTTGTTTTGTTTTACTCAAATGTAATATTAACACTAATTATTTATTACCATTTGACTACTAGAATTGTATAATTATCCTCAGTGTATTGTAATTAAGTCGATATCTTCTTCTCTTACTTTTCATCTTTCTCTCTTTTTTATCCTTACTAAATCTCTTTCTCTCTTTTCTCCTCACTCACCACTCATTCCCTCTTTCTCTTTCTCTCAACATAAAAAAGTAAATAAGTTTCTCTCTTCATCATCTTCTCCTCACCACCAACCTGGTTATGTAATCTACATAGAGAGAAGAAGCAAAAACCAACCAGGACCAAAATCTCCAAATATTTATAACATCATTTCTCTCTCTCTCCCTTTTACATGAACCACAATTGTTCATTTAATCCATAACATCATCACCATTCCTTACATTAGTTTTACTCATCATCAGTGAAAAAACAACAACAATAGTCATTTAAAATTCTATGTATGTTTTTCTGGATCAGTGACTTATTTTAGTGGGAAAAACAACAGAAATCAACCCTTACCATCCAAAGGAAACAAATATGGTGAAAACGGGTGACAAGTGAGTATTTATTTTCTATTTGCTATTGTTTTTCTCTTCTAATTTCTATTAATCAGTTGAACATCTGATTAGACAATACTGATTGTTAATAATCCATCAAAAATTGTTTCATGTAAAAAGAAATGTTTATTTTCAATGTGCCTCAAGTATGTAAACATTCAATGTATTGTCTCTTCAATAACAATTCAACATCTCATTTGTTATGTTCCATTTTTATTGATTGGTTTTTTTTGGTGTTTCCATTTTGTTTTTGCTCCATTTTAATAAATTATTAGGGGCTTCAATAAGTAATGTAAAAAAGTATGTTGCAGTTAATTTAAATTGATGATTTTAACTGCGTTTGGAAGGTCTCATATGCGAACCTCCGTGATAGAATTTTCGAACTTTTCTGATTTATGGGTTTTAAGAAATCGCCGATTGAAAAAAAGGTCGAATTTCAGGCATTTTTTCGCCTTTTTCGCAAATTTTCGAGCAATGAACTGTTCAAATTCTCGAGAGGTTTTTGTCACGTTTTTTAGTATCATTTTTTAGGCCAACTAATCGTCTTTGTAAAAACACCCTCTTGAGCTTTATATCCTTCTTAGTACAGTCAGAAAATGAATTTAAGTTTGAAGTTCGGCAAAATTACGTTTATCGCGCATTTCGAACATATCTTTTGGACTAATGACCTGATATCAGTTTTCTTGAGCCTAATGTTAGCTGTGGGTCTCATCTATCGATTCGAGTCCAAAAAAATTAATCTAAAAGCTTTTAACTGTTTAATCGCAATTCTCTTAGCCTGGTTTGATTGTGAGTGAGCTTCGAACCCAACAGAACCACCCTATTTTTTCATAATTAAAAATCGAAAATTTTGATGAACCTCATATTGATCATTTCTAGGTTCTAGGATCTCCTTTACAAATTGCACTTAGAATCATTCCTCTATCTAGTCGCCTTCATACTTTTTTACACTACTTATTGAAGCCCCTAATATTTTCTATTCTTATTTTCTTTTGTTCTTCCAGAGTTGAATGGGTTGAGATTATACCCTCAAAATCAGGTAAATTAATGTATGCAAATCTAAAGACTGGTGAATGTTCCTGGGATCAGCCGAAAACATCTCCTAACATCAACATCCGAAGGATTAATGATCAAAGTGAGATATTTTTTTATTCTCTCTCTCTCTCTCTCTCTCTCTCTCTCTCTCTCTCTCTCTCTCTCTCTCTCTCTCTCTCTCTCTCTCTCTCTTATGCCCTCTTCTCTTCAAATGAAACAAGGAAGCAAATTAGAGCTGAATTAGATCGGCTTTTTTGTAATCTAAGTTGATTGTAGAATTGAAATCGTAAACTCAGAGATGATGAGACCTAAATAATTTAATTCATCCTTTTTCTGGGTCGCGACAACTTAATTTAATCAGTTACATTTTTCCCTTTTATCTTCTATTACATCTACTGAATTAATATATATTTTTTCTGTTATTATTAAAATATCCTTTTCTCTTATTGAATTTCTATTATAGCTCAACAATGGTGGGAACTTTCTGATGTGAAAAGTGCTCGATTTTATTGCAATGTAAATACGTCGGAAACAAAGTGGCAAAAACCTAAAGAAGAAGGTGTAATCATTATCCCTTTGGCCAAACTTCAATTATCGAAACAAAATACTCTTCCTCCAAGTGACGATATTAATTCGGAGAGAGTGGACAATTCCACTCAGACCAATAGTTCATTCATCTATTGTTCTAACGCATCAACTCAGACCTCACCGCCAACCGGTACAACGACCACATCCCATCATCATATTCCCCACCATCATTCACACCATTCGAGACACTGTTCATCAAGCCATGCACATAATCACTCAGCCATTTCTGAGAGGAGTTTAAGACATTATCTATTAAATGAGGCTCGTTTTGCTGGCCTCTGTTACAATATTGACGATAATTATTATGAAGGAAGTGATGAAGAAGAGTATGATGGTGAAGCTTATGAAGGTAATTAAACAATTAATTTTACTTGACAATTAACTGTAGAGTGTTTTGATTTACTTTCTCTTAAAAAATTTTCATGAAATGAATTCAATGTAATCGTTTTACTTTCTTACTTATCTTTCTCACTTTTTTCTATTTCTTTTTCTCAGGCTCTTCAGATGAAAGTTATACCGATAATTGGGATGCGGATGACGAGGACAATAATGAAGGAGAAGAGGATGAATATGAGGAAGAAACTGACGAGGAATCTGAAGATGTTATCGATGGCAGGTCATCATATCATCGACGTGATGAAACCGATACTAGTGATTACTATGAGACTTCATCCTTTGTTTACTATAAAAAATCAGCATCTTTTACAAGTGGATTGGGTTCATTAGATGCTAGTGAGAAACCAATTAAATCAGCTGAAGATAATAACACTGGAATATTGGACATTGTTAGAGCAGAGAAAAGAAAAACAAAAGATAAATCATCTGAGACTGAACACAGTGAAACAAGTGAAAAGATATTACGAACAAAAGATCGAGATGAAGAAGGGAAAGTTCGTAAAAAGGATAAGCTGAAAGAGATTAAAAAGGAAGATAAAGAAAACGATGACACCGAAACTAAACCCGTGCCTCCAAGAAGAGGGATCTCTCTTGATTCGTCGATTATTCAAGCACAAACCAATGAACAATTGGAGAAATACGCTCGTGAAAATATTAAACGTCACCTTAAAAAAGGTGGACTTAATCAGATGTTAAAGCGACGACATTCACTTAAGGGAATGTTAATATGGACCAAGTTTTCAATCAAACAGCCAATGATTGCGACCTTAATGAACGACAATGACCTTAAACAAGAGGCAATCAATTGTTTTAAGTTAATTCAACAGTATTGTGGGGACAGAGGAAAAGGAAATACCAAAAATGTTGGTACTAAGACAAATACTCTAGTTCGTAGAGAGGAAGTAGCTAAAGAATTGATCACTAAAGGTGTGGTTAGAGGACTTTTACTTCGTGATGAGATTTTTGTACAACTTTGCCGTCAAACAACTGAGAATCCATTAGATGAAAGTTTACAATTAGGCCTTGAGTTGATTGCTCTTTGTCTCTACTACTTTGGCCCATCACAAAAGTTTGCACCTTACCTGAGCTCCTTTTTAAGTAGCCATAAAAGTGAATTTGCACGGAAAATTTGTCTCAAAAAGTTAGACAATAAGATGGAATCACTGGGTGGATCAAATAGCTCCGTTGGTGCCCATTGTCGTAAACCAGCCTCCGTTCAAGAGATTTCCATGGTAATCCAGTCAATTAAACGAGGTTACCTGGGCATGTTTGGTGAATCTTTAAATAATTTAATGACACTTCAAGGTAACTATCTACCTAAGAGAAAGTTACCTTGGATTCAAGTGACTTTAAGTGAAACTATTTTACGGTAAGTTCAACATTCTTTCAATTAACATTGCCCTGTTTTCATTATGACTTAATATGCGTATCAGCAGCTACTTGTTGATTTATATTTTGTTATGCAATTATTTTTGTGTAGGTTTGTTTAACTTTTGTGTGTAATTTCATCTCTCTCTCTCTCTCTCTCTCTCTCTCTCTCTCTCTCTCTCTCTCAATTCAATCTTGTGTAGTTTGGGTGGAGCGGAACAAGAAGGAATTTTTCGTATTGCTGGAGATGTTGAGGAAACAACTATGCTCAAATTGTATATCGATTGCCTTCAACCAGATAAAGAGCTGGAAACTGATTTTATCGTTTTGTGCAACAAATGGAAAGGTATTCTTTGCCATGAAGGTGATGTTAACCTGGATGTCAATGTATTTGCCTGTTTACTTAAACAATGGTTTCGAGAGCTTCGAGAACCTGTAATACCTTATAGCTTTTATCAGGAAGCTTTACATACCTGTGAATCGCCTTCAAATGCGATATACATGGTTGAGAAAAAGTTACCCGCCATCAATAAACTGGTCATTGGTTATCTAATTCGTTTCTTACAAGTTTTCAGCGCCAAACAGAATGTTGATTTTACTAAAATGGATGAGAACAATTTATCAATGGTTTGGGCACCAAATATACTTAGAGCTCCTCCAAACAGTAACACAATGCCAACATCTAATTCACCTAATGCAACTTTAATCTTTGAGAATACAAGGAAGGAGATGACTTTCATCAGAACTTTGATTCAGTATTTGGATACAAGTTACATTCAAGGTGTAATCTAGTCACAAGTCGATACGAATGATGAGAAATCAACCTTCAATTTCATCAAATTACATGAAATCTTTTTTTCTACTACATTAAACAAGGAATAATTTGTGAATGTACTTGTGTGTGTGTTTCTCTCTCCTACTAATTGCATGATATTGAATTGATTTTCTTTCACCGAATGAAAATTCATGAAAATGATTTTGCTTCTCTCTCCAACAACTAAACAACTAAACAAATGAACAATTTACTTGTTAAACATTCGGGAAAAAAGTAAAAGCTCAACAATGATGATTATCAAACAAGATTACCTGAAGATGGTGTTGAAAATCAATAAGGAAATGTCACGAAAAAATGATCTTCATCATATCTAATCAACTCTCATCTTTTATCATCATTGGTCAATCGTCTCTTGATACACATACACACTAATACATTGGTCTAAATGTTTAAAAAACGCATGATTTATACAATCAATTAACTAATTTTTTTCTCTCTCTATTCTTAATCATCTGGGTATTTGGAGATTATTTTGAAGGAGCCAATTTACACTCTAGATCTTTTTCATCGTCATCATCATCATCATCATCAATTGTCAACAATTTATCATCAACATTCTCATTCTCATTCTCATCATTTGAATTTGCATTTTGAAAAACAATCACAGAAAATCATGTTAATCAAACCAATTCTGGGTTCATGATTATCTCTCCTTTTCTCATTAATCCATTTCTATCGTTCTCATGATAACATGATTACTCTGTGATTAATTCACTGATTGTATTTAATTAAGTTTTGTTTCAAGTAAACAAAAATAATAAATCTCCAAGCAGATTAATTTAAAAAATTTATAAATATGAATATAAATAAAATATATATTAATAGTATTGCTGCTAATCATTTGTCATCATTTTGATTACGATTTAAATTGTACTGTGAGAAACTAAATTAATGGATCTCACCATTATTGCGATAATCATAGAATACGTTAATTAGCTGATGAACCGTTAGAATTAGTTAATTTAACTTTATGCCTTTTGGTGCCAAGACTTAATTGTAGTTTGTCATAAATTGTTGAATATTAATTAAGGTTAACAATTTGATTTTTCATCATTTTTAATGACAAACTAAGAAAAGTTTTCATTAAATTGTTTCATGTTTAAAATTAATTGTAATTTAACTACCACTTGATGATCAAAATCAAATAATTAATTGGTGTGTTTACTGATTAAATTGTATCTTTGATTGTTTTGATAATCAAGAAACTTTAACTTGTATATTTGTTAATTGATTGTAATCAAAACATTGAGTTAATTGTTGAAGATATTTTTACAATTAGTTAATAGCTTTTCAAAATTGTTTGATAATTAAAATTGTAGTTTCTTTTCACATAAAAACTTATATTGTAGTTTAATTATTCACAGTAATTAAATAATCAGCAATTAATGTTTATCAAATGTGATGCAATGGTTATCATTCAATTAGTTGAAATAATTCATTGTTTCAACTAATTAACAATCATGATTGTTTAATATTGTGTAGATTTGTTGATTAATCATTAATTTCGAGCCTAACAATCAATCATCGCAATAAATAATCAATTTAATTGCAAATTCAAGATCATTATCCTTATCAACTGCTTAGTTTCTTAGATTAATTAATTAATTAATTTCTTACAATTAGCTAACAAAAGTGCCATCTAATGATTAATTTAACAATTAGCTTTCAATAGTTACTAATACATTTATAATTGTAGAGTAACTTTGAATTACACAGTTAATTGTTATCTTAAGATTAAGGATAATTATCACTTGTAATCATAATTAACTGAGTTTTATATTAAAAGTACATAAGTGATCAAACTAATTGTTGATCTTGGGAATTCCCTTGAAGATTCAGAATTAGATTACCATTGAATTTCAATGCTGATTAACTATTCACATTTTAATTGTTTCCATGATTAATTATGAACCTTCAACAGAATTGGAATCAATTTTAACAACTTTTCGTTTTCCATTCATAACAAAATTAACTATTTCCTAAGATCTATGATCAACAATCAACTACTAGATTGTTATCATCTACTAAAAACGTCAGCTAAACAATCAATTAAATCAATTGACTATTTAAATGTGATTTAAGTGTAAATCACTTTTTTCACTTTAATTACAATTAATAAGTTAGATTAGTGTCATAAGATCAATGATTCTTGATTAATTTTCTTTTTCTTTTTTCTCATGTGATTAGCTCTTAATCGTTGATGATAAACAATTTATTTCATTTTCCCCAAGACTTTGATATTAAGTTAATTAGTTATTACCAATCAATTAATTTGAAAAGCAGAATGAAAAAAAAACCTTCACCTGATCATTTGAATAACTGTGATTGATTTTTTTTCCTTAATTATCAGCAATTAATTTTCATTGAAATCAATAGTTTAAACATGATTCAGTTTCTTATTTATAAATTGGTTTCTAACGATTAACCATCGTTGAGATAATTATTATTATTGACACAAGATTTTAAGTCTCTTGATATGATTTGACCTAAATTCTGGTCAAAAACAAGCAATATCGTTACAATTGACAATTAATCATTGATTAGCTTATACTTTAAGTAACAATTAGTACTCATAATTGAGTAAATAAATTATTTAAGATAATTAAGTCTGCTTGGAAGTTATCATAATTCACTTATAACATTTTAATCGTCGTCACATTAATTTTGATTGTATTACAAGAAGTGATTAACTTTTGATAACATTAAATTGAATGATCAATAATCACGGAATACAATTACTATCATATTAAATTGTTGTTGTTGTTGTTGTTGGAACAATTAAATTAAGATAAACTCTTAGAGTTTAGACTTAACCATTATGTCTTTACTTTTGATGTTAATTAAATTTGATTGCTCTTATCGTTGATCAAATTTTTGACCATTCCTTCAATAATTGTCTCCAAATTTCTGGGATTAACTGTCAAGGGTGTTATTGATTGTGGAGGTGGGATGTTAATTGACTCCTGGGAGGGTGTAAGTCCAGCCTTAAAGTAATGACAAACGGTATAAGTGCCCGACTTGTTTGGGTCACTCACTGATCGGGATGAGTAAACTTGACCACATCCCAATTGTGTTGTCTCTTTCCAAACAATTTGAGCAAAATTTTGATTCCTTGGTGTAATTTTGGGCTCACTGTAATTGTAATTGGTCAGTTGTTGGTAATACCAGCCCCGAATAACGGTTGTTGCATTGGTCAACGTTTCATTAGGTTGGAACCAAACATTTTCACCGACATGCAATGAATCACTAATGGGATAAGCATCTTGATCCCAATAGGAGATTAAAATTGCTCTGTGACGAGCATAACTTTCCAGCTAATCAGTGGTAACAATTAATCAACAATTAGAGAAAAAGGAAACAACAATTAACCCTAATAATAGTCAACAGATAAGAATATAAAATTAATTTCAAATAATTACCACAGAGCTATGAACCAATGGATCTAAATTATGATAATCACGAATCACTTGATGGTAAATAATTAAATCCTTAGTTAATTGTTCACTTGTTGTATCGGTGAATAGTTTATGTTGTCGAAATGCTTTAACTGAATAATCTGAATCAAAGAATCTACAATCAATGATTGGTACAATGATCCATATTAAACACAATGAAATTAACACTTTCATTTCGATGACAATTTACAAATTGTTGTCGCAAAACTGTTGTTGATTGTTGATTAATTCTTTATGTATTAATAGAAAACTTTTGGTTCACTTTTCTCGTAATCAATGATAATTGGGAGTAAATGATGTAAATTGATTAACTTGATTGTTGTGATGATTGATGTTTTTAGATGAATATAATAATCAAATGATTACTGTTGAGATTTAGATTAGTTAATCTTGAACTTTTTTTGTAACTTATTAGTTTAAATTGTTGATTATGTTTCCAATTAGGGATTTGAGTTTATAATGTGAATTTAAAACTAATAATATAAATCTAGTTGATTGTTATTGAGAAAAATTTAATTGTATTTGTTTGTGTGTTGAGAAAATTATATTTCATGATTTGTTGATTGTTAATATGTATCAATATTTAATGGAAACTGAGACTTAATTAAGTTAATATTATTACATCTCAACTTAATCACAATTCATTTGTTATCAAATCAAGTATTTACTATTTCGTCTAATTGCTAATCATTATAATCATGGTAAATATTATCAACCAGTCATAAGGAGTTAATTAGTAAATTGTTAAGATTAAAAGAAGTACCTTAACTATGATGACATGATTCGATATCATTAATTGTCAATTCTTATCAATCATTTTTTTTCATTACAATTAACGAGATTCTCAAAATTGATTAATGGTCAAGTTTACTTAAAAAAGATAATTAATTAATGGTAATTAAATAATCGAAATTTTCTCAATAAACTTGATACGTTTCTTGGTTAATCTAAATCATTTTTTTTCTTCCTCGTCATGAGAATCTCATGTAATATTTCAATATCCATTGAAACATCCATCAATTGCTTGGTTATGATTAACTGACTTAGAAAGTGAAAGTCTTTGACTGTATTTCATTTATCATAAAGTTCAGTATGAATCATTTGACTAATTAGAATAATTTTCAAAATTCGCGCTTATCTTTGGTTCGAATTTCCCTCTACAATCACTGAAGGTGGAGCCAGTGAAGAAAATGTGTTTTCTTCAAGATTTGAGTTTCTTTTCAAATTGTTTTATTTTTTTGTATTTAAAGAGTAAATTATTTTTGGTAATTAGTTAATTAGTTTATAATTGATCAGCAATGATGATGGACATGAATATTGACGAAGTTAAAAATAATGCAAAAAGTCAAAGAATCTCAGCTCATAGTCATGTTAAAGGTCTTGGTTTGAATGAACAAGGAATCGCTGAGCCCATTCACCAAGGTTTAGTTGGACAAACTGGTGCTCGTGAGGTAATTAATCATCAAATTAATTGTCTATTGTTGAATTAATGTTTTCCCTTCTATCATTTAGAATTCAAATAAGTTTACTCTTTAATTTCTGGTGTTTGTTTATTCTAAAAGGTTAGATGATTTATCTCTGAGATTGTTTCTTTCTTTCTTTTTCTGTTGATAGGCTGCCGGTATTATCGTTGATTTGATTAAGATGAAGAAAATGTCTGGTCGAGCAATGTTATTTGCTGGTCCTCCTGGAACGGGTAAAACTGCTATAGCATTGGCAATTTCTCAAGAATTAGGGACGAAAGTTCCTTTCTGTCCAATGGTCGGTTCCGAAGTTTACTCATCTGAGGTGAAAAAGACTGAAGTTTTGATGGAAAATTTTCGACGAGCTATCGGTTTAAGAGTGAAAGAGGTTAAAGAAGTATTTGAAGGTGAAGTTCTAGAAATTACACCAGCTGAAACTGATAATCCACTTGGTGGCTATGGGAAGACCATTAGTCATGTAATTATCGGTCTAAAAACAGCCAAAGGAACCAAGCAACTGAAACTTGATCCAACCATTTATGAAAGTTTACAAAGAGAACGTGTTGAGGTTGGAGATGTTATTTATATCGAAGCAAACAGTGGATCTGTTAAAAGACAAGGAAGATGTGATTCTTATGCTACTGAGTATGATTTAGAAGCTGAAGAATATGTACCGTTACCTAAAGGAGATGTTCACAAGAAAAAAGAGGTTGTCCAAGATGTTACTCTTCATGATCTGGACTCAGCCAACGCTCGTCCCCAGGGAGGTCAAGATATTCTTTCAATGATGAGTCAACTTTTAAAACAAAGGAAAACTGAGATTACCGATAAACTGAGAATGGAAATCAACAAAGTAGTAAATAACTATATCGATCAAGGTATTGCCGAATTGGTCCCCGGAGTCTTGTTCATTGATGAAGTTCATATGTTGGACATTGAGTGTTTCACTTATCTTCATCGAGCTTTGGAATCAACTATTGCACCTATTGTTATATTTGCCACTAATCGAGGAAAGTGTGTTGTTAGGTAAGTAAATTAACAATATAATCCAATCAATTAGAGAGTAATTGATGACAACTTTTCTTCCAATTCTAACAGAGGTACCGATGACATAATTTCTCCTCATGGTATTCCTATTGATCTCCTAGACCGAATTATGATTATTAAAACAGTTCCATATACTCGAGAAGAAATTAAGGAGGTAAGTTTTTTTTCTTCTACAATTTAAATCAAATTATAATTCCTAATCTTTATCATCTTTTTTCAACTTTCTAACAGATTGTTAGAATCCGAGCAGCAACAGAAAGAGTGTTAATCGAGGAAGATGCATTATTACCCGAGAAAAAAACTCGTGAATGGTTTTTCCAGATCGCCGATGCACTTACCTTTCTACACAATAATCTGGGAATCGCTCATCGAGACATGAAAGTGGAAAACATCTTGTTCAATACCGAAATGGAATGTAAATTGACCGATTTTGGTTTTGCTCGAGTTTGTTTTGACCTTTCAACTGGTCTTCTTCGTCTAAGTGAAACATTCTGTGGTACCGAACCTTATTATGCACCCGAAATCATTGAACGTGAACCTTATAACCCATTCTTGGCCGATGTTTGGGCCACGGGTGTCGTTCTATTCGCCATGTTGAACAACCGATTTCCATATCATTATCAAGATCTAAAGGTCATGTTGAAACAACAATATGGTCACTCGTACAAATGGAGAGCCGGTGTTGAAGAAGCGACTTCCAAGGATTGTAAAGATTTACTCTGGAAAATGTTGGAGGGCGATACGAAGAAACGATTAAACATGAACGAAGTCATGGACCATCCGTGGCTCAAGAATTACTCCGCAAAGAGAGGCGATTATAATTGATTTAATTCTATTCTAATCAATTTAAAACGACAATCAATCCAACATCAATCCTGAGAGAGAGAGATGGAAATTCACTAAGGTGAACAAAAAATTCACCAAAAGAATCAAATTGTACGTTAGTCTGATTCTTTGATGGATTCAACAACTATCATGAAATGAACTTTGTCTCTTTTCATACTCTCTCTCTCTCTCTTCCCTTTACTATTTCATTCATCATTATTATCATTTCCTTTTAAAATTATTCTGAAAAAATAAATGTATATTTTATTGTGAGAAGAATTGATCAAAATAAAAAACAATCGAATCGAATAAAAAATCAAACATTTTACTCTTAAATCGATGTATTTTTCTTGATTCGTTGTTCATCATTGGTAATGCTGATTAAATGTTGCATATAATTTTTTAAATTAACCATGGCAGAGGAATTGATTTGGTTGTAATTAGTTAATTCATTTTTAACTCGATCCATCCAAGAGACAATCTTTTTAAATGATGATAAATCAACTGAACAAGCTTCAGCATAGGAAAGTGAACCAATGAAAGATATATCAGCAATCGTTAAATTGTTATTAGCGAGATAATTGTTTTCTTCTAGATGATTTCAATCAATTTCATTGAATCCATGAATTTTTCTTTCCCTGTAACATCGGGTTTACTACCTGAGAAAACGGGTCTCTGTAAAATTAAACAATTGAATCGGTAATTAGTTGCCTGTCAAGTGAAAGTATCAATTGAATTATTTACCATGAATCCACTTAGTAAATTGTAAGTTCCCATCTCTTGGTATAACCATTGGTCAATTTTTGCTCGTTTTTCAACATCCTTAGGATACAGCTGATTATCAGGTGAATATTTGTCCACTATGTATTTGATTATAGCTCGACTAATGTAAATAATTAGTGGTCAAGATCAATCAAATACAATAAATTGCAACTCACCTTTCCCATAAAATAAGATCACCATCAACCAGAGTTGGTATTAAATGAAAGATTAAGCTTAATGTAAATAATTAGTGGTCAAGATCAATCAAATACAATAAATTGCAACTCACCTTTCCCATAAAATAAGATCACCATCAACCAGAGTTGGTATTAAATGAAAGGGATTAAGCTACAATTTATTGTTAATTGGACACAAATGATTGAAACAAAAGTAGAAAAATAATCAATCAATCACGTAACAATCAAGGTAAATATCAAGTTAGATATGATAACAAGGAACAATCAATAATCTCAAACGTTAACGGGTCTTGTTACCTTAAGAAAACTTGGTTCCAAATGTTGTCCTTTAGATAAATCAACGTTGATTAAATTAACTCTAACGCCGAGATAATCGATTACCATTAAAACTGAACGACAGGGCGGACTTTCAGCCATAGAATATAAATCCATATTGAAATGAGAACTCACTAATTACAATTAGTAATAAAAACGACAAACTCTCAATTTAAAAGTAAACAATGTTAATAAAAATAAAAAATTTCGTTCAATGGATTAACCTCAAGGTGGCGCAATTTAAGATAAATTGTTTCAAAGTTGTTTCAATCATTCCAAATAATGGAAACGAAAAAGTATAACAATTAGTTGATTACAACAACTCAGTCAACACCCTTGGCTCATTCTAATCAGTGTGAGTACAATTAAGGTTAGCATTCAGTTTGTGAGCTCGTAAATTGGTTCCTATTTAGTTTTCAAAGACAATCGAAATCGAAAATATCGAAATTGAGCTTTGGATGGAATTGAATTTTAGCTTAGATAATAATTCGTTCAACTATTCTTATCGTTATTCGTTTTTATCTTTCCATGAACGATAAGTAATTAAATATCAAATTCGAACGCGATTTACTCGAAAACCTTTTGATCAAGTGAGAAAAAAGCGAGCGAAAAACGCAAAGTATATTTCTCAATTTGTTCATCACTAAATTAGATCGGCTTCTCAGTCTAAACCCAATCAAGTCAACTACTTTCACTTTACAAAGTAATTAATTAATAATAAATAATTTTTAATGGTGGAAGGCAATGATTGAACGAAAGTATAACCAGGATTGGAAAATTTGGAGAAAAAATTAGACCAATAATATAATTTTCCATTGGAAATATTGATGTCGATTAGCTGGTTCGTCGAAAGTTGTGAATTTTATTTTTTTCATATAATATAAGGTGATACAATTTTGTATTGTTTCAACTAATTTTCGACCATAAATCATCAATAGAAAATTTTAATTTTTTCCCAATACTAAGATTGTTTAAATTTATCACATAGAAAGTTAATTCTTGGGTCACTAACCTGTAAAGATTGAATGAGAATAATAAACAATTAGGTAATAGTTAAATTTACGACAAAAAAAAAATTAATACTAACCCGTGTTGTGGGCCACCATCATTGGCGATCTTAAGACGAGTTAATTGTGATCTTAAGACTTCTTTGAATAGTTCATGTAATCTAATGAAAAAATTGGATAAATCACCGATTGGAATGACATCTTGAATGTTTTCATGAAGTCTCATTAAATGTTGAGAAATTGTTTGAAAAGGTTGCGAGGGAACCGGCGGTTTAGCCTCCCATTTGGATAGATGGAAGATCATAAAATCTTTGACCAGAGAAATGACCTTTTCGGGTATTTTTTGTACATGTTCAGTGTACCCTCGTTCAATATCCTCAAAGCTTTTGATTGTTGAACGATTTTTGGTTGGCATTAAATCACAGAAATGAGATGAAAGGTAAGGCAACAATGAGATTACCAATTGAAGACAACGTTGAGAGAGAAACAGATTACGAACATTGATACTTTTCAATCCAGCTTCATTAGCTGCACCTCCTTCCAAGACTAGATGACAAGTACGTGTATTAAAGTGGCTAATTAAATCCAATAAACGTGCCAATAGTTCACTGGTAAGTGAAGGTATTTCATTACAACATTGACAATATTCTAGAATCATGGAGATCAGAGTTTTCATCGAGCTCACGACAACATAATTTTCATCATTAAGAGTAACGTAACTTTTAGATGCTGATGATGATGTTGTTGTTGTTGTTGTTTTGACTGATGATGTGGTCGATTTTGTTGATGAAACTGATGATTGTGATGAAGATGATGGTAATTGATTAGATTCTGATGTTGATTCGTCTTTTGTCTCTGTCTTCCTTGGATTACGAGAACCAAGTCTTTCTTCACTAAATTGATTAATCATCTCTTGTAATTCAACTGGAATTGGATCTAATGATTTCCATTGTTCAACTGTTAATACCGAATTTAATTTTCGTTTCCTTTCATCATGAAATCGGGTCGTAAATCGGAAAGCTTGATTTTTGAGAACAGATTCCAAAATGTCACTTCGTCTACCACATCGAGTCTCACATTCACTGGTAAATTTATCTATCGATTTGGATAATTCAAGAAATTCAGCTGAAGTCAATTTATCCAATGATCCATCATTTGCTTTATAGCGAATCAAATCTTTGGATGCAAGATGAGCATCATCACAAATTGCCACCAATGATTCCTTAATTGTTATACTTAATTTGTTGTAATCTTTATCTGCTAATATGTGATTAGATTGTTCTTGATTTTTACTCGTATCCTCGTTGCGTTTTTCAGAAGCTTCTTGGACAACACGTAACATTAATACTTGAATCAATTCCATGCGATCAAGTAACAAATTAAGATTTACGAAAACAATGGACAATAATTTAAGCCATTTCGATGGATCAATTGATCGTAGTCTCTCAAATAAGCTCATCTCCTCTTTACCATCAATGTCAATATCATCTTCTTGGGATAACATTTCAATGACCGTTTGCTTGACGAAAGCTTTAATGGCCATTCGAGCCTCTTTGTTAAAATCATCGATAAAACTGAAACAATGATTTTTTAACATTCCCATGACAAGAGCTTCCAATCTGTCTGAACCTGGGATTTGATTCTTTTTGTTTATAGTTAAATTATCCATGGAAATGGGTCCAATCGAAGGGTCAACTGGTTGATTACAAAAGGCGTCGATAAACTTGATGAATTCTTCTTTCATCATTTTAGAGATAATCTCACGTATCTCATTAAGCTGAGATTCGAGGTGACGAAAACAATGGAGACCCAATAGCTCTTGAAGGAAAACATCCTGAGTGGTTGAGATGAGATCAAGTGAACCAGCAAAATCAGAATTGGAAAGTAATAATTGTATGGTAGGTTGAGTTTGATTAATTGTTGACATTAATTGCATCTTGTCCAGAACTTTAAGAGCATTTTGACGAGCCCAGTGTAATCTAATATTTTCTAGATTGGGTTTGACAAAAGTAGCTTCCAATTGTTGACATTTACCACGTAGCAAAGTTACTTGTTTGATTGTTTTAGATAAATTTTCCATGACTGAATCAATTGCATTCATGATGTGAAAAAATTCTCGAAATCTGAGTGATATTTGATGGGATAAATTTTCTTCAACAACATCCAAATAATCAGTTAAATTACGTGATATTTGTTTAATTGACTCTTTAAATGAATCTGGTGATGAGGACAAATTATTACCAGTTAAACAGTTGACACTTTTAGAATCAGATAGAAGAGAGGTAAATGTATTCACATTTTCCAGGCTAAAATCTGAACGTAAGAAAAGTCGAGGCACAATATCATGAATATCCTTTGATTTGGAAGAAGCACCAAAATCTGTTAAATTATCGGATGAAATTGATGATCGCTTAATGGCAGCTAATTTCTCTTCACGCCGGTGAACACGTTTACGGTAAGTCTCAATGAGAGCAAGATCATTAGGTGTTGGCGGTGGATAGAGAGGTACAATCGGTGGGCTTTCAATGAATTTTGCACCCCAGTCCTTTGTCAATATGTCAGCTCGAGGTAGTGACGGATCGTTTAATACTGAGGCCAAATTTTGAGAACTAGAATAGATTGACCATTTTTCCGAGGGTTCAGCATCTAAAACCAAATCGGGTCTTCTCTCCATTTCAAGGAATCGTTACATATAAAACTCTATCAAAAGTAGAATAAAATAAATTACCAATAAAACACACAGAAGAGAAGAAGGAAAAACAAAACAAAACGATCAACCAATAGATCAATCGAAATAATAAAAGAAAACAAATTAATAAGAAAAAAAAAATTCTCATCAGATGAGAAGAGAAAAAATTGTTTACATCAAATTCCAAAAAAAAAGTAACTCCATCTATCGAATAGAAATTAAACTAAAAAGAGAAAAACTCGAAGAGAAATTCAATTATTCTGTATTGGTTAGGAAATCATGGAATATCTATTGATTGTATCGAGGAAAAAAATTATTATTGTTCACCGACTGTTGAATTACAATACAGTCGTTTAGCCTCTCGAACTGTTCAATCTTGTGTACCCTTAGTACCAACCAGAGTCTTCAAGAACTTTTTTATTATTGATAAAGATAAAAGTTGTTTAATCGTCATGAGTATTATAATAGAAATACATATTTGCATAGTTTAATCATAGAAATTAAATTAAATTGGATTTATACAATTGATAATGTTTCGTGATTAATATTACATCAATTGTTGGAATCAACAATAAACTAGTGAACGATAGATGTTAATTTAACAAAGGTTTACTAATTTTCGAGTAGCAAAAGTTGATATAATACAAAGTTTTTAGATGGCAAAGAAAGTTGATTGTATAAAAAGTGATGATAATCCATAATAGATTAGGATTAGATTTAATTGATTGTGATCCATTAAATAGTAATCGTGAGCTTTTACCAGAATCAGTAAATAATGACAATAAAATATCATTTGAATGAACGTGAATTGAATGAAATGATAGACAACGTAATCTCATTGAACCATCGACAGTCTAAATAATAACAATAATAGAGAGAAAATAATTAACCATTAGAAAAGGTAATTAATTAGTTAAACAAACAAAATTAAAGTGTAATTGATTAGATGTTTACCTGGAAAAGCTTTTTGGTGATTTTAAATGATAAACTTGCTGATGGCGGATTCATTTCGGTGAAAGAAGCAAAATAATCATAAATTGTGGATGTAAATTGATAACCAGGTTGATCAACATCCGATTGTATTATTGCAGGTTGAATATTGTAAACAAAAGGCTATGTTATAAACACGAGGAAGAAAAAACAATTAAGCTTATTAAAGGATTAATTAGCTAGAGATTTGATTAAGGTGTGAAAAGTGAGTAAACAAACAAACAAACAAACAAAAAGTAATACAAATTGTTCCTAAGACGAATCAAGATTAATAATGGATTAATTGACTAATTAACTTTACCTCTTTACCATTGATAAACCATTGAATAAATACTGAAGGCTGGGATTTAGGTCCAGTACAATTAACAGTTAAATAATCACCGACTCTTGGTTTACCATGTAATCCGTGAATTAAGGGTAACCATGATTCAACTGGATTCAAAGTTGTTCCTGGTGATGATGATAATTGATCAGGGGAAGGATAAGATTCACTGATTTTACTTGAGTAGCCAGTTTCATCAACAATTAATTCCTCATAGGAATAACCAGAAATTTGAGATTGTAATGCTGAGCAACGTAAATCAATTTGACCATTTGTTAATCCTTTTTCACTAGTTAATTGAAAGCTAACGTTAATCCAGGATATCGCTAAACCATCAGGATTTAGATAATGAACAGTCCAATTGTAATTAAGATTTCTCTCTGATTGTAGAATCTAAATTTATATATATTGAATGAAACACCAATTAAAATCATAACCATAAATCTAAACCATGTTATCTTTTAAAAGTAAACACGAGTCCAATTTACAACAATTAGAAGGGTATTAAGTTGATTTAATTCACAACAACATTAAATTGAATTCAAGTCACGGTTAAAATTACTTATATATTAATACATGTACCTGAATTAAGTATTATAATAAGTCGAAGATCAATTAACTTAAATGATTATCGAGTAATTAACCAAAGTTGTACAAAAAGATTACCTTTCAATCATAAATATTAGGATGAATATCCAACATATACACTTACCTGATTTACCATTCAGTTCATTTTCTCATGAATAACGATAAGTGTATTCACATAGACCATTAACATTGAGAAGAAGACAATTAATGTTTATAATAATAATAGTAAGATGATGATGATGACAAAGTTTACTGAGCTAATTATGTTTTGTTACATCTTCCTCTATGTAAATTAACCAGAAGAAGAGTAAATTGTTCATTTGCTAATTCTAACAATTCCCTTATTTCTGACTCTCTCTCTCTCTTCATCTGTCACATTATGTTATTCCCATTCCCATAAAATAAGCTAATAATAATGCTTTAGGCAAATAAATATTCAATATGTGTACATATCTTTCATCTTGATCGCATCATCACCATCATCGTCAATAACATAACAATAATCTTCAATATATCCCCTCATCATCTTCTTACGATAATAATGAGATTAACATGTTCCTCTCTTAATACGAATATTGCATCAAATGGTAATTTGCTTTCTCTTTCACTCTATTATTATTATATTAATCATTTAGAAAACGATAATATCATCTTCCTAAATAGTCAAATAGAAGATGGAATTTTTTTTTCTCTCATTCTCCTCTACATGATATGGAAATAAAAAATGAAGAAACTTTTCCATGTATTTTAATAATAACCTTTTAATTGTGAATCATTACCCGGGAAAATCAACGATTGATTAGGATAGACAATTGTGATGTTTAAATTGTCACGAGAAACCAATCGATATAAAATAGTAAATAAAAACAGATCAACTTACCCGATGTCCGTTAATGAACAAAGCTAATATAGTCGGAGGCTTAGATGGACCAGAAAGACAACTAATGTTAACGAGTTCACCAATTTGGTAAGTATCTTTGGTTCCGATAATTTTCAGTTTAGACTGAGGTAACACTGAACAATTAAAAGAAAAAGAAAAACAGGAAACAATGATTAGTTAATTGTTGGCAGAAAAAAAAGGTAAAGAAAACGATAGGGAAACGATAGAATGGTAGGGAAAAAATGAAAAGAGTTCGAAGAGAAATAGAATTGCCATTAATTGATTCTAATTCTCAGTAGAAGTTAAATTAGTTTTCTTTTTCATAATTTTATTTTATCAATTTACCGTAAATTCTAAGATCTTTTTCAGCTTTAACACTTTTAAATGAACCATTTGAATCTTCCGTTGAAACCTCACAACCATAAGTTCCTTCACCATCTAAATCAATTGAAGAAAGGTAAACATGGCTTCCATTGGATTGATTAATCTGTTAACCATCACAATAAAAAAAAAGAGACTCATGGTAAGTAATAATTTAATTTGTCTATTTATATGATTACCACTGGTCATGTAGTCATTAAATATGTATTACAATCATGAAACTTAATCAAATTGTATGTTTGTCTGTAATGTTAACTGTTATTAATTATTACCAATGGTCAAGAGGTTGAGAAAGTTACATAGAGAAAAGTGAATATTGAAAAATGAGTTGAAAAGAAAAGGCTAAAACAAAAGATACAATTGATTGTGATTTTAATTGTAACTGACTTTATATTAATTAATATTATGTTTATCTATTTTTATATATTTCTAATTGATAAATGATATGGTTTTGTTTTTAACAGAGGAAAATAGCACTTACATCAACATGGATTCCTTGTTGGGGAAAATATTTCTTCATTGGATTTGCCTCTTTTGGATTATTATTATTATTATTATTGTGGTTTATATTGGATATTGATGGTGATAAATCCTCATGGGCATTGAAATTATCATCCAAATTATTGTTTTCATCAATAATTGAGTAACGGTAAAATTCAAGATTATTTTTATACCATTTAACGGAATACAGTGTCTCCAGTGTATTCAAATGGTAGTTACACTGTAACCATAAGGAGGAACCATTAAGACAAGGGCCGGGAACATCCATCCGACTTAATTCAAGACAATTAACTGTAATCATTAAGGAATCGAACAAAAAAAGACACAATAATAAAAACAATGGACAATGATATCAAATATATTATATTATATGTTATTTTTTGGCTCAATTGACTGGGAGGCAAAAAAGTTTATCCACCGTAACATCATTAATATCCCAGAATAATTAATAATAATTTACACTTGCAACTGGATCATCAATAAATATCAAAGGATTAACCAGCTGATATAATTATGACTTTGAAAGTAATTGATAATAATCAGGGGAATGGCTAAAGGTTGAATATTGTTCAATGTGTTTATTTAGGCCTTTAACCATTTGGAAAGTCAATTTGTTGATAAATTACGATCATTATGATGGTGATAATAGATTTTAGTCAAACAGCAAACAAAACAAGAAAAAAACTAACGGAAGGACGTGATAAATTGCAATTGTTGTCAATCACAATTAACCCTGAGGCTATGAAATTCAATGATATTCTCCTCCTCCTCCTCTTGTTTCTGTTCCTGAGTCCATATCATGAAAAATAATTATCGTTCCCATTGAACAAACTTCAATCTACTCTCATCAATGTTTACGTCAGCTAAATCTAATTGTTGATTAAACTTACCTTTTTAAACTAATCATCTGATTTAAAGAAAAGGTTACAAAATATATTCGATTGTTAATTATTCTAATTGCAACTGGTTGATTTGCATCAAGTGATTAGTTTTGTTGCCAAAGTGTTTTAAAAAAAAGTTTCATCAACCAGAATCGCTGAATGAGTTGATAATTTTCATTGATTTAATGTCAAACTAGTTAATCACAATTACTTGGCGTAAATTTACTTTAGTTAATCACAGTTAATCATCTCAAGTTGATGAGTGAAACTTTTTTTCGTTTCTTTGGAAAGGGATGAACAATGTAAATGAATCAACTAATAGCAATCTAATTTAATTGATTGAGTTGATTTATTTGAGGCTAACGAGATTCACCTTCAATAGTAAATTCTGCCTTTGAAATGTTTACCTAATTCACTTGAATGGACTTGATTCAATCTCAGTTAATTTATTTTCATCCTCATCATCATCATCATCCTCATCCTTTTTTTTGTGAGTGAATGTATTCAAATTGTTATAACCATTGAAATAATGATAATACATTTCCATCTATTAGTTAATCCAATTTGTAGCAATTTTCAGTCTATTGATCAATAGCTAAATTGTTGTTCAACAATCAAAACATGTAAATCAAATTACTCTCTCATATATATGATTACAAACATCATGTTGCTCAATGGTTATCGTTAACTGTTATTATCATTATCTTGATACTTTTATTCATTTCATGTTGTTACAACAATTACAATTAAATTGTTACCATTTCCGATAATCACAAATTAATTTACTAGAAAGTTTCGATATTGCAATCAGAGTGTTTCTCATAATGATCTATGTTTGTTACTGTTGTTAATCAAATTAAAATTGATTCAACTCAATTAAAAGTTTATCAATCAATACATATATTACTTACCGATAAGAGGTAATAACAATAAGATTGGTAAGAAAATGTTAAATGGATGATAATTAGCACATAACAGTGACATTTACGTTTAAATCATTGATAATTAAAAGTTAACTACACAATTGATTAATTAAGGGAAATTTAGAGTTGAAAATCAAAAGTGATTCCATTGATGAAACATAATACAAATTGACAATGAGAGGAAAATCAATCAACAGGAAAATGATGAAAAGTTTTTCAAAAAAATAAGGTGATGATAATAATCAGGGATGGAGATGATGATGATGATGATGATGAAGATTAAGTCGATGTCAATGATGTTAAACAGATGATTGAATCAATAGAAACTTAGAAGATTTCATAGATTTACCTGAGATGTAAAAGTTACCGTTATTATCAAATGAACTGTTTCAAGAATCTTTATCAAGTGAACCTTTTTTTTCCCATTTACAGGATAGACTTTGGTGGGAGTTGGAGGTGGGAAAAGGGAAGTAGGGAGGGAGAAAATCCTCTTGAGTTGAGTGAGCGAAACATAGGAGGAAGAAAAGGAGAAAATGATGAAGATAAACCTTGGAAGATACAAGCAAAATACTCTCTCTCTCTCTCTCTCTCTCTCTCTCTCTCTCTCTCTAGTGAGTGAAGGTGTTATATCGGAAAAGATATTGATCAATACTAGAAGATGAAGATGAGAGGAAGAGAAAAAAATAGAAACATGTAAAGAGGAAGAAGACCAAAGCTTTCAGGGGATAACATTGGGAGATAATATTCTTGGTCATCTCTCTCCCTTCTGATCATGATGATAATCATCATCATCATCATGGAGTGTGGAGGGTTTTTGATATCTATTCGTGTGAATCAAAATGACGAAATGAATGAATGAATATAACAGAGGAAATAAAAGTAATAATGCAAAAGAAGATGAATAATCTAATTCTTTTTTTTTCTGTATTCCATTGAATATGAGAACATGAGACAACTGAAAAAAAGAGGAAAAAAGTTCATGATAAACAACAGAAAACAAAGTTTACCTTTTCAATGTTTTCTTTTTACACTCCAATTGTAATATCTGAGATTCTGTTGTAAAATGATGAGAAAATGTAATCATATTGGAAAATCAAACGGTATTGATGATGGAACATCAATAATCATTTCTACCCTGAAATTTTAAATTGCAAATTGTTGATTATTGCGAAAACGAATCAACATTTTTTTTTGCCTCACAAATTTCGCAAAGTTCAGTACAATCAATCAAATTTTGCACAATTACTTTTAATTACTTGGAGATAATCATTTGGATAACATGGATAACTGAATTTCCAATGAGAATTTCGATCTCGCTCATTATTATTATCTCATCAATAGCAGTTTGATTGATTGTTATCTGTTTCTGTTTACATCTTGATAACTTTTACCTTTTCACGTTCTGGTTCATTTTGTATCTTCACCATTCATCTATTATTATCTTGTTGGTAATAATGATGATATTATCGATATATTTTCATAAAGAAAGATAAACTTGTTGCTTATAATAATATCATCTATTTACAGTTATTGTATTTGTATCTAAGTTTTATTATTACCAATGACTTTTTTTTCCAGGTCATTAGAATGTCATTCATATTAATCTGATATTTTTCTCTTTCAATTCTTGTTACCTTTTATTCATCTTCATGGCGAAGATGAAGATGATGTTAACCAGCATCCAACCAACCGATTCCCATAAATTTTAATTCTCATGTGATTTTCACCCTGACATTTAACTTGGAATAAGATTTTTCTTTCTATTCAATTTGTATTACCAAATGAAAATGAATTGGATTATGATTTATCGGCTTTGTCTTCATCTTCTCAACCAAGACAATTTTCACCCTGATTGAAATACCAATAGAAACTCAAAGATAATCATTATTTTCAATCAACAATTAAATCCTCAAATTCAAGTCAAAACAAAATATTCAAACTAAAATTCACTCCCAGATAAATAATAATGAAAAAAAGGAGACTAGAAATCGTATTATCAATAAGCCAAGAAAAAGGTCATCATAATCAACTCTAGTCAATGGACAGAACTGACCAGTTATCAGCTGAATAACTTACCCACCCACCTTTTTATAGTCAGTTTTCATGATAAACTCTAGTGGTGATCCAATTGGAGGCAATAATTCATAGAAAAACAATAAAAACAAATAAAGGCGTAAACCCGAATGATCAACAACATTGTCAAAATTGTTTCCATTGCTTGAGAGAGATAAAGATGAAGATTACTTTGGGATAACAATTGATGAAAAACTAGAATAATCTACCTACTCCAGCCCCTGAAGATTGAGTCTCACCACAAATTCCTATTCAATTCGTTACCTTTATTTTTCAATCGAAAACTTTTCTCTCAATTCCAACTCAACAACAACACTTTCATGATGTTCAGTGCATTAGATACACATAGAAAAATATACAAATCGATTTCACTTTTCTCTCTCACCATATATACAATAACAATTCCAATGTAATCAGTTGATTTGGTTCTTTGTTGTTGTTTTTTTTTCACAATATTTTTGTTATTTATTTACTTCTAATCATCTCATCATCTCATCATCACACTGATAAGGTTGAAGATGATGATGATGATGCGGATGAGGAAAACCTTATCATGAAGGTGTAACAATCAACCGAATGTAGGAAATTACATTTTACCCGAGAAAAAAGTTTACATTTACATGAGAATTGAACAATTTAAATTCAATTGTAAACTTTTTGATAACCAAATTAAATCACCTTTATTGGCCATGTTAATTGTTGATCCTTCTCATATCTTAATCCAATTATGTTTATTCAATGACAATCTCATTATTTCATTTTATCATTAATCTTAATCTTTGATATATTTTTTTTTCTTGCTTTTTCTTATATCCACTTAAACCACAATCAACTTAAATCCACTTGAAAATTGTCTCATTTATCTGATTAAATATATCAGGTTATTAATCACTAATTTGAACCAATCAGCCAATAGTTTTTAATCAAACTACACACAATTAACAGCAATTTAACAGTGAGAAATCACCACATACAAAATTGATGATTTCTAAATTGCTACAACCAACTTTTTTTTCCCCGATAATTAACTCATCATAATCACTTTCGCTGGTTAATTGTTCAGCATCATCATCATTAGTGATAATAACAATTGTAATTGATCATCAGTGAAAAATTTAAATTATTGTCAACCTTTCAATTGTTCAATCAACAGTAATATAATGATTAATGTAAAGTTGATTGTGATTCTTAATTAGTCACCATTAAAAATTGTAAATGAAAACAATCAAATGATTGATTATCGGCCATCATCATCTGTTATACACTCTAATTACAATTAACTGACCCAATATGCTTAATTAGTGACATAATTTAATTCTCAATAATTTATTCATCTTTCGGTTGATTAACTAAATTAAACTAAATCATCTCAATGCCTGTTGCAGCGACAACTTATTTCATTTTTAGTTTATTAACAATTACACCATTGGTGACGTTATTTTTTAATCAACCAACTAAATTACAAGGTTAGTTAATTGTCAGTTGAATGAGACGTTAAATCAACAATTTAACTAATCAATTAACACTCACAGAGACCGATGGATCCAAGAAACACTCTGACTTGAATAGTAACAATCAAACTAATGTTTGTAAATCATCACTTTGTATCTCAGAAGGTAAGTGAGTTTTAATTGTCACAATTATCTATCTATAGATTACTCTAATTGTATAATTTAAATTGAATTTTAATTCAATTAACAAGAGAGAAAAAGGTATAATTAATTAGGTGAAATTAGTTTGATGATTTATTACGAATTCATATGTAAATTGTTCAGAACTTTTTCCAACTCGATTACTATTTAATTTAGAGAAAATAAAATATTCCAATTTTTTACTCAGAACTTTTTTCTCTCTCTCTCTCTTTTCATGATAGTTGTTTCTTATTCCCTGAGGGAAATTAACAGATACAGAATCACATGTTGGATGGAGAGGAAAGAGAAAAGAAAATGACAGATAAAAGTTGTTTTTTCTCTCTCTTTTTCTCCTCCTCTTCCATTTTCATTTCTCTGCCATTGAATCTTCTCTCGGTGATGATTCTTGTAGTGTGAGAATCGAAACAGATTCTGATAAGTTGAAATTCCAATGATATTTTTGGGAAAGAAGAAATTATTTTGGATTGAAGAAGTAAAAAGTTCTTAATAACCTCTTCTTCTATCGGATGTTAATAGAAGGTGAAATTAGGTGAAAAAACTCATGAGAATACCAGTCAAGTTTATCTTCCTCTCTCATCATTGTCTTCATCTTGTGTGATGATAATGATGAAGATGAAGATGAAGATGAAGTTTTTAATTTGTCCCAAGTTTACCGTTCGATTGAAACAAAGTGAATCAGTTGAAGAAAAAAGTGATGAAAATTAAGATGCTCAGAAAGAGTAGAAGATAAATTTATCATCATCTTTCTTTAATCTCTCTCTCTCTCTCTCTCTCTCTCTCTCTCTCTCTCTCTGTTGTTTTCATTTATCTTCAATAAGCTCGCCGGATATTGGAATCGATTGACGATAAAATCGATCCTTGTCAAGATTTTTATCAATTCGCTTGTGGAAATTGGTTGAAAACTAATCCATTGCCTACTGATAGATTAAAATGGTCTCCATTGGATAAGCTAGAGATTAGAGTAAAAAGACAAATTAAAGGTAATCAACTGATTCTTAATCATATGATAAAAGCAAAACAATAATATTTGGAACTGTAACATTTATTTTCTCTGAATTCCCGGTTAATCGAATCATTGAAACGATTAATTGACTTTAGCTTTGTTTGAAAATGCTGAGGAAAAAAATTTAACATGGACACCCTATTCAACTGCAATTAACATTTACGAGAGATGTTTGAATAAAGGTAAACGATCAAGAAAAAAAAAGGTCAATAAAATCTCACTGATTGTTGACTTGTTTAATTACAGAGAAAAATGAATCAAATCAACCGTCTCATCATGAAGAAAATGACAGATAAAAGTTTTTTTCTCTCTTTTCTCCTCCTCTTCCATTTTCATTTCTCTGCCATTGAATCTTCTCTCGGTGATGATTCTTGTAGTGTGAGAATCGAAACAGATTCTGATAAGTTGAAATTCCAATGATATTTTTGGGAAAGAAGAAATTATTTTGGATTGAAGAAGTAAAAGTTCTTAATAACCTCTTCATATCGGATGTTAATAGAAGGTGAAATTAGGTGAAAAAACTCATGAGAATACCAGTCAAGTTTATCTTCCTCTCTCATCATTGTCTTCATCTTGTGTGATGATAATGATGAAGATGAAGATGAAGTTTTTAATTTGTCCCAAGTTTACCGTTCGATTGAAACAAAGTGAATCAGTTGAAGAAAAAAGTGATGAAAATTAAGATGCTCAGAAAGAGTAGAAGATAAATTTATCATCATCTTTCTTTAATCTCTCTCTCTCTCTTCTTATTGTTGTTTTCATTTATCTTCAATAAGCTCACCGGATATTGGAATCGATTGACGATAAAATCGATCCTTGTCAAGATTTTTATCAATTCGCTTGTGGAAATTGGTTGAAAACTAATCCATTGCCTACTGATAGATTAAAATGGTCTCCATTGGATAAGCTAGAGATTAGAGTAAAAAGACAAATTAAAGGTAATCAACTGATTCTTAATCACATGATAAAAGCAAAACAATAATATTTGGAACTGTAACATTTATTTTCTCTGAATTTCCGGTTAATCGAATCATTGAAACGATTAATTGACTTTAGCTTTGTTTGAAAATGCTGAGGAAAAAATTTAACATGGACACCCTATTCAACTGCAATTAATATTTACGAGAGATGTTTGAATAAAGGTAAACGATCAAGAAAAAAAAAGGTCAATAAAATCTCACTGATTGTTGACTTGTTTAATTACAGAGAAAAATGAATCAAATCAACCGTCTCATCATGAATATAAATCATTGAAAAGGTTAATCAAACGAATCGGTGGTTGGCCTATGGTCCAGTCGAAATGGGATTCAAATCGTTTCGAACCCGAAAATACCTCAACTCTTTTACGAACCATGTATGGACTCAACTGGATCTTCGGTATCTACCTGTTCACAGAGGGACAAGGTGACAAATTGCAAACCTTTCTCCTCGTAAGTTGAAAATCAATCAATCAATCAACCCTAAAATCTTCGTAACAATCAACAATTGATTAACATTGACGTCTAAGTAAACAAACAATTTACCTTTAAAAAAGAATCTCTAACAAGCCAACTATTTATATCTAAAGTTAAAACTTGTCAATATGATAAATATTATTTTTACCATTATATTTACATATTAATACTTGAGCGCATTTACCTGTGAGTATTTGCAGGTAGTAAAAGAAGATGGTAAATCGAACAGGAAAAAAGTTCGAACTCGAGAAAAAAAACCAGAACTTTTTTTAAAAGAAAAATATTAACATCAAACATCTTCTTACCTTTCGAACATAATTTTTTTAATGTTACCGTTATATTACCTCGAAACTGGAAAGGTAAATACACTTTATTCAAACTGATTGGTTAACATTAAATCAATTGGTCTTAATGTCATTCACAGGTAGAGTTACAATTGATGTAACTTGAGGTTCTTAATTATCATTGAGTTTTTTGTTGAGTTACTTTGAGCAAGATGATTAAGTAAATTGTTACTTAAATGTCGATTTCATTGGTTAATTGTGTGAGCATTGGACTTTGTTGTACATTTCGAATGTTTTTTTTTCTTGTTTTATTACTCAGTTGGACTCTCCATCATTTGGCGTTGAACGTAAATATCTGTCCAGTTACACGAATAACATGAGACTGACCTCTAGGCAATTAAATCCATATCGTTGGTATATTGAATCATTGGCTCGATTGGTGAAAGATGATGGTGTTAATGAGAAACAATGGTCATCGGAAATTAATCGAATAATGACCTTTGAAGCTTCTCTATTGGAGATAACTACTGATATGGATAATAAAGTTCATCGGTCAGTTAGTGTTGAGAATTTGGTCAATTATTATCCAAAGGTTTGTACTTAAGTTGTTTTTGTAACTTGGAAACTTTTTCTTTATCAATGTTATCGATGTCAAGAGATCAATTTAAATTGTGACAATTAAGATGATTTTACAGTTGATGATTATCATTAGTTTAACTCTCCATCGGGTAAAATTTAACTCAATTTAAAGTTTGATGAAAAATCTTTGTAATATTTTCCAATATGATCGTGTTAATGTTTTAATTGATTGTTTGATTGTTTGTGATAGATCAGATGGTTTCCTTTGATTAAACAAATTCTGGCCTCTAATAATATCCCGTTCTCACCGGATATGGTCATTCTGGTCAACGATCACAATTATTATCTCCATTTGGGTGATGTATTGAGAAAAACACCTAAACGGTAATAATTTATTTCTCAAAATCGATTGATTCTTATTGTTATTGATTTGTTTTTTCTTCATCGAACTGATTAATTACAGTGTAATTGCTAATTACCTTGGGTGGAGGGTCGCTGAACATTATGGTGTATATTCATCGGAAGAAATTCGAAATATTCGATTTCAATTTGATCGAGCTTTTCTTGGAGTTCAACAACAGCCTGAACGATGGGAATTCTGCTACGATATGGTCTCATCTCGATTACCTTTCATCATTGGTCGTCTTTATGTAGATCATTATTTCAATGAAAAATCTCGAGACGATATGTCCAAATTGATCGGAGAAACGAAGCGACAGTTACGATACCAATTAGAGGACAGTAACTGGCTTGATGCTTCAACGAAACGCGAAGCACTGGATAAGGTAATCAAATCAAAGATTATCAACAATTAACGGCAATTAAAAATTCTCTTACACTCTCTTACAGTTGTCTCATATGATCGAGATTGTCGGTTATCAGGACTGGATCAAAGAAAATGATCAATTGGAAAGTTATTATTTCGAGATTGAAAATATTCGATCGGAAGATCTTCTAGATGATATTCTACTCATGGATAAGGCCAAAACATTCCGTGAATTTTCAGAATTAAATCAAATAATTGGAAGAGAGCAAATGTAAGTACCACACCCGAATAGTCTTGATGATTATAAGCCAACAATCAGATTGATGACATTATGCTAATTTCCAATAATTCATACAACTTTCTTGGAATATTCTGATTTTGATCAATGATTATCTCCTTCCATCCTGAAAAGATAAAACTTAATCTTTATCCAGATCATTTGCTTAAATCCATTAGCATCAACATTTACCTCCATAAACCAATCATTTCCTCCTTATCCCTATCAGATAAAAAAAAGGTTACCATATGATAACGACATCATCTTGACAATATAAGATTTTATTGCATCAATTCCTGTTCCTGTTTCCAATATCATCATAATCGAAACCATGAACTTAATAGTTTCTCGATGATAATAATCGTTGAGTTTACAATGGATTTCACCTTAAATTTCAATTTAATTGTCATCATGTTAACCTACAGTCTTGAAAAAAAATTTGATGCACCATTTCCAGATTCGAGTCCCAATGATTAATATTATTTCCAGCAATTTAAATTGCTCGCTAATTGTTATTTCTCCCTCTCTCTCTCTCTCTTCCCAGGCATGTAATGTCACCGACTGATGTAAATGCTTACAATTACCTTCGTCGAAACCTTCTATGTAAGTATAAATGATTACGATCAGATTGTCGTAATTAACTCTAATTGTTTCGATCCAGTTTGAATACATATTGATAAGCTTAAGATCCTTTCAGCTTTTCCTGCAGCTTTGCTTCAAAATCCTTTGTATACCTACGGATTACCTGCAGCTCTTAATTATGGTGGAATCGGTTGGATTATCGGCCATGAGATTATCCATGCATTTGATAGTGATGGTAAGTGACAATTCAAATGATTTTAATTGTTGAAAATGAATACAATAGTTTGACTATCAATCGATTCAATCTGATAATTTTGAAAAAAGTTTCTCGACAATTGCTATTTCTGAAAAGTTGATTGTCCCAATGTTTGTGTTGGTAAAATTGAATCAATCTCATTAGATTTATTAATATAAATTGTTCAATTGTAATAATAAACTTTGATTGTTTAGATTATGTATTTTAATCTGTATTCATTTTCAATGGGCCATTTTATTTATTCAAATGCAAGTATATTCATAAATTAGATCACGAAAATATGTAATCACTATTGAATTTAGTTTGAGAAACAATCAAGTAAATTGTTGTTATAATAGTTTAATAGACATTATGATAAACATGATATTTTCACCAACAGTTGAGTTCTGACAGTTAATCTGATTGTTATTACGCTTGTTAATAACTTGAATGTGTTACCTGAAGATTGAATAGCTCGAGGCAGTTTTAATATAATTGATTGTGAACGACAAAAAAAAGAGCAGAAGAAAAGTTTTTTGTCAAATTAACTAATACTAGCAGAACGAGAAAAATTTACAGATTGCTCAGAGATCCCCCTGATTTCCTGATACAATTTCAAACAACTCAACCCTGAACAATGAACATTTATTTTTTTTTGCCACCACTGCCTCTGTATTATTATTACCTGTAAATGACAGATTGAGATAGAAAGAGGAAAGAAAGAGGATAAGAGGATGATAAGGAAGATGAGAATGTATCTCTGAAAATTCAGGTGAAAAAAACGATATTTTCTTGATTTGATGCATGGAAGTGGGAACGATGGAAGAACAAGATTTGTTGAATTGAAATTTTCTGACAGGAACTAAGAATCAGAATGAAGATGAAGATGAAGATGAGGATGAGGATGAGGATGAAAATGAAGATGAGAAAACAAAAAGTAACCTGGAAATCTTCACAATCTACATCATTAGATATATCGACGAGATGTAATAATAAACAATTCATCTCAACGATTTAACCTTTTTCTTTGCTTTATTTCCTATTTCCTTTTCCTCTTCTTCATTCTCATCTATTTATCACCAAGTCTTCATTCATTGTTGAACTTTTTTTTTCATTACTTGGTAATCAACATTATTATTTCACCTTTTTCATTGTTACTTATTACAAATCAGCTTATCAAACAGATTAAATCATGTTTTCTGTTATTGTCATTGAATTTAATTCATGGTAACATAACATTGTATTAATATTGTTACTATTTCAGGTGATTATTTGAGTATTTTTGCCTTAGTTAAAAGGAGATTTAATATGAATTAATGAGAGATTAAAGATTAAGATTGAGTAGTAAGTCAATTGTAGTTGTAAATCAGCAATTTCATATACACAATTTGTATCATGGAAAAAGGATATTCATTGATTATCGTTACCATTAGAATATAATATTTGTGTCACTTTCTTTTCAGATATTAATACAAACATTTCTCTCGATTGTTGTTAATATTAGAAGAAAATTTGTTACCAATTAATTTGATTATCATTGGAAAGATAATGATTATTACCACCACCATGATTATCATTAGTTGATTAATGTGATCAGACTTTTATTGTATTGTCCATAATAGTTGAAAGAAAAGCAAAAAAAAAGTTCAATGGAATCATATTAATGGATATTTTCAGTTACTATTTTACTCTCAATACATGAGATTTAATAGCAACCTAATCATGTGGAAGTAAAAAAAAAGTTTTCAGGGAAAAAAATACAAGTTTTTGAATCGATCGTTATAATTAAGCCTCTTGACCATTGCAAGTTATCAAATCAAGTAATTGTCAAATGATTGATGGTCCACAATTAAGATCAACTATTCATTCAACATTGTCTTTGTCTCTCTCTTTTTTTATATATACATTATCCTGGTCATCGTATTGTCCTTTTATTTTATTGATTCGTTTTTTTTTCTTGATCATATTGTTCATCTTTTCTTGATCATGATGACTGAATCTTGCAGGTAAACGATTCGATAAGTTTGGTAATCTAAGAAATTGGTGGTCAAATAGTACATTTCAAACTTATCTGAAAAAATCACGATGTTTTCTTGACCAATACGCTCAACCCATTGGTATGGTGGGTTATGGCGGAGTGGGCAATGGTGGTGGTGTTGGTGGTGGTGGAGGGACTATCACTGAGAGTGGTAATAGTGTAATGACTTTAAGTGAAAACATTGCAGACACTGTTGGCTTGGAATTGGCTTTCTCAGCATTCAAGGCAAACCTTAATTCCCAAGAAACAATAAGATCAAGCAGAGATGCCAATCGAGGTAATCAACAATTTATTGATTACTTATTATTATTACCATCAAAGGAACGGAAATGATCATCATCATTATCATCAAACAAGATTTTCAATCAACAAGAAACAAGTATTATATGAGATATAAAAATCAACAACAAATTGATTATCATCAAGAGTGAATTAGTTTCATGATGAAATTTTAAACATATACGAAACAGACAAAAAAAAAGTTCATCAAAGTTAATCAACACAAATTAGAGTATAAATTAATCATATTAGTAGGACAATTTGATTCAATTCAATCAATGTTTACCTTGTTTCTTGATAAATTGTTAATCATGTAGAAATCACTGAAATTAAAGTGTGTGTGTATGTTTACCATTGTGGTTAATCAGATTTAATCACAATCATTTTCAATTATAATTACAATCAATCATCTGTTTGTTTGTTTACATTTACTTACCTATTTCCTTATTATTATTATTTTTTTTCCAAAAAAAAATGTCCAGGTAACTACAACAATCAATTGACAAAACGCTCATCAAATGACACCAATCACTATTTACCTCCACAATTGATTAACTTTACTCCTGAACAATTATTTTTCCTCTCCTTTGCTCAGGTAATTGAACAATCTTTTTATTTACCTTTTATCATCCCCTTTTCTTATTCAATCATCATCATCACCATTATCATAATCATCTTGATTACATCAACACATCACAACTCTCAACATAATCACCAAGTGCTTTTATCATCATCATAACCATTATGATGACAATGATTATATTCATTTGGTTCAACCCAAAGTAAATGTCTTTAGTTACTTTGTAATGTTGTTATTGTTGAGAATTGGTTTATCTTTCTTGGTATATTCATGTACAAAGAGCATGAGAATTTGTATTCAAAGTCAAACTGACCAACGAAAACTGGACATAACTCTATTTTCCTCCTTATTCTCTCTCTCTCTCTCTATCTTATTGTCTTTTTCTCATCGATTGAAGTATGTGAATACATAGATAATCAGATAATTATGTTTTTCTCTTAGAGAAAAACTCCAATGGTCAATTTTTGTTCTCTTCCTCTTTCATTCTTCTCATCAAGTTGATTTTTCTTCCTTCGACTTAACTTTGATTCTTTTCCTATTGAGTCTCAATTGAAGTCATTTAGTTTATCTTTTTCCCTCTTATCTCCATCATCATCATCATCATCATCTTCTCCTTCAATCACTAGGCCTTTTGGTCATCTACCTTGTCCTCTCCCTTCTTGTTCATCACCTTTGTTAAGGTCAATGCTTTACTCCCATTGGTATTGGGTGGCTGATTAAAGGACTTAATGGTCAAGATGATAAGAATGATTCTAATATAATATATGAGAATATAAAAAAACAATAGTATTCACAGTCTTTGTTTGCTTGTGATTCTTAAGCAAGTTAACTTGTCAAATGTAGATTGGAAAACTAATACAGTAAATCAAATCCGTTGGTAGAAACAAAAACCGTCACAATTTAGTCCCTTTCTTATTGTGATTAACTAACAAGTTTTTGATTTAGTTTTCTACATATTCTCTCAATCTTGCCTGATCAACTTGCCATCATAATCATCATCAATTGATTCTGATTGTTGTAATACTATGGTGATGATCACTTTAACCATAAATTAATGACCAATAATTTTCAACATCTTTTTCCTTGTTCTTTATTGGCTTCCATTCAATTTGATTGTAATAATAGTAGTTCTTGTATTAATAGTTCAATAAGAGTAATTGTAAGGTCCAAGGTAACACTACAATTAAATCACCTTTTACACTAGATGTGAATGATGATTAAGTTGATATTCCAACCTACAATTAACTTATTGAAATTTCAACTATAACAATAGCCTGTTGATATTATTAGTTATCATCTCGATTCTCAATTTCTTTTTGACAGTTTAATATATTGAAAGATGGAAAAATCAAAGGTTCTCAATCAACATTGACACTTCCAAGCCTCTATTTTTTCCCTAATCAAAACTCGTTCCCCATAAATCAAGAGTCTTCACAATAGAATCTTAAATTAAATTCATAATGAAAAAAATAACGAATCAGTTAAAAAAACACTTCAAGAAACAATTTACTTTTAAAATGTAACAATTAACTTACCAGTCAATCAAAAAGCGATGAAAACTCACCTCTAGTGCTTTAATCGATAAATCTAATCATAACTATTGGAAATGAATCAATGTCATAAAAAATCAACGAATATTGAACAAGAAATTCAATGACAATGATTTAATTAACTGGAGAAACAATTAAAATAAAGTTTTAGTTGGAACAATTAAGTAGCGCCATCTATTATCTTCCGTTGGTACTAATACCAAATTAACTATTTATACTCAACAATTAAATTGATTGTCTACAAAATTGAAACTTTAACAGGAAGAATTAAACTAATCATCAAAATCTAAACAATAAAGAAAATATATTTCTCCATCAAATCATCTAATCAATTGATATTCCCAATCAAATATTGACTTTTTTGTTCCTAAATTACTGTTCCCCTTTTAGAATCAATCATCATGATTTAAACTGAATTAACTGATATTCATTTATACAAGTTTATTGACAGATAAGCTCTTGGGTGTAGCCTTTTAAATTAGTAAAAAAGTTTTAAGATTAATTATAAAAAATTAAGATTAGGAAAAGAGGAACAGATAACAATCAATTATATGATGATGGTTTGATTTAAATCTAATGATTTAGCTAATTGAAAATTTTTTTTTCGATCCACAGATTTGGTGTACTAATCAGACCACTGAGAATGAACAAGTTCGAGGGCAATCTCGACATAGTTCAGAGAAAATTCGAGTTCTTGGTCCACTTCGAAACTCGGTTGACTTTGCGAAAGCTTTTAATTGTAAACAATCAACACCCATGGCCTTTGATCAACGTTGTACTTTATGGCGCTAATCAAGTTGGACAATGAATTGAACCTCAACAATTAACAATCATGACGATAAAATAAACTAGCGATTAAATTTGACAATAACAATTTGATTCTCATAATCATTTGTAACTTTATTAAAATTATACTTTAAGAAAATCAGAGAGAGAGACTTTGATTTAATTGATGAAAAATGTTTCAACTAATTTACTTTTAATCATGATTAATATTTACAAATTGCTTCTAAATTATACTGATACTTTAATCATCATCATTTTAAATCACAATTAAGGTTATAAAAATGCTTCTGTTAATATAAATGCTCAAATTGTTGGTGTGTTAAATTGAACTAAATTACAGTTTTGATCAATGATCTTATTGCACTTGTGATGGAAAGGTAAAAGTTAATTGTGATTTTGATTGTGATAATAAATAGTTTTTCCGGTGATGTTAATTAGTTAATTTAGTTCCTAAATGTAGATAACATTTTGATTGGTATCTTTGTACTTGGGATCAATGTTATTGTTATAATACAGATCATTGAATTCACTGAATTCAATTGAATGATTCCAATCACGATAAAATTCAGTGTCAGTTGTTGCCGTTGTTGTTAAACTATCGTAACTTGAATGATGTTGATTCCGCAATTTACCATTGGTGTTAATGTTAATCATGTTTCCCTCTTCATTTGGATTACTGTCCATCTCATCGGGATGATAAGCTGACCTTTGGTACATTTCTGGTGATGAAATGACCCAAGAAGAGGTATAAGGTTGATAAGATGAAGAGGTTACACTTAGATCACAAAATGAACTTGATCGAATATAAGAATTCATTTGATCGGACAATTTTCGACCTGAACGTCCTTTCGATCGCCTTCCCCACTTAATCCAAGGTGCCAACGGTAATTTAAGACGATGATTTCCATCTAATAATAATCAGGGAAAATTAGAACAGAAAAAAGAACATAAATAATCAAAATAACTATCGAAAGAATATCGAAAACTTTTCAAAAAAGAATAAATTTTTTCTCGAATTTTTCAATTTGTTCTAACCTTTAACCTCAATTATAAATCAACTTTAATCTGTTAATCTGTTAGATTATCAAAGAAATCGGGTTCGGTTTCTTAAATGAGTTAACCAATTTAAGATTATTTGTTAATTGTTGTTGTTTTCGTTAAGATCTCGGTTTTCAGTTGATCAATTTATGTTAATCAACTTTAATTATCTGTGTTAATTATATCACGTTGATCATAATCATGATAATAGGTTAAAACATCATCCACCCAATTTATTCATGAGCTATATTAATGATGATTAAAATTCATGATCCATCATTTAGTTAAATCATCAAAAATATGATTACCATCAATATGGTGATTAAAGGCAAGCCAAACAATTAAAAGGTATTAACGATCCTCAAGTAACAATTAGTGAATCAACCTTGAGCCATTAAAATTAATTTATTAATAACTAGATTTATATATATTAATATCAATTCCAACCCATAGGTTGTTGAGTTAAATTAATTGTAATTGTTTAATTGCAACAAAAAAACTGTTACTATTTTTTGCTGACAAAAATAAAGTTAAATTGTAACACAAGATCAATCAACAATTAACTAACCAAACTGATTTCAACTACAACTTGAAGGTTAATCATTTTCTCAATGATTAAATTACAATTGAAATCAAAGGAAATCTAAATTACTTCCGGGACAATTTAAGGTGAAAAAAAAAGTTACATCAATGATAACTGATGAACATGATTAGATAATCAAATTGATTAGGTAATTAGATTACAATCAAGATGATTAACTATTTCCCACGGAGATATTAATGAATCAGAAAGAGTTGAGAAAAAAAGTTCGACATGTAATCAAACTAACGGAAAATATAAACACAATTAACTAATTATTACAATGGAAGCGCAAAATTTTAATCAATCACAATCAGAATTGATTGAGAAAAATGTAACTGTTAATTAATCAAATTGTTATTGATCAAATTGTGAGATGAAAAAATTTAGATACAAAATGAAAAAGCAAACGAAAATCAGGAAAATTTGTCAATCATATTGGTGATTAATTATTAGAGAGAATCATTTTCAACAATTAAATTTGATTGTTTGACATTGATTAACCTTGTAAACTTTGTATTAATCAAGTTGCAGGTAAATTGTTAATGTTATCGTCAACAACTATTAATATCAACTGGGTAAACAATTAAATGAAATGTGATTATGATATAGAAACTACAATTAACCTCTCAAAACAATTAACAAATTACAGCGGAAAACTAATATAAATGAATACAAGTTAATACAAATATCATTGGTAATCAATCAATAAATCAAATTGTTTGAGAAAAATATTAATAACAATTAATATTAACAATTGATTGTAAATGAAAAGGTGAAACGGGAAACAATTAAATTGTATTATTTTGATTTCTGCTAAATTAACAATAAATCAAATTGCAATGAACTAAATCTATATTAACTAAATACACAATTAACAATGATGATAGAAAACAAAAAGTAAATTGTTAACAATCAATAGCTGATCATTAACCGGATTTAAGACAATCAAGTAATTATCATATCAAATTGACTAATTAAAAGACAAATTGATAATTTTTAAATTGATATCATCTTCCTATTATCACATCCTGAAAGTTGACAATTAAAAAGTTTTTTTTTACCAATTTAATTGTAATCATATAACAATCAATCAAATTGTCCTCATAATGTTTCATTCAATTAACGGCAAACTGTTAACTATTAGAGTAACAATTGATTCTAATTGTAACAGTTAGTTTACTATTTATTGTCATTATGGTGAAAGACAATTGATTAAGATGATAATTATTTTAATCATCATCTTAATCATCAAATTAAATAATAAACAAGGTTACAATTTAAAAAATGTTGACAGAATTAGAAAACAACAATCAGGAAATGATGTTGATTAAATGATTATAATTGTTAATTGTTAAGGTAGTTTATGAATAAAAGTATTGACCTAATTACTTTGGAGATGATAACATTGTCTTAATGACAATTAACTTAATTGTTGTTATTAATTATTGGAATTGTTTCTTAGTTAAAAAAAAAGTTTTAATTCTTTTGTCTTGATTTGATTGCTTACATATTTTATCCTTAATTGTTTCGAGCTACTAATTAACTACCGAGTTTTAATTGTTGTTATCTGATGAAAGAAGCATCAACAATTATAATTAATTTTCATCACGAACTTGATTGTCACATCAGCTAATAATAGTAACAATTGGTTTCTTAATTGTCTACGATTAATGTGTGAGGTATATGTTGATTGTGGTTAATCAAATTACTTTTAATGGTAAATTTATTTCATTCATTTTCTATTGCAATTTAATTGTCATTTAATTTTAAGGTCAATTGATCAATTAAATTGTTTACCTATGTTAATATTAAATGACCGTAACAATCAAATTAAATGTAACTCGTAAATCAATTATAATTTAATGGTCATTGTAATGACATTTATGATTTAGTTATTAAAATTATGATTAAATTGTTGGATAATAATAAAAACAATAGTTTGATTGTTCAGGAATTAAATTCAATTTTGGTTAATCAGATTAACAGTAGTTAAGTTAATCACAATTAGTGGTTGATGGTTGAAAAATATTGACCAATAAAAAATGAGAAATAGTAACAAATCAATTGATTTTCAATGGGATTAAAAATAATCTCACAATTTAAACTGAATCAAATCAGTTATGAAATTATCTTAATCATGATTAAGATTTACCATTAGTTTTAAGTTGACATTTTATAAATGATTAACTGATTTGATTTGGAGACTTACCAGTTTGAGAAGCATTTTTTTTCCTCATTGATTCAATTGTGGGTAATTGATGAGGATTAGATTTAACCATTGGATTATCATAAAATGTTTCATGATATCTGTTAATCTGTCCTTGTTGATGATGATGAGATTTAGATGATTTGTCATCCTCATCATCAACAAAACAAAGGGTTATTAGGAAATGGACAACCATCAATGTTGTTATCACAACAGCGATCATGAAGGCAAGTATAATCCATGGTGCGAAAAAGTATAAATTCATCCAAAAGAATCAGATTAATCATCAGATTAGTGATGAAACTTTTGAGATAATCTCATAATCCACAGTTTGGCAAAAGATCACTTGATAAAGTGAGAGAGTAAATTATAATTGATTGTTGATTAAGGTAATTGTTTGGCAGACAATTTAAATCTGAATAGTGATTGATGTAAAGTTGAACACATCAAATTGTTACATTAACGAAGTTTAAAAAAAGTGAATAGACTTTGAAGAGATGTAAATAAAAGATGAATAAACAATCAATTGTTGATCATTGAATACCGTTGATGAAGATGATGATGATGATGATGATGGAAATATCTTCCCAAGGATGATGATGATGTTCAACAAGTTAACATGGTAAAGGTACTGTGCCTGTAACAGGTAACTGACTAACTGAATGAAAATTCAAACTGAATAAAGTTTGAGTGAGAAAGAGACGTAAAGAGAGAGAGAGAGAGAGAGAGAGAGACGATGATGATGATGGTGATGATGGAAGATGATCAACAGAGTGAGAAGAGGTAAAGTGAGAGGAGAGAAGGGAAAGAGAGACAAGTTTTCTCTCCAACTTTTTCCTCAACTTTTGCTTCCCTCAATAGACCAACATGAAGTGTTTCAAGTTACCAGAATTTTTCGTTACCACAATTAGAAGATGAAACCAGAATTTGTTTCTATTATTTAAATTGATTGAACAGACTAGGAAGAGAGAGAGAGAGAGAGAGAGAGAGAGAGAGAGAGAGAGAGAGAAAAGCGATGAAGATATTGTTATTGATATAATGAACCAGAAAGATGATAAATGATGAGAATGGGAAAAAAAGTAAGATGATGTACATGGCGTTTCAATTTGTGACCTTATCAAGGCGTGAACAAGTCAATTCCAGGCAATTCAATGGATCAGCGATTCTATACCGAGAGAGACAGAGAGATGATGATGATGTTTTAAGGAGTTTAATAGTAATTGTATTGTTATCATCTAATATACACTAATAAAATATCATCTATGATGAAGATGATAATAATGATAGGAATAGAAATTCATTGAAAAGAAAACTTTTTTTCCGGTTTCATGTTTTTCCTATTTTTTCAAAGCTCCAGGTATTTACTTTTAGAAAACATTATAAAAAAAAGACTTACCTGAACATCATCATCTCTCCCCTGGAGATTATGGTCATCTCTTTCTCATCATCATCCTTTCCACATTATCAGTATAATAACAATGAAGATAACATGATGATGATCAGATGAATCTTCCTCTTTCTTTTTTTTTGCTTCCAAACTTTTACCTGTAATCAGAATTAGAGAAATTAACTTTTGATTCCAATACCTTCCTACTTACAATGATAATAATTATAATCCAAATAATTACATGACAATCAATTCTAACAAAATTAACCTTCACAAACCATTTAAACATTACAATCAATTAACTGTTACCGGTAAACTAAAAAACTGATTCAATCAAAATTCAGCCTCATATGAAAAGTTTTCATGGTTATCGGTCAATTTGATTATGATTATCGTTAATTCAAAGGGAGATGATTAATAATAACTTGATTTTTAAACATAATAACTTATAAAAAGTTAATCTAATCTTCAGAGTGATTAACAATTTGATTGTAACAATGATCAAAATACACTAATTAAACCCACTAACATCATAAAACCAACACCTACATATGAAAATAAAGTTACAAAAACAGTAATCAAATGGGTTGGACGATCAGATTAAAACAAGATTAAGATTGATTCTATTGATTAAACATATTTTTTAACAATTAACTTTTACCATTGAAAAATTCATTGAGAAAAAAGCTTTACCTTTAACGTATTTCCATTATTATCCGTATCCGTAGGTCACTTGAGGTCAACGGAAATGATAATGAAAGTTTACCTTTATTTTGAGCAAAAAAACAGGTAATTTGAATGCGTTTACCCAACCGGTGAGACTGCGATGTAACTACAATTAAATCTAATCATTATAACATTGTATTCCAATGAATGTAAAGACAATTTAAATTGTGCTCATTATATAATGAGGATAATAAAGTTAACATTGTCACGTTACAATCAAAATTAATTGTCACTGTTAAAGTTTACTTTTTTTTCTTGGCTTAATCCTTGGGTAGGATTCTGTAACTTTTGTTTGACTTTTGATTATCATTGAAATACATGCTTAATATAACAGCAATTAACTATTAATTGACTTATCTACGTGTTAATTAAGATGGGCAATTAAGTTGATTATCATATCATGTGTTTAGTTAATCTTATTGATTAGTAATTAACATGATCTTCTTTGGGTTTTTGTCTCATTGTTTGTTAATCTGATTTGATTTTTATTATATTAATATTAATATTTTCATGATTTTGATGATTATCAGAATTGTAATTGATATTAAATTGTTTTAATCAAGATGATTAAGCAAGATTGTATTATTGTGATCATGATAATGGTGATAATGAGGAAGTAAATCAGTAATGATCATCAGAATGATTAACAAATTGCTCAGAACAAATGATTAGATGAAAAGTTTTTTGCTGAATTGACAACAATTAAATATAAGTTTTTTTTGATGATTTTCTAATATTCTTAATTGTGATTGATTATTGAGATCATAGAATCGCCAGATCAACATTTGATCTGATAAACTATTGTGTTAATTTCATTAATCATTAATCCGCCTAAGGATAAGCTAAATCCTAACTGGATTAAAAGTTTATTATTAAACTGGTTAGTTAATTGAACTCTATCTATCTGTTCAATTGTTGTGATAATTGTCATAATTTGATCAAATGATTTATTGTTTATTTGAATGATTAACAATAATTTAGACACTCTGATTGAGTTGGATAATTATTATGATATAATTAATGTCAATGACTTGATTTTTTACCTTAGTGTTTATGATTAACTTTTGATTAAGTTGACAATGTCACTGTATCACCATCAGTGAAAGTTAATCAACAGACCATCAAGTTAAACAATTAACAATCAAACATGTCACTTGAGTAACAAGAAAAAGTGATTCAGTTGATGATTAAGATTCAAAAATTCACTGATGCAGTTTAATTGTTGTTGATTAGGACATTGGCGTTTTCACTTAGGTGAAAGTTTCATATTAACAGATGAAAATCTTAATCATTATTAAATTGTGACAGTTACTTTGATTTAACTGTAAATTGATTACAAATCAAGTAGATTGATTAAAATAGTAACTAATGTTAATCAAGTTATTGATTCAGTTATTAATATTTCTGTTAAAACACTCAGATTTGAGCCTGATTGTAAATGCAAATTCAAATTTGATTTTTATTCCAATCATGAAATTGAATCGGACAGTTTATGTTCAGCTCATTGATTTTTCTATTATCTGATTCGTTTAAATTTAACAATTAATTTATATTCTCGTGATTATATTGATTCATATGATTGGAAATCATTCAGAACTCTGCTGAGTTTATTCATAGAAACATGTAGGTTACATGTCGATCATTTTAAATTAATTATCTTTCTGATTGAAAGGAAAGAAAACTTTTCTTCGATTTTCATAAATGATCAATTTTCTACAAGTTGATTTTCGACGATAACAATTGATTGACCAAAGCGATCGATGAGTTGTGAGAAAATTAACTGATCAGCAAAAAGTTCTAGACTAAATTATCGGACGATCAATAAGCTATAAACTATTCTTAATATTATTATCCAGTTCGTTCATTTTACCATTTCAATCGATATTCATTTAGAATTGTTAAAATCGTTAGTTATTGTTAAGAATTAATAGTGAGTAGGTTAACTTTGGTTTAATTGTTTCGATGAAAATGAAGTCCTTTTTAATGGTTTCGATAATCATTATCCAATCTAATTTGATCATCAGTGAGTTCAATAAAAGTAGCGCTGGTCCAATCGTTGGACTTGATTCAGGTTTGATTCAAGGAAAGTCGAAAATGTTTCGTGGTATTGAGGTTTATCAGTTTCTTTGTATTCCCTATGGTGAACCTCCAATTGGTGTGAATCGATTCAAAAGGTCAGTCCCTAAATCGACTTGGACTGGTGTTTTGTCTACTCGTGAATGGGGTCCCTATTGCGTCCAATCGACACTGACCAGTGACATTAAGGTGTCAGAGGATTGTTTGTCTCTAAATGTTTTTACAACTTCGATCGCTGTTGATGATGTTCAAAAGGGTGACAAGCAACAACTTCGACCCGTCATGGTTTGGATCCATGGGGGAGCATTTCGTCTTGGTTCAGCTCATATGGCCTCTCTTTTCGATGGAACCGCTTTAGCGGCTTTGGAGGATGTGGTTATTGTAACGATCAACTATCGTCTTGGTGTCTTTGGTTTCTTGTACTTACCCGATTCCGAAATTCCCGGTAACATGGGACTTTGGGATCAGAATTTAGCACTCAAATGGGTCCAAAGTAATATCATTCATTTTGGCGGTAATCCCGATCGGGTGACGATATTTGGTGAATCAGCGGGCTCCTTGTCCGTTTCTGCTCACATTGTATCACCACAATCGGAGGGCTTATTTGCCAATGCAATCATGCAAAGCGGGGCAATTTATGGTCTACACTTGTTGTCACCCAAAAACACCACTGAATCATTTCTGAAACAAATTAATTGTTCATCAATTGACCAGAAACTTTGTCTCTCATCATTTAAATTTCATGATCACCCGGAGGTGGAATCTATAGATTTCTGGCCAATTTACGGCGATGATTTTTTACCCGTTCTACCTGAAGATGTTGTCTCATCATCGGGTGTAGCCAATGATCTGAATCTATTGATTGGGACAGTTGGATACGAAGGAGCGTTAATGTTGGTTTGCAAAGATCCAATTACTTTCGATCCCGCTAATCCGATTGAGTTAAATGTTTCCAATGTTAGAGGTATCATAAGTTACCTATTTGGTTCATCGTCAGTTGATTATTTTACTGACAAATATAATATAAGTTCATTAGGTAACAATTCAGATGAACTTAGACTCCAATTAGCTAAGCTGGTCGGTGATGTTATCCTTACCTGTCCAACTTATATCTTTGCCCGTGACCTGGTCAAGCAAAATAATATCAACAATGTTTACGGCTACTATCAAAGTCAACGTCCATCCAGATCACCATTTTCTTTTATGAATGAAAATAAATGGGTACCGGTAACTCACTCAGATGATATTCTATTTGTTTTTGGCTATCCCTTGATGGAAGATGAAAAATATCCCAATGAAGATTTGATTCTATCTTCAATGATGATCAATATATGGACAACATTTGCCAAAACCGGGTAAGTCAACAACAATTAAACTATCACAAAAAAACTGTAACAATCTAATTAATCTACAGTAAACCTCCACCGATTGGTCCATTTAAATGGTCAAACTGGACAATGAATTCTAATAAAACTGTCACCCCATTTATAATGGAATTGAATTCTAAAAAAGTTAATCTCAATGACGAAAATGTTGCAAGTTCTTGTTTCGATAAGTGGCCATTTCCATTGGAAAAATCATACAATCTTCAAATAGAATTCGGTAAATCATTTAAGATCCTAACAATTAATCAATGATAAACTAACAAAACAATCAACTAATCATTTGATAGGTAAATTGTCCCAACTTTCTGGCTGAAAATCATCAATTGTTACAGTTAATTTCTGGTTAATATTTATGTTCCTAACCAATAGATGGCTGTTCTGATCAACCAATATTTGATTGTGACAATTAAACACGATCGATAAGCTTGTGAACACTAATTGTAATGTTCAGATAGTCAATCAATATCTCATAATTAATCCTCATTTAGATGAAAAGTCAACTCGAATTCATGTAAGTAAAAGTCTCTATCGATCGATAAATGAATTATATTTTTTATTGGTGATCAAAGTGCTGAGAAATTGGAATTATTCATTTCGATTTTTTTTTTACTTTGTTTCCGTAATAATAATAATAATAATATATAAGAAGATTACATTATCACAATTAAATAATAGTAATATTAATAAACACAATCAATTCTAATCATGATTAAGGTGAGAATCACCTTTTTCTATTAGTAACCGACCCGTTACTCAAAGCCCCTTCTCGCAATAAAGGGAATCGTTTGTCAGTCGTTGTCGATGCCGTTGATTCAGAAGAAATTGAATTATCACCAGTGTTGATTTCAATTGATTTCTCGGGTCGATTTAATTTGATTATTGGTGGTGCTTTTGAAGATGTGGAAGTTGTCGGTAATAATCTGGTTGATTCGCTTGTTTCATCGTCTTTAACATTTGCATCCTCATCAATTGTCTCGTCCTTTGTTGTTGTTGTTGTCGTGGTCGATGGTAAGTCTTTTGATTTAGACTTTAATTGTTTGGTTGGAGGTAATTTTAATTTCTCAAGTGCTTTACTTAAATCTTCATCTAAATCAATTTGTAAAGGTGAATCAAGTTCACTTGCATTAGATGAAAATTCTGATGAAAGTTCTGATCGAAAGCCAAATGATGATGAAGGTTCATCAATATTGGCTGCCGTTGTTGTTGGTCCTGAATTTGGTCTAGTTTGATGGTCATGATGATGATGGTGAGATGATGATGATTTTTGATGATGGCCAATATATGATGATGACTGTTGTTGATAAGTAGTTGTAGGCCTTTGTTGCGATGATTTAACTTGTTGTTGTTGTTGTTGTTGTTGATGATGATGGTAAAGGTGATGATGTGGTGCTGATGATGTTGATTGATAAGGATGATGATGATTAGTAATATTAAAAGGACTAGTTGATGATGATGGTCGAGATCGTCTAAGTGGCACAAATAGGTCATCACTGGAAGATGATGTTGATGAAAGTCCATCACTTTCAATGGAAGCCAAAACTTTAGGACGATGAAACGGTAACGAGTGCCGACCCAAATTGGCCTGTTCAATTAACCGTTGTAATTGGTCTTGTTGTTGTTTCAATAGTTTCTGTTGTTGAATGATTAACTGCTCTTGGATTCGTTGTTGTTCAATTATCTTAATGTTAATCGGTGGATCCTTTTGGTCAAGATACAATTCCATTGACATTGAATGGGTTGGTGAGGCTGAGCACGAACATCGAGATGAACGCCAACGCGCTGGGACAGTTAGTGAACATCCCTCTGGATCGGAAAGCTCAGTTTCTTGAGGGGAAGGAAGTGCAAAATAATAAGATTCAATGTTGGGACTAATTACATGGCTTAATGAGGTGGCCCCGCTTGAGAAACTCGCTAATTGTTTGTTCAAATCAGCACCAGAACCACCGGCATCACCACCAGTGGAAGTTGATTGTTGAAACTGATAACCTTGGTGTGATTTACCACCTCGAACCTAATATGTATCAAAATTAAATCAATGGATCAATTTTAACGACAATTTAATCACATGGGAAGTACAAATAGTCAACTGAATAAAAAAAAACAAGCAACAGATACAAAAATGAGTTAATCCTAATCTCTGGATTATCTTTGATGGATTTTGTTTCTATTAGTTTTCTGATTGCAATCAATTGTCTACAGATGAGTTAAAGATAAATCATTTAATTGTGACTGATTATCATTTATTGCCAAGTATTATAAATATTAACATATACGATTAGATGTAAAAGTTAATCATCAATCGTGACAATTAAAAGGTAGATGATAAGAAATAAAATTGACAAAATTAAAATAATAAACAATAACCTTTATTAACCAGAGAAAATTATTACAATTAAAAGGTGAGTTCAAGAAAAGGTAATCTTAATTAAGTGATGATTAAATTGTTGATTACATTGAACAAAAGTTAAATTGTTATTTGTGTAATTAGATGACAAAATTAACATTGTTAATTGTTGAGTTGAGTTGAGTGAAAAGTTGGACTGGAAATATAATCTAATTGTTTGTGTGATTGATGTTTTTTTGATAAATTGATTGTGATTAACTATTGGTCAAATCTTGATCTCGTTGAAATGGTTAATTGTTCCAATATAATTAATATGATTGTTAATTGAAGCAACATGAAAGTTGATAAATTGACAAACTATTAAGTTGATGATGATTTCGTATTCATATTAATGGTAATGATTAATATGAATATTAGATAATAATGATTGAACGGAAGAGAGAGAGAGAGAAAGTTAAATTATCGATCTTATCATCATGAAGAATGATGATGAAAATTCAATCAATGTTGAAGAAAAGATGAGTTGAAGATGAAAGAAAAATGTCATCACAATCATCATGATGATAACACTTTTTCATTTCTCGTATGATAATTGTCTCTCTCTCTCTCTCTCTTCCATTCAAAATTAAATTAGAATAATCTTCCTTGATCATCATCATGTTCAAACATGGAAACTGAACTGAAAAATACTCAAGAATCAAAGATTATTAAATTGTTATCATTTGGTTGACATTGAGAGACTCAAAGTAAAATATACTTTTCGATGATAATCATCATCGTCCTTTCACTCTGGTTGGCTTTACATCGATCAATCAATTGGCAAACAAATATAACGACAATTCTTGATGATATCATGATAAAATGTTGAGAGAATCTCGATTGAATATCTCATAACCTTTTTTATTGAGGGGAAAATGTTCTAATATTTCGAACAATCGATTTTCAAAAAGGTTCTAAGAGGAGAAAGATACCAGAAATAATAAAGTCTCTCTCTCTCTCTCTCTCTCACTCGCTCTCTCTTCTCTCTAGATCGAAAGTCTCACCATTATCTTTAATCGTCACAATATAATCGCCATCGATTAACAATCAATTATATCATATAAGATAAACCATTAATTGTAACGTTTGAAACTTTAACAGAAGGAAAAACTAAATAGTCATGACGAAAGACAAAATTTAGTTAAATCAACTATTGAATTCTGTCTTAATCAATGGTAAAATTTTCCATCAACTTGATACCCTGACAATTAGCTTGACAATTAAATCAAAGAAATTGCGCGAAAAAATTGATTCAAAAAATGACAATTCCAGTGAGTTCGCAGAACCTTTGATTTGAGATTCTTTCAGTTAACTATCAATACAATCAGTTAATTATCCTTATGATAATCATTACCAAATAGAATCCAAGAATCAAGTCAATCAACAATTAAGCTCAATCAGTAAAGTTGATGTTAAATTAGAGTAATGAATTTGTGTTTTTTTAATTCATCACAATGATTAATATTATCTATATATTGATAAGATGCTCAGTTCACTGAATTTGATCAACAATTAACCATGAATTTAGTCATGATCATTAACTTTGAACCAATTGGATCAAGTTTTTTAAATTTACGTTTCTGTCTTTTAACAATCAATCTTGGACTCTCATTTAGATAGTAAAATAAAATTTGATACAATTAAAATGTTACTATTTCCAACAATTAATCAATTTTAGTTGAATAGATAAATAATATTAGTAATTAAATTACTTCTCAATAACCGTAAGCTCAAAGTGTAAAAAGTTAATTGTCACAAGTAGTGATTTAATTGTTTAGTTGATTAGTTTAAGCTCGTTAATGTATTATGTGCCTCGTTGTTGATGGTTAGTTTAATTATGATCGATCAGTTGATTAAATTCAAGCGATTTGAGCAAATTTATTGGTAAGCAATTTACTAATAGCATCTTAATGACTATTGATATTGAATGAAAACAAAAAATGAATCAGTCACTATTAAATCAGATCTAATTGTTATAATAAAAATAAGTAATTATAACTAGTTGATTGTGATAGTTTAAGCATCGTGTTCAATTGATTGCAAAGATTTGGAAGCGCAAGTTTTTAAGTTGATTGTTGCAATGATTTGGGAAGGTTAAATGATTAGTGATGGTAACAATTTAGTAAACAATTAAATCTGATCAACTATTGAGTTTTTCTCTTTCACTGAAAGTATTAAATTTGACGATCATTGATTAATTGTTGATCTTTTCGTCTGCAAAGCTAATTAATTAATTAATTGTATATCTGTTGTGTTTTTATTGTATTTTTAGACACACACCTTGTTTTCAGCTCTCGACTCGTTACCGTGTTTACCACGTGCTGCTGATCGTCCAGTGTCCATCATGATCAGTGGGTCATCAAGCGGCAGTAGCCCGTTAAATGCTGTCTCAGTGTTGATATCTCCAAGTCGTTGACGATGTAAACTCCCAGTAACTGGTCCAAGATCGGAAAGTACATCAAACGGAATGGTCAACGAACTTGGATCCAATTTAATTTTTCCACCCGCTCCTCTTTGACCAATCCCTCCGGAGCCATTTCTCAATGGTAGTTGTTGATGATTTGAATTATTGATCATCTTTAACGATTCTTTACCCGTTTGATGATCACCATTGTTATTTGTTGATCTTATTGTTCCTGCCGATAGGTTTGCCGCTGTGGTTTTAGCGGATGTCACAGTATTCGAGTTAAGTCCAAGTTCAAGGTTAACCTTTTTCAATAAACTTCCGTCAATAGCCTGACCAGTAATTCGATTCTCAGGGACAATGTTGATGCTATGGAAGGTATTGGTTCTTTATGTTGGTCAGTTGGAACTGTGGACGAGGATGAATTTGACATTTTATTACCTACATGAGTGGATGAGCTTCCAGCACCATGACCCCCACCACCACCACCACCTTTACCATGACCAATCGAATCCTTGTTGGAATGTAAATTGTTACTATTAGATAATGATGGTGGCAGATTGGTGTTTGTTGTAGGCGTTGGCTTGGCGGGGACAACTTTGACACCAAGCGTATCACGAACTTCAAAGGTTAAAACAAGAGCGGCTACAATAACAATCCCACCAAGGCCCATGATAACTGGACCGGCAAATGTTAAATTACGGAATACTGAAGGAAGTGGAGTTTCAATAACCGTATCATTGGACAGAGTTTGAGTTGAATTGTGATTAGCATCGGCCACAAATCCCACCACCGACATAATGGTTCCCGCTATAAAAAGTACCAAACCACCGGAAAGCGCTTTAAGGGCAACACAGAAACAATGCCAGGTACACTTTAGTTTGGGCTCCTCACCTTTGGCTCCACGATCCTCCTTCCCATGGAGCCCAGGGTGGGAAGAAGGATAATTTAAATGTGTAGCACCGGGTCCACCGCCCCCACCACCACCTCCTCCAGGGATAACATTATACCGTTCACCAGACGTCCCTGTCATTGATGCTGGAGCAGGTGAGTAGGGGCGACCCGAAGTGGGCACATGTGATGGTGTTCGAGGTCGACCTTTTCCTGGTGCCTGAGGTGGTACCAGGGGACCAGAGGTTCGACCTGTAGTTGCTTGTTGACGTAATTGACGTCCAATTACCGCTGCACTGTTCATGGTTAGTTAATTGTTGAGAATGATGAGTGAACACAAATACACACACAAAATGATGATTGAATCACAATTTAAATATAAATAAATTAAAAAAAAATAATTAAAGAGAGAAAAAAAAGAAAGAAGAAAAAAATTATTCAATAACTTTGATAAAAATTTTCGAATCAAAACTTTTGTTCAAAAATCGAAAAGTTTTTCTTTTCTCTAATCTCCAATTCTAACTCCCAGTAAGGAGTTTATTTTGTTATGATAACTTTTGATTTCTTAATTAGTTTGATTATAATCAAAGAATAGACCAGTTGATTGCTTTTAAATTTCAATTAATTATCAAGTAATTAAAGTTGATTGTTAATGAAAAGCATCCAGGGTTAATTAACTATTATTACTTAATTGCAGGCGGGTTGCATTCAACTATTATAATTTGATTATCACAAACTAGATCTGTAACAATTTGTTAATTTGTGCGGTTTTTTTGATCAGTTAATTTTGATTTAAATAATTTATTGGTTAATTGTTGTTGCAATTTAATCAATTTTGCAGATGCTTTCTGATTGCGTTTCCTTGCTTCTTATAATCATAATCTAAATTGTTATGATTTAACATCTAATGGTGGACAAGGCAGTCTAATTGTATCAATCAATTGGTTTTTAATTTTTTATTTATGATTAACGTTGAGTTGAGGCAATTAAAAGATAATCAAAATCAGGCAATTTAAATTTCTCATTTAAACCATTCTCATTGAGTGTTTGATTTGAGTGGTCAGTGAATTTGGTGATTTAAATGTGATTAAACATTTTGCTCTCAATATTTTGTTCAAGGTGAGGTAGTGAGAGTTAATTGTGTTCGTTGCTAAACAACAATTAAAGGTGAATTTAATTAACTGAAACAAAGAGAGAGAGAGAGAGAGAGAGAACCAAGAATGGTTGTTAATTGTTAGTTGATTGCAATTCAGTAATTAAAATTTGAGTTGAACATGAAGCGGAAAAACATACATTGCATTTATTGTGAAGGTTTTAAATGTGTGACAATTAGTTGATTGTGATTAGAGCAACAAACAGCAACGTGACAAAAGATGGAGAGCAAGTGTTAACACATAAAGGATCGGAAGGGTTAATTGTGATTAGTGAGTTGGAATTGATTGTGGTCAAGCAATTGAATTTGTGAATTGATGATCAATTTTTTTGCGAAATTAATTGAAATTTTTTGAAGTGATTTACTTTAATTTGATTTGGTTAATTGAACTTAATTACGGAATTTGAAAACGGCAATTAAACAAATTAGAGTAACTAGACAACTGAATCAAATCCAAGTTTCAGTCTGATTAAATTGTGAATTATAATTATGATCAAATTGAATTGTTAACAAAAATGATTAAGTGTATCACACGTTAAATTGTCAGATGATTTATGAACTAGATTAAGATTTATTTTTCCACAATTAACTTTAATTGTTGGAGTGGAATTGTAAGATTACCGTTCTCAGTGGTAAGTTATTATCAGAATGATAAACTCATTAAGTGTTTAACTAATTGTGATAAATTGTTGATGATTAAACTGAATACTCTGTGTTTAAATGATCCTCAAATTATAACAATTGATTAATTAACTGATTAACTGGGAGTTGGAAACTGGAATGAAAAAGTTTTTCCATTAAAAAGCTGATGGGCAACAATTAGAAAGACATTGATTGGCAAGCGTTAATTTGAACAATTAAAGAAAGCGAAAGCAATTTAAGACAATTAACACCGATAGAATGACAAATACAATAAGCAATTAAGCAGAAAACGATGAAACAATTAAGACAATCACAATTAAAGATAACAATTAGAATCAACAATTAATTCCTACCCGGAGTATGGATTCAGTTTGATTACTTTTGATTAAAACTGAATCAGTTTGATCTTAACTTATTAAAAGTAATCGAAGGTGAATAATTTAATTAATCAACGTTTTTCTTGTGTAAATTTAATTGTCAGTCCAACGATCAGTTGATTGTGTGATTAAGTTAACAAATTTTAACAATCAAGAGGTTGAATTATCATGTAGTTGCATCACCAATTTTGATTTTGATTGTAATTAATTTTTATTCAGGTCAATTCCATTAATTCAATTCACAATTTAAACTGTTAAATGGGAAAGGATAATCAAGGATAAGTATTAATATATAAATTAAATTGTAATGCAAATTGTAAATTAATTGTAAGAGTAAAAATTTAACTAATTGGAAGGGATTGGATAAGTTAGTGCAATCAAGAAAAAAAATTAATAATTAGTAAATTAAAATTAGTTTAACATAATCTATTAATTTAGTTAGCTACTTGGACTATTCTTGACAATCAAAGTTAATTGTGTTTCTTTTTTTTTTAATTCAATAATAATATTAACTGTTGATATGACAATTAGTAATTATTTGGTTGATTGTTGATTAAGTTTTGATTGTTCCTATTGTAATATATCAATGTTGATATGAAGTTAGAAAGCTATTAGTTGATTGTTTATCTTAATTGTGCAATTTGATTGGAAAAGGGTAAAGATTTCAATATAATAATTAAATCTGAAAACAACAAATTAAATCAATTGTGCTGAATTTGAATTAATTTTCTTACCTCATCTTTAAATTGTTACCAACGACAAGGTGATTACGATGATGATAATTGAGTCCGTATTTGTAATTAAGATTTAAATTAACGGCACACTGGTAAAATTACAAAGTTTTTACAATAATTAACACGATAATTAATCAGTTAACCACAGTGAGAATTAATAATTAGTCCAATATCGCATCGAATTGATTAGTGAGGGGAAAAAATTAACAATTAGCATCAGGAAGACGTGAAACTTATGATGAGAAAAGGCAAAAAATAAATTGAGACATTTAATTGTCCAAATGATAGACACAAATGATTAACAAATCACCGAATTGAATCCCGTTACCATCATTTAATTGTGATTGGACCCAAAAGATTTAAACTACAATTAAAAAAAAAGAAGAGCAAAAAATAAAAAAAGTTACGAGAAAAGTTTATCATCAGAGTAGAACAACAATTAACAAATTGTTTAAACTTTGAGAAGATGAAAAATCATCAACAGTAATCAAGTAAATTAAGATAATCGAGTAAGTAGAAGTCAATTTGGTTGCTAAATTGTAGCAATTGACGATACAAAATCAATCGATTCCATTGAGTTGAGATTATTTCAGATAAAAATAATATCATTTATAAACATTGAGTCCATTCAGAAATCTTGTATTTCCAATGTATTAATATAATCATTGTTATCGTTACCAGGAAACGCTCACTCGAAACTCATTAATTTATCTTCTCTGTCGACATGATGAATATCATTTCGACAAGGAAATGAGAGACGGAAAACAGTTATCCCTCTTTCATCATCATCTTATCATCTTATCCTTCAGAATATCAATTTCATTGATGATTATCAACCAAAAGAAAAAAAAATAGAAAATGATAAATACAAATGCCTACCAATCATCATGATTTGATTAGCAAAATATAATCACAACTGATTATTGTTGTTAATCGTTTCCAATTAAGTCAATTTCTCAACAATCAATAATAAACAATAGATTGTTGATCATAAATGTTCGAAAATTACAATCAATTCAACGATAAGAATCGATGATGATTGAAATAATTTTATTAGTTCAAATCTATTGGACGAAAAAAATATTAACGGAAACTTTAAACTCACCTTGATAATTGATTACAATTTGAACAATTAATAGGTAGTAATATCAGTAGATATCGACAATTAAATGTTTTCACTTTGTTAATTGTTGATAATAAACACGTTGAGTTGAAGTTTGGTGTTTGTTTCACAGTTGACTGAGGTTCCAATGTAAATAGTGATAAAATATTGTTGAATAAGCCGGTTGGTTGATTGTCATCATCATATTCATCCACATCATCATCTAAATCATATGATTATCATCTTCTGAACCACCACACCCTGGCAAGTTTCAACGGTATTTTATCATCATCATCATCTTCATTATTCCTCTTGGATAGACTTTAGAAAATGATTATTATATTGAGTAAACAGAACTTTAAGAAACTGAAGGAAAAATTAGATTTTGTTTGTTTTTTTTTTACTTAACGGGTTAAAGATGAGGCTCTAGATAATGATGATGATGATGATGTTGATGGTGGTGGTGATTTAATTCAAACACATACAATGATAAAGGATTAAATTGTTCACAGTCACAATGGGTAATAAAAAATAAATATAAACTCACACTCCCTGTTGTTTATTATCTTGGTGATGATGCTTTTTGATATTAATCCAAAATGGTGTTTAAATGTACAAAATATTGAAACACAAACTCATGTAAGTAACTTGGATTGTTGTTGTTATCTGAAGCAGGACTAACAGGTTCAGTTGTGTAAATGTACCTTGAGAAGTGAATTGGAAGGGATGATGAACATGATGATGAAAAGAGGGAGTTTCAGGGGAAATTATAGTTGGCCTAGTGCTTTTATCTTCTTTCTCTTTCTTTCTCTTTTTCTCTTTTTGTTCTGAAGAAACTCGATTCTCAATTCACTCGAGAACCAGAACTTTTTTGCCAATGCGCTGAATCTATTGAACAGTTTTTCTCGTGTTGGTTTTTATTAAAAGAGGAACAAAAGTTATTCACTCAAATTGCCTGGCGCAACCAAAGAATGATGATGATGAAAGGATGATAAGTGTGTGAAAGAAAATAGAAAGATGAAAAGAAAGTAGAAAAAAGAGAGTAACTTATATTCTTTCCTTCATCTAGTACATTCAACGATCGAATTCGAATGGAAAACTCACTCCCAGTTCTAACTCCCAACTCGAATTCACTGTTACTCTTCTTGTTCTCATTCTTATCATCTCTCTCTCTCTCTGCTCTTTTCTCTCTTTCTTTCTAATATCATTCTTACTTTCAGTCTTTTCTTCACGTCGTTATCATCTCTTAGTTCATCCTGCTATTTTTCTTCTCGAGGATGATAACCTAAATGAAGATAAAAATGAGTCGACTCATCAGAGAATAAGAAATGATCGATTCTAATTGAAATCTATTGAATTTTATGAATGAAAAAACGTCCACATGATCAAAGAAATAGTGAACATATGAATAGAATGATTTATCGTAAAAAGAAATCAGCACTCAACCCTATTTAAAATAACACAATCGACTAATCAACTTGATTCCAACTATCAATCCAAATCACAACAAATTAATTATCACCAAAACAATTATATCAATAGTTAAACTTTAACAAACTTTTTTCTCATTCATTAAAAAGGTAAACATTTTTGTCTCAAATTGATTCATGAAAATCTACTGAATATATTGCTTATTGGACCAGAACTTGGAACCAAAATTATTTCATCAACATTCATATTAACTAATGTTTCACGGACTGATTGATGGTCAATTATGATATACTGACCTGAAGATGATGATAAAAGAGCAACTGAATGCAAGCCAAAAACAGGAGGAGGAAATTTCAACATCTCTGAACAATTTTCATGAACAAAACTCTGTTACCATGTAACTGGAAAGCATAACATGGAAACATGTTAATTCAGTAACAATAATGATGACAATGTTAATCACAACAATCAAATCAGTAATTAAGGTAAACACATTGAGTCTCTCCCTTTGAATTACCTTAACCTTTTTTTTCACAAGGTTCATTTATTGAATTTTTCACTATAATCAAAAGGGTTAATTGTTTGAATGATTTCTGTTGATTAATACCAATGGTTTATTAATTGTCACATCATTTTTTAATTATTTTGGGCCAATACATTTATTTTTGTGAATCAGTTTGATTAAATTGAGAACAACAATGAGACACAATTAGATAACAAAAATTTAAATGAATCTTAATTGTTACAATTGTTAATGATTCCATTTGAAACAATCAAGTTGACAATTTTGAATAGTTCGTAGTGAAATTAACTCTTTATTTTGATAATGATTTAATGTCGATATGAATTGATAATTACTCATCAATTATCAAACTTTCAGGGTGAATTTCATAACATTTAACTTAATAGAAATGATTCCTCATCAAAGTTAAGTTCGTTAATTAGTAAATTATTATTATATTTGTACTTTTTAAGATTTTTTCAATTTTGACAATATTTAAACGATCAGAGATACGAAATAAAAATTAGATTATCAGAAATATTGATTATCGGATTATTGTCCATTGGATGATGATGATAACTAATCAGTCTGGTCTTTATGATTTATCATTATGATTATCATCATTTATCAATGGCGCTTTAACTTGGCGATGATCAATGATTGATAATTCATTCATTCATTTGAAATTCATTCAGGAAGAAAAATCCTGAGATAACGGTAATATTATTCAAAGTTGTTTCTGTTTAGAACTTTTTCTTTCATAAAGTTTTGACTTTTTGGTAATGATGATGAAGATAAAGATGACGATAATGGTAGTAAGATGTACTATTTCCTACCAATGGCTCAGTCTTATGGTATCAGGATCAATATCACTTTTTTTGTGTGTGTCAAGTTAACGGCAAAGGGAAAGTGATATTACATTTTCAATGTTTCGTTGGGAGTGAAAATGATAATATTTTATCCCTCTCTGTCCAGAATTGGGAGTGTCCAGTTTTGTTTGAGATTAATTACATTATTGGAAATGAAAAACAAAAAAGGGATCAAGTAAAAAAGTAGGAGGCGTGGGAGTAAGAGGAAGATGAAGAGGAGGATGTGTTAATGGCGGTGATAATCATTACTATCATGAATGGTCATTGTTGTTATTGAATTATGATAATTATAATCGTTATTATTGATTATGATGATAGAAACGTAAGTTTCTAATTTCAAATTGGATTTGTTACTTTGAGTTTCAATTATCGAGTATGAGAGAGAGAGAGAGAGAGAGATCGAAATCTAAGTTTATATCAATACGAATTCAACACAATGGAACAAAATATCAATGTTCAGATGAAGATGATAGAGCTGATAATGAGTAAAATAATCGATCAGACAAAATATTTAAGACCAACAGTAACCATGAACTTTTCAATGAATAGCTCAGAATCAAGGACAGCAATGTGAGCCGCTCGACCAATAATTGAATTGGCATTGGATGATAAAGCGTGATGAACATCATATCGGATTAACTTTGAGTGGCCATTTTTTACTATAGGATGAAGCAGATTCGTAACCATCTCTCGATATGAGATTCCTAAGATGAAAAAAGAGGGAAAGATGGAAGATTAAAGATGAGAAGAAAAATGGACAATAATATTGATAATAATAACTAAAGAGAAGTGAGAAAAGATAAGATAGACTCGGAAAATAGCAGTGATAGTATTAGAGATGAAGTAAAATTGGAAGTGGGATGAAGATGGAGAGGGAGAGGGAAAAAGTTGTATTGAAAGGGTCACTATGAACTGACAATGCGATTGACCAACTGGAAACTTAATCCAAGAGAAGCAAAAAAACTAGAGCTAAAACGGAATTGACGATTAGATAGAGTGAGAGAGATGATGATAACATTACCATCACAAAGATGATGAGACAGAAAAAAAAGTAAGAAGAAGAGATGATGATAATAGGAGCTCAAAATTTCATCTTCTATTGGTCTATTGTTTTTGTTTTTTTCTTCTTCTTTTAATCTTCCACTTCTTAGAGATGAGTAAATGTCTTGTAAGAATATATTTCTGAATGAAAAGTTTCAGATTGATTTTCAGAAAATTACTTGTTTCTCCTCAATATCACCCTACTCTCCCTCTATCTCTGATCCATGAATTTTCTGTCTTCATGGTAGTTAATTGAATAACAATATAATAACTGAAATGAAAACCAAGTGAAGCGCATGCAATTACAATGAGATAGAAAATGAAATAATGTTTCAAATCGTGAATCTTATTGACGATTTTTAATCCAATTATGTTACGATAACTTTCATTAGCAATTTGAGTTAGATATCCAAGAAAGAGGTAAAAATGATCAAGAGTAATAAACAAAACTAAATCTATTCAATCATTGATCATAATTAAGCAATTTCTCATATGAAATTGAACAAGTAAACAGTAGTCTTTATAACTAGTTGATTCCAATTAAGATTATAATAAACTGATGTAAGTATATTGTGATGGTGAATACGAAAATTTCATTGAACATCGAAAAGAAAATATATTTTTAATTGAGTATAGATAATAGATATTGAGTAGAGATTGATGGAAGAGAGAGAGAGAGAGAGAGAGGCAAAGTAGCATCTCATCATAAGTAAATTTAAGGAAGGGAAATGAACGCAAAAAGGATAATGATAATGATAAAATACATCAAGATGAATGAGTGAGTCGCTGTAGTTTGACTGTTAACTACTGCCAATCACTAATGCAAAATCAAGACTCTCTCGTGAATAACAACAACTAAATTGGAATGATGATGAGAATGAATAAGATTGAGAATAGGGAAGGTTAAGTGATTAAGAAGATACAGATGATACGAGATGAGAGAAAACATTGTCTGGATATAAAAGAGATGCACTCAAAATGAGCAATAAATGTCCATGAAATTCAGGAAAAAGGGATTGGAACAAATCATTAAATAGAGTGATCATATAAATACCTATTATGGATGTATCATTGATACATGGTGTACATAATTCAATATGAGATGAATGTATGGGAACATAATGATCTTGAGATGAGCCACATAATAAAATGTATCGGAAAAATTGTAAACCCGCTTCTTGGCTTAATTTGTACAGAAAAGTTTGACGGGGATCGGGTGAATCTTTCATGGAGAGTTGAAGAAGAGACTCTGATTTTTTCAATTTCTGCATGAACCATAAACCTAAAAGAAATCAAAAATTGATCATTAGCATCACAAATATTATTAATTACGAAAATCTTTCACATGAAAATATCTACATCAAGTGGGAGGGGAAAAGGGTTCATTAGGATTCATTATTATCTGATTTAGACAGGGGAAAAGTGTAGCATTTGCTTGGTCTGTTTAATTCATTACCATGAAAATTGTACACTGAATTAACTATCAACTGTTATAGTAAAAAAAACTGTGATTGTTGAAAACAATGAGACAAACGGTTAACATGGAAATAGATTCAAATTTGACCTTAATTGTGATTAAATCATTCTTTAAACATGTAACCGTGATTAATAAAATACTAATGATGATTAGATTGAATGAATGAGAAAATATTGATTGTGAATGATGCTAACGATTTCCCGACTGGTTATCAATTATAAATCATCATAATAATTAGGCAACGATATTATTGATTTGGTAAAAGATATGAAAATTGTGAAATCAATGATAAATTATCAGCAAAAATAATATAATCATTGAAAAGACGATAAGTAATCAATATGAAGATATCATCTTATTGTTTTCATTTAATTCAGTTGATCAGAAATTGTCAATGCTAGTGAATATAATATATTAATACAATTCAACTGTATACAAAATAATCAACTGATTGTCACTGGGATTTGTAAAAATTGTAAAGTTAATAACAACTTTAGACTAATAGTTAACCAATTAACAGATAATCTCATCAATCAGGGTTAATTTTATCCCTTATGATCATGATACACCGATGAATTTCAGGAAGTTTATCATGACCGATTACTGATTGTCAACTTTTTGCTTGTTTACTTCAAGAATTAAGTTTCTCATCTATCAACCATATGATAAACTAATCTATTAATAACTTGATAGTGATTCTGATGATATAACCCTGATCATGAATCACAAACTAGTTCAAGTTTACAATTAAAGTGAGGATGATAAACATTTGATTATAACCAAAGGATTGGGATAAGAAGAGAAAAATTAACTCGTACTGATTGAATATCATCTTGACAAATGGGACATTTTAATGATTTAGTCTCATCATTAAAGTTAATTGTTGCCTTAGATGTTTGTTGTTATTCATGTTGATTATTGTAACATCATTAGTTTGAGTGATATTAATTAACTACAACTGGCTACAGATACAGATTATCGTAACCTAAATTGGTAATGACCAGTAACATACCCAAGTAATAATAATAATATTTATATCGATTATGAAATGTATACAAATTAATGTTAATTACCCATATTGACCAGTCCATTATTATTGTAAACTGTACCGAGATGAGGTCCAGAGAGGCTTAAAAAGGTATAAAATTTTGATCGCCATTGGTACATTTCCGGATGAGATATACAAGCTCGAATGATAATATTACCAAGTGAGTGACCAATGAAACTGAATAAATGATGAAACAAAAAAGGAAGCAAAGAAAAGCAATTAAGATTCATTAATTAGGTGGTAAAACCATTCAACTGACCAATAATAGAATGAAAAATTTATCTTGATAAATTCTGTACTGTTAACCAGCAAACAATTGACTTTACACTAATTAGCCAACAGTTATTACAATTATAATTAATTGTTTCAGTTGAGTGTTGTTAATTTTCATCATTATCGTCAACACCATTAAATTTTATCCCTTTTTTATATATCAAAACATTTCATTCTAACGTTTCTTTTTTCATAATCTTTAAAAAGTTCTGAATCAACTGAATCTCATGCCATGAGTGGACATTAATGGGTGTAATCTTAATGAAAGTTGACTGTGTTGACCTAGAATGAGCTGTTTCATCATAAAGATTCATGGTTGACTCAGAATTATCCTCATGTAAAAGGAAGAAGAAAGGAAAATAATTCTGTTCTTCTGGAGGAAAAAAATTCTTACTCCATAATGATAATAATGAGAAAAAAAAAGTTCATTAATAGGAATAATCTACCCATGAGTGAGGCGACAATTTAATAATAGGATAAAACTACGATGCCAGAATTCAATCAAGAATATCAGTTGATTTTTAAAAATCTCACATGAATAGTTGATACTTAATCAAGATCGATAAGTAATCAATTGATCAAAGATCAGAGTCAATTAAACAGTGAATGATAATGAGATGATGAGGATGTCAATTAAGTGAAAGAAGATTTAAAAAAAAATAGAGATCAAGATGACAAATGATTAAAAGGATGATCCATGCAACTATCTATGACTATCATCTCTATAAGAAATTCAGAAGATGAATAAAAAACACCAAACAATTTATTCTGAAAACAGAATACAATAATAATCATGATAATAGTTACATGAAAATGTCTGAATTGACTGAAAAATGATTTATGATGTTAAATTGCTTGGCTTAACCAATCTCAGCATGTGTTGTTATTCAACTGGTATTTTATCATCATCATGATAAACATGATTATCTTCATGATACAATTGAAATCAAAATATTAATAATAGTAACTCATCCAGTGGATCTATTTTATCAATACACTGGGATGAACATGTTATTGTAACAAATTGATTTCTCATTGAAGGAATCGTTTATTGGAACTTTTTTTTCATTCATCTAATATCATGAAACCTTGAAAAAAAAATTTTCCAAGCAACAAGTTTGATTTAAACAGCAATGAAATTCTGAAAGTTCAGAGGTTCACAGTTCAGTTGGAATTGTCAAGGTTACATTATTATTATTATTATTTATTATCTTACTTAATTTCCTAACGTCTTATTTTGATAATCATCATCTAATAAAACTGAGATAATGATTATGATCAACATCAAATATATTAATTGGTATTTGTGTTCAATAATCATTATCATCAAGATAGTATTAATATTAATCTCTTGCGTTATTAATACCAAAGGTATTCAGGTGAAAACAAAGGACAAAGATGAGGATGACAATCATGATGAACTATTAAATGAATGAGAATGATAAATATCTAGAATATTGAAAAATATAACGATTAGAATGAAGTTATAATGAAAAATCATCACATTGATAATCATAATTATCTTCATCAACTCAACAGGATAATATTCAATCTTGGTTGAAGAATTGAAGCTAAATTGCTTAGTATTAATAAATGTTAATTAAAGACAATATATGATTATTATTACCATTGATGATGATCATAATTGCGCATCTCATTCATATTTTGTTTTAGCAACAAGGACAATAATATGATTCATTTTCCCCTGAACCAGAATTCTGGTGTTATATATTGAAATCGATAAGAGGTTAAGTTGTAAGATGAATCAAAATCAATGGGAAACGATAAGACGAAAATGTTATCATGATTAAATTAAAAATTAGTAGACAAGTAAAAAAAAGAGTTGATTGTCAATACTGTTTCAATTGTTCCCAAACAATCAACAGAATTGCAAAGAAAAAAGTGTTACGAAATGAACTGCCCAATGTCCAAGGAAAAAATTGGTTATAATAATTGAAATTCAATACCTAATATTCAATCAATATTTACTATCTATTGCTATTTTATACCTCCCCTTGAATCATGATTATGACCATTGGTCAGTATTTTTTTTTCTCGATCTAGTTTTATGTTTGTATTACGTTGAGAAAATCGAGAAGGAAAAAAGAAACAAAAATGTACTTGTCGAAATTACTTCTTGACATTGATCTTATTAGTGGAATTAAATTGTTGATGGTTTGTTGATTGTCATCATGTTTTATGCATGTGTAAATGTCTATCTTGATTCTGAAGTGGAAAAAAAAAGTTCTGAACTGCTACAAGATTAAGATGATGATAAACTCTTGCCACTTTAAGTTAACATTGAAAGATGAGAATAAAATTTTCCTGTGAGTTTACCCATGTAATAAATGATAATACATTTACTATGAACACTGGGATTCACATGAAGAAACAAACGTTAATTAACCATGATTAATATTCATTTACTGGGATAATTAAGTTCCATTTGAAAAATAATCAACAAAATATCAAACTTTCATCAGGAGCAACAATTGTATCTACTGTTAAGAGTAATTTTTGTGAACATTATCAAAATTTATCCTCTCATGTTATCGTTATACTGATTCATCATTATTCAGAACGAACTTGTGAATATCAATCGAAATTCAATCTCATCATCTGAATTCTATCTCAGCATTAGAGATAAAGTTAATGTCCACTAAATGAAAAAACTGATAATAGACTTTTGCTCATCAGGTGAGATAAGTTGACCATTAGAATTACTGACAAAACAGCTGAGTAGATATTATTCAATTTCCTCCAATTTTTATCATGAAACTTCAATCGAAATAGCTAAAGATGTAGATTATCATCGAACGAATAATAAAATGTAACAATACCTGAGAATATTGATAATTCAAGGTATTAGTATCTCTTATCGCCAAGATAAACCATAAGATTTATGATTTACTAGATTCACTTTGGATTAATGTTAATCTGATATCAAGAATCATGAACAGTAAGTTAGAGGGAATTTAAATGCTTAGATAATACAAAATGAAACTATTAGCATCCATAAAATGATTATATGTATATTTTGATTGTTGGGATGAGGAAAATGATGATGAATAGTGGGTGTCAAGGTTAGCTATCTGATTGTTAACTGAACAATGTCATCAGCATTACATGGTGAATGGTGGATGGTAAATGACAAAGATAAGTGAGAAAAAATATATTAAGGAAATGAGAAAAAAACAGTTTGCATCAATTTACTGGATGAAATATCATCTCTGATGATTATGAGAGATGAATCTGTGGATGGATGAGGATGAGAGATAATAATCTGATTGTTTACAGGTTGATAATGTAATTAAACCCACACGCGGTTACACATTATGATTGTATGTGTCGCGCTGTTTACAGGGTGATACATTTTTTTTGCATTAGCAAATGTGATTTGAAAGGAGGATGAAAACAAAGTGAGTTGTTTACGAGAAGATAGATGATTATGACTTATTTTATGGGTGGGAAGGATCAACACACCGGAAAAGGAATTAGTATTTCCATTGAATATTACATTTCCAATGGAAAAGGACGGAAGTTCTTGGTGATGAGAGAAAGAGATAAATAGACAGAAATAGAAAGAGGTTATGATGTTAGTCAGGCTACATGGTGAGTGAAAGATTCATAAAGAATCTGAATTATAATGGAAGAAAGAAAAGATTATGATGATGATAAAGATTCAAGATAGAGATCAAGTAGTGAGAAGAGAAAGACTTCAGGACAAAGATAATTTTGTCGAGTAGTAGTGAAGAAGAAGAGAAAAAATAGAATTGAATTACATGAGAAAAATAATGAAACTCTGAATCGAGTTGACAAGAAAAATGTGAAAATTATGAAATCAAATTGATTGCGTATCATTGTAATGATAATAGTAAACAAAGATCAACAGGATTAACAATAAACAAAGTAAATAAATTATTCGATTTAATTGGTCAGATTGGCAATTATACTTCTAAACAACGAAAAAAGGTTTTACATGAGATCGATCACACAACAAGCGGAAAAAATGAATCGATGGGAATAAAATTATTTCGAAATCAAGAGTAAGAATCATAGAGCCAATACATTGGTGAAGTGAGTAGGAGGTTAATCATATAAAAAAGAGAAATTATCAGAGAGAGAGAGAGAGAGAGAGAGAGAGAGAGAGAGAGAGAGAGAGAGTTGAACCAATTGTTAAGTTAGCTAACCTAAAGTATTGATGAATTTCAATCGAAAACAGGCTGAATATCATCTCGAATTTATAAAATTAAGGATATTAAATGTGTGTAAGGATCTCAACAGAATTTGATGAACACTAAAATCTAATAAACTTTACATAATCCTGAAAGTTGAAGCCTGAACAAGTAGATTCTTGAACTGAACGAGCAAATATGAAAAATCATGTAGATTATATTTTAATATCTTTACTGAATAACGATTATTTTGGTTCCTTTTTCGGTTTTATAGGATCAACAAGAAAGTAGGTCAATCTTATTGATTGAATTCAACTAGCAGGATCAATCGATTTGTAGTCATAGGAGTGATAGTATTTGATGTTGTTGTTGTTGTTACAAAATATCATAGTAAGAAAAGACAGAAGATAAAGATGATAAAGAGAAAAAAAATTATCGAAAATCAAGTATCGACCATAGAGTTACCATTGATTCGAGTGTCTAATAATGTACAATTTAATATTATCAAAGATTCAAGAACAAATCTCTGAACAGTAACCAAAACAGTTACGAAAATAATTGTTTCATGGTAATCTCTCTCTCTCTCTCTCTCTCTCTCTCTCTCTCTCTCTTCATCTTATCTCACTCCCATTTCCTCTATCAATTGATTTACTTGATTTTTATTGGACTTCCCTTTTGTTTCATATGCTTACAATAATACAAATATTGAATATCAAATTGACTGTGATAATTATTTAATTTTCTGATTATTATTATATTGTGACATATAATTTTGGTTAATTATCAATAGCGACCAATTAAAGTTGATTAAAGTTTACTACGTATAAAGACATGAATGACTCTATGTCAGCCATAAGGGATTGGTGGACAATCCCATTGATTAAAATTTAAAGCATTTCATCAATGGTGATTAGATTAATATAAACTCGATTAAAAGATTGATTAGAAAACATGAATTGATCCAATAGTGGACATGAGAAATGTCGAGGAAAAAATATTTAAACAATTGTAAGGGTAAATTAATCACTTAATGATTTGATGGAAGTGATAACAATTAGTAAATTGAATTGTTGAGATGTGGTTAACTGAATGAATAACTAATAGGTGATGTAATACTAATTTAATAATTAAAGGAGTGATTGAAAATCAATACAAGACAAATAGATTATCAAAAACCATCATCAAATTGTAACAATGGTGAAAAAAGTAACAAAGACAATTTATAGTTAATTGTATTGGGCAAAAATAAATGATGAGGATGAAAACACAGGTTATCATCATCATCATCACGAGTCACGTAATAAATTTGATGATACAAATATAAATCATCCTCATCATGATGAGTGAAGATATGACAACAACATGACAATAAAAGCTCACATTATATTTTATTAAACATAAGTTACTCTTAACAATCAACATGATGACGAGTATTTAGTTGCCCATCCCATGAAGATATAAGATTAACTTAACTTCATCTGATATCTATGAATAATCAAGTAGATTAACATGAAAATTCATGAGCATAAATTGTGAATATCAACTAATAATATACACTGAAAGATATGATAATAAATAAATTCAATTGCGTGATTAGATAATGAGAGATTGAATAAGCAAAGTTTGGGATCATTTTGATTAGAAATAGTCTTCAATTAATGAGATACAATTAAGGTAAAAATATTTATATTAATATTAATAAGCAAAAACTTTTTTCAAATTGTTGTTAAAAGTCAATTGTAAATTTAAATAGCAAATAACAGTTATTATTGTGTTACAATAATATTAATTGTTATTAATTGTATTCGGATTGTCCCTCGGAATAACTAAATTCAATTCTTGTAACATCATATCTAATACACACTGTCATTGTAATTGTGTCAAGTTATGTAAGAGCTTAAGTAACTAATTAACTTTTTCCTGGTTGTTATTGTCATGATGATGTTAATTATCAGAAAACAATTGATATCGGACTTTTCTTTTGCTGATGCTATTAGACTGGACATCATCAGTTAGATTGATCCTTTGGCTTTAATGTTAATATTGGTTGATAACAACAACAATAACTGTCCATCTATAACTGACCCGAATTCAGATTGACCATGGAAAGAGGGAGGAGGCAGAAAAAAGTGCAATATCAACAAGAAAAAAAAAATCATCTCAAGATTGAAAGTAATTTAATACAAATGTTAACCTAATGGAGTGTGTGTCCAGTTCTCGTTTCCATCTTGATTAAGGTTTACTAAATTAAGTTGATTCATCAATTCTTACCATCATCATGATCCCATTTGCATATAATCATCGTATACAAAAAGCATGGGAACAATTTAGACTTTATTCCTGATTAATCATTAAGAGCAAAGAGGCGGAAAAATGGCTCAAGTAAATTGTGATCAATTTTGATTATGTATTAATAAGATTAACTTCAAATTAATGTCCAGGAATAAAATTAAATTTCGTAATTAAACTTAATAACGATCTTGTTTTTATTAAACTTGGGATATTTAGATTAACTTCCCATAATCATATCAACACGAATTGAAAGCAATTTAATTGTTAACATGGTTACAAGATGAATTAACTTGAATATCCACTAGAAATTGTTATATTACATCAAAAGCTAAAAGTTATGATTAAAGTTAAAAAAAAGTAACTAAATAACAATAATCACGCTAATAGTTACATGTCATTAATATAATTATCCTACTGATTATGATGAAAATTAAATCTAATTAATCATAATCATGAATTTTCACAACTGAAGCTTATTCATTTAAATGATAGAAAATAATTGCTGATAGATTTTGATTAGTTACGTAACGAGAATGGACATCAACTGTTATTGGGTTTAAGAAATTACAATCCATTGATAATAAATTGCAACAATTTAATAGTGGATTTTAAATCTAATGCAATTGGCTTTATGTTTAAACTTTGCAGATTAGATTGATGATCTAAAATTGAAAGTTCTATGGGATAACCTTTGCCATTGAGAAAATCAATGTTACCCTGTGTTCATGGGAATATTTCATTTCCAGTTTGGAAAGATAGATGAGTATAACTGTAGATATTAATGTAATAAATTATTTTACTCATGAAATTTTATTATTTTTCTTTGTGAAAAAAAATATATTACTCAGAATGTCCAGAGGAAAGTTTGTTTTTCTGCTGAATCGGGAAGAAGATTGATAAAAGTAATTTGGTGAATAATGAAAAATCATGGAAACTGAATTTTCTGCAACGTGAATTTTTATTTCAAAAATTCATAACTTGTTGAATTAACTAGTGAGTTTTATATTATAATAGTTGAATAATAATTTAGTAATATAACCAAATCATTGAGCTTTTGGTTTGTTTGACTAACAAGATTATTGAAGGAGCTTCTGTTAATTCAATCGGTTGATTGGGTTAATTGGGTCTTGATTTGTTTCAATCAAGGATTGAATAATTAAGAGAATTGCTGATAATTTAGAATCACGTTGAGAATCAAAGATAAATTGTTGACGTTTTCCAAGAAAGACATGCAATTGATTACAATGAACAATCTATCTTGTCAGTTGCAATTGATATTAAATTGGATTAAAATTGATTAAACCTTGTAAGTGATTACAAAGGTAACCTTTAACTATTGTATTGTCAGTTTGAAATGAAGGTCTGATGATGACAATTAAACAATCAATTATGATCACAATTATAACGTAATTGATAAGAGAAGTAAATTAAATAGATTTACCTTATTTTGGCTGGATCAAGAGCGTACACTTCAATATGATAATTAATCTCTTGGACTAGTCGAGCGGTCATCACATCGAAACTTTCAAAAGTTTCACCTTGATTTTTCTGGGACATTAAGAATTCAAAGTTTGTTGTTGGCAGTCCAATTTCGAGATATGTTTTCACCAATCTTAGATCAGCACTATTACCCCCCAGTCCATGGACACAGACAACGAGATGAAGGCCATCAGTGCTGAAGGCTCTTAAATCGGGGTCACATTGGAAATAAGGTATTCGGGAGGCAAGACTAGTAAAATCGGAATAAATGTTCCATCCGCGAGATTTAAGGTCAGTCAAAGTTCTGAAATCTTCTTTACTTTTAACGAAAGTTATAAGGTCAGAGGTTATTGCTGAAAGGCGCTTCAAACTTGGCATGGGTTCTTCATCATCTCCAGCTGAACAGGAGCACTTTGTATCCCCACAAATGAAACATTCATTATTCTTAAGGATATCAAGTATGCTACAATTACTATCGACAGTAGTTGCTTGTCGTGGTTCGACTTTTATTTTGGTTTTTTGGCGATATCGAACTGCACCATTAACATCAGTCAAAGTATTGAAATTATCGTTAGATGATTGGTTGGCTTGATTATGATTAGATTGTTGATTTGTTAATAGATGAATATTATCACTGGTTATGGTGAATGGAGGATTTTCCGCTTTAGGAGTTAAAAGATCCTCTTCACTGTCTTCTTCATTGGCTTCAGCTCCTTCTTCAATTTCACCGCCATCTTGTTTATTATTATCTGGATCACTTTCATCAGCTTGTTCAGTGAATTGAATTGGTGGCTTTGGGAAATAAACGGTACCTTGAAATTCTGGAGTATCTGATTTCCGTTCATCAGATAATTTCTTTTTCAGTGTTTTATCACGAAAGTTTTCAGGCGGTTTAACTGGAGTGTTGAGTAAATTATTTGAACTTTCGCTAATTTTTAACGATGAGAAAGCTAATTGAAATTGCTTGGAGCTTTTCTTGGCTGTTGCTTTTATCCTCGAATTGAGATCGGGTAAAGATTCACTATTTTTGATCGCTTTGAAAGCTGAAGAAACTGAATTGTAATCCGAAGATGAAGATGATGAGGAATGACAAGGTTCCGATGGTTCGATTATCTCATGGTCAAATTTTCTAAAGCCAAGTAGAGTAACATTGGAATGTATTTCGGTGGCACTGGTACTATTTGGAAGGTAAGGTGAGTAACATACTTTTTCTGATCTTTTACTATTACCATAACCAGCAACGTTTCCACCACCACGACTAGAGATTGGTGAGTATTCCTCTTTTCCTTTATTGTAGCCAAAATTGAGACGATTTAAATTGTTGAGAAATTTTTCTCGAAGATTCTTTTTACCTCCATGTCCATTGGTTGAGGTTGAACAACTTGCCGTAGCTTCGAGTAACATTTGTTCCGATTCTCTTTCGCTACTTATTGAAGAGGAAAGAGTAGTAAGTGATGAATTGGATGATGATTGAAGTAATTGTGGTGATTCAGAATCAAATTGTTCCTCGTAAATTATTGGCAATGTATTTGCATCACCATCCATTGCAAGACACTCAACATTACACTGAGGCAACAGGGTGAGGTAAGATGATTTCCTGAGTTGGTCACTTATCTCATTGAAAAGGGCAGTGTTTTGGTCACAAATTGAGTAAATTGATTTCTTTGGTTTCTCTATGGTAAAAAAGGCTTCCGAAAATCGTTTAATACGATGAAGATGATGTACCTTTGCTAGATATTGAATTATTTTATCATTGTGAGTAACAATTTTAAGAAATGATTGCCATAAAAGTATAGCAAAACTACAAATATGAGCCATGTCATTTTCAACTAGAGTCACATAATCGTCTGGACGGTCTGGGGATAGGCTATAATTAAGATGTGATGAGGATGAATTTGTGAATGAAGCTGATGAGGAAGATGAAGAGGATGAGGATGAGGATGAAGAAGATGAGGAAGATGATGATTTTATGATAAAATCATTGATATTTGAATCACGGGGAAAGGTTGAATTCTGATATGAAATGATTGGAGTAGATGAGGTATTTGAAAAGTTTTCAATTGAACTTTGGTAGCATTTTTTTGCTAATCCGCTTAGATTTTTGGTTGAAAAAGATAAATCAAGTTTAACGTATTTCGCCTGAATCCAGGGTGGTAACATGTTTATGTATTCCCTTAATTTTTTACGTAGCTTAATTATGGCGGTTAACATTATTGAACACATTTGCCAGTGGATTAATTGAGCTCGTCTCATTCGTAAGGCCTTCATTTCTGGTCCCATTTTGTCAAGATCGGGAAATGAATTAAGTGAACAGCCAAACAGTAAAATATCATAACTTTGGGTTTCATATTCACTTGAATCTTTACCGTTTCCTTTCTGTTTACTTGGTTTTAACATGTATGGTAAGCAAAGGGTAATCAGGAGCCATGAATGGTAATCGTTATGGCAGAAAGGTGAAAATAATCAAAGATTACAGGTAAATGATAATGGAGACCACGGAAAAGGTCAAAGTGAAGGATTAACTGGCGAGAGGCAACACATTCAACGGAGGTTGATGAATGACTTGGAACGTAGTCTTGATCTGTAAACCATAATTCAACATCGAGTAGAAAGATTGTCTTGTTAATTACTTCAACAGCAGTAGAAATGTCAACTAAAAGGTGAATTTTAAAATTGATAACATCGTTTAAAATCATCTCTTCATTTTTAAACATAATCGGGAATGTTTTACTAACAGCGGAACCATTGATAATACATGGAGGAAATACAATGTTTTCCGATTGGGTTTTTATCATGGATGCAGAGGTTTGATTGGAACGAGCATCGGTAAAATTAACTTCCACTTTATGAGGTATTTTAGATCCAACTTTAGGAGTAACTCGAATCTGATATAGTCTTAAGAAGAAAAGAAAAACATTTAAAATGAGAATCCAGGCAAGTTCTATTGAACGTTGAAACGAATTGATAAAAAAGATGGATGAAGGTAAGAGAGATAAACTTGAATAGAAGAAAATTTAACGAAATGTAAGGGTAAGTAATGGAAGAAATTGTAAAATCAATAAGATTTGAAAAAAAAGAAAAAAAAATCAATTTAAAAATGAAAGAAAATGAGACTTACCCTCGTTGGAATAGGTTAATGTTCACAAATTTATTCAATTCAACGGAGAAATCAACAATGGCCTGAATGGATCCCATGGTTGATTAATGGAAATTCTCAAATTTGGTGAACAATTAACTGGAAATTAACGCGATTCGCTTTTCTCATTGGAAAAAGAAACCGAAAGAAACAAAATAAACATGAAGAGAAACAGAAACAGAAGAAAAGAAAGACAAAAAGACAGAGAAAAGTAAAAAGATAGAAAGAGAAAATAAAAATGAAAATGATCGTAGAGAAGAAGAAAACAAAAAGTAGAAGGATAATTATTCACAATACAAGTAGAGAAAATGATGAGTTAATTGATGAGAAGGTTATTGATTACAACTGATTGTATGGCGAATATTAAATCCAATTAATTGTGGATTGATTAGAAATTGAATTTCCATAATTTACTTTTATTTACCATAAGAAATTGTGTCAATAACAAGGCAACTTTTAGTCTTTACTCACAGAGGGCAGAGTTTCAGTGGATCACCAGAGTAAAATTAATTATGTTTTAACAATGGAAATTAATTGTTCATGTAATTTAATAATTGTTTCAATGATTTATTCCATCCAGAAGAAAAGATCAGGGACATACACACATATTGGAGATAATTGATGGTGAAAATAAAACGGAAAACAATCAACCGGTGAAACAGTTAATCATATGAAGAAAGTGATTGTTAGGATTTGTTTTTGTTTCTAAAGTGAAAACAACACAATTGTAAATCTCCAAGTGAACAAGGTAATTGTTAATTAAATTAACTGTCTCTTTTTCTTTATAATTTAAAGTGACTCCAGTTAATTGTAAGAATTTATGATTCTCTGGTGAATTAATAGGAGAACATTTTAAAGTAAAAGTAACATGAGAAATGACAATGATAAGATTAACAAGGTTGAATTTTTTTTTCTCTTACTACTTGTTAAGCTTTTACAGGTGAATCTTGATTGTTACTCATGTTAATCTGACAATTATTATTTTGTTTTGTCTCTTGTGTTGGTTGACAGTTAATAACCTTGTAAATTAGAATGAAATTAATTAGAAGACAAGAAGAGATGATGAAAAATATTAAGATTACCGGTAAACAACAAAGAGTATCAATGGCATCTACAGTTTCCTTTTGGTAATCTAATCATCTGTCAAATGGAAACAATGAGAATTTAAATTGTTTCTTAATTACAATTAAATTGTTCTTCTCTTTTTTTTTATATCTTCTTCTCATTCATCTAGTTTAATTGTTCTTTTTCTTTCTCTTTCTCTTTTAGATTTCGCGATTTCTCTGTGATCTTCTTTTACCTTTTCTTTGATATTCTATTGGCCTTTGTTTGTTTATTTTCTTCGCATCTTGGTAACTATGATTAATCGCGAAGGATCAACGGCTTCTCAAAGTGAAAGAAAAGGACCTAAACATGTCGTCAATTGGAATAATGGTGATGTCATGAAATGGTTAAAGCGACATTGTGAAGAGTATTATGGTTTGTATGGTCATCTTTTCCTGGAACATGAGATTACCGGTCGATCTTTGGTCAGAATCTCTGAGGTTACCCTACAGCGAATGGGAATTTCTAATCCTCAACATTGTGATGAGATTTGTCGGATTATCTTTAAGCTTAAACTGAAAAGTGATATTCCCGAATTACTTGATTTGGACAAGAAATCGGAAAATTCAACTCCCTACCATTGAAAAAAAAACGCATTTCATTTCAACTCATTGAGCGTTTTTACTCATTCATTCATTAATCTTAATTCATTTCTCTCAGTATTTTTTGTCTGAATTAAAGAGAATCATTTTATCCCTTCCCAATGTAAACCATGTTCACAAATTAACATAACAATCTTTTAGACAAACAATTAGTTTTGATAACTGAATTTATTTCTGGTTTTTGTTTTGCTTTTGTAATAACCAGATAAAACAAAAAGGTGAAAATGTTAGTCTTTGAAAGTAATGAAATGAGATTTGGATTGAAGTTCCAAACAAAAAGTAATGTTAAGTCATTTAGACAACAGGAAGGAAGGAAGAGAAATTTTCTAAAAATTGTTGAATGAGTTGAATTGTTGATTTTCCATTGGGTTAAACTCGGCAATTAAATTGATTATAGGTAAATATTTCATGAGAAAAATAATAGAATTTTTGGGAATAGATGATAGAGAAAAGCTTTGGAATTTGAAAGGAGTCTAAAGATGAGGATTAGCGTCCAAATCAGGGTAATCGTTTCATGACTCAGGATTAGTAGGCACTTCTGAAATGATGCTCATTAAGTGTGGTGAAAATGTGACCTTCATTTGCAAGCCAATCAAGACTTCCGTTTAAAGTACTGGAATCAAGAGTTGGTAAGCATCCGGCTAATTCCTCTCTGCTCATTCCTTCCTCTACTTGACACTTGTTGAGAGTCTCGAGAATCAATGTTTGAGCCTTGTTCATACCACTTGGTAGATTGGAACTTCCAGTATCACCGATATCCATGGGAGTGGCACCACCACTTCCACTCAAACCAGAAAGAATAGTATTAGCGGTTGGATCTCCTCGAGTTGCAAGGTGAAGAAATTTAATCTTTCGGAGAAGTAGATTATCTCGAACAACCTCCATCGCGTGTTCAGTAACTTCATTGAAATCTTTAATTGGGTCAACCTTGAAAGCGACAAAGTTAAGCGTATTATTTTGATTCCTTATTTGACCATAACAGCGAACATAAGTTCCAATACCAATAGTCTCAGAAAGTGTTTTCGCTTTACTATCATCAGCACCTTTCCATACAAGAACGTCAATACAATCGGTACCATCATCGACTACATAAGCACATTTAGTTGTAGAATCATTAACACCAGCAACTCGACCAACAAAGGATAAAATGTCAAATTTCTGCTTATGAACAACAACCCCGTGAGTTGTAGTCCAAAGCTTTTTCATCATATTCACTGTTGTGGGTAACATTTTCTTCTCACCGGATTTTTCTTCAGACATTTTTTAATTTGTTCTCTCGAGTTTTCTCACAAAGAAACAATAGAAAAGGATAATTAAAATCGAATGACCTCTAAACCAATAGAATCACAGAAAAAAGAAAATAAATTCACCAACAATTAAGAACAATTGAAAAGCTAAAAATTAGAAACCAAATCAACTGCTGATTAAAAAGCGAATGATTAAAGAAAAGGGAAAATGTGAAAATTCTCGCGCTTCTTTTAATTCCAAAATGAGGGAATGTTCATAAATTACGGAGAAAATTACAATGGAATAAATAATTTTTGTAATTACAATTTTTCGTTTTTTTTTTTTTTTGGGTCAAACAATTAGCCTAATTGGTTTGAGTTGGTAAACCGGTGATTTGATCGGTAAGAAATGGACTACTTGGTGGTATGGCCATTCGAGAGATTTTTCTACAAGTCGCGAGAAGTTTTTTCCTAAAAGAAGATCGTCTTTTCTGTGCTCTGGGAATTTCTCTTCGAGCAATTGAGATCCAAATTTTTCTTCTTTTCGCTTCACGAGATGAGCTACATTTGGTTTTAATTTTTTTCTTCGCCTTTTGATTGATTGTGATCAAGGATGGACTGTTAGATCGTGAACTGGTTGGTGAGGTTGTTGCTGTTGTCATACATTCGGTATTTGCTTCAGTATTAAATGTATCATCTGAAACACTGTGAGTTAAACTTGGTCCATATTCACCTGAGCTTGATTCACTTTGTAAAATTTCATCGGGTAAAGTGGCATCATATTTGATATCATTAAATGGTTGATAAGGTAAAAGTGATGGTTGTGAGGGTTCAAATGGTGATTGATCAGTTTGATGGTTGTAATGTTGTTGATTAAGTTCAACTTCAGGCTCGGATTTAGGATCTGGTTCAGAATTGGATGTAATCTCAGGCTCTTGTTTAGACAGAACAGCTAAATCTGAGCTTGTATCGGCATCTTGTCCAAAGCTGAAATGATCAACAGATAAAGGTCAAAGGATAATTATCAACACTCAACCAGAAGAAAATAATTAATAAACATGGAGGGAAAAATGGTTTACATAGACTTACTTAAATTCTGGAACCAATCGGTTGATTTGACGGATGAATGCACCCAAGTCAAGATAATGTGTCACTTCATGCAGATAATATGATTTTGAAAGTTTAGTCCCACCCTGGATAACACGTTTATCACAGAAAATCATAATTGAATATTAAATTTAATCAGAAAATGTGAATTATATTTAATTAATTAACAGAAAATTGATAAAAAACAAATCAAAAGTTGGGCGAGTCCAATTGGAGTAAACAAAGTCCACAAAGGAATCATTTAGGACTCGAATCCAAAGTATCGGTCTGAGCGGTTCTTTTGATTGTATTACTTCAATTGATTAATTATTTTCTAATTTGTTTCTTCTCACAATTATTTTCCATTACACAAAATTTAACTGTTTAGCAGATAATAAGGAAATCAAATGATATGAGAAATGAGAGGAATTAGCTTTGCGTAATCTGAGTGAAAACTGTAACAAGAAATAATTAAAGTTAAACTTTGATTTCTTTTAAATATCAGTCGAAAATTTCTTACATTTGAAATTTGATAAATTGAATTGAATTAAAACCACAACGATGAAATAATAATCACTCTAACTGTTTTGGATAAATGTGATAAAATTGCTAAGCCAAAATAATTATTATTTATACAATCAGTGAGAGGTTTAATTGAAAAGAGGAACGATTGGCCAAAATCAGTCATGACAAGTACAGAGAGATTAGTGATTAAAATTGATTGTTCTCTCATCAATGTAAACCGTTAATCATTTGTTTTGTACTGAGAGACGATTAAATAAAGATTCAGTTGGAAGAAATGAATTTGATTTTCTTCCTTTGGATGGAACCCGGAAGAAGAGAAACATTTCTCTGGACGGAGTTTCTTTTCTCCCAACAACCCAGAGATTAAGTTCTCCATCAGCTGATTTCTTGTTTTTAAATCGTACATTTGGTCCGAGGAATGTGTCTTTATATGTGAAATGATCTCCAATTTCCGTTAATCCAGGATAATATTTGTTCAATTTTTCACTCAGATAAATAGCAACAGTTCGCAAGGTTCGAGATAAATTTGGTGATAAAGTTGATCTAAAAAGATCATTAACAACGGGACCACAAAAGGTTCGAGAATTTAGATCCATGTCAATGTAGAAAAGCAAATAGTCGGGGAAAGATAAATCTTGTGAATAATAATCGATGCAACTTGGAATACTATGGGAACAGGAATTCGAGTCAACCGTGAGTTCGTTTGGCAATGAGCAATTGTTTCTATCCAATGAGCTTGCACTTGTTGAGGATAATGATGTTGCCGGTGCAGGAGGAAAAGGATGATGAAGTGGAGGAGGAAGAGTATGATGAATAGATGTTGACGATTGTTGTTGATTTGGATGATGATGAACAAGAATTGACGAGTTTTGCACTTGTGGTATTGATGGACTTGAAAGCGATTTATTCAAAGGATTGGATGGAATTGAACTATGTTCAGACCAATGATCATCGTCACATGATGATATCTCATCGTCTTTAACTCCAATTCCGGCCAATTCTCGTGCAGAAATTGATTGCCGAAGTCGATCACTAGGATGAGATTCACCGGTCCACGTGTTATTGAATAAATAACTTTGAGCATTTAGATGTTGATTTAACTCTTGTATTAAACCAGATCGATTGAACGTTGAGGCCACAAATCGAAGAGTCTGATTGATAATAAGCTCGTTTGGTTTGGTTTTAGAGTCATCACAAAGAAATGGAATCTCTAATAGTGTACAAAGTAAGGTTTGTTCAACGGCGACAACTAGAAGGAAAAATCTAGTTCCGTCATTTTCTTTGAAATCGGTGATCATTGGATCATTTTTCTCCGTCAATGGAAACACTTCTTGCCAAATGACCATTTTAATGGGCTGTTGTTTAATCAAACTGATAATCCCTCTATACTTGATGAAAGAAATCACATCAGATAAGTAGTGTCCAGGTAAATGAGATGAGATTAGAAATCCTTTGTAAAAAAGAGCTGAACCAACAATAAGTAGATCGCAACTGGAACTTATTTCACCATTTTCACCGAAACAGCAATCGCTGAACCAATCCATTGATTCGTACTCGGAAAGAGCCTCATCCAAGCCTAACAGTAAATCGTCTTCAATGATTAATCTTTGAATCATATCAAAGTGAAAACACAGACTTGGTCCTTTTGAATTTGATTCGGATAAAAGATAATGAAAAATGGATAAATAGTGAAGTATCTTCGGGTGATTATCGCAGTTTTTGAAGGCAGCGTCCAGAGAATTGTAAAGAAAACGAAATAATCGACTTAGAGATGAAATCATTGAGATGATCTCAAGTTGTTTGTAATTTTCTTCAGGAAAACACAAGATTAACGCTGAATTAAATTCTTGAGCATAGGCCACAATAAAAGTCTTATCATTGGACTTGAAGGCTTTGATATCTTCTCGTTTGGTGGTTAGTGATTCCAATTTACTTCTTACATCAACTGAAGAGACAATCGGAAGTTGTCCAGTGATATCGTTGATAACTTGAGAGAGTGAGACGAACATCCCTTTCAATTTGATAATTTTCTGCCAATTATTTAGACCGCTATCGTTACTGAAGTTATCTTTGCCCTCGGCATCTTGATTGTCACCAGAAACTTGTTGAATTGGTGGATAGATTAACACAGCGTAATCTTTGTCATTGGACGAATTGTCATTGGGAGATGCGAGATACATTAAGGTGAATATTTTATCCTGATCTTCACTTTTCGTATTTAATCCTTCTTTCACCAAATTGAATAGAAAATCTTTTGTTTTTGGCTCATTTTCAATTCCTATTCTGGGTGCATTTGGAAACTTTACTGATCCACCAATTGTTTCTTGATTTTCACCAGAAATATCTTTGTGAACTGTAGGTGATGATGATGATTGGTGAACCTTTGCTCCCTTTTTCAGCCAACTTTTCTTGATTGATTCTTTCAAAGAAGATTTAACTCTCCTTTCGCCGGTAACCCAATGTCTAAATTTAGAGTAACTCGATTTAATCTTGGGCAATTTTCGAAAAGGTGAAAAAATATCTGAACCTTCAGCTTCCGATGGTTCAATTTCTGATGGTCTCTCCAAGTTGACAATTGAATCTCTCCTTAAGATTTGGAGATAAAATAGATTACCTCTAGAATCACAATTCTCTTGAATCCATTCCAAGTTAGAATCTAATTCTGAATAACACTCCGAGTCACTATAATCAGAATGAGAACCAGCACTTTCTCCATGAGAACCATCACATCCTAAATAGTTACCATCCATAATTTTAGATTCCATGATTAATAACAAATTCTATCTAACTTTAAATAGTAACTAATCAAATCCAACTTCCAATATAATCCAATAGAAAAATATAAATTCAATCCTAAGTTAGGATCAAAACAGATTATTAACCAGTGGAAATAAACGTAACATAAACAACTTTCATGGTCCAGTCAACAAATTGGATTCCTGGAGATTCAGTAATAATAACCAATTAAGATGACAATTAAAAAATAAATTCTATTAAAAACACAAAAGAAAAATAGAAAGAAAATGCAAAATTAGTCTACATGGTAAAAGAAAAGGTAAACAAGGGAAAGAAAGAAAAAACAAAAGAAACAATTAAAAAGAATAGAAAAAATATTCCCACTTAAATTAGATGAATAACATCACTTACAATAGAATTATGGTTAACTAATTGTCATGATTAGCGAACAATTAAACCGATGAAAAAAGGAGAAACAAAATGAGAACAAATTAACTAACCAATGTAAGAATTTAGTCTCAACTGGTTTTCTCTTTTGTTTTTGTTTCTCTTTTTCTCTCTCATTCTTTTTGGCGGTTTGTTTGGTAAAGAACAAGAAGAGAAAACAAAATAATCTCTCCGATCTTCTCATCTGTTTATTTTACTAATTGTGATTTTATTTTCTAATTGTAATTCTAATTATGTCGAAAACAATTCATTGTTACAAATTACCTTTCAAAATAAAGGAAACACTAATCTCCCATTCGTTGACAATGTCCGGTGATCTGCTGAATTTATCTGCTGACCAATTGAGCAACAGTAAGTCAATTGTTACAGATGAAAATTTGATTTATTTTGACTCTTTTTTATTATTGACCGATATTTTTCAATTATTTAGTTACTCATTTACCTTTGGATGAATGTGAACATGTTATCAGGGTGATTAATAACAAGGATCCATTGTTTCTCAGTCCAGCATCTATGTGGTTGAAACATGAACTCTCCTCTGGTGCAGCGATACCGACACTTAGTGTTAAATTGAATGAATTGTTGAATGATGGATTTCCGTTGGGTCGATTATGTGAAATCTCTGGAGCCTCTGGTACAGGTAAAACTCAATTATGGTGAGTGAACAAAATGAATCAGTTCTCATTCAATAGCCTTCGATTGATCAAAAATTTTGTTGTGATGGTTGTACGTTTTTACCATCGTAACCAAGTGATGACAATATTTGTGATTATAGAGCAAAGATTTTCATTGTAATTGTCTTCATATCTTTGATTATTGTAATATTGAATCATTATCGTTTATTAATTTATGATTATTGACCTTGATTCAGTTTCCAGCTCTGTGTCACTGTTCAATTACCAAGAAAATTAGTGGCCTAGCAGCTGACGCTTTGTACATCGATGTTGACAATTCATTTCGCTTTAATCGGATCGCTGAAATTGCCAGTTTTTTAAGGGAAAAGATCAAAAATCATATGGAATTGGATGAGGAAAGGATCTCCGAGCATATATTTGTCGAAAGAGTCGATGAATTGTCACAATTAAAGATTTTAATCCTTGAATTGTTGGAGCCATTTCTAAAGCAAAATCCTCAAGTTAGTTTCCTCTAAAATCGATAACTTTGGTTGAATGTGGATAAAATCATCTAATGATTTTGTTATACTTAATTTTTAGATAAAATTGATTATCATTGATAGTATCGCTTATTTGATTCGTTATGATTTCGAGGGACGAATGGATGAAAGAAACGCTCTTCTTTGGCAAATAAGCTCCAAACTTCGGGAACTTGCAGCAACTTACAATCTCTGTGTAAGTATTTGGATAATTTATTTTCTCTGTTGATTTATTAATCTTGTTTTATTTATTGTAGATTGTTGTTACTAATCATGTTCGGTATCAACCTGAGACTCAATCAGTCACTCCTGCACTTGGTAATCGTTGGGGTCATTATTGTGCGTTGAGACTGTTTATGGAAAAACAAGAAAACACTGGACGTCGTATAGCGACATTAACGAAATCAGTTAAACAACAAGAAGCTTCGATTAACTTTTCAATCGGGGTATGTTGACAATTAACATCTGCAAACAATCAGTTAATTTTACCTTAACGATTTTTTTGTATTCTTTTCGTCCATAGCCTCAAGGTATTAGTGATGAAATCGACGAAAGACCAATAGCTGATCTTAACCATCTCAACTGAAAAGAAACAACAACCATTCTCTTAATTGAAAAATCATCAATCATCTAACTTCAAAGTTAATCTATTGATTATATCTTAAAACTTGAACACTAATTATTCAAGTATAAATTTTCATTTCCACTCATTCAATTTTCTTAATTGTGCTGCCCAATTGTTATCTCACATACAGTTTAATCTCAACACTCTAAAAATTGATCATCAAGTAAACTGAATCCATTGACAGTTTAAATTCAAGTTAAAATAAAGCAAAAATCAACAAATTGTTGTTAATGTGACAAAATTAAAATTAATTTAAAAAGAAAAATCCAAAAGTTTGTAAAATGCTACCATCTAGTGAGTCTCTTACAAACTAAATTCCAAACAACTAAGAAAATTGAGTCTTCAATCACTTTAATTTACTAATTAAACTTTTGTCCTTCTTTCCTCGACTATTTAATTCAATTTAAAGAGATAATAAAGTCAGACCCATGCAATCATGCTTGTTAATTAACACTCAATCACTAAACTGGCCGTTCAGAGTCCAATTGGACCTCCAGGTCACTCTGAAGTTCAGTCTATGAAAAACTAAGCGGAGGAAATGACAGCAAATTTTAGCTTTTTTTCCGCTTTTGTTTTCAATTGTTTCGTTTTAAATCACAATCAACAGGAAACCGAAAAGAAATAATTTCCTTATTTTTGAACAAAACATTTCTCTTTACCTATGGCACTGTAATAATCACAATTTAAGGAAAATTGATCCAACCCAAAGTGAAATTTGTATATACTCAGTGACTCCTTTTCTTAACCATCATATGAACAACAATGTAACCATTTAAATTGTCAAGTTCCCATTTAGATCTTGATTCAAGATAACATGTCAACTAATTAGGTGATTATGTCTAATTGTTGCTATTAAATGGTTGAATATCTGCTTGGGACACTCGTTAATTTCCCATAGAGATTTGCCTTTTAAAGACAAAATGATCATGCGTGATTCTTGATGTTTGTTTACTTTTCTATGTTATTGTTTTGATTTTGTGTCTTTTTAATATTTACGTTTTTTTCTCATTCCAAGTGATTACTATTCAATCAGTGTTACAATTTAAATCTACATTTATCTAGTTTTCCCTGCTCTCCTTTTTTTTGGTTGGAAAATATTCTGTAAACAATGGATATTCCTGAAGATACATTGAGACAAGTTTTAAAGTCAATGAAAGAATCTAAATTATCATTGGATGCATTGGAAAATAGTGCTCGTGATGAAGCAGCTCGGACTGAGGAATCAAAAGGAATCATCGAGTTTCATATTGTTGCCAATTCATTAACTAAACCAATTAGTAAACAATGTCTCCTTTGGTTGGTTGGATTGCAAAATGTTTTCAGTCATCAATTACCTCGAATGCCCAAGGAATATATCGCTCGACTTGTTTTTGATCCCAAACATCGGACATTGGCTTTGATTAAGGACAATAAAGTTATTGGTGGAATTTGTTTCCGTTTATTTCCAGCTCAAGGTTTCAGTGAGATTGTTTTCTGTGCAGTTACATCAAATGAACAGGTTAAAGGCTATGGAACTCATCTCATGAATCACCTGAAAGATTATCATGTTCAACTTGGAATCCATCATTTTCTTACCTATGCAGATGAATATGCAATTGGTTATTTTAAGAAACAAGGGTTTACTATTGACATTAAACTCGCCAAAACCTCTTACCTGGGATTTATCAAGGATTATGAAGGTGCCACCTTAATGGGATGTCAACTAGATTCTTCCATTATTTATACACTTTTCTCTTCCGTAATGAGAAAGCAGAAAGAAATTATCAGAAAATTGATCGATTTGAAACAAGCCGATATACTAAGACAAAATCCAAATCTAGCTCTTCGTTGTAATCAATCATCATCAACTAATAATAGCGATGGTAATTCCTCTCGAGATAAAAAATTTAAAAGCAAAGACGATGATAAACTGTACAATCTTTTGAAAACCGTTTTAAATCAAGTGAAAAATCACCCATCAGCTTGGCCATTCATTAAACCTGTTGAATTAACTGAAGCACCAGATTATTATGAACATATTAAGAATCCAATGGACCTGAAAACCATGTCAGAGAGATTGAAAAGTCGCCATTACTCCAATAAACGTATTTTCATCTCCGATATGACTCGAATATTCACCAATTGCCGAACTTACAATGCAATGGACACCGAGTATTACAAATGTGCTAATGTCCTGGAAAGATTTTTCATCAGCAAAATGAAAGAAGCAGGTCTATGGGAAAAATGATCGATTCGATTCCCGCAAACAACAAAATTCATCTTCTAATCAACACACAAAAATGACTAAAATTGCAATTAAAAGACCTCATCTCTATGAAAAAGCTCATCTACCTGCCCATTCACTAATATAAATATTTATAAATTATAACAATACAAACATAATTTATGTAAACTTTCATTGCTCACCCATAATCACTTTTTGCAAACCATGGAAAAAGAAAGTTAATTGTCAATTGGAATTATGGTTTAACCTCATATATCAATGATCTCCTAAACCTTTGGCTACGAAATAATAATTTGGATGGAACCTCAATTGATCTCTGAAGTTTTCTTTGTCATCTTTAAACTTCATAAACAAAACAATCAACCATTTAATCAACTTTTTATTCAAATCCAAGATCACTTTTAATTCAAGTCGAGAGTAACAATTTGAAACATAATCATCTTATTATCACTTTTACAATTAGTTCATTTGGTGGGACATCAAACAAATTGATGATTATTACGTTTTCGATAGTGTTTTAAACTTTTCGTTCCCATTGGAAACATGATGAACACAAAATAATTAATCTCCACCCTAAATAACCTTAATTATCTGAATTAACCTTTTTTTACTTTTATATTGTTTACATTATTATCCATCTCATCTATTTTACGTATACCTCGCAAAGATGATAAATATAATAGTTAATTATAATATATAAACACAATGTATATTCAATTAAATGTACTAATCTGATGACAATCAAGACCCGATCTCTTCCAAATTAAGACAATCAACTTAAGTTGAAAGTCCAAACAAATCAATGGACAAGTTGATTCGATTATACCAATTGACAGAGAAATAAATTCAATCAGAAGAAAATTATTATAACTTAATTACTCGATTTCTTCTTGATTTAATTAACACCGATTTACAATATACTCATAAACTTAATCATTAGAAAGAAAATGTTCAATCAGTCATTTCAAACAATTAACTTTTTGAGATTAAACTTTTTCTTTCAATAGATTTTTATTTTTAGTTAGAAATTGATTGGAGTTAAAATTTTCCAAAATATAATTGATTGTAAATTATTGTATTTTGATTAGAAATCAATAACAAAGTGAAAATTTTGATCAACAAGTTATATGAAATCATAAATGATGATTAGGTAATGATGAGAATGATTGGAAATTGATTGTTGTTTGTAATTAGATTTTTGGTTTCATCGATGTTGGTGTTGTGAAAATTTTTTCCAATTTCAAAGCCTTCTCCTTGTTTCCTTCAATAGTAACTTTATTTTGAGCGATTGCCTGTAATTAAAGGTAGAAAGGACCAGTTAATCAAATGGAAATAACAATCAACTGATTACACTAATAACTTACATCAGAAAGTTTGAGTTTCATCAAAACTAAACGAGCAACATCATAATCATCAAGAGTCCAAGTTGAGACAGGATCGGAAGCGGAACCTCGAGCAATTTTAGGAATATCGCCAGTTAAGTCAACGACTAAAAGGGAAAGTTAAAGTTTAATTATAACAATCGGTAAGTTGGAAATTAATTTGCAAAAGAAAATAGAATCCAAGTCAATCATTACCCCAATTAGAAACAACTTTATTATCCTTGGTAACGTTGAAATTATGATAACCTTTAGCATCGACCAGTAAATCGGGAGTCGAACGATTCTCTGGAGCATATCGATGAACATTGTCTCACTTCGAAGTCCAACTTTAAGAGGTTCGTTGAGTAAAATTTCCATCGCAAGCGGAAGTTCGGGATTTTTACCAAGTTTCTGAAACTCTAACCAAAGTGTGTTCAGTTTTTGGAGCAACATGATGTTCCCCTTGATTCTGATCTTTCCTTGCATGAACATCTAAATAGAAATCAAATAATTAAGTACAACAATCGAAAAGTCAATCAGCTGATTAACTTACTCTCTGAGGATTAGCTTTGCCTGTCAGAACTTTGAGTAAATCTTCATCTTCCATTGTCACAATGCAATCAGGTTTAACATTTCTGGGTAACTCTCGGTAAACTTGTACAATATCTGTTGTCTTATTATCAGCAGCTAAATAAATCAAAAGAGAAACAATTAGATAAACAATTAAGGTCGCAATTGGTTGATTAAGCGATGGTTTTTACTCAACTCCAAACACAAGCTGGTTTCTTTTGACGAACAACATTGAATTGGAATACAACTCGAAGTCGCTTCATGAAATCTGGTTCTTCGTGACATCGATGCCTGAAAATACTGAAAACAAGGTCACATTTGTATCCAGTTATCGGAATCGCCTGAATGATTGAAACAAGAGAATTAAATTTAGAAGTGTTAATACTAAATTGCTAACCATTTAATTTACCTCAACATCAGGATCAACATCAGAGGAAGTTTTTTCTGATGATTTACTTGATTCAGTTGATTGTGAAGATTTATCTTCGGACAAAGTAGCAGCGACATTTGGACCCTCTTCAGACCATAATTGCTGTAGCTTTTGAGCGGCCAAAATATTACCGGAAATTTTCAATTTACCTGACATGAAAGCCTTTTAATCAAATAGAAAGAAACTGATTGATTAGCACAATTGAAATAAAAATCAATTAAATTTACTCACTCTCATTGCGTCTTCTTTTCCCTCGAAAATTTTACACACAAAATCGTCATCAATGGTCAGTGTACAATCAGCTTTACCATTTTTAGGTGGACCTTGATGAATGTCACCATCGCCATTTTTAAAATCACAAGTCCAGACCGAGACGATTTTACCTTCTTTTGTTATGTTCCACTGGTAGACTGTCTTAATTGTTGGAATTAGTGCTTTCAATTCACCGAGGCGTTTGCAGGCCCAATTCTGAAAGACATTGTCAATACGACAAACCATCGAAAGCGGTTGTTGGGATTTCGGTTGATTGTTGTTAGTGGTTTGATTGAATGAAGCAAATTTTTGTGCATCTGCAGCGGCAGTTTTTTCAATATGTAAAACTGAACTATCCAATTTAAAGATATAATTAAGCTTCTGGGTGACACTTGGATCACCAACAATCTTAATTGTTCCCTCCATGAAACCAGCCACTGGATCTAAATCACCCATTGCCAAAGCAGCCATATCAGAGTCGGAGATTTCAATTATGCAATTTGGTTCATTAACTTTATATCCATCGGTGAATAGACCTTTTTTAGGAGATTTCAGATCGAGAACTGGATCAAAAGAAAAAGAGAAACAATAACAATTAATACAAATTGATCAGATATTAATGAGTTGATCGACGAAATTGATTACTTTTTCTGCAATGGTTAACAATTTAAACTGTTTGATTGTTCTAAATGATTGGATTGAGAGTCAACTAACTTACCCCATCGTTTAACTGGTTTACCATCTTTGTGAATGAGAAATTCATAAATTGCGTTGATTTTAAATGCGACCTCAGGAGCCATTTCGATCCGTCGACCGATCTCTTCGAAAATCGGATCCGAAACTAGATAAATCTCATCACCATCATCAAAGACTTCTAATGGAACATCATTATTTTTCTGAGAAATTAATTCATCAAGTTTAACCTGATAGGTTGAAATGGTAAATAAATGCAGGACAGTTAAGCAGTTTGATTAATAATCTGATAAAAACTTATTCAAAAAGATTCTCTGTATAAAATCATTAGAATGACAAGTAAATGAGACAATTCTGTGATATAATCTGTGAAAAGTGAGTTAACCACTTTAATCCAAGTTCAAATTGGTACTAAAAAAATATTCTTTAATTAATTAGAAGCTTCTTTTTCCAAAGTTTTCATTTTTGATTCCAATTTAGAGATTAGAATTAGAAGTTTTGGTTAATACCTGCGAGGAATGGTTAAGGTCAATATACGCTCCTTCGATAATCATTGTTCCAGTTTCTACAACTGAACATCGAATATGAATTCTATTTCCTTCCTTCCACATTTCGGTTTTCAAAGATTCTCCGGGTAAGATTGTCTTTGTGAATCGAGCTTTAATGGCCTTGAAAGCAGAAGGATCTCCATTGGCAAAGGTTCGTAAAACATGTCGAGTAGCAAAACCAAGAGTACAAAGCCCATGGAGAATTGGCTTGTCGTAACCAGCGACAGCGGCGAAATTGGGATCAATGTGAAGAGGATTTTTATCGCCAGAGAGACGATACAAAGCAGCCTAATACAAAATAACAAGAGACAACAATTAGAAACAACACTTTAGATGAGATTTCAATTCTTACTTGATTGATTGATGTTTTCTCAGTGACAATTGCATCCGCAGGTCTATTTGGTGGTGAGATAACTTGTTTAATTTGTGGATTATCACTTGACCGTTTTCCACCAAATTTACCAGAACCAACAAGGAAAAGTGTAAATTGATTGTAAAAAATGGATTTCCCTTCACTATCTAACGAATCAACTTCAGCAATTACAACGGCTCCTGATCCTTTATCAAGGACATCAATTACTCGAGCCTCTGAACGTAATTTGGCTTCAGTTGGAACCGGATTTCGAATCTCTAAATATTGTTCACCATGAAGTATACGACTTGGATCAATAACAATACCATATTGTTTTGTAATTTTGTGAAAAATATCACTTTGCATGAATCCATCTAGACCTGGGATAACACCGAAGGTTGGAAAAGCACTGAACTCGCCATCGCTTTCATTCAAGTACCTTAAGTGATAAGGTTCATCGATATTAACACCAATACCAAGAGCATATAAGATCAATTTCTCTGAGTTGTAATTGAATTCACCGTTTTCCTCGGCTTGAGTATTTCTTTCAGCAGTTAGAGTTGATTCCCCATTAACACTGGCGACAAGTTCAGATATTTGTTCTGAAAGTAAAGGAAAAATGATAACAATCAATTACGCTGAACTCACAAAATGATAACCATTAACTGAATGATTAAAAAGACATCTTGTTTACCATGAATGTTTGCTGGATAAGAGGCAATGGTCATATCGCTGATTTTTGACCATTGATCACGAACGGTTTCAATGCTCATTTGGTCTGGAGGAATGAAAGCTTTTCCGGCTGATCGTTTGTAAGCATATTTACCTACCCAACCACCAGCGGCTTCGTAAACCTCACCCGAATCGGGACAAGATTCATGGCAAAGCCAAGCGACCACTGGGGCAACAAATTTAGGCTTAAATTGTTCATACAGATTGGGAGGTAAAATGTCCTCCGTTAATCGAGATCCAGCAACGGGAACTATTGTATTACAGTTAATCTTATACTTGGAACCTTCGATTGCAAGAGTTTTAGCCAATCCAACCAAGCCAAGTTTCGCTGAAATCATTAAATCACAAAGAAATCAATCATCATATTGATCAGAATTCATATCAATCTAGCTAACCTGAACTGTAATTTGCTTGTCCAAAATTACCAAAAAGTCCAGCATTAGATGAAGTCATGATTATCCTAATTAAGAAAAGACAAAAGCAATTTATTAACAACCAGGGAATTGATTAGATTAATTAAAATTCAATTGGATACATAAAGTGTTCAAACTATTATAATTTAGTAAATCAAAGACTAAATTTCATTAATGATCTGTTTCAATTGAGTTAAAATCTTTTTCCAGGTTAATCATAATTATCCTCATCATCGTTTTGAAAATAAGAGAATTAACTTAATCATTATACTGATTCTAATGATGATTAACCCGGAAGATGATATCTGTCTATCGTTAGTTGATTATCAAATGGATGATCAATAAACCGCGACACCAACAATAATCATTCAAACTTGACAATTAATAAAACACGAACAGTGGAAAAAAGATAATTACAATTGTTTCATGAGAGAGACATTGAAAAAAAATGATTAGTTTCAAACCAATTGATTAATTCAGTCACAATTAACCTATTTGCAAGTATTGTTATTATGATATTAAAATGAGACTAATTTATGGGGAAAAATTGGTCAATTACTTTAATTGTGATAATTAATTAATCTCTCTTATTAATCAGAATTCAAAGTGATTGATGAGAAACAACAATTCAGAGAAATCAAGAAATAAAAGTAACAATTAATAAGACAATTTACAAAAATTGACTCTCAAAAAACGTCAACCTGAACCTTCAGCAATTAACACCAAGGAGAAAACGGTAATCAACTAATTATTAGATATAAAGAGACTTTAATCAAGTGATTAAATTGCGTGAGGGGGGAAAATTTTGATATAAGGAAAAACAAAATTAATATAATCATGAAATAATTGATTGTTTCAACAGGGAAATCAACATCTTATTGTTGTTAAATTTGTTCTGAGTTTATATTCAATACGAAAAATGAGTAAAGTTGATCAACTAATTTAATTTAAACTATTCAACGATGAAACTTATTGAATCAAATTAAATGATTGTTGTTATTGTGGTGAAAACAATTGGAATTGCAATTGATTATGATTAATTCTTACCTTCCATAATTTTGTTCCCTGAAATAAGGCCAAGCGGCTCTCGATACTTTGTACGATCCTCGTAGATGGACCTTATGAATAGCGTCCCAATCTTCATCGGTCATTTTTTGGAATGATTTATCTCGTAGGATACCAGCATTGTTGATGACAATGTCTATCGATGATTAATAATCACTAATTAGAAACAATTGAATCAAAAATCATCGATCAGCTGATCGACTAATTTGAAACTCACCAATGCGACCGAAATTATCAATGGCAGTTTTAACAATTGAATCACCATCTTCAACGGAATCTGTAATCAATATCAATATGAATTGAGATGAAAATTAAGTTAATTAGTGTCTTGAACTGATTAATTTAATTGTAAATGAAGATTAAGGTGAATCAATAAATGTCAATGTGTTTGTTATGGTTAACAGTCTGAGTAAATAAGGTGACATTTATATGATAAAGAGACTTGAATTGTATCGGTTAAAATGAGAAGATCATTAAAGATGAGATAAAATTAACTTTCTTTAATTATAATCACCAATTAAATCAAAAAGAAATGATTGATTAACTTACCATAATTAGCGACAGCTTTTCCTCCATTTTTACGTATCTCATCAACGACAACATCAGCAGCTCTTTTATCACTACCCTGACCACTTCGAGATCCTCCAAGATCATTAACTGACCACCACAGATAGAGAAAAGTTGACAATTAAATCAAATAATCAAGTTAATTGAATTATATAATAGAAATCAAAACAAAAACAAAACCAATAACATTTTCTTACCTACAACTGAAGCTCCTCTTGAAGCTAATAATAAAGCGTATTCTTTACCCAATCCTAAGGTGAAAATTAACAATAATCAATGTAGAAAATTGTATTAATTACAATTACAGTTAATTGTGATATATAAAATCAATAGAAACTCGTTAATTGGAGCAATTAAATCACAATGAAAGATATGAACTTACCTCCACCGGCTCCAGTGACTATGGCAACTCTACCAGCAAATTTCAACAAATCACTAACCATTGTTGATGTTTTATATATGACAGAGACACAAATTGATTAATTGTTAACCAGGAACAGTTGGTTAATTGGAATGGGACGAAAAAGGTGAATTAAAACAAGAGCTAATTTCACAATTTAGGTTGTCAGAAAAAAAGAGGACAATTGAGTTGGATAATCAAAAGTTAACAACGTAAGTAAATTGTTGTTGATCTTTTTCACTGTTCAGGTTAAACTGGTTTCTGGTTATTGGAGATTCAATAGTTTTCTGGTTTTGGGGAATATAAATAATTTTCCCTTCTATTATTAACCTTTAACTGCGCAGAAGACAATTAACTATTTTTAAATTTATTTGACAATTAAGTTTAATTGTTTGGTTAAATTTTCATCGATAATTAGAATTGATTTGTTAGAAAACTTTGCTAGTTTTGATTGGACTTTTTTTCGCATCGGCAAAGTTTTTGTTTTTGTTTTGTTTTCGAGCTCGAACATTTTTATGGTTAATCAACGATGGAAATTGATGATTAGTTAATTTTGTTCACTCATATTGTAAATATTTTTTAAATTGTTGTTGGTGAAGATGATGATACAATTAACTAATTGGTATTTAGATTGTTGTTTATCATTCTCAAGGTTGACTTTTTTTTTTTAATTAATACTTTTAACTAATGTTTGTCTTTGATTCTATTGGGACAATTAAACAATTAAAATGATTTCTATTTACTAATTACTATAAATAAATTAGAATTGAAATTGAAATTGTAATTTATTTAATCAATTGTTCATAGTAATTGTTTAATTGTGATAAAGACTTTTTTTTACTTTCCCATTGGATACAATTCTTGATTGGGCCTTTAATTAATATCCATCACTTTGATTAACAATTAATTGCATTTCAAGGGCCTTTCCCATTCTAAATCAATGAAGACTGTTAATTAAGTTAATTGTTTGTAAATTTTGTCTACAAATGAAAGAAAAAAATTTTGATTAACCAAAAAAAAATCTTGAAAAAATCAAATTGTCAACAATAAGTCAGACTTTTGGATTGTTACAATTAACAGATAATTGTGTGAATAGATGAATGGTTAATTGTCATGATTAACTAAGAGCTGGATTAAAGGTAAATCACAAACAATCAGCTTCCTAAATTGTTGATTTAACATAACAAATGAGTTAATTACAATTTGGGCAATCATTCAATTAAACCTTTGAATTTTAAACAGGTTAATTGGTCAAATTTAAATTGCGAAAGAATTATGTTCTTAATTGTTGATTAACATTTCATTCTCAGCATTTTAGTTAATCATTTTAATCAACTGAAAACCTCGCAACTAACAAGTTAATCATTAACTGTTTCGTAGCAAAATTAATGTCCATCGAAATGTTAATCCAAAGTGTTAATTGTTAGAAAGTGATTAGTTTCCCTCCAAGGATTAGGATTAACACTAAGTCAACATATTTATTGCAATTATAATTGTTACAAATTTTTAATCAACATTCAACTTTATTAACTATTAATTATGATTTCCAACAATTTGAATGATATTTTTTTCATCTTAATCACTTTTCCAGTATTAGTCTTGGCCAAAGGTAAATGTGGTAAGTATTTGTTTCCTAATTGTTGTCGTCGATTAATTTTGATTGATTAAATTTATCAAATTGATTCCAATAGATTGTGGACTTGGAAGTGAATCAGTTTCAACCAAAATTTTCGGTGGGACTGTTGCTTACAACGATGAATACCCATGGATGGCACATCTAAGGTAGATTGTTAATTGTACTGATTTAGAGTCACAATTATTAATCATTTGTCCTCTTTAATTGCTCGCAGATTTTTTGATAAAAAAGGTGGCACCCGATACGGGATGTGTGGTGGCTTCTTGATCACCTCGAAGCATGTGATGACCGCAGCTCATTGTATCATGGAGAGTCAAACGAAGGTGAGATCCATTGAGGCAACAGAGGTTTACCTTGGGGTCAACGATTTAAGTAAACTGACCACAGTTCATAGAGTGGACAAGTTTTATTATCCATCAAATTATAAGCAATACGATTTGTCCAATGATATCGCCATTCTTGAACTGTCTCAACCAGTTAATTTCACCAAAAAAATTCGTCCGATTTGTTTACCAAGATCAGATGACGAACCTTATAAAAGGTTAATTGTTGCTGGTTTCGGACGATTAGGACCTAATAAGGATACGTCAGAGCTTCTGATGCATGTTAATGTTGAATACATACCAAGTGAGTATATGGTCGTGTTGAATTTGCTGTGACAATTAACTATTAATAGTAGAAACAAACTCGATCAAGGCAATCAGTTGATTGTGTGTCATCTTTTCCAATGATTGCATAAATGATTCATTGTTTTCTTTTTTTTTCATGGTGATGATAATTTACCAAATTAGATCCTCAGTGTAATGAGATGGTTAAAGATTATTTCATGAGGAACAATCCAGACATTAAGAAAGATCCTGATCGATATGATATACCAAAAGTTCATGAGACTCACATGTGTTGTGTGGATAAAAGCACCGGAGGTGATGCATGTAGAGGAGATTCGGGTGGGGCTTTGATGTACAAAAAGGATGGACGATATTACGCCGTGGGCATCGTCTCAGGTGCTTTCGATGAATGTGGGGACCCAAGAACTCCCGGATTCTATACAACTGTAAGGAAGTTCAGAGAAATGGTTAATAAAGCAACTAAAGATGCTCAATTCTGTGATTATTAAACTAAATCAATTAATATAATATTATTATTCAAAACGAAAAACTGTAATAAAAAAATCGTATTCTTATTAGCAAACTGGAGCAACTAAATTACCACAAAAAAAGGTTGAATTTATTTTCTATTGTAGGTGACATTTAGTAATAGTTTTAATTATAAACTTTAACTCTTTGTTTATTAAGATCGGAAATTCTAACAATCAAAATTGATTCGGTTCTCCATTACTAAATGTAATACCAAAAGGTGAGCGTTTTCAAAACTTTTCCTCTCTATGAATCTCTCTGTAAATATTCACCCTTTTAAATTTTCTATCAAGTTAATCATTGATCATGGAAAAAACAATTAATGAATAAACTTCAACAATTAAGTGAATGATTTCAAGGGCAAGGAAATGATTAGATCAATTGAACTTTTGTTTATTTGAATGTTTAAGCAAAATACATTTGAAGATTGGGTTTAAGATTTGATTGTATTGGTGTCGATTGATTGTTAACCCCTGGAGAAAAGTGTACTAACTGGATTAGATGATGGAACTGCGGTAATTGTACCGAACATTTGATCTCTCATTCGACTCCAGAAATTAAATATCGGTGAAAATAATCCACCAGTTGATACTAATCGAGTTCCATTCATAGATGATGCTGATCCACCGAATCCTGGGATAAATCCAAAGAAACATCTCGATCTAATTATTGGTAATGTAACATTGGTTTCGGCTGTTTGATTTGATTCGATGGCTTCTGATGATTTAACCAAAAAAACAACAATTAAAGCTGAGATGATTAAAAGATAACTAGAAACACAATTCATCTTTGATTGATCTGATTTTCGATAGATTAACAAAATTTTATGTCACTGGGTAATAGTTTTTGTAACAATTAACACAATAAAGATTATGATCAATGTGAACAATACAATTACATGGTGAACAATTTTGATCTGATTATTAGAATCAGTGAGCAAACAAAATAATTAAAAGTGATCATCAATCTTAACCATTTGAAACAATTGTTTTCGTTGAGTTAATATTATTTTTCTTTTGATCACCTTGAACACAATCAACTAAACCATTGATTCAATTAAATATAATAACCAATTAATTAAATTGTAATCGTTATAAAGCTGATTTCTGTCAAAAGGCTCATTTATTCAATTAAACGTAACATTGATCATCTTGATTAAAATCAATTGTCAGTTTATTGCAATTAAGTCAAGGGAATTTATAGTTTTACTTTACCTCAACTTATTGAAGCTTCATGTAATTAGTCAAATAGTTGACAAATTTCATCAATGATCAACTGATTGACGTAAACTTGACTAATTTTATTCTGATATTCAGAAATTGAAGCACTCTTGAATTTGAATAACATGAGCAACACTGAAAAGTTTTCGATGGCAAACTAATAGTACTATTGTTTGACAATAGAAATGTAAAAATGAATGTTTTTTATTGCTACGAGAATTAAATTAATAAATTAAGATTTAAATAATAAGTGAGCGATCAAAATATACAAGAGATTGAAATTGGTTAGAGTTTAGGAGGAGAAAGTGAGATTATTAACAAAAAGGTCTTAATTTTTGGCCCAATTGTCGTGTTTGTTTTGTTGTTTCCATGAATCTTTGTTATTCCATGAATCGTGATTCTGTCCGTGGTATGGACCATGTTGGTATTGGTTTTGATATTGGTTTCGGTGTTGGTTGTAATTGTTGTATTGGTTTGGGTATTGGTTTCCATTGTTCCATGAGCCAACATGATGACGACCATCATGATTGTAACCATCATGGTGATTGTAATGGTTTCCCTTGTTTCCTGAGATAATATTAGTGTAACTGTGACCAGAAGGATCAGCACCATTGTAAATGGCATCAGCAGAGTCGATTGAGTCAACAGATGGTTCGTTTGAGTCCAATTTAACTCGGAATCCACTTTTATCGGCAATATAGTTAACAGTTCGGTGACGACCATCGGCAAGTTTAAGTCCATATGAACCGTGGACATTACCCCAACCATCACCAGATTCTTGTCGGTAGTTGGATGATCCCCAAGGATCATTGATATCATAACCAAAATTGTATTTTCCACTCACATCTTGGTTTCGATAAATTTTACTTTGACCTCCGTCACCGTGATTTGTAGCACTAATTGTTGTAGAAAGAGCAACAAGAGCAAAGAAAATGATAGCAACCAATTGATTCATTGTTGTAATAGAAAAGTTTTAAATGTTTTCGTTTAGTTGTTGTTGTTGTTGTTTTCGTTATTGGTTTGGACAGTTGAATGATAATTTCTCGAAAATCCTTTCATTTTATATAGTAGACGAAAAGTGAAAATATTAATTTTAGAATATCTCAAATACTAATCGAGGGAAATTAGTAACGCGTCTGACACAAAATTAACTGCAGTTAAGATAAGATCGTGGTAAAAGATCGCGAAAAGTTCATCATGATAATTGTCACAAGACTCGTAACATGATTTTAATGCTTTAAACTTGTACAAGTTTTTTCACCAAAGAGAAACTTTAAAATTACCAATAATAGTTATCGAGCTTTTCGTCTACTATATAAAACGAAAGGATTTTCGAGAAATTATCATTCAACTGTCCAAACCAATAACGAAAACAACAACAACAACAACTAAACGAAAACATTTAAAACTTTTCTATTACAACAATGAATCAATTGGTTGCTATCATTTTCTTTGCTCTTGTTGCCATTTCTACAACAATTAGTGCTACAAATCACGGTGACGGAGGTCAAAGTAAAATTTATCGAAACCAAGATGTGAGTGGAAAATACAATTTTGGTTATGATATCAATGATCCTTGGGGATCATCCAACTATCGACAAGAATCTGGTGATGGTTGGGGTAATGTCCACGGTTCATATGGACTTAAACTTGCCGATGGTCGTCACCGAACTGTTAACTATATTGCCGATAAAAGTGGATTCCGAGTTAAATTGGACTCAAACGAACCATCTGTTGACTCAATCGACTCTGCTGATGCCATTTACAATGGTGCTGATCCTTCTGGTCACAGTTACACTAATATTATCTCAGGAAACAAGGGAAACCATTACAATCATGATGGTCGTCATCATGTTGGCTCATGGAACAATGGAAAACAATACCCAAACCAATACAACAATTACAACCAACACCGAAACCAATATCAAAACCAATACCAACATGGTCCATACCACGGACAGAATCACGATTCATGGAATAACAAAGATTCTTGGAATAATAAAGATTCATGGAAACAACAAAACAAACACGACAATTGGGCCAAAAATTAAGACCTTTTTGTTAATAATCTCACTTTCTCCTCCTAAACTCTAACCAATTTCAATCTCTTGTATATTTTGATCGCTCACTTATTATTTAAATCTTAATTTATTAATTTAATTCTCGTAGCAATAAAAAACATTCATTTTTTATATATTTTTTCATATCCCAAGGGTGAGTTCTCGAAGGGTTAGTTTTGGTTTTTAACTCACAAAGTAATACTATTGGTCAGTTTTACAGGATTAAGACATAGGGATGATATTTAAAGGTGACATTTTCCAGTCCACTGCCATTAATGCTCCGCATTGTATTTGAGTTAACTCTTTTCTTTTGTTAAAAGTCAACAATTTTCCTATTCTTTTGTTCAATTTAAAATGGCTACAACTAGATCAACTGATATGTATGCATATGATATAAAGGGCATTTTAGGATCTGGATATATTGACCCCAGGCGACGACCTGAAGACTTTCGACTTGTTGTTGAGTACCAGCCGACATTGAATCATCCAAAAAATGTTCGTTGGGATGGTGACATACCCCATGGTTTGCCGGAAAACTACAAGGAATTGGTTGATTGCGAAAACCTCGAGCATCTTGCGGTGTCCGTTTACGATTATCGCTGTCGTTGGTGTAAGCGTCCGAACACTTCTCGCAGCAACCAATATAAACACGAACGACGATGTCGAATTGCAGGAGCACCAGGACATGATTGCCAAAAAGCGAAATGTGTCCCAAACTGTATTGGCCCAGGTAAATTTTTTCTTATTCCTGATGCTCATAAGGGAAATTTATCAGGAAAGAAGGGTCGACCGAAAAAAAACTAATTGTAACTTCTTGTTTATTTATCACCATTGCTTTGAATATATAAATTGATTTTTTCTGTAACTTTTACGCTTGTTACTAAAGTATGGGTATTGTACTCAAACTTTTCCGAATCGGAGAAAATAATAGAAATCGGTTAAAATTTAAAAATATGGGTATTAGTACCCAAACTTTTATGAATGGAGAAAATAATAGAAATCGGTAAAATTGACACTTTAAAACTCTTAGTACTTTTAGATACTATTAAAAGTATGGAAGAAAATAATAGCAAATTGGTTAAAAATGAAAAGTATGGGTATTTGGACCCAAACTTTTATGAATGAAAGAAAATAATAGAAAATTGGTTTACAGGTAATTATTTACAACAATAGAACAATAGAAATGTAAAAATGGATGTTTTTTATTGCTACGAGAATTAAATTAATAAATTAAGATTTAAATAATAAGTGAGCGATCAAAATATACAAGAGATTGGAACTGGTTAGGGTTTAAGAGGAGAAGATGAGATTATTTACAAAAAGGTCTTAATTTTTGGCCCAATTGTCGTGTTTGTTTCCTTGTTTCCATGAATCTTTATCATTCCATAAATCGTGATTCTGTCCGTGGTATGGACCATGTTGGTATTGGTTTTGATATTGGTTTCGGTGTTGGTTGTAATTGTTGTATTGGTTTGGGTATTGGTTTGGGTATTGGTTTCCATTGTTCCATGAGCCAACATGATGACGACCATCATGATTGTAACCATCATGGTGATTGTAATGGTTTCCCTTGTTTCCTGAGATAATATTAGTGTAACTGTGACCAGAAGGATCAGCACCATTGTAAATGGCATCAGCAGAGTCGATTGAGTCAACAGATGGTTCGTTTGAGTCCAATTTAACTCGGAATCCACTTTTATCGGCAATATAGTTAACAGTTCGGTGACGACCATCGGCAAGTTTAAGTCCATATGAACCGTGGACATTACCCCAACCATCACCAGATTCTTGTCGGTAGTTGGATGATCCCCAAGGATCATTGATATCATAACCAAAATTGTATTTTCCACTCACATCTTGGTTTCGATAAATTTTACTCTGACCTCCGTCACCGTGATTTGTAGCACTAATTGTTGTAGAAAGAGCAACAAGAGCAAAGAAAAGAATAGCAACGAATTGATACATTTTTCTAACAGAAAAGTTTTAAATGTTTTCGTTTAGTTGTTGTTGTTGTTGTTCTCGTTGTTAGTTTGGACAGTTGAATGATAATTTTTTTCGAAACTTCTTTCGTTTTATATAGTAGACGAAAAGTGAAAATATTAATTTTAGAATATCTAAAATACTAATCGAGTGAGAATAAGGAACGAGTTAAATGGTATTTACCATAAGATGGAGGTTAAAGATCGAGATAAGATCATCATGATAATTTTCACATTGCAATTACTCCGAGACTGTTGTTAATACAGTATCAGCAGAATTGAACCTTGGTTATTTGTTACAAGTATTCTGATTCTTATTAAATTGAATTATCGAAATTGAGATGATTGATCTAAAAGCTCGGAATATCTTGATGAATAAACTCTTCAATGTTACTATCTCTTTGGTAATTACATCTAATTGGTAGATTGTCCAAGTTAAGGGTAAACAGTAAATGGAAATTAGCAACTCTCACCCTCAAGTTGGGAAAATTATTAATAACATCTTTTTGTTTGAATAATTCTTTGAGTCCATTGGTAGAACAGTAAAGTTTGAGAGGATCATCACCAAGAGCATTGGAATCATCATAATTATCGACAAACAACAAGTATTTTACTTTAACGATTCGAGTTAAAATCGCTGATCTCCACCTGATACAAACTAATAAGATACATAAAAATGCGGAAAAAAATCATTTCAATAAACAAAATGGAAAAATATTGACAAAATTTTCTTACCTTTAGAGTAGTTGATCAGCTCTTCCAATGTCTTCACAAATTCAAAGACTAAAACCAAACAATCAAGATTCAATTCAGCAAAACTCACTGTATTTTCCATTGAATAATACAAATTATCAGAGAAATTATTAAATCACAATAAAGGAAACCACAATTACCAATCATCTGATTAAGAATATGATCTTCTGAAGATCACAAATGATTTTTGAAAAATCAAGAGGCAAACATTGAGTTTGGATTATCCGTTTGGAGGCAAAATAATTTAACGCGCGATTGTTGAATTAGTTATTCTGATTCTTATAAAGTTGAACTATCGAGATTAAATTGAGATGATTGATTTAATAGGCTTGGAATATCATCGTAACAAGTCTAAATTATTATGGATATATATTGCGATCAGAATAATTGGCATTTCATCGATGCAATAAATCAATAACTTCAACTTGAATAGCGATTTTATTCACAAGACTACATGTATGTTCAACTCTTCAATGTTACTATCTCTTTGGTAATTATTACTTCTAATTGCCAGATTCTCCAAGTTAAGAAATTTTGACCATATTTTACACAGAGAATTTCGGTTATGATTGATTGGTGTATTGAGCAGATAAATTATTCAGAATAAAACGGTTTCTCATTTTAACTTTAAGTTTAAATTATGTGAAAATTATCATGATGAACTTATCTCGATCTTTAACCTCCATCTTATGGTAAATGCCATTTAACTTGTGTCTAACTCGTTCCTTATTCTCACTCGCTTAGTATTTCAGATATTCTAAAATTAATATTTTCACTTTTCATCTACTATATAAAACGAAAGAAGTTTCGAAAAAAATTATCATTCAACTGTCCAAACTAACAACGAGAACAACAACAACAACAACTAAACGAAAACATTTAAAACTTTTCTGTTAGAAAAATGTATCAATTGGTTGCTATTCTTTTCTTTGCTCTTGTTGCCATTTCTACAACAATTAGTGCTACAAATCACGGTGACGGAGGTCAGAGTAAAATTTATCGAAACCAAGATGTGAGTGGAAAATACAATTTTGGTTATGATATCAATGATCCTTGGGGATCATCCAACTACCGACAAGAATCTGGTGATGGTTGGGGTAATGTCCACGGTTCATATGGACTTAAACTTGCCGATGGTCGTCACCGAACTGTTAACTATATTGCCGATAAAAGTGGATTCCGAGTTAAATTGGACTCAAACGAACCATCTGTTGACTCAATCGACTCTGCTGATGCCATTTACAATGGTGCTGATCCTTCTGGTCACAGTTACACTAATATTATCTCAGGAAACAAGGGAAACCATTACAATCACCATGATGGTTACAATCATGATGGTCGTCATCATGTTGGCTCATGGAACAATGGAAACCAATACCCAAACCAATACAACAATTACAACCAACACCGAAACCAATATCAAAACCAATACCAACATGGTCCATACCACGGACAGAATCACGATTCATGGAATAACAAAGATTCTTGGAATAATAAAGATTCATGGAAACAACAAAACAAACACGACAATTGGGCCAAAAATTAAGACCTTTTTGTTAATAATCTCACTTTCTCCTCCTAAACTCTAACCAATTTCAATCTCTTGTATATTTTGATCGCTCACTTATTATTTAAATCTTAATTATTAATTTAATTCTCGTAGCAATAAAAAACATTCATTTTTACATTTCTATTGTCAAACAATAGTACTATTAGTTTGCCATCGAAAACTTTTCAGTGTTGCTCATGGTGTTATTACTCATTTTTGGACTAGTTTCGATCAAGTGAATTATCTCGTCAGCTTGAAATAAATTCTGTTAATCTTAAAACACTCAAAATTTACTCAGCCTGAGTCTAAATTGATGAATTCTATGTTTTGGAAAGACTTTATCATGAAAAGCAGCAATATCGCCATCAAGAAAGTAATTCGAATGACAACATAATGAATGTATAACAGCTAAGAAATTTGATCAATATTAAATCAACTGTCAAACTTATTCACTCTAGACAACTTTCTGTTGTTAAAGTTCATTCAAATCAACAATTAGGTCAAAGCCATTATAAACTTTCATAAACTGAACAGTTTTTAAGTTCAAGATAAAAACAGACCAATTTCATTTCAGCTCAATATTTATTAGGAATAGATCATATTATTTGGTTGGGTTAGTATGAATATGAATATTTTATTTGAATTGAATATACAGTTTAGTATTATTAATAGATTAAAAATTCTGTTGAAGTAGCTTGCAAATAAACTATAACCATATTGTTCTCAACTGCTGAGATAAATTACTCTCGAAGGTAAATCCGTGAGCTTAAGTTTGTTGCTAAGAGAAATTCGTGTTTTTTATTCGAGTATGCAAAGTTTGAGCAAAGTTCGAACTTAACGATGATGAGAACTTATCTTGGGCTCTAAAATCAGCGGAAGACTTTGAAAAGTTCTGAAGAAACAATTTTCCATGAAATCGAATCCATAACAAATTTTCTCATGACTCTTAATTATTTTAGGCCAAGTTAATGATTCAGCTTTCTTAGAACTATAATAAAATTTAATGGATCGTTTGTTTCGTTTATTAAAGTCGACCAGATATGAAGCCGATTTTTTCGTAACTTTTCGCGATCCACGAAAATCCAATAGCTTTACATGTGGTAACATATCCAACAATTTTCTTACATGGTGATCGTTTAGGGTATCGTTTCCTCTGATAGCGAGATTCCTTAAGTTAGGAAATCTACTCAATATTGCTCGTAGAGAATTCCATTCCTGACCGAGCCCCTAGAGGGATAAAAGACAGAATTAGTGATTATCTCAGATAATCGATAATATTCAACTTGACTCACAGTATTTTGAATAACCAAATTTCTCAGGTTGAGGTTTGTCTTGTTCAATGCATTGATCATTTTCGCACGAAAAAATATGTAAGCACTTTCTAAATTTGGGCACGAATCTATTATAGCGTAACCACATTGGATGGAAGTTCCTATCTCGAGTATTTTCAAATTGGTCAATGGTCGAAGGCAATTGTAAAATGATTCATCTGATAATAGAAATTAAAGATTAATCAGTTAGAGTGTTTACAAGATATCCGATAAAGACACTTACTGCTATGGAGCCTCAATAAGTCTTGGAAAATGGAAAAATCTGAACTAATTCCGATTTCGATGTGAAGTTGTTTCAAATTCATCGGTTTGTTGACCCAATTTAAAGTGTAACAGGCGATTATCTCGATTTTGTCGAGAAATTTACCTGTATTATAATCAGGAGTTCCAATTAATCCTTTGATTTCTCTATTCTTCATGAGAAATTCAGATAAATTTCCAGAGAACGAATTTTTCGCACCAATATCAACAATCTAGCAAATCACATGGATACAATATAAGTATGCAATAGTTAAATTAATCATCTAATCAACTTTAATAGGTTGACTTACACGGAGGTTTCTCAATTCCTTCAGATATCTACGACTTGGATAATTCAATAGTCCATCATGAAAAAGGTGAGTCGGATTATCATTAGCTGGGTTCGAGTAAACCATATATTGTGGAGGTGGAAAATATTTAGAAATCAAACAATCTCTGAAAGAGAAAACAAAAATGATCATAACTTTGCTAATTAAACATAGATTTAGTTGACCACCAACCACTTAAATAATGATAACAAAATGTAAAATGATAATCGCCAATAGTGATTAATGAGATTAAGAGGTTAATTAGTGTGAGAAAGACAAACTTAACTGGGAATTAGCGAGTGGTCACCATGTGGTCAAAGGTTGGAAAATGAAAAGCGATGTTTCAACTTACTCATTGGGGCGTTCGATGGGTTCTAAGGACAAATACTTTATTTGAGATAATCGATAAAAAGCTGCGATTCTCCATTTAGAGCAAACTGGTTGGATGAATTTAAGAAACGAAAAGAAAATCGTAATTGAATAGAAAACAGGTCATCGTGAAAATAATGAGCGTAGAGAAAATAAGAAATTAGAAAACTTTTCTTACCTTTAGAATACACGACTAGATCTTCAAATCGATTCGTATATTGAAAAATGTTCAACAAACAATCAAAATTTAATTCTTTTGACATAGTTGAGAATCACTGTAAACAATTGGTGTGGAAATTGGTTTAATGTCAGTTGGTCACAAAATGTTAAGAAAATAATTTAAGTTTTAAGAAAAAAACTTTTAGATGAGAAAGAGACAATTTTTCAAAACGACGAAAATAAGTTGACCGCGCTAATCAAAATCGCTAAAAACAATTGGAAAAATATAAGAATTTGTATAAACTGAGCTTTCAGCTTCTCGAGAAAAAGTTTAGTTTAAATCGAGTTTTCAACTCATAAATTACTTTAAAAATTAGCAAACAGTTTAACCCTTTTAACCCTTTTAACTAAATATATTAGAATAGATTGGCGAATCTTCATAAATCAGGATTTTCTTTTGGGTCTAATATTATTGGAAGATTATCGAAATATCTGAAGAAACAATGTTTCATGAAATCGAATCCATAACAAACTTTGTCGTGAGTTTTAATTATTTTCGGCCAATCTGACGGTTCATCATCTTTGCAATTATAATAAATTGTAATTGACGATCGACCAGATTGAGAACAATATTCATTTAAAAAATCAGCTGATTGTTTGGTTATTCCTTTTGAACCACGAAAATCGATCAATTTTATCGCTGGTAACATGTCCACCAATTCTTCAATGTTAATATCAGCAATTTCATCGTTTTCTCTGATTGCGAGATGTCTCAAGTTAGGAAATTTGCATAATATTCCTCGTATACAATTCCAGTCATGAGTATATTCCTGAAGAAAAATTCAAAATAAAAAGAAATACGAATCAGTACATTTCCAAATGGCTTATTCATAAATCGCTCAACTCACCGCAGAGTTTTGAATAACTAAATCGTGTAGATGAAGATTGATTTTAGTCTCATTAACAGAACAAGTTTTAGTTGCAGATTTGATAAAAGCACTTTCTAGTGATGAACATTGGTCCATAAAAGTATATCCTGAATGGTCACGCGGCATCGCCCTCGAAAAGTCCAATTCCAGAATTTTGAGTCGAGGTAATTGCAATGGCGTCGGCTCCATGGAAAGATATGCTAATGCAACTGATACCAAGAAAAAAATCCTTATTAATAATACAGATATACATGTGAATCAGTACGATAGTTAATTACTAATTCTCACCACTGTCAAGATTCAATCTCAATAATAATTCCAAATCTGAGTTTATGTAAAAACTTGGAAAATTATTCTTAATGTAAAGTTGCTTTAGAGCGACACAACTTGAAATTAGCCGCTTTTGAAACGCAAGGGAAGCGACTCCACGATTAGCTGGACAAGTGTCAGCGGCAAAGTTAACGGGTGAACCAAAGGCCACTTTAATCGATTCATGGTCCAAGAGTTTGAACAGATCTTTGTAACTCGAAAGACAAAGAGGTCCCAATTCAAGAATCTGCGAAAGACAAAAAGTCCAAATGGTTAACAAATCAATTGAAAGTTTTCTTAATCAACTTACTCTTAGATTAGGAAGCAATTCTGTTAGATATCCTTGTCCGGGTGAAACTAAGCTTCCAGAATAATAAAGTCTCATTGAATCAACACTTATCGGAATATTGAAACTTGAAACTGTTATTAGTAAATGATAGCAATCAAATAGTTAGTAATTGACAATTAGTTAAATTGTGTCTCTACAAGAATACAAATCAACTTACATAACAAATACTTCACTTGACTGAGTCGATATAAAATTAAATCTTTCCAACGAGTACAAACTAGAGTAAAATTAGAAAACAGAAAATGATAATTAGCAAATTGTTACACGAAAAAACCAACAAGGAAACAATTAAAGATTGAACGGAAAACTAACTTACCTTTGGCCCAATTGATTAAATCTTCAAGTTGATTAGAGTAGTTGAATATTATCATTAAGCAATTATCTGGTAAATGTTTCGCCATGATAACTAATTTTCCCTTTAAAGGGACAATTTAAACTCATTCAAAAATGTTTATCACTGAAACAATCAAATCAAAAGGTTGATCAATCAACTTGATTAAATCAACAACTTAAGTTCAGCTGATTAGTTTAAAGCTTAAATATTTACCGTTTGGTGGTGACAGTGAAGTTTAAGGCGCTAATCATAAATTGAACAATTTAGATTCGATGACTAATTAAGATTCATAATCAGCAATTAGTGATAATATAATTCTACAAGAATTTATTCAAAAAAGTGCCAATAATTATTGTTTCAATCTAAAGGTAGAATATGTTAATTTCTTAAGCTCATTTAATGGTTTAGCTCAATTCAATATGTAGTTAGAATTTATATTCCTAAAATTCAACTCGTTGATTGTAATGAGTTAATCGTCTATTGGTGTAACTTGAATGCTTTTAAATGTGACCTGGTTGATTGTCGATCAATCCACTAACATATTTGGGAGACTTTGGAAAGTTCTGAAGAAACAATGTTTCATGAAATCGAATCCATAACAAACTTTGTCGTGAGTTTTAATTATTTTCGGCCAATCTGACGGTTCATTGTCTTCGCAATTGTAATAAATTGTAATTGATGATCGACCAGATTGAGAACAATATTCATTTAAAAAATCAGCTGATCGTTTGGTTATTCCTTTTGAACCACGAAAATCCATTAGAATTACCTCAGGTGCACATTCTACCAATTCTATCATTATATCATCGGTTATATTATCATTTTGTCGAATCGCGAGATGTTTCAACTTGGGAAAACTGAACAGAAGCTCTCGTAGAGAGAACCAGGTTTGACCACCTTCCTAGAAAAGAAATCACGATAACTATTAATAAAAATTATGTCTAATGTCGTAGTATGTGAAGGTCGCGATTTGCTTATACTCACAGTACATTGGATAACTAAATCGCGCAAATTAGAGTTTAGTTTTGGAGTAACGCGCTTTATATTATCTTGCATAAGATCAAACGGGCCTAAAGTACCAGTGTAGACAAAAGCGCTTTCCAATAATGGACAATCATCGATTACACGATATCTTGGAAAAGAAAAATATTTCTTATGATCATGATCCAAAACAAATGATAACTCAAGTATTTTCAACTTGTCCAATGGCCATGAACCGTTCGAGTAATCAAAAAAATAATCAAAGTTCTGATCGTATTTATCTGTTGTGAGAAAAAAGCAATTGAAAAACAATTATTAGTGAAAATTTCGATGAAAAAAATTAACCAGGAGACGAACCATTTCCAAGATGAAGCCTTAATAGCTTGGGGAATATCTCAATACACTCAAATTGCAAAGTACTATTGACATACAATTGTGTGCACTTATTGGTCTTGACAAGTTTTCCATTAAGATATGCGATTTTCAATTCATTACAAGAAATCATCTCGATGTTTATTGAATCATGTCTGAGAATATATTCACCACTACTGATGATCCCTTTGATCGAAGGCTTCTTGTAGATGGTTTTGTATGGAACTTTAGAGGTTCTAGAGTTACCGATGTCAAGAATCTGGAAAATGAATGGAACAAGAAGCAAATTTAATATCTAAATGATCAAGACAGTAAATGGAAATTAGAAATTCTCACCCTCAAGTTGGGAAAATTATTAATAACATCTTTTTGTTTGAATAATTCTTTGAGTCCATTGGTAGAACAGTAAAGTTTGAGAGGATCATCACCAAGAGCATTGGAATCATCATAATTATCGACAAACAACAAGTATTTTACTTTAACGATTCGAGTTAAAATCGCTGATCTCCACCTGATACAAACTAATAAGATACATAAAAATGTGGGAAAAAATCAATAAACAAAATGGAAAAATATTGACAAAATTTTCTTACCTTTAGAGTAGTTGATCAGCTCTTCCAATGTCTTCACAAATTCAAAGACTAAAACCAAACAATCAAGATTCAATTCAGCAAAACTCACTGTATTTTCCATTGAATAATACAAATTATCAGAGAAATTATTAAATCACAATAAAGGAAACCACAATTACCAATCATCTGATTAAGAATATGATCTTCTGAAGATCACAAATGATTTTTGAAAAATCAAGAGGCAAACATTGAGTTTGGATTATCCGTTTGGAGGCAAAATAATTTAACGCGCGATTGTTGAATTAGTTATTCTGATTCTTATTAGGTTGAATTATCGAGATTAAATTGAGATGATTGATTTAATAGGCTTGGAATATCATAGTAACAAGTCTAAATTATTATGAATATATATTTCGATCAGAATAATTGGCATTTCATCGATGCAATAAAATGATGATTTGATATGATTTACAAAGGATAACGACTTATAAAGTGACTTTTCAAAAACGAAAAATTTTGTTCAATTCTTTCAGATCCTCGAAAAATCAATAACTTCAACATGAATAGCGATTTTATTCACAAGACTACATGTATGTTCAGCTCTTCAATGTCACTATTACTTTGGTAATTATTACATCTAATTGCCAGATTCTCCAAGTGAAGAAATTTAGACCATATTTTACACAGAGAATTTCGGTTATGATTGATTGGTGTATTGAGCAGATAAATTATTCAGAATAAAACGGTTTTCATTTTAACTTTAAGATTTGATTATTCCTTTAGATATTTTCTATTGCACACAGCGAGTAAGAAAAATAAAATAAATCGCGAAATATATTAATATATTTTATCATGAGAACGATAAAATTTTGATGTTGTGTTCGCTTGTCTAAGTTTAAATTATGTGAAAATTATCATGATGAACTTATCTCGATCTTTAACCTCCATCTTATGGTAAATACCATTTAACTTGTGTCTAACTCGTTCCTTATTCTCACTCGATTAGTATTTTAGATATTCTAAAATTAATATTTTCACTTTTCATCTACTATATAAAACGAAAGAAGTTTCGAAAAAAATTATCATTCAACTGTCCAAACCAACAACGAGAACAACAACAACAACAACTAAACGAAAACATTTAAAACTTTTCTATTAGAAAAATGAACCAATTGGTTGCTATTCTTTTCTTTGCTCTTGTTGCCATTTCTACAACAATTAGTGCTACAAATCACGGTGACGGAGGTCAGAGTAAAATTTATCGAAACCAAGATGTGAGTGGAAAATACAATTTTGGTTATGATATCAATGATCCTTGGGGATCATCCAACTACCGACAAGAATCTGGTGATGGTTGGGGTAATGTCCACGGTTCATATGGACTTAAACTTGCCGATGGTCGTCACCGAACTGTTAACTATATTGCCGATAAAAGTGGATTCCGAGTTAAATTGGACTCAAACGAACCATCTGTTGACTCAATCGACTCTGCTGATGCCATTTACAATGGTGCTGATCCTTCTGGTCACAGTTACACTAATATTATCTCAGGAAACAAGGGAAACCATTACAATCACCATGATGGTTACAATCATGATGGTCGTCATCATGTTGGCTCATGGAACAATGGAAACCAATACCCAAACCAATACAACAATTACAACAATTACAATCAACACCGAAACCAATATCAAAACCAATACCAACATGGTCCATACCACGGACAGAATCACGATTCATGGAATAACAAAGATTCATGGAATAATAAAGATTCATGGAAACAAGGAAACAAACACGACAATTGGGCCAAAAATTAAGACCTTTTTGTTAATAATCTCATCTTCTCCTCTTGAACTCTAACCAATTTCAATCTCTTGTATATTTTGATCGCTCACTCATTATTTAAATCTTAATCTATTAATTTAATTCTCGCAGCAATAAAAAACATTTTTTTTACATTTCTATTGTCCAACAATAGTACTACAGTCAGACCTCTCATATTTGAACACTTTCTTCATTGAAGCAGCATCAATGATGCACCTTGGTGCGATGATTTAACATCTAAACTGTACGTAAGCCTGAATTCTGACCGAATCTTTAAATCTCCATGAATATGATTTATTCCAATAGATGGCAGGATTAATCAATAGTGTTTCCTCTTTCTTTGAAAAAGATTTTTATCGCTCCTGATAAACTTTAATTTAATTAATTTTACCTGTGAATTTAAAATTTAATTTCATGTTATTATTGTTTATCTTGTCACACGGATCAAGTTGGTACCAAAATCACGATAGTTCAACAGTTACTTCAGTTGTTTTTTGTTACTCTTAAAACTGAGACTCTTGTTGCGTCGTAATAACTTCAACCTTTTTTGTTCTCTTGGTAAGTTTTGTTGGTAATTTGATACAACTTTCTTTTCTCTAACTCATACTTTAAATTTTATACTTTAAATTTTATACTTTAAATACAATTAAACAAATTGATTAAAATTACCTCACATTTATAATCAAAATAAGTGTTTTCACATTTTAAAAGATTGAAATTCTAATATTTTCTCCTTTTCCTCGTATCATACCTAATGAGTAAAACTTATTTGGACCTCATCTCCACTTCCACCTCAACCCTTGGTACTTATTTACAATCATCAAATTGGATCTTTGGACAATCAAACTAACTACCAGTCAATTAATATAATTTGTAAATTTTCTTTTGTTTTTACCTAATAATTTGTAAACCAAATCTATTGTAATTTCCCTCCCTGAAGTTGTCTGGAACAACTTTCCTCCACAGGAGGAGCTACAGAAAATACACTGTAGTAATAATGTTAAATCATTGCATCCATCAGGATGTTACCAATAAATTCCTATTCACCTTTTATATTTAGATTTAATTAAATTTTTTATTAAGTTAAATTATATTATGGATAATTGTGATACTCTCAAGTTTTTGTTAGATATTTGTGAAAGGCCTTTTACCAATTCATCTAACTTAAGTCGCTTCGCTTTGAGGCTGTTTTTCCCTAACTTCTGGTCGTTCCGCGACCGTTCGTTTCGGTATGACCTGTTCTTTTGCAATAGGTACAAACTTGATTAGTGGATAAGTTCTCAATTTTTGCTGATAATCGTTCAATAGACGTTTGAAGGTTCATTACCATGTCGTTAATAGCAGGATTAAAATTTTCCTTTTGCATAACGAACAGATTGTTGCATGAGAGCATAGCTCTTTCAGCTAATCTTGCGGATTCTAATAGTTGTTCTAGAGGTTGTGGGTTTTGCAAGGTGATTCCATATTTGATTTGTGGAAGTAACTCTTCCTTAATGCTATTTAGAATAAATGTTTCTGGTGCTTTCTCATCAATGCGTAGACACAGGTCATAAATTTCATAAATAATCGAAGTTGCTGATTGACCTGATATGTGAACAGCGTTATTCAGTTGAGATAAGAGCGAGAATCAGATCGACATAAACCAATCACACAAATTACACCCAGTGACTCAATTGATGAATATAAGGACTTTGACTCAGCAGATTTTTCATGGGATCCAGCTGTGATAGGTGTAACTCTTAAACGTCCACCGATTCTTCAACAACTGAAAGACAAATACACCCCAAGAGGAAGGGTTATCAACTCAAGTCAAAAACCAATTCCAGGGTCTAATATTGTTAATCCAAAAGGAAGAGAATAAACAGTCATTAGTGCTTCCCAAAAGTTCAACTTTTCCACTTCGTCTGACTCCAGTTGATAATCCAATCACCCAAGCTGAGTCTGAGCCGATAGTGAACCCACCACCAATAGTTATACCAGAAGCTCCTTTGATTGGTTCAGAGCCGATAGTTGATATGGATTCATCTACCAAAGTTCAGTTGGAACAAAATCAATCGATTTCGATTAAAGAGCCTGTGGTTGTTCCACAAGACGACGTGGAGATGACTCTAAATGAGTATATTGAGAAAATTGCTCCAAACGTATGAAAATATGTCCCTCAATCAATCTCCAGTCGATAACTATTGTTTATTGAGCTATTTTGATTTTAATAGTACTGAGCAGAATATGACGGTTGATCCAGTTAATCAAACCAACGGCTCTGACCTTAAAATTCTGGACAACTCTGTTGGAAACGAATCGTTTGTAATTGAAAAAAACATTCAAAATCCATTCAAGCTGACTATTCGGGTTATCGAAAATTCAAAAATTCAGGTTAATTGAAAAAATGTACATATTAAACTTGAATTGAAAAATAAATAGATTAATTAGATTACGACATCTTTGTTTGTATTGGAATCAATAGATTTAATTTCTGGAGAGTTGTGAGATTGAATTGTATAATAGTAGGAAAAGTGAGGAAGAAAAAATTAGTTCAAGGTCATTTTTGATGCCAAAGAGGTAATATTTATGCTACTATTTTGCTCATTATTACTTTAATTAAACTCTAACTAACTTGGGTCGAGCAAATGGTTAAGTGTGACGGAAACGTTAAAGCAGTGCTGAGAAACTATTCTAAAGAGTTTAAAACAGAAAAGTTCCATTGGAAAAAACTGTGTTAAGGTAAGGGAAATTTTAGCTTTTTTTGTGCATTTTTGATTTCAACCTTTTTTTCAATATTGAAGCTGCTGGGAGAAGTGGAGACGAACTGGTTCTGTTCTGAATGATGTTGAGTCAATGAAAACCTCTGTGGCAACAGTTAATAGTAGTAGTTAATAGGAAACAGTAAAGTCTCGATATACCTATAAGAGTTCATTGTAGAGTCAATGAACACTGGCCCGAATATACCACTAGCGAAACTGCACACCAAACAAGAATTTTCTTAGGGTGCAGTTGTCGTGTGATGAAACTTTCTGGTTTCTGCTTCCCCCAGAACCTATAATTTTGTTTGTTGAGTCCACCAGTGAGAGTGAACCATGCCATATCTGAAAACCAGATCTTTTCGGCCGTGATTTCTTATCTTATCTTATCTTATCTTATGTTAAAAATAAAAATGTTGTTGACTATAACGTCATGAAGAATATGCTGTTAGCTGAGTATGGACAATTATTGGAGAACAAATTATATCAAGGAAAACAAAAGGGAAATCAATCGATTTTATCATTCATATTGCAACAAATAAAGTTATGTAAAAGAGTCAACGTTCAGATGGATGAGAGAAAAGTTGATAAGGTTGATCGTCCGAGGAATCAAGCCTGAAATTTCTCAATATTTTGCCCAATTTGAAATTAATTCCGTTCATGATCCTTTACAAAGGGCGCAAAGAGCTGAGGCTACTCTTCAACGAGCTAGTGATAATGTTTATCAAAGCTCAATCGATGGCCTGGTGATGAAAATCAATCAAATCGAAGCTAATATCGATAGATTAGCTTCTCGACTTAATTAATTAGTTTTATTGATGACTAGGAATTTGGTTAAAACCTAGGAGATGGTACCTTGTGGACTGGTTGTTGTGTCAACAGTCGCATCCTCCTTATCCAACTCATTGCGGTATTGGTGGCAAGGGAGATGGTTCTTTTAAATTACGTGGCCGATGGATCCATGGGAATTTTACATACCTTGTTCTAGTTTTAATATAATTAATTGTGTGATAATCAAGTTAATGGAGATCTAATTGCAATTTCTCATTCTAACTTGGATTAATGTTTATGAAAATTTTGAGAGAATTTGTTATTTGAATGAATTATTTGTAAATTAATGATTATTAATTATCATTAATCATTAATCATTAATCATTAATGATGACCATGAATATCATGGTCATCATTAATTGTCACGATATCGTATTGAAATATCGATTATTAGAATATTCTAGAAGGTGATCATGATGCACTGATCACCTTCGTTATATATTGTATCACAATCATATACATTGTATTGTTTTGTCAGTCCCACTTCCCTCTTCCCTTAAGTAACATTAAAGTTTAAGTCTAAGTCTTTTATAATAATTGTGGTTATTATATAATTAGTTAACTATTTGTTTGATGTTAAGAAAAACTAAGAAACTACGTTTCATTACCTTAACACAGTTTTTTCCAATGGAACTTTTCCTGTTTTAAACTCTTTAGAATAGTTTCTCAGCACTGCCGCAACGTTTCCGTCACACTTAACCATTTGCTCTACCCAATAAATTCGATGAAAAACTTCATATTTCGGCATTTTGGACAAAAAAATTTGTTTCTAACAAAAAATCAAATTTATGATCAACACAATTCTATAGTCACAAAAATCAGCGCCCTCTGATGACTAGTTGCCGAGATATTAGCGCGCAAACTTCAACCTACCCATTGAGACGCCTTGTACTTAATCATTAAAAATACTCATAATTATTCATGATTGTAATAAAATAATTGCTAACCAGACTGTGACCATGGCCAGGTTACAGTCTGTTGATTAGTTTAAGTTGATCACTTTCGTGATAATGAAGATAATGATGATCATGATGATGCTCAATAGAACATAAAGTGTATCTAATATATACAATGTATCTAATACATAATTATCATTCTCTCTCTAACCTTTGTTACGAAAGGATTAAAAAGCTAAAACTAAAAATAGTAAATGAAAATTCATTTCATTTTGGCGAAGCTGCCAGGATATGTATCTTAATTGTGTTTAAATAATTCTGAATTTCAATTAAGAATTACCCGTTCAAATCTCCTTTTCTCATCTCATGTTTTTCTACTGGTTCAATTAGATTTTTGATTTAAATCAGTTTAATTCGATTGTGTCTGAATATTGGTGATTATCAAGAATAGAGAGTCTATTTCTTTCCGATTCTTTTGTCAGTACTTCAACCCCTTGGACGATGACCAATAATTTTGGTAAGTTACCAAATATTTCTCTGAAACAGCTTCAAGAGCAAGTTGGGGAAATATTTGATTAACCTTTCTTTCGCTTATTGCTTAGCTAATCCTGAAATCCTTTTCATGTACGTATCTACGTATAAACTTACGTATCTTAGATCTGAAATCATATCGACCTGCGGGATTAAATTCTAATCAGAAAAGAAGTTTTAATTACGAATCATTTCTTAACGAACAAACAAAAAACTTAAAGCATTAAAAAATTTGAGACAGTTGGAGAAACGGATTAGAGAAAAGTTTTTAACAGCGGTTAAATTACGAAAAATATACGAAATAGATAAATTTGATCCAGCTAAATTGGATAAATCTCATTCTCTATTCAAAGAGGTGGATAGAAAAGCGTTGGTTTTCTTCAAGGTGTCCAACGAATTTCAACAACAACATCAAGCCCAGCCGATTATTGAGTTACAAAATAAAACTCCAAGGGAAATTGCCGAATATATTACGTACTCATTGGCTTCGTTTTATCTAGGTGATACCGTGATACCCAAAATCACAAAGAATATTCCCACTGATCATGTATTTCATCAGAACAAAATTGTACGGTTAAAAAAGATTTGATTGGAAAAAAATAAAGAAAAGTAAATGAATTGTTAATAAAAATGAATAACAATAGCGATAAGAAATCGTGCATACAAGTGAGTTGGGAAAATTGTACTCCAAAAAAAATTACCATCGAATTAATCGATACACCAAAAGAAAACCATAATTTAAACTGTTTTGAATCTATTATCCCTGAGTTTGGTGAGTCTATTCTGAATCTGCATTAGCTAAAAAACAAATAAAGAAACGAAATGGAAGTTGAGACTAAGGTAAGAAAATAACGGGATCAATAGTTGCTTCGATACCAGTTGCCGATTTGAACAATATTAATGCTTTAAGCTATGATTGTGTCGAAGATTTAGTTGATTGGTGCGAGAACTATGAACTTGAATCAGATGCTGCCGGCTGGGATGATGAAACTAAGTTAACGCGATTACCAATGGATTTGCAAGGAACAGCAAGAAGTTGGTATGCTTGTTATGCATCTCCTAGTGTGAAATCGAGACCTAAAGATTATCTTACATTAAAGAAGATGATGGTTAGGGATTTATGCAGATCAGATTATAGAACTATGCTAGAACAAAAGATATTTGATTATCGTCAAGAGCGTGAGCAACCTGTTGCAAATTATATTCTCAAGATGAAAGATTTGTGTCGTAGACATGAATCTGAGATGAACGAGAAGAAAATTATTAGAATTGCGATTAGAGGAATGTACAAGAGTCATCGCGTTTTCAATGCTTACCTGTTTCTTTGTTGGTTGTCAATGCGCGAAACGTATGTTTACGTTCAGAAGTCGACCTACTGCGATCGTACCCCCAATCAATATTCAACCGACTGCACCTCGTTGGAATGATCAAGTTGTATCACTTTTAACTTGGCCTAAGTCAAGACGGGAAGCAACTGGGCCTCAGAATTATGGCATTTATTCTTTATTTTCCCCTTAGTCTTATTATTGTCAAATTTCTCGCACATTTTAAACTTTAATTGCACCATTATATTGTTAACATTAACTATTAATCATTCGACTTTAAGTCAAAAACTGGAAAGCTTAGAGTTGGTCTTAAATCAGATTGAAGAACTCATTGAGAAACTTATAGAAATATTAATTATTCATCACCTTTCCATAACGGGTCCAGAAGATTGGTTCCTCAAACTTTTATTATCAGAAGAGCTACCACATTTAGAAATAAATGATGAGATTTAGCAATGAACAAATAGAGCTGCTGAAGAACCTTTTATTTAACAACATCTCCTTCAACAATCTTATCACCTTGTATATCACAACTTCTGAATGACTGGGAAACCCGTAGGATCAAATTGTTCATATCGATACTCCTTCTACAAGTCTATATATTCTATTGGATTTCTCTACACGACAAAAAGAAGACTCGGAATCAAAGAGTAGTAATAATCGCTACAGTTAACCAAAAATCAAAAAGCATAGTTTTCTTGTATGGCGAAAATTGGCGATTTTCCATTTCTCTTTCTCTTTCCTCTTTCTTTCTACAAAAATTTTTGTTAACTTTTATCTCAAAAAGAGTTGGAGTCGCTCTCGTATGACAAAAAAGGCGCTTATCAATTCCTCTTTCTTTTTGAGATAAAAGTTAGCAAAAATCTTTTTAAAAAGAAAGAGAAAAGGAAGAGAAAAAGAGAGAGAGGAAAACTATAAAAGAAACAGAAAAGAAAGACCACTTTCTTCTCAAAAAGAAAGAGGACGAAGAAAGAGAAATTGAAGAGCGCCCTCTTTCGTCATACAAGAACAACTCCAATATTTTCGTATCTTAGGCTCTCTTACTTCATTACTCTTTGCTCGGAAGGATCTAAGACTAAGTTTAATACCTCACAATATTATTAATTATGAATGTATAATTGCTTAGTAAATGTTTCATTTAATTAATTTAAATCATTTAAATCAGTCAATTATAATCGCAATTAATTATGGAATAAAAAACATGGCGTAGTGAACAGTATACTAACCACGTATGCGGAACAAACGCGATTTATAAAAAGAATGAAAATAAAATGAAAATCTTACACGGTGTATAACACCGTGAATAGATTTCGAATAGATTTTGAATAGATTTTGGGTAAGACTTTACTACACCCCCTATCCAGATCCTCTTCAAATTTTTTCTGTAGATAGTACTCATTAAGTACTATCTACGTGTGCAAAATTTTTTCACGGAAACTTATGGTGGTGGAGTTATACGCATTTAAAAACATAAAATCCTTAAGGAGTCTATGGGACGTTTTAACTTCGCGAAAATCGATGTATATTGAAAGTGGGAGGGGCTAAGGTCATAAAATTTTTTCACATATACATTTGACTATGAACATCCTATAACGCAACTTTTAGCTGGATTCGCTACTAGCAACAATACTTAGACTAGGTCAAAAATAGTCAAAACTGTTATTTGTATATATGTAGTGACAGACTACTCAGATCAACTTGCAATTTGACCAGAATATTTTTCAAGGTCAAAATTATTGTCAAGGTCATTTTGATCAAGATCCCTGCAACTAATTTTTTTGTGATTTTTAGCCAATAGATGATGCTAGAAACACTTTAGTTCACACAAGTAGCAATAGATGGCAGCACTTTCGAACTTTTGAGAAAGTACTTTAAGGTGACAAAATTTGATGACTCAAAATTCGCTGATTTTCTCAGGTATACACATCCTTCCACACGGAGACTAATGCATTTACGCAAAGGTAATTAAAAGTATCGAGTTAATAATACAGCAAACCAAGTTTGGACAAGCAAATTTTTTTGCCCCTCTCCTCCTGGCCGCTAGCGGCCACACCCACTTTGGGGGAGGGGAGATTTTAATCATGCTCGAGCCTTTGTCGATGATTATAACAACAATTCATTACTGATTGGGATTATCGGTGATTATGATGACCCATACGGAGCTTTGCCGCGATCGTTGGACATAATTTATAAATTAATCCGATGTGGCCAAGAAAAGGTGAATATATAAGATTTATCAATATAACTTTTTATTGTTATAATACTTACATGATAATTTGTTTGAATTCTAAGGGATATATCACTGAAAATATAACCATTTATGAACCAGTGGCTGATTATTGTCAAAAAGGACCAGGAAAAAGGTTTTATAATCATATTTCACTTGATCGAAAAAGAAAAGTTGATTACATATTGTATCAATGAATTTAATTAATTTAATTAATTTTGTTTTGAATAACGATCAACGTAGATTTGGACCAGAGATTTTGAGAAATGGATTGAAAATATTTTCTTCTAATTCAAATGACAATAATCTTGTTTGATTGAATATATTTGTTGATTATTAAACCACAATTTAGACAATTGTGGTTAATTTACTACTCATCATGTCTTTTTACGAGGTTCACGGGATCGTGTTGCGTTGACCATTCGTTGACTTTTACTAGGTGAGTACATTGCTTTCAGCTTCAGAAAAGTTTTCGCCATCTCCACAAGTATAACTTCAGGTCCAATCAAAGGTTCCAACCTGATGAATAAAAAATCCAGCAAATCATGGCCACTGGTCACTAGAAATAAGGATAAAATTTACTCATCAAGATTGATAAGCATCACAGCAAGACCTATTGGTCTTACAACATGTTCGAGCTGCATAAGGAATAGAACCACAAATAAGACTAAAGCAAAGAAACATTGGAGTCGATGAATGGACTTGAATCGATGAAAACAACAAAAACATTAATAGAAACCCTCTGAATATCATTGCAGGTTTACTAGTTATCTATGAGCAGCGTCTTATTAACAAAAGAGACCAACAATCTAACATTATCCATCCCCATTAACGCCACGATAAAGCAGCCATAGGATCCCTCATGTCCCTCCACTCTTCAAAGACTCGATAACAACAACTTATCGGTAAGACTCAAGAGTTAATTTCAAAAGCACAGTGGAAGCTACAGAAAAAGTTGACGGAAAAGCACTTTAACCTTACCTTACATGCTCAGAATCAATTTCTTTTATTAGAGTAGATAACAGTTCTCCCTGTAACATGGCTCCTGGGTCTATGTTGAATGGTATCACTAGTAACGTGTAATACTTGTCTAGATGGGGCATTACCAATTGAATAGACGTGGTGCTTGGGTGATGATGTTCCTTCAGGAAATATGTCGGGGTCATTTAGATGTTCTTGTAAATCCAAATAAAGTACATCAGTAGATTGGTCTTGAGGTGGCTGTTTCACTAATGATGATGTTGGCTGTTGGATATTGGATTTTGAACTCATAGTTATGAAAATAATAACTAACCAAATGAAAAGAGAGCAGACAATGTCACAGTGATTCAAAGAGTAATAGCAAGAGAGAGCAGTTGATACCTCTTACGAAAAAATTAGTTCACACCGATCAACCAGGTGGAGACACAAGTCAATAGTAAGAACGGTCAATACGTTGAGAAAATGGACTTTTGAGTTAAGAATCGAAACTTTGTGATTTTGTAAGGACATAAGATAGAACTCGTTTGTCAAAAACTTCATTGTGATCTGATCGTTAGTTTTCGAGCAAATCGCGTTCAAAGTTGAAACTTTAGATCACTTTTTCTCAGCACTGGTAGACTTTTTAGGAAAGGAATTAAGAGTATAAGGACTACTTTTTACGCGCTTTCAGAAAATTATACTTTTACAGACTAGAAATATCTACAATTCACAGGCCAAAGCGATGTTTCGTCCTGATGAGTCGAACGCTTTAGGTATTTTGTTGCGATTTCTAAACTAATTTTCGACTTAATTATCGTAAAGAAGTAAGCTCAGTATCAATTCCACCAAAAATCATAAAAATAATCATTAGAATAATAATTAATTAGAAAAATTGATTAATATAATCTCCATTGACTTGCTGCAGTTTTTGCTATTCACTTGAGCTCCACCTGGTTCATCGGTGTGAACTAATTTTCCTGTTTTTTTGTAGTCTGCAGTCTCTTCTTATTACTCTTTGCAGTGATTGAATTTGTTGAAATGACTTTCTATTAAATAGACATAATCGCTTAAAAATGAAGCAAAAAGATAATGACGAAATTATTTAATTGCTCATCAATCAATTAGTAACCTGATATGGTGATCATAATTATAACATTGGTCATGGAAGCTCAATAATTAAGTTGAAATTATTGCAGAGATCAATTAGATGGAAACGGATTATCAACTCAGTGGATGCCCCAATCTCATTCTCATCATCTTACAAATCCATCAACAATACCATCATCATGAATGATAACTTATGATATCTGAATATTCCTACAAATAGATTGGCTTCATCTTATGTCATAACCGAATAAACCATTAACTGAATGACGACTGTGACTCTTTAATCCAATGAATTGGATTATACATATTGTATTAACCCTTTTGGGGCCACGTTTAATGAGATACCAAATGGATATGGTTGTTCAAGTCATCATCCAGTCCGGTCATGTCAGAAGTGCTCAGGAAAATGATTGGTGCAGTTTTAACAACTTTACTTGCTGTTACGACTATTTGTTGACCCAAATGGTCAGCAAAATGGTCAGCAAAATGGTCAACACAATCAACTCGATCCAAATGCATTAACAGCAGCCTTGAATAGCCTCGGGGCTGGTAATGGTAGTGGTCCAGGAGGTGTTGGTATAAATAATGGACAACAACACTCAATCCCTCAAATCACCTTGGTACCCGATCAATTGCCTAATGGACAAATTCCAGTAATTTATCAATCGCTATCTAATTAAAAGTTTATTGTTCTCATTTTCTCTTAATCACAGTCGTCATTACACTTATCGCAATTTTTTTTGAAATGCGCCACCACCTAGTGTTTCTTATTTATTTGGATAAATCACTTAAAGTTGGTGTGCTAATTAGAGATGAGTAAAGGGTTAACATCAAGCTCTTTGTCTAATTAACAAACTGATCTTGCGATAAGTGTAATGACGACTGTATATAATTTGAGTGATTACAATTATAGAGAGAAGAGTAATTAGAGTGAGAGAGAAAATTTCTTGAGCTGTGATCATCTTTGTATGTGTATATTAATAATTGGCTAATAATTTCTAATAAATATACTGACTAGTTAATTGTAATCATCTGAATATAAACTTACAAATCTCACTTAGTTCCGGATTGAAGAAACCGAAACGATTTTTATTTTTCGTTGATTTTAGTGAGACGCAGTCGTCATTAATGAATATGAATTGAAACGAAAATGAAACGTGAATAACATTGGATTTGATTGTTGTGGTTTGGGTGATGTTGTTGATGGTGAGCGTTGCTTTAATTTGTTTTTCTCAATACTTTGAGCCATATTTTTTTAGTGTTTCTTATTGTTGACTTAGATGGGTTGGTGTTCGCTTTCTTTTAAATGCCGTCAACTTTGGAGAGACTGGTTTGGTTGGGGTCCATTTCGCTTTTGTTGCTTTCAAATTGGGTGGGGTATGAGCGCGAATCTTTGTTTCGAAGTCACGAGTTAATTCCGCTAATGAACGGTATTTATTCCTTATTGGTGTTGTGTAGGATAATTGGTGGTAAAATCTTTTCTGGAGATCGACTTTTTTAACAGTTGATGGAAGGGTTGCAGATGATTTAACAAGAGTTTCCCGTCTCAAAGGTCGTGGACGTTTTTCTTGAAGTATACAAGTAACAGGGACGTTTTCAGCGTCTACATCAGTCCAACAATAATCAGAATCAAGTTCATTATGAAAAGGTTTTTCTGAGTTTTGGCTCACTATTTCCTCAACTTGGTGCTCTTCTTGGATAACTTTAGTTGAAAGATTTTCCTCTTTTCTATTAACTGGCTCGTTCTCGTTCTCGTCATCAAAGAGCAGAGCTCTCTCCAAATTTTCTTCCTCAAGTTGTTTAGCATTTTTTCGGATTAGTTTTGGCTGACGCGGCGTTCTTTTAAATTTTTTGATTGAATTGGTTCCGCCAGGGATTCTACATGGCGAAAAACCAATTTTCCATAGTCTTCTACACTCTGTTTCTCGTAGGGAATAAGATTTTCTCGTGTCAACATCATCTGGAGTTAAAAATTGAGATGATGAGTTTGTGACCATGGGAGAGACCATTTTAAAGAGAAAAGTATGAGTTAGGAACAAAACAAAGAAATGACAAGCAAACAATTAGATTAAATCAGAGACACTTATAGAATATACACAATAGAAAATAAAAATTCAGACATGGATACATTTGACGAAAAAAGAAATGTGTCAATATACAGTCAACTGCCAGATATTATCTGGTTAAGCCTAAATAGCCAGAAATGGGATCAAGTCTTAATGAATTGAATCCAATGTTAAAGAGAAATTGAAGAGCGCCCTCTTTCGTCATACAAGAACAACTCCAATATTTATATGTTTTAGTGAACAGTATATTAACCGCGTACGCGAAACAAACGCGATTAGTGGAAAGAATGAAAAAAATTAAAATCTTACACGGTGTAAAACACCGTGAATAGGTTAATTTGATTTAAAAAAACTTTTTTAATTAAATTTAATCAATTAATCAATCAATTGAATCTCACACTGTTAAACACCGTGAATGGTCATGGTCAATTCGATTCAATGAATTTTAATCAATATTCAGCAATATATTTTATTCTTTTTACACAAAAAATTCACGGAATTAAAAACCGTGAATAAGTGTTCACAAATTTGAATTGTCGACTTATACACAAATAATGTAATGTGGCGAAATTAAATCAGATAACGATATTCCTTCATGAACTCGGTTAAATTGTTGAATTTGATTTTTGAGTTTAGGATTTAAATTATTTATATTTTCAATTTGTCTTAAAGTTGATTGCATGAACGGATCGCTTCGTTGATGGTTTATTTCATTATGGTCCATTTAATCTCTGATTGTCTTCGGTTACTAATAGTGTTTAGATATCATCTCTTTGTTCTTCATCATCTAATTGCTATAATTTACATTCAGGATCAATTGTCGGATATCGACTTAAACAGTCGGCGTCAGCATGAATTTTACCGTATTTGTAAGTGATGATGAAATCAAATGATTGAAGAGTAATTGCATATCTCATCAAACGTGAAGGTAATTTCGCTTCATTCATAAAGCACAGTGGTCCGTTACTACCTCAAATTTTATGCCTTCTAAATAGTGCCTGAATTTTTCTACTGCGTGCATGATGGTCAAGCATTCCTTATCAGAAATGGGGTAGTTAATTTCAGCTCCTCTGATTTGCCTTGAAGCATCAGCAGTTGGATTCCATTTTCCTGCATGTTTTGCAATGAAATTGCGCCTAAGTCGATGTCCGAGGAATCGTTTCTTAGTTGTGTTTCTCTGGTTGGATCATAATGACTGAGGACTGACCCAAGTGACCCAAGTAAAGGATTTTTGTTTGTTGAAAAAATTTACATTTTTCTGGTTTTAAGGTTAGTCCCGTTGTTTGAAGACGCTGGAACACTAATTCCAATCGCTTTAAATGTTCCTCTTCCGTTTTACTGAATACAACGATATCATCAATATATTAAATTTTAATCCACCAAGTACTGAGTTCATTAACCTTTGTAAGGTTAAGGGCGCGTTCACAAACCAAACGGCATTGTTTTATACTCGTACATTCCAAATGCTGTTACGAATGCCGTTTTTTGGCTTATCTATTCGATGAACAAATAAAATAATTTTCCCTAATTCAGATGAACTAGCAAACGCTCCTCGATACTTATTCGCTGTTTTATAAAGTTTAGTTATGAAGCCGACTGATAGATCATTGGGTATATTTAACTCCAAATCTGAGCTTATTGGAGTCGAGGTTTCTTCTTTTGTTTCCTTTATAATTACGTTTTGTGTATCATTATTTGCTTGTTGTTCACCTGAACAATCATCGTCAGATAAGTTAATTGTTTCAGTATATGACAATTGAATTGTTGAATTAGAATATTTGGTAGAACTATGAATATCATCCCATGATTCACCATCTTCGTAATCTGACGAGCTTTCTTCATCAGAGGTTATCATGTCAATTTGTATATTTGATTGTTGAATTTCAATTGTTTTCTGAAAGCAATTAATATTAATTCCAGCTTTTGAAAGTAAATCCTGTCCAATCAATACATTAAACTCTTTAGGTAATTGCTTGACAACTTGGAGCTGAGTCTCATTTATTCTTATTTCCACTTGTACCTTTCCAAGAATGGGTAATGGTTTTCCATTGGCAGCAATTGGTTCTGGTCCATAGAATTTTCTGAGTTTAAGATCAAGTTGATTGGCTAATTTTTCAGTTATCAAGGATATTTCTGACCCAGTGTCTAACATTGAATCAGTTTTTACATTATTTATTTTAACAAACTGATGAATCAGATTTCTTGAAATGAGAAATGAAACTGAAGCAACAAATTTTCATCCTCCTGATTAGTAATTACTTTCACCATTGTTTTCCTCTCTTTATCTTCATTAGTTCCAAATTTAACGGTAGGACTTGGTGATCTCTTCCTATCAGGAGTAACGGATTTTCTTTGATTCTTTTCTGTTGAATTTTGATACCAATTTTGTTGATTAACAGTTGAAGTACTGGGTAGATTAACTCGAACATCTTGAGATGCGTTCGGTCCTTTTACTTCGAAATTTGATTACTGGTTACCATTTATATTGTATTGAGTTCGATGTTGTTATTGAAAATAATTACCACCCTATTCCTGAGCAATTCTGGCTCGGCAAACGTCAGCCGTGTGGTTTGGTTTCTTATAGAATTCGCAAATTACCCTTGGTTTGGTTAATTTAACAACTATTTCCACCAAACGTTTAACTGTTTGTTCTAAATCGTAATTACTATTCTGTTTCATGAACGGATCACTACAACAATACATGGCCCTTTTGGCTACTCTTGCGGCTTGAATTAGACCATAATGATTGTGGATTCTGGAGAGCTATTCCATACTTAATTCGAGGTAATAGCCTTTCTTTGATCATACTAATAATGAAAGTTTCAGGAGTTTTCTCATCATTTCTCCTGTAAAGTTCCTGAATTTCGTATATGAATGAGATCGTTGATTGAGTTGGTTGTTGTCGAGCTTTATGCAATTGTTAAGATAGATAAGATCTGTAATCTGTTGGGCAGAGATCTCTTATCATTTTGGTTTTCAATTCATCGTAACATTTAGGTTGTTCTTCACCAAAAGTTAAATTGTAGAACCAACGCTTAGCTGTACCTTGCAAATAAGCTGGAATAACTTTAAACATTTCTTCTTGATTCCAGTTTAATGCTGTAGTTGCAAATTCAAAGTTTGAGTACCAATCTATTACGTTCTCATCTTCATCTGCTGAAAACATCATGATATTGATTGGTATATTTGGGAGCGGTAATATTGGTAAAATCACCTTGTGTCTTTATGCTTCCATATTTATTTATTGCTCACCCACAAATTTATTTGATAGATCAAAATGGTTAACAAAGTAATTGCTGGTACAAGAATACGCAGGACTAAGATCGTTTTCCCTATTCTTAATTAAGCAGAGTTGTCAATTTCACTGATAGAGTCAGAAAAACACAACAATCTACGATAACTAGCGAGTTTCCTGATATCATGCAGTTAGAGCTAAGTGAAGATGAAGTTCAACAAGTGACTTAAGTTTAAGTTAGAAAAGTAACTACTCTTGTAGATAATTCGCGTGTGTAGAAAAGTATACAATCGCTTGTTAGTCAAATTCAAACTTTGAATTAAAAAAATTTACTTTTGGTAAAGACAAAATGGTAATATGATATTATTTAGCTCGTTATTTTTCCTTTGTTTCGTTTTCTTTTTAAACGACTGATGAAAATGATTACTAGTTCCAAATGATAATAAGGAGATGATATTGAGCTTTTGAAAGGCGACTTCCTTCTTTCAACGAATCACAAAAACAAATAAAAGTGTCAACAGTTAACAAGGAGAAGAAGAAAAAACAATAATTAAGTACAATCCATTTGCGGCGTTAACACAGGTAAACACTAATTACGACGAGAGAGAAAAGTTGAATCAATTGTTGAGATAAACACTGAGAGAGAATGAAATTGATGATTGGATCAAATTTACTTGAAAGATTGCGAATTAAAATGACGAGGCAAACAAGTTGTTGCGAGAGGAAGGAAAGTAATTGAAAGAAACACGCTTTGTGTAGAAAAGGTAAAGATTTTGACGTTTTGATGTTACGATCCGTTTGAGTTGAATGTTGTTGTTGTTTCTCTTGCTATCAAGTGTTAATGGTTTGTACCAGAGAAGAGAGAGAAATAATTTCTTTTTCTCTCTGAGAGACTGGTGATGATGATGGAGATATAAGACTCCAAATCTGATGGTGAAGATGAAGATGAAAGCACAAGAAAGAAAGGAAAAATTATTCTAATATGACAGGAAGAAGATTGTAGGTCAAGCTTTTTATATTTAAAGACTTGAGTAGTAATAAAACTGCCCGGTCTGGGACAAAAAGAGCGCGAAAATCACCAGACCGGGACTGAATAAAATGATAAACATTAATCATAGTTGATTAGACAAGTGATTTTAATTGTCACATAATCATTTGTCACAAACACAATTAAGATGAATAATAGAAATTCCTTTGTTTATTGATCACTATCGAATTCATCTGAATAATTGAGTGCACTTTCCTTCCGGATGACGAATAAGCACTGAAAAAGAACACGTTTCAAGGAGATGATCTCAGATTTGTTGAAAATGTTGCTTCCAATCGATTTATGTTTCAACACGGATATTATTTGTCTGATCTTTCTGGACAAAGGAGCACCTTTTCCATTGTCAAACCTGGGGAAAGAAAAGTAATTGATTAATAAATTTGTAAAACATTTAGTTAACGAAATAATACTAATAGTATTGATACTTTACCTGTTATTTTTTTGTATTTTCATGATGATTCAGTAAGAAGGTCAAGTTTAATTTGAGATTGATGAAAACTGTTGAAATGGTTCTAACTTAAAAAAATTATAAGTGAGCTTCTCAAAGATGATCTTTTTTCTTCAACAACAGTTTTCTTCAGAAGACATTAACTGACCAGATGTCATTGATGAGTTGCAGAAACTGTCAAAAGACAAAAGATATAACATAGAAGTGTTAAATTTTTTCCTCAAAATCCTGTTTGGTCCAATATTCTCTTTTGTTTATTCTCTTTTGTTGAAACTAATGATTAGAAAATGGTCATTAACTGTTTATCCCGACATAGAGAACATTCAAGAAGATTTGAAAGAAATTGGCAAAATGTTGTCGATCATATTGAAGGTGTTGATAACCTTCTTCTAATAAATGAGGCAACAGCTGATGAAAATGTTAGTCAGCAAAGAGCACAAAACTTTCGAGAAGCAGAAACCATCAGACGACATAGACGAGTGTTTAGACCATTGTTTATTAATTATTCATCTTTTGATGCTCGTCTCGAAACATTCACTAGGTGGCCGCTAGGTCATCCAATAGTACCTTCGAGAATGGTTGAAGCTGGTTTCATCCACAATGGTAATTTTCTATTTTAAGATATTCTATAAGAACCTAAATTATATTTTTTTTCTTCAAATAAACAATAGGGTATACTGATGTCACTATTTGTTTTCATTGTGGCCACTGTATTTCTAATTGGGATGCTGATGATGACCCATGGATAGAGCATGTTAATGGATCACCACTATGTGCCTATATTTATCTAATGAGAGGGAATCAATATATCGAAGCCAGGCAAAGTTTATATATGTCTTCAAGACCATTATATCCACCACCAAGACCTTCATCAGATTTATCGAGATATACATGTAAAGTATGTCTTGATAATGAGGTTGGTCTTGTATTCTCCCCCTGTGACCATGCTGTTGCATGTTTTGAATGTGCTGTTTCTTTAGTTAGATGTCCTTTATGTGGGTGTCCAATAATTAGGGCTGTCCGGACACATTTCATTGATTAATTATTTAACTGACATTTTTTCAACTGAAAAAAATCAATTTTTACTCCTCATTTCATCTAATGCTGTAATCATTCTGTTTTAACCATTTATATTTACATTTTAATTAAACGTGATTTAACTGTCAATTAATAAAGTGTCATATTTAATTGGTTTCAGTCTGGTGATTTTCGCGCTCTTTTTGTCTCAGACCGGGCAGTATTTTTACTGACTTGAGAAAGAATGAGTGAAGGATAAATGTTAGTGACGGCGGAATATCTGGTTATGTTGTTGTTGATGATTGAGCTTTTTCTCCTTTTTATTTTCTCTCTCACTCTTGGGTGTTGATGGTAAACTGGTGATGTTTATCTGTTGTTGTTGTTTCTGTTTTAATAAAACAAAGTTGATTAAGAGAGAGTTAATTTAGTTCACCAAATTAATATAATATGCATATTCTTTTTTCTTTCTATTTGTTTTCTCTTATTATTAAATATCAAAGAAAAAGTAATAAGATGTAGACACATAAAGGAAAAAAATTTAGGCAGAAAATGAGACAAGATAAGATGATGTTGTTGTTGGTTGATGAGAGAAGGTAAAAAGCTTTATTATGTTGAAGGTGTTGATGATAATCTTGGTGATTCTGGTGATTGGTGGTTGTGGTTGTGGTTGATGTTGAACTAATTTGAATAAAATGATGAGGATTGAGATTTGATATCACTGATTACACTATTTTCCTCTCGGTGGGACCTCCAAAATGAAGACAATCGATGATTTGATTAAACTTATTACTTTTATCGGTTATTTGAATTCTATTCTGTGATTAGTTAAAAGTCTTAATGACTAAGATTAACGTCTTCAGAATGAATTGAGTTTACATAGATACGATTCTACTTTTATACCCAAAATTAGGTACAAAGTTTCTAATTTTTGACATTGATTGATTAAGTTTTCGTTGCCAAAAACAAGCTAATTAATTAAAACTTTGACAATTTTCCGTTTTTTTAGAAAGTGAAGGTGACATTATGCTATTTTTGTTACAATCTTAGATAATATTAATTAACATTATTATTAATATCAATTAATAATATTAATATTAGAGTCCGTTCATTTGGTCGAACCACTGCCGATTTAACTTTCCCACTTGGTGTTTCAACTTCTGAGGTTTTCTCTGTGTTTGGGACCAGGGGAGGATTTGATCCTGGTGCTATTGATTTGGTCTCCTTCCGTCATTTAGCTTTGTCAAATTTTGACGATTTGGCTACTTTTATTAGTAATAATGGGCGCTGGAGATTTAACTTTAGTTGATCATCAGAACGGTTTTTTGGACTCGAATCGCAACATTGCTGTGATGGTTCGAGGTTTGAAGTTATGGTAACCGGAGCAATTTTTGCAAACGCTTTGATTTTTGCATTCGTTTGAGGTGTGTTTACCTATTTTGAGGCATCTTTGACATAATATTATATCAAATTGGTCTACAACCTTCATTGAGTTCATCATGATATTCATGTATCCATGATTATCTTGAATGTCTGATCTTATATTTGGTGTTACTTTCGCTATTAAATCCCTCACATTATTATTAATAATAATTTTACATGGAAAAATTGATTCCTGATTCATATTCCTGTTTGAGATGATTATTTTTTGTTTTAGTGTTTGCAAATCATTTGGAAAATCACGTGGAATATTCCTGATTCTTATTTTTGGTAGTTTCAACTTCTTAATATTAATAATAATGTTAGGGATTTTCTCTTTGTATTATCAACCGCAAATAAATGACAAATAGTTTGCGTAACTATGGCTTTTTCCCTCTAATCAGAATTTACAATAGCTGATAATTCAATCAATTTTATACTTTTTATTTGTTTTATTTGTTCTTTCACAAATTTATCCAGGCTTTTAGATATATACTACAATAAGGTCGAGAATTGGACAAAAAATATAAATATTTTCGAAAAAGACTTTATAATAATACCTATTAACGAATCCTGTCATTGGTTTTTGGCAATATTATGTTATCCAAGAGAAGTGTCATTAATGAACGAAATTTTTCCGAACCAAATTGAAAAAAATCTCAAAAGGTATTAGGTCAACACACCAGTACATCAGTTCAAGCTGAGATTAACTCAATCCTTTTCTTTTGATTTTTGTCTTTCTTCAGACCGTGTATACTGTTTATGGATTCATTTCAAGGTTCTCATAGTTCATCATATTTAATAGTTTAATTGGGACAGTAAAGCTCAATTAAAAAAATGTAATCATTTTTCTTCCAAAATCAAAATTTCAGCTTACTTATTGCCTCCACTGTATATCGAGTAGAGTACTTGTATTTTATTTTTTGATGATTTTCTATTTTCTTTGTTATTTTTGAATCGTTTAATTGTTTTGATTGATACCTTATATTTATTTTTCACATAATTCAATCCAAATTCACAATAATCATTGAGCAGATTAATTTTTCACTAATCGTCAACTGTCTTTGAATAATTTTGTTCACATTTAAAGAAAAATGTTGCATAATCGAATAAAAAACACGAATTTCTCTTAACAACAAACTTAAGCTCATGGATTTACCTTCGAGAGTAATTTATCTCAGCAGTTGAGAACAATATGGTTATAGTTTATTTGCAAGCTACTTCAACAAATTTTAATCTATTAATAATACTAAACTGTATATTCAATTCAAATAAAATATTCATATTCATACTAACAACAAATAATATGATCTATTCCTAATAAATATTGAGCTGAAATAAATTGGTCTGTTTTTATCTTGAACTTAAAAACTGTTCAGTTTATGAAAGTTTATAATGGCTGACCTAATTGTTGATTTGAATGAACTTTAACAACAGAAAGTTGTCTAGAGTGAATAAGTTTGACAGTTGATTTAATATTGATCAAATTTCTTAGCTGTTATACATTCATTATGTTGTCATTCGAATTACTTTCTTGATGGCGATATTGCTGCTTTTCATGATAAAGTCTTTCCAAAACATAGAATTCATCAATTTAGACTCAGGCTGAGTAACTTTTGAGTGTTTTAAGATTAACAGAATTTATTTCAAGCTGACGAAATAATTCACTTGATCGAAACTAGTCCAAAAATGAGTAATAACACCAAGAGCAACACTGAAAAGTTTTCGATGGCAAACTAATAGTACTATTGTTTGACAATAGAAATGTAAAAATGAATGTTTTTTATTGCTACGAGAATTAAATTAATAAATTAAGATTTAAATAATAAGTGAGCGATCAAAATATACAAGAGATTGGAATTGGTTAGAGGTTAAGAGGAGAAGATGAGATTATTGACAAAAAGGTCTTAATTTTTGGCCCAATTGTCGTGTTTGTTTTCTTGTTTCCATGAATCTTTGTTATTCCAAGAATCTTTGTTATTCCATGAATCGTGATTCTGTCCGTGGTATGGACCATGTTGGTATTGGTTTTGATATTGGTTTCGGTGTTGGTTGTAATTGTTGTATTGGTTTGGGTATTGGTTTCCATTGTTCCATGAGCCAACATGATGACGACCATCATGATTGTAACCATCATGGTGATTGTAATGGTTTCCTTGTTTCCTGAGATAATATTAGTGTAACTGTGACCAGAAGGATCAGCACCATTGTAAATGGCATCAGCAGAGTCGATTGAGTCAACAGATGGTTCGTTTGAGTCCAATTTAACTCGGAATCCACTTTTATCGGCAATATAGTTAACAGTTCGGTGACGACCATCGGCAAGTTTAAGTCCATATGAACCGTGGACATTACCCCAACCATCACCAGATTCTTGTCGGTAGTTGGATGATCCCCAAGGATCATTGATATCATAACCAAAATTGTATTTTCCACTCACATCTTGGTTTCGATAAATTTTACTCTGACCTCCGTCACCGTGATTTGTAGCACTAATTGTTGTAGAAAGAGCAACAAGAGCAAAGAAAAGAATAGCAACCAATTGATTCATTGTTGTAATAGAAAAGTTTTAAATGTTTTCGTTTAGTTGTTGTTGTTGTTTTCGTTGTTGATTTGGACAGTTGAATGATAATTTCTCGAAACTTCTCTCGTTTTATATAGTAGACGAAAAACGGTAATAACAATTTTAGAATATCTCAAGTACATATCGAGTGAGAATAAGGAACGAGTAAGACACAAATTAAACGGTAGTTAAGATTAGATGGAGGTTAAAGATCAAAATAAGTTCATTATGATGATTGTCACACAATTTGAATCTTACGAAAGATGGTCGAAATTCACCATTTCATCAGCATTCAAACAACTCAATTGTCTAATACGAGTTTGATTATAAACATCAATTAGTTTGAGAATGTTTGAAATGAGATGAGAAACCCACAAATTATAAGAAAGGTAATTAGATTTTCATTTTCTTGATACAGTCGCATACCAGAAAATATTAATACGTTTACCGGAAACTTTACAATAGATTGTGATTTACTTACGAAATAGTAAGACCTGTTTTCTGATTTTAGTGAACTCTGTATTTTTCATAATCAAATATAAACAAACTGTGTTACAAAAAGCAGACAAATTTCCGAGAACTCGACTGGTGATGAAAAAACTCTAAGGCCGAAACGGTAATCATAACAATAGATGGATATCTTTTTTTAAAAATGCGAAATAAACGATTTACATAAATGATAATACATTTGATTTGGTGAGTTTATCTAAAAATTTTCATCTCAAGGGAGAGGTAAAAGGTTTCATCCAGCACCAGAAAGCTCATCTTCATATTGTTTTCTGAAACATTCACCAACCGGAAAGAAGTCCCAACATCTTTTCTGATAAAGTTCCCATACATAAGTTTCTTGACCAGTGTAATCAGTATCAGGTTTGTTGATTAAATGCATTAAAAAGAATAGATAATTTGCCAAATTATGTTCCTTCATAACATGAGTTTCAAATCCATGAGGTGTCTTATCGAAATAATCTTTACCAATTCCACAGATGAAGCAATTAGCTTCCATATCATCGACAACCGATTGTAATTGGCCTCTTAATTCACCGAAAGCATCGATAATTAAACCTTGAATAATCGCCACAAGAATAATGATAACAAAGACAAAGAAAGTTATATCAAAGACGATACGATAAACTTCATAATCGTCTCCGTCCGGTGGTTCAATAACATCACCAATTCCACCACCGGCTCTTACACCCTGATAAATGTTGAAAACGAAACAAGTTAACATTGAGTGACACTTCTTAGCAGGCTCAGCTTCTTCATCGTCATCTCCTTGGACATAAAACTTTCTAAAGAAATTGAAAGCAATAACGGTGTACATGTAGACTACAATGATCAATAGCATAACTGTCAACACCAACTAATGTAATAGAAAAGTAAGAAAGCAGAAACAAAAATTAATTTAGAACATTTCATCAAAAGAAATTATATTAACTGATTGATTTTACCTGTTTTCCATTGTGTGTTACAGACTGAAGAATGGTAGCAAGAGTCTTAATTGCGAATGCAATATCCAACAAATGAGCAGCAAAGAAAAAGTAATTAAAGTTACCCATCACCGAGAAAGAGAGATACCATAAGTTATATAAAAATGTCTGAAAGAGAAAAGAAAATTGAAAGTTTTCTGTTAATCTGTTTTCTATTGTCCATTTGATTGACCACTTACACTATCAGTTATCGTTACACCGGCCTTCCATATTTGGTATTTAAGGTCAATTGTGGAGAAAAAAGAAAACCAGCCAGTAGCATCTTCCGGTTTCGCTGAGATTCCACCTTTGTCCATTCCAAGGATGTTGCTTATTTGATCGTAATCATATTGCTCTGAATAAGTTTCCCGAACTCTTTTCTTAACAAATTTGTCCCAATAATTGACCGGGAACGAAGGTGTTGATATCACTAGTTTATCCCAATGAGCTTTTATATCATCATCTGATTCACCTGAAATATAAAGACCATCAAACTCCATTGACCTGGAGATTTCTTTCTCTCTCTTGAAAATGGCTAAAGGTAGTTTAAGATGATAATAACCGATTAACATGAAAATAGCAAGCATTGAATGAGCAACAGCTAATATCCTCATTATTGGTTCGAGGTAGAATAATCTTTCCTCTATTGATACCCATTCCTCTAGTTCGTCATCATTATCACCACCACCACCCTCATCGTTTCCGTCTCCGCTTGACATTTCTATTGAATCACCTGAACTGAAACCTGAACCCGAACCTGATCCTGAACCTGATTCACTTCCATCTAGGTCAACCAATGGTGTATTTGTGACTCGATAAAAGAGAAGAATAAAATTAATGATAAACGCTATTGACAATGCGATGTACTTCATGGTGTAAAAGTTTCGAGCTAAGAAACAGATAAATCGATGAGCATAATTTCCAAGGTTAAACGATGAAAATAATGGAACTGATTCAACTGGCTTCGAAAGTTCTTCTTCTTCAGATAGTATGGGCAAGGATTTATCGTCGATATTTTCAGATACTTGATCAAGTACTAGACGAGATTCAGTGCGAGGTTCAATAGTTGATGAACTCACTGCAGAGATTGATGAATCTTTCTGTTTTCTATCTTCACCCTCTTTTCCAGGTTCTATCGTTTTACCAGACAATCCGATATCTTTTTCATCTGTGCTTCTACCATCAACTACTCCATCAGATGAACCATTTCCTACTTGTTTATTGGCTACTGAATCAATGGTCGGTACAATTGGAGCTTCAATAGAAGCTACAGCTCCTGCTAATGGAGTAACAGTTCTATCAGGTAATGTAAAGGCACTTGGAACATGTACCAATGCTTTGGTTGGCTCATCTTCATCAGCATCAACAGGTCCAGCGATTGGTTCACCAGTCATTAAACGAAGTATGAAACGAAGAACATATTTAACTAGGGAATAAACAGAACGGCTACAGAAAAGAAACGATCGTCCAATTGTTCGGAAAAATCCAATAATCAATTCTGGTAGAGATTTTTCCTTCATTGCATGAAGCTGCTTCTTTAGATTACCCGGAGTTAGATAACTTAATATGGACCAAATTTTGGAGAAGATGAAAGTCAAAAAATTCTTAAATGGATCTAAAATTGACGGGGGTTTCTCTTCATCTCCCAGGAACGGATATTCTGCTGAAGTTTTGGGTTCTTCTTCTTCTTCCATTGAAATGGAAGCAGCATGTTGCATCTCAAAGATCGCATCCTCACAGAAATTAACGAACAATTCAAGTTTCTCCTTATCACCACCTTCGGTAATTATCGAGTAGAAAAAGGCTCTTTTCGATTCCTTAATCTGTGGTTTCTCCCATTGATTAATTGAAGATTCTTTAATCTCAAAGTAAACTCTTTCAACTCTTTTAGAAGATCCCATGATTTCAATTCTACCCAAAAATGGTTCGAAATAGGTTAGGACGGAAGATGCAATTTCCAAGAAACGTTGAAGTCTTGGGTCACTTGGCATATGCTCACTTAGATTAGTTAAAAGAACAGCTAAATTGAAGCCAATTTCTTTTGCTGGATTATGAAATCTTTCAGTTAATTCGCGATAATCTATTAATCCATCGTGATTAGGTTCACAACAGCTCATAATATAGTCAATTTCATCTGGAGAATATTTTTTCTGCTGTTCTATTGCTTTCTTGAAATCTTTCATTGTCACCCATCCAATTTGTTTTTTGTCAATTTCCTAGAAAAACAAAACAAAGTAATCAATTAGCATCATCGATATTCATCAATCAATATTATCTTATATCAAACAATCAGATTGATTTTGTCTGATTGTTTGATTTCTCTTTCTTACCTGGAAAGTTATGGACGAAGTAAGTTCTTTAAGCTTCAAGAAGATGTCGAAAAATTTGAGGATAAGCTGTTAGAGAGAAAGATATTAAAAATGGAATTAAAATCAAACATCAAGCTAATAAAATTCTGTTGGAATTACATGGTAAATGACAAATTAAATATTGATCATTATTTTTACTAAATTCGATGGATAATAAGATTACCTCAACATTGCCAGAAGATTCAACCAAAGTGTCAACCATTTGCCGTCCAATGGTTCCATTGACAACATTACCTTCCAACATGGATAACATCATGACAACCATTTCTTTCTGTAGGTCAAGTAGCTCAATTAAAAGGTCAAGTTGATTGGAATTTTTAGAAAGTTTATCCTGCATGTGAGCAAAAAGGAAAAGGAAACCACCAACGGCATCCCAAAGCCTGGAATGTGCAAGAGCCTGTTGATTACCCTGACAAGGCCCTTGAATTGATTCGGTTAAAGTCGAGAAAACTTGTTTGGCCACTGTAATCGCTTTGCAGAAATTTTCTTGACCAGAGGGATCGATACAATCTTTACTTGAATAATGCCAATAAAAGTCCATCATTGATTCTTGTAATCTCAATAGATAATCAACCGTAATGATGATTACATTTACTGTAGTTGTATTACCCGCTTGAGTACGAAGATAATTTTGAAAATCTAAATTGTGACCTTCACAAAGAAGCTGAATAAATCTGAAAAGAACACAAGTAAACTCAGAATCATGCATATTCTTTTCTCCAGCAGTTCCTTCCGATCCAACTCCAAGGCCTTCGGCTTTTTGATTCCTTTCAAAAGCATCCAAATCAAGAACAGAACATGAATTCATAAGACCAGCGATCGAAGTGAAAAAACCAACATCCTTTTTATCCTTGAGATGTTTCATCATTCTTTGCTGAATATCAGTATTACCTCCTCTCAGAATTGAAATTCCCAATTTGAGTGTATGCAAAACCATATCAGTCTGAATACCCTTACAGTTTGATATGTACAACAAGATCATTTCGGCGATACCTCGATCAGCAAGACGCGATTGTTGAAACAATAATTTTTGCTTCTCTAATTCTTGTTCCTTTTTTTTGAATAGAAAATGAATTTATATCATCATTAGTGTTTTTCTTGACTTGATTTTATCATTTTCTCTTGGTTACTTACATGAATAGACGCACCACCCTCCTCTTCATCGCCACCCTCTTCTTCCTCTTCCTCTTCTACCCCACCGCAACTCTGACTGAAAAGATGAGCATATTTCATGAATAGTTCGTCTTCCTTGACTGCTGCTCCATGTTCCGTTGTCGCTTTACGACTGAAGGTGGTCATTAACTGAGTCAATGGATCAGGTTTATCCTCGACGACAACTTCGGTTCCTTTATTTTGTTCATGTTCCTCGAACGATTCAGTTAGATCTTCAATCAACTGTTCTTGGCCATTATTCTCTGCGTTCAACCACAGCTCATTGTAAGTTCGTAAAAATATATTGATGGCCCGATGTCTATGAAAAGAAAATATTAACGAGTTGATTATTCTAATTGTTCCAAGAAAAGTAAATAAAACTTACCTTGGTAATTGATGGAGCGAAATCATTCTGAAACAAGCGATTACCGCTCTTTTCCTCTGGGTAGAAACACAACTTCGATAAACACCTTTCTCTTTTTGTGACGGATGATCGATCTAAACGGAAGATATTAAATCGAGTTATAAGAATTTTGATCTGTAACTATTTTACCAAAGAGTCGCAGATATCGAATAGTAATTGTCAATTCTAATAAAACCCTAAGTGACCAACTACCAATGAATTATCGTTGCCTTTTGTATTTCAACTATTTTCTGATCCTAATCATTTTCTTTAATCTTAATCATTAGAAAAACGATAAGCTTCTTATCGAACGCAGTTAATTCTTATCACGATTTGATTTCTAATTCTAATGACTTTCACCATTTTAAATCAGTTAATGATGATCAACTCGACCTTGAGGTTAATCAGTGTTTCGTTTTCACCTCAGCTCATTGCAATGTCACATACTTTTGTAAGAGATCATTTTTCTCATTATTACTGTTGTTTCTGTAATCAATTGACTTATTTATACTCTAGTGAGAGATGTTGTTTCTTCCCAATTCGTTGTTTCTTATTCATAGAAAATCCTGAGTAAATCCCTTGATACTTACCATATGGAGTCCGAAAAGGACCTTGGCCATAGCGATGATCCTTTCGACTAATAATTCTTGTGTTTTCTCTTTATCTTCAGCTTTAACGTTCTGAACCAGGACAAGATCCTTTCCGGTTCCTTTGGGTTCTTCAATGGCTCCTGCTCGCTGACTACCCAATTTATAATAAAGATAATGTTGCCATGACATTTCATCTGAAGGATCAATTTTATCTGGTAGATTAAGGGTGGTTCTAACATATTCGAAGATTCGACCTTCATTTTCTTTATGGAGAAATTTATCTTTAGCATGTTGAACAAGCTCCTGTTCACGACCCGCAAACAGATTCAGCCCAACGGGTAAAACACGCTTAAGTGCCGATACAATCAAGGAAGATGCGAGTTCCTTTTCTTTATCCCGTTTACCATCTCGTTTCTTTTTCTTTATCCTGCCCGAGGTCGCTTGAATGTCTGACTTGGTGATGACGGGTCGACCTGCTCTACCAGACCAGGGCATAATCAAGGCCAAATTATCGATCTCATTGGCAGAGATAAAGTTTTGCTCCTCTTTACGGAAATACTGTGATTTCGACCATTGGTTGAAAATGGTAGCCACACAATGATAAATCTGCTCCGCTTCTTTACAATTTTCTCGAAGCCAATGGTTCCTTTGGTGTTCAACGTATTTGATTAACATGGGATAAAATGAATAAATATCTCGAACGAGAAGATTAAATTCCTCCATTAATTGAGTCTCTAACTCAGATGTTTCATCCGATTGAGATTTAAGGTAACCTTTCATGGCATCTTCCCGATGATAAGCTCTATCGGCAATTTGGCGGATTCGCTCAGTTAAAGGTAAAACTGGATCAATTAAAAGTTCTTCCGATGGATTAACGATAATCATACCAGTGTGAGCAGGAAGGGTCACCATCCATTGATTACCAGTGTGTCCAACAGTATTTTTAACAAGATTTAAAATTGATTTTAACATTCTATTAAGGTGAACGCTAGTTACAGCGGTAACATGATTACCATCCGATGGATTGACAGAGTCTGGCCCTTGATTCCACCAGAATGAAAGGTAAGCACATAACAAGGGGAGGATAATGTCTATTGTGTGTGGTTCTTTGTGATACTTGGTCTCTGAATCGACATATTTCTCAAATTGGGACATTAAATCGTCAAGTGTCGGCATTGATGCTTCCAAATCTTGCATAACTGCCTGAGCTTCCAACGAATAATCTTGACTTCGAGAGTGAATACAGAATTTGTTATTCTTATTTAGATGTGGTTCTAAAAAGGCGACAGGAAAGGTTGCAGAAAAAGCGCCCAAACAATCACCAACTTGTCGTCGATGGAAATCGAGTTCAGCTTTGATGAATTTACGGTCCAATGTTAGATTAGGATTGGTACCGAAAGAGTAGAGGGAATTAAGGATTTTATAACAAGCAACCTGAATATCATTGAGCAGTAATTCACCACCAAACTCATTGGAGGCCAAGTGATCAAAAAGAGCGGTTAAAACGGGAAGTAAAACCAATTGAATATAATTAAGTGAAGATGATGTTTTCATTGTCGTTCCCCGAATGTGACTAAACCGTGAATTTTGTAAATTCGCAACACAATTAGCTAAATCATCGGCTGCATGATTGAAGAAAGTCAACATTGAAGTTTTAACGAAATCAGACGAGTTTCTAACAATAGTTCGAGCATCAGTTGCTCGAATAAGAACTTGGAGACATCGAACTGATATCTTGGCATCGAAACCCATAACTGAAAGTTTCGATCTAAAAAGAGCGGCCAATTTACAAAACAATGAAGCGACCATCTCTTTCTCTTTGGGAGTTGCAATTCCAAGTGCAAGTGTCGACTGGCCTGAAGCAGATTCGAGGAAAAATTCCTTATGAGCCTGGAAAAGTTTCTCAACAAGAGGAAGAACAACTTTCGAAAAGAATTTAATATCTCGACTTGATTGTTTAAAACTCATTCGCCTGGAATAATTAGCACTTGGTTTTAATAACTTCAAACTGATCGCCGCAGTGTCCAAGTATTGAAGAAGCCGTTCCAATAAGGATGACGCGAATCGAGTCTCAGCATGACCATGTAAACCACTTGATTCCTGTTTATTGTTATCTGATTCAGATTTATTGGATGATCTAAAACAGTTAAGGAAAGTTAATTGTTTCTATTACATGAATTTATTCAAATGTTCAGTTGACTTACTTGTAGACTTTGAATCCTTCATATTGAAGATATTTTAGTAGTTCTTGTGATCTATCACGATTTTTACGTTTCTCTTTGTCTGTTAGCAGATCGTATGGAACCATTTGGGGATGAATTATTCCACCAAGAGTTTCTTTCGTCTTTCTCGCCCAAATTTCATGAGCATTTTCCGCTAATCTCTCGGAAAGACTTTGAATATCTCGATTAAGCGTAAGACTTGATGTATCTACTGGTTGTGGACTGTAATCGTTAAGATTAGGCCTCATATCAGTTCGTGAATTGGCTCTACCGTTCATCTGGCTTGCATCCGTTTGATCCAATTCCCAACCAAGAGCTTGAAGTGTTTTAATTATATCGGTAATTGGCTCCTTGTATTTTTCCCTCTCATAATCAGTCAACATGTAATAAGGTCTAAGACGGGGATGAGTTTTTCTCTCCATACTCCAAGAATCCGCATAAGTCCAACCGAGCTCGAATTTCCTTTGTGACCATGAATCGTGATAATGTTCAGCGAATCGATTGATCAAGTTAACCAATCCCAATGCGAGATTAACACCACTAGTGTCCACTGGATTGGGAAGATAAGGACCATCATCACGAGTTGTTTTTGCGTGCAAGAAATCATCTGTAGACGAGGTCATTGAATAATCTGGTGGTAGAGCACAAGCGATGGCCGTTAAAACAAGTGCTTAACTTTCGCTCCTCTGCAGAAGCCGAACCAGATCCACCGTGACCATAATATCGACAGCACCTCTCATAGTGTAAAGTTAATAAACGAAGAGCTACCGTTGAATATTCTGTAAGGACGGAAACGTCAATGGTCAATTTACGAAGGAGACTCAGCAACATACTGGGTTGCATTTCATGAGTTAGTGCTACGAGAAAATCTGAAACACATTCTCGCTGTCCTTTGGTCAGTATTTTAACTTTGGACAATCTATAAACAGTATGTAAAGTAGCGTCCATCAGTGAAGCCCAATTTTCTGCATTCCCAAAATAATGAGAGTATTTGATCAGCAAAGGCAACACAGCATTACCAAGATAACGATTGAGTGCCAAAGCCATTTGAGATTCTGATCCATCATGACGTTCCATCATCGTTGCTGCTCGTAAATCGGGAAGAAAAGCATCTTCAAGAAGTCGGAAAAACACTTCTTGATTTTCGATACCATAAACTCGTTCTAAGAATAGAACAATTGATTGTTTGTGTTGTGGAAGAAAACCAATTGGTAGATCTGATTTGGTCATTGCTTCAGGCGATGAGAATATTGAAAATCTCAAAGCCAAAACTCCTTCTAGATCTTGCATTAGAACAAGCGATTTGAGGATTGCTCGAGCTCGAAGGCAATCATTTTTACCTAATGCAATTGTCGCAGCTTCAGGAGCACAACGTCCAAGTAAATCAACTAAAGCGCAATAAAAGTTGAGTATTGCTGCTCCCATGTCAATAAAATCTTCGTCCTCTTTTTCCTCCTCATTTGTAGTACCATTACTATGCTGTATTCCGTGTGCTTGCTCTTGGGCGTTAATTTTATCAGTCATTGCAATCGAGTCTTTAATTGCTTGTAGTAAGCCTTCACCTTCACCTCTTAATGCTGGACCAAGACATTCTGGTCTTCGAATCAACAATCGAATTACTAAATTTGCATTTTCTTCAACTGACTCACCGTTGACCCAGACACAAGTGCGGAAAAAGTCAAGGTATCGTTCACCTTCAACTGGATCCCAGCCTAAGTCAGGATAACCTTTATCGAGTAGCTCTTGATTAGATTGGAAACCACATTTGGATAGATAAACGGCAATTTTTTCCAAGTAGTTTTCTCGTAAGGCTAAGGCCAGTTCTGGATTTTCCATGACTGATGATGAAGCAACATCGAGAGGAGTTGACCCTCGAAGTGACGGACGTGAGAGTAAAATATTTGAATTTTGGAGTAAAAAGTCGAGATGTTGAAACATTGCCTTTTGATTGGTTCGACTTGACCGACAAAAGTAACATAAGAATCGACAAGTTGCCACAACCATAGCTGAAGTATCACCAATAGCAGTCGCTCCACTGGCCTCAGCGGGCATTTTACTTGTTCCTCCTGCTCCCGTTCCAGATCCAATCGCATTACCACTACTTCCAGTTCCAGCGGCTCCTCCTGTTCCACTCGATTGACCTGATGTACCACCAGACTCACCTTGTGCTCGCTTACTCAATGTATTTGTCATAATGTCCATAACATTTTCGTGAACACGAAGGATTTTTATCAAATCAGGATGTTGAAAGAATACTCGATTTTGAACCAAAGTCCATAAAGTTTCACGAACAATTTCCTCTTCCTCTGGACTCATCTGAACAGGAAGCAAAGCTCGAATAGTCGCCAAGTGTTGCAACAAACCAACGACATCGTCTTTTGAGGTATGAGAGATGACGTATGTCTGTTCTAGTGCTCTCATCAGCTCACCAACGCCATCGTAGCTTCTCAATAGTAGATAAAATAGCTGACGAATCAATTCTCGATCTTCAATTTCTGATTCTTGTGACCAATGTTTAACAGTGTCGACAACTTTTCGTATGAAAATTTCTTCTTGACGATTAACATTGTCTTTCTCGTCTGAAGCTGTTGCACCTTCAGTCGACGCTTTAACCACTTTGACAAATCCAATGATCTTTTTAGGCCAAGATAATTTTCCTTCTTCACCATTTTTCACCTCTAACGACAGTTCTTCTTCGTTACCTCCATCAAGGACAACTTTAGCTCGACTCATAAGATCCCCATGGAACAGGCTGAGACTTGCTCTAAGATCATCTCCAGTTGGACAATTTTCGGCTTGATCATCTTCCATATTCTTAAAGCCAAGTATCATTCTCATCTGTTCCTTTGGAGCACAACGGAATTCACGGGTTTTCTTTGCGGCCACAGCGGCAGGAAGGTCTTCCTGTTTAACTGAAGCGTATCGCCTAAATTGATCACCTTGAACATCATTTACGAATTGACTTGTAAATGAAATTATCGATTCAACTCGATGTCGCAGTTGAACATCGTACAAGTGATGAAGAATGTAGCACATTTGAAGTTTAACACCTTCGTCCAATGACATTTCTAGTAAACCTTTCAACTTGGTCTCAGCATCGAGAACATATTCTGGATCAAAAGTCGCAGGGTCAATGAGAATCAATAAACTTCCCAGGTCATTATCTTCAACGCAACCATTTAGCAGAAGTTTATCAATCAAACTTAGTAAAGGTACAAAAAGGTCAGTATTTGAACCACCAATTGGATCTCTCATTGGTCGATTGGAAAGCTTAACGGCTTCATCGAGAGCTTCCATAACGAAAGATTTTAGTTTTTCAACCGGAAAATAAGGAGCATTCAAACCTTTTACTGATTCGACTTTTTCTACCTTTTCAGATTGTTTCATTTGTGGTCGAATTGAGACCGAGGCAAGTGACGAAATTGAATTAGCCAGCGAAGCGTCACCTTTATACAAATCTTTAAGTTCGCTGCCTAAAGGTACAATGAATTCATTCTGTGTTAAAGATCGTGCATAAGCACCAGACTCTAAGTGTAGACTGATCAATAGATCGGCAAAGCCGGATCTTAATGGACCGGACATGTATTGTGACTGAATAGCATAAAGAAGTTGCTTCTCATCGACATGAGAACAAATTATGTGCGCTGCTCGAGTATTACCCTGGAAACATAAAGCACCATAGAGAGCTAATGTTCGTGCATGGAAGACCAAGAATTTCTCAGCTTCAATAAGTTCCAAGATATCAACACATCGATCTTCTTCCGGTATATGCAATGCCAACATGGAAACTGGATCATCAACCAGCATAGACCAACCTCGAATATCTGAAAGTTTAAGTGCATGAGGTTTCAAGTACATATTCGGTACTCTAGCCCATTGGTACCTTTGTAATGATTGAACTTTCAATCGAGGTGGACATTGAGGCGATAAGTGTTTTTCTGATGATCGAAGGATGGCAGCAGATAAGGGAAGAGTAGTCGCTGTTCGACCTAATTCGAATTGAAGACATTCTTTACTTGTCGCTTCAAAGAAAACTGCTGGAAACAATTTTGTTCCTGGTTCTAAGCGGAAAAGATACTTTGTGGGTTTATCGTCAGCAGTAAAGGTTAAAGTTCCAGTTGACAGATCAATGTGACATCCGACGAACATTCCTTGATTAGAACGACCGCCCGATTGTTCAATGTCATTAACGTCGTTATAAAGTTGACCAGCGTTTAAAATGTAACAATTTTGTCTGTCACAATACTCAGCGAGCTCACCATTTTCATTCCAAACTTGAATTGTTGCCCTTCGCACGGAATTTTTGTCAAAAGTTTTCTCATAGTGACGGAAGTTAGAAACTACCCAACCACAGTAGACATGATGTGGATCTTGGCCTGAAAAAATTCTAACTCCATAGAAATATTCATCGATAAGTTCAAGTGAAGCGGGATCTAGTTGATCAGAAGATTCATCTGGAAGAGCTTCGGATAAATTTGTTCGTGACCCTCGTCGAGTTAGTGGTATATTTGGACGATCTCCAGCCCTAATAATAGTAATAGAGAATTAATTATTTGATATAAACACAATCGAGTATTTGAGATGATTGCATTTCATTGAAACTCACCCAACATTCTGAGGTCGATCAGGAACTGCTGGAGGTATAAGCTGAGTGGCACTTGAAGCAAGAACACTAATCGTCGGTGGTTCAACCTCACGAGTTCGTGGTGATCTTGGGGGTAGTTGAGGCTCTCTTTTACCAAACAATCTAAATGGCGATTTAGCTCTTTTCTTATTATCTTCAGCTCCCGGTGTTTTTGATCTGTTCATTCTATTGAGAGTCTCGACGGAAGTGGCTCTTTTCGAGGCCAAACCTCCTCCAGTTTCTCTCATTAAAGCTTGAGCTTGACCCAATGAAGGAACTGTAAGTGCATTATCGAATGATTTTGTCTTTGTTAAAGATCCTGATCGACGATGACCATTTGATCTTCCATTCCAGCCATTTGCTGGACCAGAACCAGGTTGTGGGCTTTCAACATCTTCCGAAGCATCTTCTGAATAAGCCCTCTGTAAATCTTTAACATCGGCCATAGAGAATCCTGATTGAAGCATATGCTGCTCTAGATTACCTGGATGTCTAATACTGTTTCGATCTGCACGAGCTCTTCGTTGTCTTCTAACATTTTCATCAAAACGTCTTCGCTTTGTATCATCATCAATTAGCTCATTATTACAAGTCACTGGTAAGCTTAACCTTAACATTTCCCAAGAAACTTTTTCCTGTGTTTCAAATAATTTATGACTTATTTTGAGAGCAGGAGATGAATCAGAACCACCAGGAATTCGGGTAACCTCAATTGGTGAAGGTGTATCATCAACATTGATGAAAATGGGCTCATCTTTATTGTACCATAAAGTCATGGGGCGATTCATGTTCACACAGAAAGGCTGGAAACCCTCTTGTAAACCACAATTTGTAAAACACTTCAAAGCGTTTACATCTTGTCCTAATATGAGTCGTATCTTTTGACCTACAGATAAGGTTAAAGCGGGAACACAACCTTCTTCTCCAACAGCTACATCTGAAAAGGCCATTTCCCCTCCAGATGAATCGAGCAATAGTTCACCGTTCAGAGAGAAACTGATTGTTCGATCGCCAATATCAACCATACAACCAACAATATCACCAACTGCAACTGTTTTACCAAATGCTTCTGATGAATTGTTGTTATATTTTCGAGCTGAATGACAATCAAATCCCCAAGAATATTCATCAGCCCCAACCTCTTTGGAAGAGGAAAAGTGTAAACTTGCCCAACCCAAACGAATTGGTCCATCGGTTAATATTTCAACTTCGAAATACCATTTACCAGAAGTAACGGCATAGATTTTTTCTGCTCTATATGAGCGGAAATTTTCCTCTTTTATTTTGGCCTTACCCATAATATTATCGAATTCAGAAGCATCTGATGTCGGAGATTCTAAAACATATCCATAGGCCAGTAGCGTCTTGACCATTTCAGATGCGGTATCTCGATTTGCTTTTTTAATCAAATCGTCGACATACTTATAAGGCACAAGATGAGGGCTTCTTCTGGAATTTGGATCCTCAGAAAAACCATAAGTCCAATTTTGTTGAATTCTTTCCGCTGACCAGAGATTGTGAGTATTCTCGGCTAATAGTTCAATCAGCTCTTCAATTTTGGGAGTTATCTCTATAGAGCTCAAATCTAATGGCGCTGGACGATAACCATTAGACTGAAGATAAGGTACATTGGGTAGTCGAACCACTTTGATTCGTCCTGGTGGTTTGTCCATTGTTATACGAAACCAAGAGCAACAATCGTCTTTAAAGTTGAAAGAGCTAAATTTGTATCATACTTTTTCTCTTTGGCTGGCAAATGCTCGAAGGAAGTGAGACACGGGTGCTTAAGAGCAGCATCATCTCGAATATCAGAGAAAGTCCAGCCTGCATCAATTTTGGACATTGACCAGACTTCGTGAATATTTTCAGCCAATTTATCGCGAATCCCTTCAATGTATTGTGGTAAACTAACATAGTTTGTATCTACTGGATGAGGGACAAAAGCTGCATCATCGGTCAGTTCGAGTGCTGGACCAAGGATAATATTTTTTGATAATTCACCAAATTGAAAGCAAGGTTCAACTTGAAGTATCTGCCCAGGTAAAAGAGCTTCAACAAGAGGTGAGTGATTGAATGGTGGACCAAATTTGAGGCGTCCATGATCACCACCAAAGAGGAAACGGCATGAATATTTTGCTGAGAAACTGATGACCGGATAAAACATTCCAGATCCTGTGTTGAAGCCCTTGAAACACCCGCGGACTGGCAGCCCATTAACAGTGAATGTGATTAAGGGTATATTAAGATCAAGAATGCAACCAACAACATCACCTTTAACCAAGTGAGCTGATCCTTCAGGCACTGTTCTTACTTGATTGGGAACACCGGATGTCCAAAAAGAAACACCATCAAAACCGTAAGAAAATATATCATCTCCTACACCATTACCACCCCACTTGGGTCCTCCACCTGGATAAGGTACATACCCTGAAGTACTAGCCCATCCAACGCGAAAATGTGGTTCTAAATGAGTAACCTGCTCAACGTGATCAAGGGTCAACTCAAAGTACCAACGTCGATACATTGCCGACCCTTCAACTTTGCCAACATAGATATTGGGCCTCATTGATGTTACATGGTCAACAAGTCGTGTTTCAAATAATAAACTTCTTGAGGGTAAAAGATTATCACAGATATTGTTCTGAGAGCTTCGAACCGCTACACCATTACCCACACAAAGGGAACACAAAATGTCCAAAACTTTAGGATCACGTCCATGCTTTTCAAGAAGCGATATGATAACCTTAATGTGATCTTCTTTCATCATGTTCAATGCTTCCGGTGAATCAGTGAGAACACAGTGAAGTACATCCAGCATACCTGTACCCTCTCCACCGGCTTGAGAAGAGAATCGAGAAAATAACCAATCCAATCGATGAGCTTGAGCAAATTGAGCACAATTAGTGTGATTCCCTTTAATCACTGCAGCTAAAAGTTGATACAAATAAGAAGAGATGAGATCCCATGATGGACTTGATTCACCGCCAAGAAGAAGGTGTAATAACCCTTGATTGGTTGTCGTATTAATTTTATCGATTGTTTCCAGGATAAGATTAAGAATACCTTCTTCTTGGAATAAGTCTTGTCGATTTCGAAGAGCTTTCAGTCGAATTTGTTTCTCTTCGTGATCAATTTCTTCTTCTGGCTGCTCAAAGTAAGCGATTAAATCTTCAAGACACATAACCATTTCCTCTTGGTCACACTGAGGTAAAACAGTTTGATTTGCGATTTGATGAAGAGCCATCGATGAACCACCAACACCTCCGGTTCCAAGAGGTAAACTCGGAGGTGAACCTAGGCCACTAGTTGGACTTGTCTTTCCATGCATTGATCCACCATGATGCATTGAAGAGGCTCGATTCGAAGCCATTCGAGCTCCATGGACAAATCGCTGATTATAAAGACAATCTAGAATTCGAATAAATTTGTTGAACATGATGCCACATTTTCGAATAACTCGAGCTGTTTTCGCTTCTTCTTCCTGGGACCGAGAAAACTCTAGACCATCGTCCATTTTACCTTCTTCTGAAAGAATTGCTTGTTTTTCCTCCACCCGACCGATTCCTCTTCTTTTGTTTCATAGGAACGATAAGATAACCAGTAACCTGTCTCAATATGTTGTAAGAAAAACGAGGTGTCCCCATATTTGATCAATGGCAAACCGATGACTTCTTCCTCCTTCTCGTCAATGGCAATCTTTTTATCGTCTTTGTTTTGTCTTAAACAAAAGGCCGTTTCAGCGACTGTTGCATTTTCTCGAGCAACAAGGCAAACCTCGAATTTATCGGTCATTCCAAGATATCGTCCCGTCGTAATATGAACAATACGCAATGGATAACCCCAATTGATGAAACCGCCAGCCCATTTTGTACGAACTAGTTCAAGTCTCCATAAAGAACGAGCTTGAGACATAACCGGGCCACCCTCGTAAACAACCATGTTTTGTCCAGGAGATTCACCCCAATGTGCTGGAACTGTGAGACACTCATCGCCTCCATGGTAAAATCTTAAAACATCTCCACCAAAAACGAAGCCAACATTTTTTGTTCGACTGAGACCAGTCCCAAAAGGGGCCACAGACCAATGAGTCAATTTGAAACTCGCATCAACTATACTTCGTTCCTCCTCTTTGGCTGTGTGCTGTTCAGAACATAAATTTCATCATCATTGTCCATAGAATAGATGAAATTTATTCACAAGGAAATAAGAAAAAGGATGAAAAAGCTTCAATATTAATAATCATTCTTGATATTAATTGAATAAATGTGAGTTTTTCATTTCAATAATGAAAATGAAACTTACTAAATATCTTTCCGTTGCCACAGAGACCAGAATTATTTCATCACCCACTCTTACTTTTTCTCCTTCTGATCTTTGTTTACTTGCAGGGTGAACTGTCCACCAGCAAGTTTCACCTGTTGAATGTTCTTGAAGACCAACATCGAAAGCTAATTTATCACTTGATGAGCTTGTCGATGAAAGACACGCAAGGTACATTTTAGAATGACCATGACGAAGTAAAACTGCATGACCATAAAGCAAAGTTCTTGAACTTCCACCGGAAGCGCCTTTACTTCCACCACCTTCGGATGTACCTTGAGCTTCTGCAGTGACCATTTCTTGAAGAGCACGAACGGAAAGTGCTTGTTCTATCACGAAAACACATGATGACAATTCTGGTGGAAAATTTTTATCTGCTATATTTTCAAGGAAACAATGACGATTACCAAAACCTTCGGCCGCTAGACAAATACGAGTTCCCGTTGCCGTGCTCTGCAGGCAAACCATATCATCCTGGACGATAAATTAATTTAATATTAATCAAATTATTCTCAATTTAAACATTTACACACAATTGTAAAAATTTCCCTTTTCCACTAAGCATAAAATAGTAGATTATGTAACTATTGATCTTTTATGAACTTTATTATTAAATGTGTATGAATATTGGTCAGTTATTAATATTAATTGATATTGAAAAGATTGAATAACATTGTGGTCAATTTTCTAATTTCTATTCGAATTATTAACAAAATTATTGTACAATTTCTTTCAAGTTATATTCTGATAGTTATCATTCTGACATGGACATTACATGTATAGTGTTTCTTTGATAAGATATTACAGTCGTATCCACATTTATCGCAAGATTTGTGTTTAATTCATTACTGATATTTGAAATTTCAGCATTAAGAGTATTTTTGTTTTGTCTTTTTAGCTTGATTTTCTGCGATTACAAAATAATTCTGATCAAATTTAACTAATTTTAGGAATATTTTGATAATTAGCATTCGCTTCAGTTAATTCAGAGTCCTGCTGAGCTCTATTTGGATTATGATCAGCATCTTCAATTTGTAAAGAAAGTGTTTTCCGCTCTCTGTCTAATTCGAAATTTGGATTAGTTACAAAATAAAACGAAGAAGTTACGAAAATGCTAATAATACTAATTCTCAATCCTCATCATCATCTCTCTTTGTCTTTGTACATAAACTTGGTTTGGATGCAAAAAAGCAAGATCAACAAGAGATGAGGAAGAGCTTGAAGATTATGATGAGGATGTAGATGAACATTTGAATTTGGATGATGGGATGATGATAATGATGAACTAAAAAGGCTCAAGCTAAATTCAGAATTGGGTCGAGAAAGTAGACATCATGATAAAAAGATTCCTTAAGATGAATTGTAACAATCAAATTGTGTGTTAAATTACGGTTTTGGTGATAATCATCACAACTTTACATTTCTACGGTCAAGCCTTAGTATAATTGATCGCAGTACTTTATTAAATTTTATTGTCAAAATTGTGTACTGAAAAACGAAGTTAACGGGATAGATTAATCCAATCTGCTACAAAAATGTATCAAAAATCAAATGTAAAATAGATGTTTTTTATTGCTGCGAGAATTACATAAGAAGTTTCAAATTGGTTTGAAATTGAATTGCAAATTAAATAAATAATCGTGTGTACAAAAATATATTACAAAGGATTGGAGATGATTAGAGTTTTAGAGGAGAAGAAGAGATTATTAGGAAAGAAGCTTAGTTTTTGGCCCAATTGTCGTGTTTGTTTCCTTGTTTCCATGAATCTTTATTATTCCAAGAATCTTTGTTATTCCATGAATCGTGATTCTGTCCGTGGTATGGACCATGTTGGTATTGGTTTTGATATTGGTTTCGGTGTTGGTTGTAATTGTTGTATTGGTTTGGGTATTGGTTTCCATTGTTCCATGAGCCAACATGATGACGACCATCATGATTGTAACCATCATGGTGATTGTAATGGTTTCCTTGTTTCCTGAGATAATATTAGTGTAACTGTGACCAGAAGGATCAGCACCATTGTAAATGGCATCAGCAGAGTCGATTGAGTCAACAGATGGTTCGTTTGAGTCCAATTTAACTCGGAATCCACTTTTATCGGCAATATAGTTAACAGTTCGGTGACGACCATCGGCAAGTTTAAGTCCATATGAACCGTGGACATTACCCCAACCATCACCAGATTCTTGTCGGTAGTTGGATGATCCCCAAGGATCATTGATATCATAACCAAAATTGTATTTTCCACTCACATCTTGGTTTCGATAAATTTTACTCTGACCTCCGTCACCGTGATTTGTAGCACTAATTGTTGTAGAAATGGCAACAAGAGCAAAGAAAAGAATAGCAACCAATTGATTCATTTTTCTAATAGAAAAGTTTTAAATGTTTTCGTTTAGATGTTGTTGTTGTTGTTGTTTTCGTTGTTGGTTTGGACAGTTGAATGATAATTTCTCGAAACTTCTCTCGTTTTATATAGTAGACGAAAAGCTTGAAAACTGTTATTTTAAAGTTTCTCTTTGGTGAAAAAACTTGTACAAGTTTAAAGCATTCAAATCATGAGAAGCATTTATTTACTTGTTACGAGTCTTGTGACAATTATCATGATGAACTTTTCGCGATCTTTTACCACGATCTTATCTTAACTGCAGTTAATTTTGTGTCAGACGCGTTCCTTATTTCCCTCGATTAGTATTTGAGATATTCTAAAATTGTTATTCCCACTTTTCGTCTACTATATAAAACGAGAGAAGTTTCGAAAAAATTATCATTCAACTGTCCAAACCAATAACGAAAACAACAACAACAACAACTAAACGAAAACATTTAAAACTTTTCTATTAGAAAGATGAATCAATTGGTTGCTATTCTTTTCTTTGCTCTTGTTGCCATTTCTACAACAATTAGTGCTACAAATCACGGTGACGGAGGTCAGAGTAAAATTTATCGAAACCAAGATGTGAGTGGAAAATACAATTTTGGTTATGATATCAATGATCCTTGGGGATCATCCAACTACCGACAAGAATCTGGTGATGGTTGGGGTAATGTCCACGGTTCATATGGACTTAAACTTGCCGATGGTCGTCACCGAACTGTTAACTATATTGCCGATAAAAGTGGATTCCGAGTTAAATTGGACTCAAACGAACCATCTGTTGACTCAATCGACTCTGCTGATGCCATTTACAATGGTGCTGATCCTTCTGGTCACAGTTACACTAATATTATCTCAGGAAACAAGGGAAACCATTACAATCACCATGATGGTTACAATCATGATGGTCGTCATCATGTTGGCTCATGGAACAATGGAAACCAATACCAACATGGTCCATACCACGGACAGAATCACGATTCATGGAATAACAAAGATTCATGGAAACAAGGAAACAAACACGACAATTGGGCCAAAAACTAAGCTTCTTTCCTAATAATCTGTCTTCTCCTTAAAAACTTTAACCATCTCCAATCTCTTGTAATATATTTTTGTACACACGATTATTTATTTAATTTGCAATTCAATTTCAAACCAATTTGAAACTTCTTATTTTCTCAGCAATAAAAACTAGCATAATTCACATTCAATAAGAAAACGATTCATTTTCAACACTTTGAGTAATATTCAATCACAGATTCAGTTCGTCATATTCCAAAGCAATTATCTAAACACATCCATCATGTAGTCTGATCAATACAGATTCGATTGGTTTATTGAAATAAACTATTATTGACCATTCTCGACATAATTGTGATCAAAAGATTCCTAATAATTTCACGCTGAGCTTTACTCAACATTCCCTCGGTAATTTTTGTATCAATTCTTGATGATTCTCGTTTTCATCCGTTGTTTGGTCATATAAGCAATTAAATAAAGTTGGATTAATCTTCTCAATCACTCAATATACTCGTTACAACAAATCCCAAGTAATCTTTGAAATCATTTACACCAATAACTTCATGGCTTGACCTGAGAAATGTTGTGATGATCTTTTTCGACCCGATTCTGGATTTAGATTTAGCCTTTTTAGTTCATTATTGTCACCATCCCATCACCTAAATTCAAACGCTCATCTAAATCCTCATCCTCACGCTAATCTTGCTTTTTTGCATCCAAACCAAATTTATGTATTAAGACAAAGAGAAAAGAATTTGAAAGAGAGATGATGATGAGGATTGAGAATTATTATTACTATTAGTCTTATTATTAGCATCTTCTCATCTTCTTCGTCTTATTTTGTAACTAATCCAAATTCTGAATTAGACAGAGAGCGGAAACCACTTTCTTTCTAAATTGAAGAAGATGCTTATAATCATCACTTGCATCATAATACAGAAACAGAATTACAAAGATGATAAACACCAACTAATAGGTGAATTATTATTTATTGGTTATTCTTTGTATTGTCATAAAGATTTAGTATGTTCAATGTCTCGATTAAAATCGACTAAAAATATATTCCAAGATGTAATGAAATCGATTTAATCTAAGCCGAAAATATGACATAGGGCTATTTTTTATTCGAAATTGGACTCGACAGGCTCTGAATTAACTTAATCGAATGTTAATTAGTAAAATATTGCTAAAAGCAGTTAAATTTTATTCGAACCAGCAACTCGAGAAAACTTTTTTTTCGATATTACCAATAAGTTCTGAAGATCATGAAAGTTAATCAAAATTTAGATTCTCTTTACTAACTGTAATTCTATCAACACTATTGCGTATTAATCATATTGAAACTCTGTAAATATCAACAGATTGATCAACATTCAATTGATTAACTGAAACTGCTAATTTATCAAAATAAACAAAACATTTCAATCTAAATAAACAGGAAAAAATGAACTTACAGTTCGTAGGAATGAAACATCATCTTGTTCTGAACCAGCCTCAGTATCTCCCATGATTGGTTATAATTTTAAAAACAGTTCGAAGCTAAATTGTCTATAGTTCACTTCTTTCAATTTGATTGACTGAAAAATTTTCTCAAAATTGAGAAATGTTTTGTTTCCACTGTTGATTGGAAGTTTATCCAATTAATCACTTATCCATCATGTTATTGAAACAATGGAAAACACGTTCAACAATAGAGATAAATCATGATGATTTATTAAATTTCACCAGCAAAACACCAATACAACCATTTTAATTTCATTATTGAAATTGATCCATTGATTAATAATTTTGACAAAAATCACTTGAAAACATCAATTTGAAAAGTTTACGAAATTAGTATTTTGAAAATCGTAATTTTAGTCGTACTCATTAGTTGATTATCACTTTAGTCAATCAGTGAATTAACTTAATTTTAACACAGTTTAAGGTGAGAGAATAGTAATAAGTAAAAAAACTAATTGTTTTAACTTAACAATTGTTTATTAGGGTAAAAAAATAAAAGATAAACACGTAACATTATCAATTGCAAGCAACAAAATAACAATACTCGATGATGATGATGATTATCATCTTTGTCTTTCAATTTTCTCTTTCTTCACTATTCATAATAAAGGTGATGAGCATAAGCATCTTCTTCAATTTAGAAAGTGTTTTTCGATTTCTTTCTCTCTCTCTCTCTCTCTCATTCGAAATTTGGATTAGTTACAAAATAAGACGAAGAAGATGAGAAGATGCTAATAATAAGACTAATAGTAATAATAATTTTCAATCCTCATCTCTCTTTGTCTTTGTACATAAACTTGGTTTGGATGCAAAAAAGCAAAAAAGCAAGATTAGCAAGAGATGAGGAAGAGCTTGAGGATGAAGATTATGATGAGGATGTAGATGAACATTTGAATTTGGATGATGGGATGATGATAATGATGAACTAAAAAGGCTCAAGCTAAATTCAGAATTGGGTCGAGAAAGTAGACATCATGATAAAAAGATTCCTTAAGATGAATTGTAACAATCAAATTGTGAGTTAAATTACGGTTTTGGTTATTATATCAATGATCATCACAATATCACATCTCTAAGGTCTAGTCTTAGTAATCGGTGCTTAGAAATTATGACAATTTTATATTAGATCTTAATGGAAATTAAAGCGAAATGAAATTTGCATCTTTATAATCAACATTTGTGGGATAAGGAAGCAAAAATTCTAGATCATAAATTGAGATAATTTCGAATTCGGCTGAAAAATGGTGACCAATAGATTCAGAAAGTTTAACATCTTTCAAGAAAATGTTCTGATTTCAGAATCCAGCAAATCGAATTTATAAGAATGAACTTAGACATCAATACCAAAATTGTATCAGCTATAAGTCTGACAATGAACTAACGATAGATTACCGAAAGAAATTCGATTTTTCTGCATTTATTTTGTAAGAGAAAAGAGAAAAAATCTTCCCTTTGAAGCCATTAAGAAAGCTCGAATTTCCGACCAATCACCAAAACTTGTTCTGAATTGAAAAAAAACAATTAATAGGACTAATCCGATTCGATTCAATTATTTAGATAATAAATGTAGTTTTAAAAACAGTTTAGTAAATTGTATCACCGAAAATTGATACGAAAATCAAAAATTACCGAGGAATGTTGAGTAAAGCTCAGAGTGAAATTATTAGGAATCTTTTGATCACAATTATGTCGAGAATGGTCAATAATAGTTTATTTCAATAAACCAATCGAATCTGTATTGATCAGACTACATGATGGATGTGTTTAGATAATTGCTTTGGAATATGACGAACTGAATCTGTGATTGAATATTACTCAAAGTGTTGAAAATGAATCGTTTTCTTATTGAATGTGAATTATGCTAGTTTTATTGCTGAAAATAAGTTTCAGATTGGTTTGAAATTGAATTGCAAATAGAATAAATAATCGAGTGTACAAAAATATACAAGAGATTGGAACTGGTTAGAGTTTTAGAGGAGAAGACGAGATTATTAGGAAAGAAGCTTAGTTTTTGGCCCAATTGTCGTGTTTGTTTCCTTGTTTCCATGAATCTTTGTTATTCCATGAATCGTGATTCTGTCCGTGGTATGGACCATGTTGGTATTGGTTTTGATATTGGTTTCGGTGTTGGTTGTAATTGTTGTATTGGTTTGGGTATTGGTTTCCATTGTTCCATGAGCCAACATGATGACGACCATCATGATTGTAACCATCATGGTGATTGTAATGGTTTCCTTGTTTCCTGAGATAATATTAGTGTAACTGTGACCAGGATCAGCACCATTGTAAATGGCATCAGCAGAGTCGATTGAGTCAACAGATGGTTCGTTTGAGTCAATTTAACTCGAATCCACTTTTATCGGCAATATAGTTAACAGTTCGGTGACGACCATCGGCAAGTTTAAGTCCATATGAACCGTGGACATTACAACCATCACCAGATTCTTGTCGGTAGTTGGATGATCCCAAGGATCATTGATATCATAACCAAAATTGTATTTCCACTCACATCTTGGTTTCGATAAATTTTACTCTGACCTCCGTCACCGTGATTTGTAGCACTAATTGTTGTAGAAATGGCAACAAGAGCAAAGAAAAGAATAGCAACCAATTGATTCATTGTTGTAATAGAAAAGTTTTAAATGTTTTCGTTTAGTTGTTGTTGTTTTTGTTGTTGTTCTCGTTGTTGGTTTGGACAGTTGAATGATAATTTTTTCAAAACTTCTCTCGTTTTATATAGTAGACGAAAAGTGGGAATAACAATTTTAGAATATCTCAAATACTAATCGAGGGAAATAAGGAACGCGTCTGACACAAAATTAACTGCAGTTAAGATAAGATCGTGGTAAAAGATCAAGAAAAGTTCATCATGATAATTGTCACAAGACTCGTAACAAGTAAATAAATGCTTCTCATGATTTGAATGCTTTAAACTTGTACAAGTCTTTTCAGCAAAGAGAAACTTTAAATAATCAATAATAGCTTTCGAGCTTTTCGTCTAATATATAAAACGAAAGGATTTTCGAGAAATTATCATTCAACTGTCCAAACCAATAACGAAAGCAACAACAACAACAACTAAACGAAAACATTTAAAACTTTTCTATTAGAAAAATGAATCAATTGGTTGCTATTCTTTTCTTTGCTCTTGTTGCTCTTTCTACAACAATTAGTGCTACAAATCACGGTGACGGAGGTCAGAGTAAAATTTATCGAAACCAAGATGTGAGTGGAAAATACAATTTTGGTTATGATATCAATGATCCTTGGGGATCATCCAACTACCGACAAGAATCTGGTGATGGTTGGGGTAATGTCCACGGTTCATATGGACTTAAACTTGCCGATGGTCGTCACCGAACTGTTAACTATATTGCCGATAAAAGTGGATTCCGAGTTAAATTGGACTCAAACGAACCATCTGTTGACTCAATCGACTCTGCTGATGCCATTTACAATGGTGCTGATCCTTCTGGTCACAGTTACACTAATATTATCTCAGGAAACAAGGGAAACCATTACAATCACCATGATGGTTACAATCATGATGGTCGTCATCATGTTGGCTCATGGAACAATGGAAACCAATACCCAAACCAATACAACAATTACAACCAACACCGAAACCAATATCAAAACCAATACCAACATGGTCCATACCACGGACAGAATCACGATTCATGGAATAACAAAGATTCATGGAAACAAGGAAACAAACACGACAATTGGGCCAAAAATTAAGACTTTTCCTAATAATCTCGTTTCTCCTCTAAAACTCTAATTAGTTCCAATATCTTGTAAATTTCTCGTTCACATATTTATTAATTAACTTTAATGCAATTCCTAACCTATGAAAATCTTCAATTTTCATTTCTACTGTCTAAAAATAATTTTATGTATCGCAATAATCGCTACCGAGTTTCTCATCTGTACTATACTGGCTTCCAACTCACATTGTCATCTTCATTGTCAATCGATTCTGTTTACAATGGTCAAATTATTCTATCATTTTAAACGATAAAATCGAAAATAAATTGTCTCCTTACCAATAGTCTAACAATAATGTCGAATTAGTCAATCTTTAAATAAATCAATTAATCGTTAACCTTAAACTATGAAGCATTTTTCGCTTTTATCTAAAACAAGAGTTTAAAGTATTCGAAGCGAATGCAATTTTTAATTCGTTCTTGAAAGATCTTTTCATATGAATGTTACAAACGAATTTAAATCTAATTCAGTTGCTTGGTGAAAGCAATCGGAGAATATTTCCAATATTCATGTATTATTTAATCGAATTCAACATTCTCGATTCGATCACATAACAAATTTCGCTTCATAGATCATCAGCTTTCCTTTGTTTGGATAATTTGTCCAAAAGCCTTAAAATGATTGATTAGTAATCAGTGACCATCGACAATTAACCCATAGGATCAATATTTTGTTTCCGAACATTTTATTTTTTTATTCGTTTGCTTTTACGCTGATAGAGGGAACTAGCGAGATTCAAGAGCAAATTAACAGGAAAGAAGAAACAAAATGGACAGGAACTGTTTAAATAAGTTAAAACCATGGAAGGGAGTTTAATGTCGAAAAGTTTATCGCCGAAAAATGGAAATGACCAAAAGATCAGAAAGAAAGGAGATGGGGAGAGAAAAAGAGAACTTGATTGATATTAATCATAAAGACAGTAAGATAAACAAGGGAGGAGGAAAAGATTTGCAACAAAAGTGCTAAATGTCATTGAGACCAATATTGATACATAACCACTGGTTTTGTGAATGTGAATGATTTTGTGATTCAAGATACAGATTACAATAGATACAAAGGATAATAGAGAAAAAAGAAGAGAAGAAAAAATGAGAAAAAAGGAGAGAAAGAGAAAGGGTAAAGATTTCGAGGGCCGAGACGCGCATCATTCTAGATACCAGAAGTGAACTGATTTGATTAACATGATTAAATCCAATTAGTGGGTTAAAGTTAGTAAATCAGTGAGTTGCACATTGAACTCCAGAACCACCATGACCACCAGGTCCACCTTCATCTTCATCATAATATTGCTGCCGTCGTTCACTTCTCATTTGACTGTCCCGTTCAAGATCCAAGTCCATTAAAGTTACATCTTCGACCAGATCACCTGTAGGAAGGTTAACAACGGGTCGAGGTGGAAGTAGAGGTTCTAACTGAGGTACTAGGGATGGATCTAATTTCTCAGGGAATTTTACATTAAATTGAATAATGAGTCGCCCCTTTTCATATGGATTCTTCCAATGAGGCATACCCTCACTCATGATACATTTAATTGCCCCATGTTTAATTACTTCTCCAGGTAAAGATGTGATAACGAGGGTTCTATCATCCAAGGTTTTGATTCCCTTTTGCATTCCACAAAGAGCCTCAGTTAATGAAATTTCAAGTACCATAATGAGATCATCACTCGAAGAGCGAGATCTCTTGAACGTTGAATGCTCTTGTTCATCTATGATTACAATTAGATCACCAGGTTGGTCGATTCCTGGTTCCATATCACCTTCTCCAGAGAAAACTAACCTTTGACCATCTTCCATACCTTTATCAATGTGAACCTCAATAATCTTTTTTGCTTTCACGTATCTTTGACCATCACAAGATTTACATTTATCTTTTGGATTTAATATTTCACCAGCCCCCGAACAAGTATGACATATAGTTTGTACTTGCTGAACAATATTAGGACCCATTGCTTGCACTCTAACCTGTCTACCAGAACCATGACATTTTTCACATGTTTCATAACCTTTTTTAGGATCACTTGATCCTCTACCAGCACATTTATCGCAGATAACTTTTTTATTGATGGATAATTTCCTGGTTGTACCATTATATAATTGTTCCAAAGAAACAGCTAATTGATATACACAGTCTCTACCCTTTTTAGGACCTTTAGTTGAGAAGAAAAAGAAAGAAAAGGAGACAAAAGGTTAGAAAGATTAGAAAGATTAAGAGGAAAATTGAAGCCAAATAAAGAGAGAAAGTCAAGGACAGCATGATTTTCAACTCTAAGCATTAGCTCTGCAACCAGCCAATCCTGGCACAGAAAAATCGAGCATTTCAAGAAGAAAGGCGAGAATAAAGAGAATACAAACCTTGATGTCGTTGTCTACTTCCACCCATACCAAAGAACATTTCGAATAAGTCCATAGGAGAAGAGCCACTATGTCCTCCTTCTTTAATAGCTTTCTCACCATATTCGTCGTATAATCTACGTTTTTCTTGGTCACTAAGAACCTCGTAGGCTTGACTAATTGCCTTGAATCTTTCTCCTTCATTTGGATTTTTATCTGGATGATATTTCAACGCCAATTTCCTGTAAGCTTTTTTCAGCTCATCTTGAGTTGCTGTCGGTTTCACACCAAGAACATCGTAATAAGTTGTTTCTTTAACCATCTTCTAAACGATTTTTCACTAAAAATTTCACGCCCACAAAAGAAAATAAGAAAAATGAATAAATAATACAAAGATAGCAAATACACAAAGAGTATAGCTAAAACAAAAGTATTAGGTAAATGAGAAGGAAAGAGCGAGAGAGCAAAAAGGAAATGGAAATAATTAAATCAACAATGGAAAATAGTCTTTCAGATATAAAAAAAAGGCAAAGTAAGTGTTTCGTAAGATATAATATTTGCAAGATAAACAATACAAAGTAAAAGAATCAATCACAAGAGATGAACCAAATTAAATGAGACACTAAAAATGAAGATACTTGATGAGGTCGAGGGTGGAAAAAGGAACATAAAGCATTGAGAAGATTCTTTTTCTTCCTTTTTGGACATTCAAGTACACATATTCTCTAGCGGAAAGCAAGTAAAACTCGAATATGAGAGATTAAAAAACACACACACAAAAAGGAACATGGAACTTTGTACAAAGGAAGGTCAGAAAAAAACCAAAATCACTTAGAGTAAAAGATAAAAGGAAGACAGAGACAGTGAAAGAGGGAAGAAGAGAGAAAAAAAGCAAGAGAAAGCGAAAGAGAGAAGAAGATGAAAATGGAAAATTAGAGAATCAACTTACCTTTGTTAGTAATAATAAATAGAGAGAGAGAATACTCAAGATGTTTGTATAAATGATATTCTAAAGGTGATTAGAGGTTGAGGTGATTAATTGGTGATAAACAATTGATTCTCTTTTAGTGTTGGTTAACAATTAAAGAAGTAAATTCTATAAATTAAAATGAACCAAAAGACAAATTTTATCTTCACGTTTCTTTTTCTAGAATATTCTTTAAATGCTCGATAGAGACAAAGCTAATCCTCCAAATAGAATCCATGGTAACGTTATTTTCCCACAACATTTAAACCGAACCTCCATTGTTACATTTTCATTTTTTTTTCTTTCTTTAAATTTGTTCAACTAATTGATTAATTGTTCTCAATTAACCGTTGATTAAATGGCGAACAATCAAGTGGATTCAGTTGTTTTCCTTTGTCTGGTTTTCTTTTGGTTCTTCCATCGATAATTTTGATCATCATTCTCCTAATCTTTGTTTACAATTCTCTATAAACGAATGAATTTTTAATTCTAATTCTAATTGTTGTTAATTTGTTTCTCTCTCTCAATTAGGCTTATCATCGCCGCATCTTCTTCTCCAAATTTCAATTATGTTTAAACATTGGATGGAATGGAAAAAAACAAGCCAATTGATTTTTCTTCAGTGAAAATTGAGAACCTCAATTTGAGATGTTCCTATTACTTGATATTATCTCTGTTGGTCAATATTGATGATTTATGTTCAACAACATTGATTGTTAATTATCGTATGGGTTTGATTAGTTCTAATTTATTTTGGTATCTTCATTAATCTGTGTTTATCTCTCTAATAGAGAGTCTCTACTATATCCTTTCATTTTCTCCCTCCAGTGAATTTATCTATCAACTGATTAATATTATTATCCTTGTTGCTGTTTGTTTCTTTTGGTTCCACTGCACCGACGAGTTTTTTTTTCCTACTCACAATTTATTAACCAACGTAATTTATTTTCTACGCTATCAAAAGATCAATTCAAAAATTGATGGAGATTCTCAGATTATGGTAGATTAATGGTTGCGCGAGATTAGACCTTGAAAGTTATTTCTAACCTTCATTTCATCTACAATCTCTTGCTACTATTTGGTAATCAAGGTACAATCTCCAATCCACTTCAATGAATTTAATCCGCTTGTACCGAGATTATTGTGCCTCAATCAGATTAATTGTGTAGGATGAGTGGGTTGAATGAAATAAGTGTCATACTTACAAATTTAAGAATCAAATCAAAAACTTAATCATGTTTTTATTTCAATCAATTAATTCCAATGTAAAAGCAGAGAAATTTTTTTTTCGTTAACATTTACATTGAACTTCAACTTTGAATTCTAGAAATTAGTAATTTTCAAAGTAAATTCAACAATCATGATCAAATGAAATGTAAATTGAAATCAAACAATTAGAATACAAGTTAATTAGTTGGTTGTTCTAAGGAAAATAAAGAGTATGAACAAGATTAGTAAAACTTTCCCTCTTGAAGTTAATACTTCAATCGAACTGAATTAATTTTTTTGATTATCAGAACTTTTCTTCTGTTAATCAGTTAATTGTTATCATACATGAAACAAAGTCTAAAGTAAATTAAATGGGAATTAAAACAAAATGGCCTCTTTACCAGAGACATCGAAAGGTTTGAAAAGAGGAACAACAATTATCGGTAAAGAGTTTCAATTATATCACATACAATTAGTTAATTAGTGTTTTTTTTTGATTGATTGATCAGTACAATTGATTCAATAGCCTTACTCGTATCTGATTGATACATTGAAATAATAGGTTGATATTGGATCGAGTTAAAAATAACATAAAGTAATAATTGTGAACTGTTTTCTGGCTCATTGATTCAGTTTCGTTTTCATAGTTTAACAAATTGATGAATTTAGTTCGTTGAATGTCCAACCAAAGTTCCAGAGTTCCTGGTGATTCAAAATTCCATGGAACTTCAAATAAAATCATCTCACATATCGTTTTGGCGATGGACAGTGTAGATACTTTATCGTCGTCCAAAATTTCCTCCAAATAGTTAATAACATCGTCCGATTTAATTAACTTTCGTCTCAAGTTTTTAACCAATAGTTTAACACATTTACAAAGTGACATTGATGGCGATGAATTTGAATGATCTCGATTGGTGACATTGGAGACATAGTCAAATGGTGGACTGATAAAGTAAATGTTGTTGGTTAATTGTTTCTTATTACAACATAACATAGTTAATTTTAATTTTTCCTCGTTAATTTCCTCAATTCCATTGGCTTGATAGTATTTGAGTAAACCGATTGCTTGTAAGATGATGAAAGCAGCGCTTTTTGAGCTAAGGTTTCCAGTTAATTCGGTAAAATCTTCGTCCAACAAACGATCAAGTGTAAGAATTAAATCAAATTCTGGTTTAAGAGCGAATAATTTGATATTCTCATCAGAATCAATGAATTGGCCATACTGAAGATCAACCGAAGTCTCAGAACGAACTGAATAAGCCAACGGGGTGACCTTAAAGTGGAAAATGAACAAAAGAAGAGCAAAAAAGAAAAGCAATTAGTTGATTAGATCTTAATTAGTTTTTATCAATTTACATGCAATCAGTTCAAGGTGAACAATCACCCTTCCCATTAATTAGATAATAACAATAACTTAATTACGATTCTACCAAGTAAATCATAACTCAATTTAGATTAATACTAAGGTTCATTTGAATGCGAATGATTTTTACGGTATAAAGACTTGGAACTAACTGAAAAACTAGTTGATTGTTTAACTATCAGCATTTATTATCATATTATTATGATTGCAATTAGCTAATACTGTCATCAAGATTATTGGCCCATGTCAAGTAAATTGTTGTTTTGACTGTTTCCATGATTATCTTATTTTTGTCAGAATTTTTTTTTCTTTGACAAAGAAAAAAAAAGTCAAAGACTTTTAAAAGTCAGTTTAACATTTACACCCAATCACAAGTAAAAAAAACACATCATCAGTTAATTGTGAGCTAAATTACACCTTAATCATACACCTCAACTATCAATAATATGAGCCAATAGCTTTTTTATCCAGAACGATAATCATGAAAATCATCACCATTCATGATAATGATTCAGTTAATCATATATTACAAAGTATTTCATCAGCCATTGACCTAAACAATGTATCATTATGATTGTCAACACAATGGTGATCAACATAACGATTAGATATTGTAATTAAGTGTTCATTGATAATTTCGTTTATCACTTGAAGTTATATTGTAATTGTAACATTTTAATTATACTAACCAGAAAATTTGCTGATATTGTTTCACTTTTGAGATAAGCGTCTTTGTAAATCTTGGCCTCCGATCCAATAAGACGGAAGGACTCATAGAAAAGATCCTTTTTCGATATATTCTTATACGATTGATGACAAATTGAATAATTGTGAAGGATTCGGTTAATTGTGTCTACATTATATTTGGCAATAACGGTGTAAGCAGAATCTAAATTAAGATTGGTTAAGATTAAATCGGATGGTGAAGTTAATTTAGATGTTGATCGAGGTAAAGGTGAGGTTGATGATGATGATGATGATGATGAAATTGATGGTGGTGAAGGTGATGAAATATTATGTCCATTGATTGGTGAGCAAACTGGTGAGATGGTTAATTGAGATGATGATCCGTTGATGATTGATTTGTTTGAGGAGGAACCATTTGTTATTGATGATGATGGTGATGGTGAGGCAATTGGATTGTAACGATTTAAGGTTGTGCTTTCGGATGAATTGTTTTTTTTATGAGAATTGTTTTGAGCATTAATATCACTTGATCGGCTTCTTCGAGCAGGAACAATAGGACGAAAACCATTGGTCGATTTTAATTGTTGTTGTTGTTGTTGAATTAGTAGTTGTTGTTGCTGTGATTGAGATAAACAAGAGTTTCCACTCAATGAATAGCTACGTTCTCGACCCGTTGAGTAGATTGATTTATTTACTTCGTATGAACCTGATGTTGATGATCGATCTGGTTCATTAAGATGATATTGATTGTGACCTGGGCTACTTTTCCGTCTATCTAGATCAAACTTGTGTTTCCAAGTTTTACCACTAATTGTTTCTCCATTGTGTTCCAAATCATTGTCATCCTTGGATAGTTTTAACAATTTTTTCAATGAAAATTTGGTTCCACCGCTACTCTCCTTGTCTTTGTTACCATTGGAGTGGAAAAGGTTTGATCCATTGGTAACTCCATTGACAATATGTTTCAATCCAGAACTTGGTGGAGGTGGTCGAGGCGGTGGAGCGGGTAAATTTGATCGGCTGATAGTGTTATACCTTACAGGTCTATCATAGACTTCATGAAGTGGTGATGAAGCAGAAGACGTTGTTGATGAGGCTGAAGAAGTTGAAGAAGATGATGATGATCCTGATGATCCTGATGATCCTGATGGATTAACAGGAGCTTGACGTTTACCTGGATGACGAACTGATTCCAATTCTTGCGCTAATTCAGCAAGACGTAATTCCCTACTTGATTGGTGCTGATTGTTGTGATTATTTGAATAGTTAACATGATTCCATGTTATTGGATTGAATTCACTTTTTGATTGAACAAACTGATCAACCATTGAATCAGTTTGACGATAGTAATCAACCTCATAATGTTTATTGTTACAATTATCAGTGTTAATCATTAAATCAATGCCATTACCGTAAATAGTGTCATCTTCATTGACCTTATTACTTAATGATAATGGTTTACATGGTATTTTGGGTTTTAATGATGATTTCAATGATCTTTCCGGTTTTTTGGGAATCTCAGTCTTTTCATCGGTATCAAAATTAATTGAATTAATTTTACCCTCAATTTGATTAGTTTGTGAGTTATTTTGATTGTTAATGGTTGTTGAAACATCGATACTTTCAACAGATCGTTCTTCACTTATATCAGAATCAGAATCATTATCATCATCATAATCATTGATTCTAGTGGTTAAGGTTAATGATACGGATGATGTTAGTACAGCATCGTTAACTTTATCATCATTATCATCACGATCGTTTTTGTCGTCGGTATCATCATCAGGGATAGAGATAGTTGAATTGGTCGTTGTAATAACATCATCAGTGATATCAATTGTTGATGATGAACAATCATCAATATCATCTACAGGATAATCAATTGATTCGGTTTCATCGTTCATTGATTTTACATCTTTTCCATCAATTTCATTATTTTCATCAGATGATGATGATGATAATTCATTTTCCACCTCATAATTAACTGAAATGGGCGACGATTTATTTATATCAGGAATCATCTCATCGATTACCTTGTCATTTGTTTTTGCTGTTGTTTCACTAATTGATTTCATGTTTACACCGGAATCACCGTTTAAATTATCAACGAATTGAGTTGTATTGGTTATCGGTAAACTGGTAACAATTAGCTGACCATCAGTTAAATCAGTCTTATTGTTGGTGATTTTTAGAGAAACAGATTGACAGTCTGATTTGATTTCATCAATTTCCTCTGATAACTCGAGGTAATTTGATTTATTTTTCAATGTTGATGTGACATTAACAGTAATTGATTCAGATTTCATTGGAGCAACTGAAACAATTGGAGTTGATGATAAACTACTTGTGTTGATTGTATTAATAGTAGTAGTTGATGAAATTGAAGGTGTAGTTAATTGTTGTTGAGTTACTTTAATTGTCTCATTGTGGTGGTTGATTTTGGCTTGGGAAGTTGATTTTGAATTCAAGGTTCCTCCATTTGTCATACAATTAATTGTAGAGGATGAAAACGATGATGTATCATTAACTTCATCTTTTTCACTAATAAAATTATTTCCAGCATTTGAAGTAACAAAACAATTATGAGTAATTGTGGAGGTTGATAAATTGTTGCTGTTATTGGTGGTGGTGGTGTTAAAGGTTGACGACAATTGACCCTGAGATGTTGTAGTTGATGATGAACTGGAGTTAATCCCAGAAGAAGAGTTGACCACAACATTACAATTGATTGGTAATGATGAAGGTAAAGTTGATGAACTTTTGTCACCTTTAATTGTATTGTTAATCTGATTCCCGACGCACTTTTTAATATTATCATTAACCTGTTGGTGATCCTCTTGTTTACCATTTGTTGTTGTTAATTTATTGTTACTTTCCTCCTGACCATTATTATTAACTAAACTACCACCATTACTGTTAATTGTCACCTCATCTTCAATCACAGACTTGCCATTGTTGTTGGTATGATTATCTTTGTGTTGGTGATTATTGTTACTATTGTTTGTTGCTGTTGTTGTTGTTGTTGTAATTGTAGCCATTGATGTTGTTGCAACGGATGTTGATGATGATAACCCGTTGATCCCATTTGTGGTTGTTGTTGTTGTTGTTGGGAAATTGGATCCATTAGTTAATTTACCACGTTTCTCTTCACCAATTAACTCGGAGACTCTGTTACAGCCAATTAATGTATCATCGTATTCATGTTTCCTGGTTTCTGATTTGAAATCACCAATACGAAAAGCGATCCCATTACTTTGATTGTTGATCTGACCAAAGGTTTGAAGGTTTTTGGCATCACGAAGATTAGCACCGATTGAATTAAATCGGGTATTTAAAGCAGTTAAACGAGAAAATTCCGAATCCTCTTCAGAATAATCATCATCATCTCCTCCTTTGTAATCACAATAATCAAGCTCTTCTTCAGACTCTTCATTACCTGAGTCTTCATCATCACAATAACCAATCACAATTGGATCAACTGAAAATTTAACTGACCCTTTTCTTGATTGATCACCTGAATCATTTTTCACCTTTAAAATACCAACAATTTTGGTTGTTGTTGTAACTATTGGAGCAGAGTTTGATTTGATTACCATGTGTTTACCATGATTAGTACCGTTGATTGTACTTTTTACCGTTTCAAATAAATCATCTGATTTATCCAAATTACGTTGATTAAGTATGGCAACTTTACCATTAACAATATCCCCATTGGAGACAATATTATTTTCACTGTTCATCTCCATGGTGTTGACTGTTGATGTTGTCGTTGGGTTGGTTTTCTTTCGGTTATTATTGTTATAGGAATTACTATTTACATGATTGTTGACTTTGTTATTAAAACTGTTTGTTGATCCATTAGTTGGTTTTCTTAATTCACTTAGATTGGCCTTGGTTGATTGTAGAGATTGAACTTTACCATTCCAATCGGTTGAATTGATTAGATTCTTTTGTCCATTGGAAGAGACACAAACATCAACATGATCATTTTCGGGTTTAAAACAATCCGAACAAAGATCTTTCTTCCAGGCATTTTGCCTAAATGACCGACACACAATGGACATAATGTGTGTATGAGTCACAAGGAAGATTAAGAAGAAAAAATTAAAATAAATTCACTTGGATTAAGAAAGGAGAAAGTAGTAAACAGAGAAAGCGAGAGAACAAAGAAAAACGTTGATTTGTATTGGCAGAAAAAGCGAGAAAAGAGAGAGAGAGAGAAAAAACAACCCAAAGATTTGAAGCTCTCCGAGTGCACAAGCTGATGAGCCGAACCAGCAGATAATTTGAGCTTTAGAATTAGATAAAGATGACAAAAAGAATTGACAATTGAACAAGAGTGATGATGATGTTGATCAAGATTAAGATTAATGGTGATGAAGGTGGTAAAGATGATCAATGAACCTGTTGAACGGTGAAAGTTGTCCCAGCTGAAGACATGAAGTAAAGGTTTGGTGTTTGTCTACCACTCGCTTGTTGTTTATGTGTATCTGTAGATGGATGGAAAACAATTGATGCAGTTAATTAGTCTTGGTGGATGATGATGATCAAGAAAAGGGAGTTATTCAAGTGAAAGGGACCGATAAAACTAATGGAACACAAATGATGTAAGAAGAGAGAGAGAAAAAAAAGAGAGACAAAAACAGGTAAGAAAAAGAAGTAAAAATAACAATAAGAAGCTACAACATGATGACAACTCTAGAAGAGATTAAGAAGAAGGTTAATCGAGAGAGATGATGATCAATCTTCATGTTGATGATGACAAAAAGTCAGGAAGATAATCTGAAAGTAAATAAATGAACAAGTAACAAAAAAACTGGTTACAAATTTTCAGGTTAAAATGAACGAGTTCAACTTTATCGTTGGAGTGTTGGAACAAAAAATGAACTTTATTTTCATCAACAACCTTCAAGCTCTCGGTTGCTCCCTCGTTCCCATCATCTCCATCATCCTCATCCTCATCTTCATCATCATCTGTCTCTCAATTCACTTCCTCCTCCTATCAGCATCATCTGTTCAATTCGTCAACACCAATCATTGGAATTAAATTGATCACAAATTGTTGTGTTTCCTCGTGTAGCTTTCCAATTGATTTTGTATCGATTTTTTATCATCTCAACAAATCATTTCAACTTTCACTCGATTTGATTGATTACTGACCAGCAGATGAGACGATGGTCACTTGCTTCTTGACCAGCATCTTATTAGCTTATTGATAACTTTAGATGAGGTAAACTTTTTGAGACAATCAATCAATAACCCAATTCATTTAATCACATGGTTCAAGATTAATTTCAAGGGTTTTATTGGTAATCCCTTTTCATGGTGATTAATCTGACATTACAACTTTCACTTGAAACAATTAAGTTAATCACGATGATGATCATCGTGACAATCATCACTTTTTTCAATAATCATCATCATTATTATCATCATCTTACTGTCAACTTGATTAATGATACAATTGATTATGTATCTGATTAGTTGAAAACTTTTACTGTTTAAAAACGTGATTAGGGATTTGATTAACTTTTAGACAACAATTAACAACTCATCGATTTTGATTTCGTCTAAAAATCATAATTAATCTGATACTCAATTTTAATCATCACCTTAATCACAATCAGTGTTTGTTTTAATTTCTGATGAAAAGATTAAATTGGAACATCTAATTTCGTTTTTGATTGTTAAACAATTAAACGATTAGATTGTTGAAAGACACACTTAATTTTAACTCTTCTTCTCAATTGCAGCAATTAACTTTCAATCATCTTGGTGATAAAAGAGAAATTTAAAAATTCTAATTGAGTGGGAATCGATTGATTTAGATCAGACACGATTCTTGATTGTTGCACCTCCGATTGATTTATATCATCATCATGATCATAGTTAACTAATCAACTAATCATTTAACTCAATTGCGCTCGATACTCATGATAACAATCAAGACGAATAAAAAAAATTTTCAAGTTCAATCAAAACGAAATCATTTATTGATTTGGTCTCGATCAATTAAATTGTATTCATCAGCACGATCGCAGTTAATTGTTAGACCGCAAGAAAAATTATACTAATCAAAATTGTTATGACAACAATTTAACTCGACTCTCGAGAAAACTTTCAATTGTAAATTAATTAATCAAATCAGTGATCAGAATTAGTTTAAAATTAATCAATATCTTGTTACCAATGTGATAGTTTAATCAAAACTGAATTTAACCAGCCTGCAATTAGTATTTAATTTCACAATTAAAAAGTTCCCCTTGTGATTTGCAAAACCAAATCAACTATGCAATTTAATCCAATTAATTAATAGGAGGAAAAGAAAGAAAAAAGAAACAACAATCAATCAATTAAATCAATTAAATTGATCTAAATGGTCACAAAAGCAAGTCAAGAAATCAAATTAATCACAAACAATTAGCCAATCAAAGTAAAAAAAAAAGCAAAACAATAACAATCAAAAGAAAACAAAAAAGTTTGATCAGCAAAATCAAAATTGCCCAATAATTGTTTACAATTTAAACTGATTAATTTAATATATTAATAAATGAAAAGTAACAATCAAATCAATCACGAAAAAAGTTACAACAAAGTTTTACCATTGACCATCAAAACCTTAAACAACAACAACAATTAGTGAATTAAATTTTAAAGTGATAATCATTAATATTGTTTATAATTAGGTCTTCGTGTTCATCATCATGATAATCAACACTTATCTTCCTCTTCCTTTCATCATGAAAATGTTAATTATGATAATCTGAGATGGTTAATCCTCGAACCGAACAGGTAAAAATAAAGGTAACATGTTTCAGGCCAGTTTTATATCATGTAACTAAAGCGCTGATAATATGATCATCGTGCTGAATATGATTCATGTCACTAACCCTTACGAGTGCCAACAAAACATTAACAATACACAACAGGAACGGACGATAACCTTAAAAAACGTTTAATTGTAAAAAATAAACCATAATGAAAACATGAACAATCAACATATTAAACCAAACAAAATTTGTATTGTCTTGCCGCGATTATCATGCACAATTAACTTGATCATCAGCACTATTTGTGTATATCAACAAAAAACATAACAGCAACAATTTAAAAATCGTTAGAAACAAAATAATTGGTCAAGTATTTAAGTGTCAATACTTGAAACTTTTGCTACTTTATAATGAAAAACAATTAAGAAACTAATTGTTTTTCTTTTGGTCAACAATTTACTGATTGTTGTTGTTGTTGTTGAGAATGAAAATTTTGGGTGATTAATTATCCAATCGTTTAGATAATCAGCAGTATGTTAAGTCTCAATGGGGATTTGATTTTCTGTTGAATTCAATTCAGATTCTCATGAAATTCATACAACTTGATGATGATTAACTTGATATTTATGATGATCTAATAATAACCCTCACAATTAAATTATGAAAATGTTTAATTCATGAAGGGGAAAATGAAAAATTAATTGATTGTTGTTTACAATTTACAAAAAAAATAAAATATAATCAACAACCTTGTCTTTCAATTGTTGTTGTTGTTGTTATTATTATTTTTGTCTAATTGTCATTTCTTAATCTTGATTAACAATCAATTGTCAATAGATTGGGTCAGTACAATCAGTGAATCGTGTAATTAAGTTTCTAACATTATTAGTTAATTCTGGTGAAATTAATCAAGATTAAAGTTGTTAATTGTAATCAGTAAAGTCTTGGGTAACTTTTTTGTTAACCTTTGATTGTTGACCAACTATAAATTGCTAAATACACAACAGTGGAGGTTAATTGTTGATTTAACTTCACCTTATTTTAAGGTTCTTCCTGGTTTATCCTAATTGTAAATAGAATCAAATGTTAATCAACTAACTAAATATAATTATCACAGTTGATTGACGTTCACACACAATAACAAAGGAGAAACTAAATTAACTTATTTGTTGTCCTAATCATTTTCATCTAATTCAACACCAAAAGTTAATTCAAGTTTATCCAAGTTCATTATCATCACAATTAAGTTACTTTACAATTAACTTTGATGTGATCATCATCAAAGAGACTAAAGTAATTAATATGAATTGAAACTGTTAATCAAATTGAACTAACAATTTAAGGATTGTAGAGAAACAGGAAAAGTCAAAGTGAGTGTAATTAAACTAATCAATGAGACAATTAAGTTTTAAAAAACGACAATAGGATATTATTAACAATAATCTGGCGATAATTTATAACTCAATCAACTAACAATTAGTAAAGGAAGGAGAGGAGTAATCAGTTAATTAGCTTTACAACGTTAATTAACAACGGTTGACAAATTAATTTGTATCAAGTGTTGTCTAAATTGTAATAATTAAAAAGAGTTGTAATCAAATTAATTATAAATTCAAGTCGTGAATTAAAGTTGTTTTGTCTTTACAATTTATCTTGATCAAGGTGACAATTGATTTGATAATGATTGATTTAAGTTAATCAGTAAACTACTGAAATCAACCAATTTACATTAAATTAACTTTAAAAAAATACTAATTGTTACAATACAATACAATTATCTGCTTGAATAATCAAAATTAAATCGAGAAAAAAATTGAAAGGAGTGTCACAATTAATTGCTACTGTAATTAACTAATTTTCCTTGTTAATCAATTAGTGAAAAAAAAACAATGATCATAATCAAAGGTAAAACAAAGTGTAACAATTGAAAAAACTAACATTAAACAATTATCAACTAATAATTAACAATCAACTAACTGAAAATCAGTGGCAATTGATAAATTTCATTGATAATCAACATCTTAATTGTAACAACAGATTATCATCATAATCATAATCTGATGATAATCAACATCTAACTTTTTGAAAGGCCCAAGATATAAAATATCTGTTAATGATTACAATTAATAGTAACCCGGTTAATTGTTGGCCTAATTGTTGCAAAATATAATCCACTAAAATCATACATTAAGGATCCAAGGGCAATCGCCCGAGGCTAGAATACAATTTAAAAGGTTTTTTTTTTGTCTTAATTCTTGGAACCGTTAATAATACATACTAATTGTTGCCTTAACTCATCAACAACAAGAAACCAGATTAAAACATTTGATGATTAACTTGATTATTTAAAACCAGTTACATGAGATGATCATCTTAATATGAACCTGAAAGGTTTTGAATGATGAAATTGAAATCCAATTGATTTTAATTGCAACAACTATTAATACAGATTATTATTATTCTGATTATGATTACAATTAAACACGCGAATCAACATCATCATCAATTTGATCAATTTGATTTTAAATTCAAGGTTGATCCTGATTCTCAACAATTTACCTTTAGGAGTTATCCTACTTTCCCTTGATTATTTAATCATTTATTGTTATTAGAAATTATTTTAATCATCATACTCTTGATTTAACACACTCGAGGAGGTTGATTTAATTGTTGACAGTTTAATCAAATTTTCTTGAAACAATCAATTGATCATTTCTGTTTTCATCATCATCATCATCATCATAATGGCAACAATGACTTCACAACATGATATCATTTAGAAATGATCAATTGATTGTTGTGATTCCTATTGTCACAATTAACTTGATTCCATCTAATCTGTGTCAATTTTAATCTCAAACTGTTAAACTGATTAACTTTAATTGTTAATCCTTTCATGATATAATAGTTATCATGATTAATGATGTCCGAGTAGATGAATTATCATCATTATGAAACTGACCAAGACAATTAAATTTGATTAACTGTTATGTGATTATTTAAATTATTGTGGTGAAATTAAATTTAATTAAACATCAAAATTTAACTAATTTCATTAAAATGATCAATCTTGATAAAATATTATTAGTGGACACAATTAATGATTATAAATAGATGAGTTTGTCCAGAAAGTAACAAAACTAAATGTTAATCAACTTTAAATAGTTGAAAGTAATTATCATTAATTTACAACAATCCAATTAAGATACAAACAATTAACATGATTATTACATTATCAATCATATTGAACTGTACAAAATCAAGAGGAGGGTCGCAACAATTAGCTTGATTGCTGTATCAACAATTAACACAAAATGTTCAAAATTATTGTCAAATAACAATCAAGATGTGTTGATTATTTATAAACATTTATCAGTTGATTAAATTACTAATCATTTGTGTTCATCATGATCAACAATTAACTTTTAAAATTTGAAAGCTCAGCAATGAACAGAAATCATTTTCAACTCTAATAGTTTATTAATAGACTTGAGGTAGTAATTAAATTAACAATCAGCTAATTTAATTGTAATCTTTTCGTTAGGTGTCAACAAAACCATAATCATCTAAATTTTTGGTGAAACAAACGATTCGTGATTAGGATTACGATTCAATTAGTACAATGAACGAAGATGATTAAGTTAATTGTGATTTAGGTGAGTAACAGACAGAGGATGTTAATTGTTTCGTAAATTGTTTGATATAAACTTAATGGTTCATTAAATCAATTCACTTCTGTTTCACGAAATTAATAATATAAAAAAAATCGACGAAAAAAGTTTTCCTACTTTTCACCTTAAATGATTTACTTTATCGTTAATAGTTAATTGTTGATTAGGTTGACCTAATTTTCTTTATCATTTATTGTTAATCGAAAGTTTTTTAATCATATTTCGTTAATTAATTATATCAACATTGTAAAAGTACCAAAGTTAATCAACTTGATTGTTGATTAACTGAAAACTTCATCAAACTAAATTAAGGTTCACTTTCAATCGGGTAAAGTTTTGTGATGATAATTTGGATTTACTATTCTGATTATTTTAATTTTCTTAATTATCTTCTTGATTTATGCTGTTTATTAATTTACTAATTTAATAAATCATCGTGAGTTTAATTTTTATGGTTACTGTTCATTTTACCAGAACAATTTATCACCATCTAATTAAGTTTGGTATAGTTAATTGTTAGGGTTAATCTATGGTAAACAAAAGTACATAAAGTGTAACAACTAAATTCAAATATTTGATCAACTGTTGATTAACTAATTTCTTCCTGGTTTCTAATTGTCATTTGATAGGAAATGCTGTTTGATAATTGATTAGCTTTTTGTTGATTAATCAGAACCTACCCCATAATTTGATCAGTTAATTAACTAGTTCGATATGCAATTACAGTCGATTATTATGATTGATTGTCTTGATTGATCCCGAAAATCAACCGTAACCTTGATATCATAGAGCTTGATTGTTGATTTAGAAAAAAAGTTAATTGGGTCGAAATTACTGAGCGATGATTTAATAATTGTCTTATTTGTTTCTCGGTTAATTAAAGGTTGATCATAATTAGGGGGGGGGAAAGCTCGTGAGTGTAGGAGTTAAACTGTTAAAATTATGGTAACAATCAAAATCTCACTGATTTTAATTGTTTTAAACTTTTGATGGCAAAGACACTTAATTGATCAAGTAAATTGTAAATAATCAAATCAAGTTTTGAATCAAAATTAGATTATTTTTTTCGTATCTCGATTGTAACTTGATTACTGTTCTCAATCGTTGAACAATTGATTATTAGTCGAAAAGTTTTTTTATCGTAACAATTTATTTTAATTGTGTTTTATGAGCTCGTGAGTATCATTGATGAGGTTGTTGATGAAACTTAATCACAAACCTCATCTCAACATTTGATTTGGTAACAATATGATTGATTAGTATCAACATTTTAATTACAATTTAAATGAGTTTCCCGATTACAATCAAATTGGTGACCATTTTTAGCAATTTAAATTATTGTTAATCTTCAACACAAATACTATTGTTAATATATCATGTTATTTATTACAATTCTAGTTAATGATTTGAAAAATTAACAACAATTAGTATTAAATCGTGTTCACGAATAAGTTGATTGTGAATAAGTTAATTATCAGGTTGATTGTGATTAGCTTGATTTACTATTAATATAATGGTGAAAGTTACTTATGAGAATCTGATCTTTATTGTTAATCAACAATCAACACAAACAAACATATAAACAATTAGATAACTCGTTCAGTTCAATTGATTTAAATTAAATCAAAATAGATGAAAACGGAAGAAGAAGATGATTTAAAGTTGATTGAAAATGATTGAATGAACAGATTAACTCGAGATTATCTGACCAGATGATAATCCTTGATGAATTGATGGATTATGAAAACCAAGTCAAATTAATATTCGTGATTAACTAACAATTAAAATGATCCAAATGATTGATGAGACTAAATGAAAGTAGAGATTTGATTTTGAGTTTGCTTTTATTGTTCTGTAAAGTCTTGGTGATTTAATCAGTCGAAACAATTAACAGTTTCGATAAATTAATTGTGATTCTATTGAAGGATAACAATGAAAACGGAAACTTTTCTTGATAGAGGTTAACTTTTGATTCTGTTTACATTGATAATTAAAGTTAATCACAGTTAATCAGGATAATTATAGATAAAGAGACAGATTAATTGAGAAGGATAATTATTATTACAGTTAACACGCAATCATTTAAATCTAAAAATAGTAATTAAGATCAATTGTAATCTCGAATTGATAAAAATTGATAACGTGTGTGAGTTGATCATTAATCAATTGTTAAGTAAATTTCATCTCAATCAATACAATCAAATCAATTTTTCAATCTCATTGTAATTTATCAGATTTAAAGTATTATCATGTTATTGTTATCAAATTGATCGACACAATTAACATATTGTATCTTAATAATTAAGTGTCATCATCATCGTCCAAATTAGTTAGTATTATTGAGTAAACAATTTAGTAATTGTTGCAAGCCATTAACAGGGGAATCAGGTTATATTTCATTTGATTAGCATGATAATCACCAGAAAAGTTCATGAAACTTTGAATTAATTTATCACCATTATAATGATAATACAAACATGGTAAAATTTGATTCTCATCATAATTAACTGGACAATTAAGTTAATTTTGTTTTCTACTTATTTTCTCATTGAGATTCTTACAACATGATACAGTTAATTGTTGTTGTTGAAAATTTCATAAGATTATTTAGATTACAATAATGATTATTATCTCACCGGAACTTAATCACTTGAAGCAATTAAACTTGATCATCAACGTTAACATTTTGTAAATTGTCATGTTAATTGGGTTAACAATTAAAAAGAGACTTCATCTTTCTGTTTCTCAATTTAAATTTGATTAATTGGTTAAGTTTTGAATTTTAATAAACTCTAAATTGTTATTTACTTTCTAGATTTGATTTGATTGTTGAACTTTCAATAGTTTGATAAACTTGAAAGTGTAACTTATGTTTTAATTAATTGCTTCTTGTTGATTGTTAACTGGATGTTCAAATTTAAATAGATTTGATTAATATTCTGATTAGCTTGATTAACGGGACTTTAATTATTTTCAGGGTTAGTTAATGATAATTACCCGTTGATTGTAATTAACTTAGTATGTTAATCAAACCGCTTTCAGTGAAAAAGTTGAACCAAAGTGTTGGTTAATTTCAATGATTAAAAATAGATACAACTTTTAATGACAATTAAGCTAATTTTATCTTATTAGTTAATCATTTACATATTTAATGAAGGGATTTAATGATCATTGACATATTAAAGTCAACAATTAGAGTTTACAATCATCAGTTAAGTAAAATATTATTAATTTTGATTCTTTTTAATTTAATTCTTAAATGATAAACTGGACAACATTTTTTGTTTCTTGATTGTTATCGTAATTTATTAACCATCATTAACAATATTATTTATTACGACCAGTTGAGTGCTAATTGTAAACATGCAGTTAAAGTCAACAGTAACAATTACAATCTAAAGATAACAATTGTTAGAAATAATTTCCTAATTAGTTAATCAAATTCTTCGTATAATTAGATTACAATGGTTATTGTTGTGATTTATTAGTTGAACAGTAACTTACAATTAGTAATTGGAAACGATTAACTTAACAAAAATAATCGTTTCCAATTACTAGTGTAAGTCAAACTAGAGTAACTGTTGATTATAACAATCTTAATTAAAATAATTTGTTGCAATTAAAATTATTGTTAAGTAGTAACTTCTTATTTCTTCATTTTCTTTTGATCCTCTGCATGAATTTTTCATCAGTATGATTCATTGAATAGACTCAATCAATAATAATAAATTGTAATCCAAAGTTGTCAGATTTGTATAAGAGTAATAAGATTAAATTGATAAGGCCACTGAAATATTGGTGATAAGTCACTGGAAACGGTTTTTGATTTGATTGTTGATAAGTTAAAGGTCGGTGTCGTACCAAGCGGAGTATTGGTCATTATTGGCGACTTGGTCCTGTTCGTTGTAATATGGTGATGAATAGGGATTGTTAACATCCATATCTGATGTGGTTTGGACGTAAATTGATTGTGGATAAGGATTGAGGGGAGAGGCGAGTGATCCGTAGTGAGATTCAGCTTGGGGTAAGACCTCGTTTTCCACTTCACCGGCTGAAGTCCAATCATTGGGTTCGTCACGGAAAAGGGTTGCTGTCAGTTCCAATGATAGACGCTTCTTGTAATCCTGAGGTTTATCTTCGGACATTCGATACAAAACAGCGGCGGCGAAAGTGGCTGTCACTTCATTTCTAGAATGGAGAAGTTCAGTAAGAGCTGCAGTAGCTCCTTCGGATTCAATAATGTCAACGGCTTTCTTTTCGAGGGACAGTTCACTGAGAACACCAACAGCAGATTGTTGAACGTTCTCATCGTCACAATACAAGAGTTGCACGAATGTTGAGATTAAGTTCATTTCTGTGATAATGGATCGATTATGAACATCTCGAGCTAACATCTTGAATGAATACATCGTTCCCTCCATGACATCGGCGATTTTAACACCATCCATGTATCCTGAAGATGAGTTTCTCTCTTGTTGAGCTTTGGATAAAATTTGATTCAACTTGGGAATAACTCCAGCTTCTCGTAATGGCGCTTGGTTGGCTGGACATTGAGCCAGATTGTGAATTAATCCCACAATTCCCTTGATAAGTGACCAACTGATCGGTAGATTCAAGAAATTTACAATATAATTCAAACCATCGTGAAGACGGACATCATTCTGGGCTATTTCTGCTTCCTCATGCTGATGTGTCAGGTGTTTGAGAACACAAATTGCTGGTTCAACGATCTCTTGTCTATCTCCAGCTTGTTTGATGGTTGTAACAATCTTTTCAATTGCATCTAGTTGACATAAGAATAGTTTGTTTTGGGTATTGTTGCAGGTCAAATTGGACAGAATAGCGACCGAACAAACAACTACGTTAAGATCTTCACTTTTGAGTAAATTGAGTAGAACTTGGAGAAGATGATCAATGTTGAGAATATCGGTGGCAGAATCAGATAAATTCCTCAAAGCCCAAAGGCAACTTAATTGTAATCTTCCGGGTTGTTCCAAGTGCATATCCAAAGCGTAGATTCCTCCGGCTTGGATGATCGCGAGTTTGTTACTTTGACAAACGGACAAAACTTTGAGTAGTCGAGATGTTGTCCAAAGTAATTTCTCATAGTTATGGACAAGCATAATGTTCACAATCTCTGGAACACCGCCTGAGGCGAGAATAATCAACTTAGACTCTTGATTTCCATAAGCAAGTAAAGTTAAACATTCGGTCAAAAGAGCGAGGAATTTAGGATTGGGATGATTCAACAATGTGACCATCTTTTGGATTCCTCCGGCGAGTCGAACGGCCATTTTTGATCCTTCTTGATGAAGCAACAGGTTGTAGATCGTTGTCAAGGAATAGTAAACAACTCGGTTGATTGGAGAGGTGAGAAGCTTAATTAAGGCAGAGATTCCATCGGACTTGAAAATCGCTAGAAGACCTTGTTGATGTTGAGATAAATTATGTAAAATACTCGCAGCAAAAGTGGTTGTCTCAGCTTCGGCATTTGACATCGCCCTAAGAAGAGCGGACACCATTTGAGGAGAATTGATGAGCGCGTGTCGGGAAGCGACTTTTCGCGAAAGATGGTGAACCATTAATGTCGCTTTGTTAACCACCACTTCATCTTCATCATTTAATAGCTTCAACAGCTCAGGAACAGCACTTGTGGCCAAATCAGCGTCATTCTGGTAATTAATCAAAGCTTCAATCGCCAATTTAATCATTTGTGCAGGTTCAGAGAGTCTAAGGACACATGTTTCTGATTTATTGTCGATCGATGTTGTGTATAAAATGTCACTTGATAAATCATCGAATAGAGCAGCTCTAATACGCTCAGATCTATTTAATTCCAACGAAGTCATACTGATGAACAATTAATAGCAAACTAAACAACAAAGTAAAAAAATAATTGACAAAGAAAAAGAAACTTTCAAAAAGTAATAACAAAGTGAAAATAAAATCGATTATCTTCGATTCAATTGATTGAAAACCGATAATCGATTTCATAGATTTTTTTCTTTTTCTCCTTCAATCGATTTTTCATAAATCATTTAACTAAAATCAGAAATTATTAAGATCACAACTCATTGAGCCGAATAATAAGTCACTTTCTAAATGTTTCACTCGAGTTCGAGTTGCACTTATCGTTGTTTTAATAGACGCAATTGACAATCAAATAACGAATTGGTCAATTGCTTTCTCGAGATTCAATTTCTTTTTCTCTCGAAAATTTATCATCTATTTGTAATGAAGATTCGTCTTTGATGTTGGATGGTTTAACATTGATCGATGAAGTTTTCAAGGACTCAATAGTTCTAATTCATTTTGAAGATTTTGATTTTCAGATATTGAAGAAAAAATAAATAAACAAACAAAGAAAAGTTGATCAAGTTTTAATGAATTAACATTCGAGAGATTAATATGGTTTTATCAATACAATTACAACTTTCTTTTATTAATATTTTCTCAATGGTTGAAGTTATATTAATATTTTTTATAAATCAAACTCATTGTTGAAAAAACTACAATAGGAAATCATTACAGTTACCGATATGTAATTTCTACTCTTGATTGTGTTCAATTTCGTGGTTAAATTGTCAAATAATGTAATGATTAAAGCGAAAAAACTTGATGGGATCGTCTTGATACATCGACATCATCAAAGGGAAAAAGTAAATTGTTTGAGCTCATTTTACGAATTTCAAAATTTTCTATGAAATTTATCATGTTATTATTATTTTTCTCTGACTATTTATGGAGAGCAGTTCTACCGCTCCATCCATCTAATTAGATACACGCATTCTTTTCGGCAGCATCGTTCAAAGAACATTGGACATTATCGTTAGACTGGGGACGAATTAATGGAAAGAAAATTATATTGGTGATTCTGACGAACTTTGAAACCTTCGATATCGTTTAGATAAAGTGATGAACAAAAACGGAAGAACTTTATTACTCGAAGAATCTTTCAAAATTTTCTATAAATAATCAAATCAGTTCATGTTTTTTCTGTGATTTATGCCCTTTGATGTGATAATTTTAAATTAAATTCTGCAGAAATTTTCTATTTCTAAACATCAATAAAATTTTCTCAATTAAAACATTCGGATCTCGAATTCAAATCTCAATAAAACTAATCAATTATCATATAAAAGACATTCAAATGATTTAAATTGATCAAAATTCAACTCAAGTTTCATTGGATTAAATTTACTTATCCTTGATTACCATATCATCACAATGACTTAATTAACTGTAAATCAAGGTAATTAGTTAAAGATCATCAATGAAATTTACCTTAAATTAACTTCTCATTCCTTTTTCACCTTTTTAATTGTGTCTGGTTACTTAATTTTCTTAAACACTTAATAACCTCAACAATTAATAACAATTAAGATGTTCAATAATTAGTCGTTAATGATAAACTTAATCTGATAATCAGGTTAGGTGACAGAGTGATGACAACATTTAATCATCATCATTATGAAATAAAATTGTGTTGATATTTAATCAATTCCTTACTTGGAATGTTAATTGTTATCATTTTAATCTGAGATGATGAAGATAATCAACAACAATAATATTTGGTAATCAGATCAAATTTAAGGCGTCTTTTAATTGTTGTCTCGTTGTTACAATTAACATTTGATTTGGCGAAACAAAAAGATACACAATATAAGAAATCGTTAACGATTTTTGTCTCTAATTGTAGGTGAAAATCAAGGATAATCAAAGATGACACCAACACCCATTTAATTATGAGTAATCATATTAGAGATGATATTTAATCAATTAGTCGAATTAGCTTGACATTTAAGAGAAATCAAAACAAACCCAGTGACAGAATATTTCCCTCGAGTATATATTAAAAGGAGCCATCGATTGTTGGTATTAAATCAGTTTACAATCAACTTTAACCAAGTGAACATCATCTAATCAAATCTAATTGTTGTTTAACATAAACACGCGTTTAAAAAATTAAAATGAATTCTTATATTGTTGCCGTTTGTTTCATGTTGATTGTCAGTTCATCAGCTCAAAAGGAAACAGAAACAAAGATCGATCATCTTGTCGGTGAACCAAATGTCGAGGCTTCTAATGGCTATGCCGCTGTGGCTCGATCACGAGTTCGTGGTTCTAACACAGTTGAAGATGATTATCAAGTAAGTGAATAATTTTAATGTTTGATTGAAATTTTGAAAGTTAATTGCTGTTTAAATTGTCAATAGCCAATGGAACCCTATGCTTTTGGTTATAATGTTAAAGACGATTATGGTAACAATCAATATCGCAAGGAAGAGGCCGGTAACGACGGAGTAATCAAGGGTTCATATGGTTATACCGATGCTGCTGGACTTTATCGAGTTGTTGAATATATCGCCGATCGATTAGGTTTCCGAACTAAAATCCGATCAAATGAACCAGGACTTAAGAGCATGAACTCAGCTGCCGTTACATTAGATGCTCAGAATCCACCGGAAGCTGTTGTTGCCGCTGCTTCAGCACCAAAGGAAACAATTGCCGCCCCCAAGCCTTTAATTCCAGCATCATTACCCTTGATTGTCCCAAGTGGACTTAACCCACGATTCCGATACGTTACATCAGCCAGTGAACTTTCACCCGAAAAGCAACGAAATTAATTGATTATATAATCTAATCAATAATTTGAAGTGTATGTTTACCATTATAACAATTAACTCTTCACAGGTTAATTTGTTGATCTAATCTAATTAGACTTATTTTATAATGAGATAATCAGATTATTATCAATAATTTACTGATGAACTATTGAAAATTACGAAATAAACTTCAAACAACTATTTATAATCTAAATCCTTGTTGCTGAATCTTTTTACAAGCAATTAATCAATTGACACAACAATTAGTTGAAACAATTTAATATTTCGTTGAAAAAAAAGTCTCATTCAAGGTTTGTAGTATTCACTGATTCTCATTTCATCCTTACAATATTTTCATGTTGCGTTTTTGTAAAAAAAAATCGCTTGACAATTAGTGATTACTATTAATTAGTTGTGTGTATTTACCTTTACATTATGACGATTACAAAACAATTAAAGTCCTTGACGATAAAAACAGGTTAATATAAGTATGAAAGAGAAAGAGAGAGAGAGACAAACAGGTAAATGCAATTGAAAAACACTCAATTCATAAAGAGAGAGAGAGAGAGAGAGAGAGAGAGATGATAATGTTAACCACTCAATGAGATTTTGTCTTCACTCTCACTTTGAGCTTTTTGTTTTCCTCTTTCTGATACATGGATTAATTATATAAAATTCTTAACAATTTATACTAACACTTAACACCAACATTCATGGTGATTGTTAATCATTTTCAACCATTGATTCAACTTTAATGCCAAGAAATCAATGCTTAGGCCTCAACTGATTTCTACTTTTTGGTAAAATTAAATCACTACAAATGTAAGTAGAAAAACCTTTTCATTGACAATTTTCATTTCGATTGGATATAAATTTCCTCTGGTAATTGATATCAACAATTAATGAGCCCAATCTAATTCAGTAAATATCATATACTATTAACATGGTGAATATGTTACAAGTTTGATTTTCTGTATTTCATTCATGTCGTAAACGAGATTGAAAAAATAGTGTCAAACTTTACTGATTGTTGATCAATTTTCACCTCAACTGTTACTTTTAAGTGGTAAATGTAGGAAAATGTTTTAAATTGTTGTGAATTGATTGTTGATTTCTGATTTTCTTTTCATTATCTCATTTCCTAAGGAAATCCAGTTAATCGGTTTGTCAATTGTTTGGACCTTGGAATATCTTCCCTTCTCTTGCCTCAGCGTTTTGGTCTCAATTGTGTTGGATTACCGTTGATTTAATTGATCCATTTTGATTGAACTTTTCTCTTCATTCTCTTTGTGTTGTCAATGTGCCTCCTTTGACTCTTTTGTTAATTGTTCCTGTCTTTTGTATTGTCGAGAATATTGTAATCATGCAATCAGCCATAAGCAACGAATTTCTTGTTAAAGATGGTCGATCCCAAAAGAAATCAGCTAGTGTTCCCTCTTCACCAGAATTATCTTCCTCTCGTCGCCGAGGATCTCAGGGAACTGTCTTACAGTTGAGTGAAGATAATGGAACCTGGAAAATTGCCGGTGAATCGGGTATTATCAAGGAACCAGTGAAAATGTCTCGAGTCTCAATGATCCTCGAATTATCCAAAAGGCCTGAGTTCCGTCATCGTATTAGTGTGGCTCTATTTTTTCTCTGTATTATTGTTCTAGTGATGAGTACAACCCTTTTGGACCAAAGACGTCGACTACTCAAGGCACTTTCCATCAAAATTTTCCTCCACGAAGACCAAAGAGTTTTTACTCTTCTCGATTCAACTGGTTCTCCTTTCATCAAAGTTAATTACGGTGTCAATTTACCTTTCGACATTAAACCTTATAGTTGTTACATTCAACATTTAAACGATCAACAGCCGACAATTTGTCGTGATTGGGAGTATCGAGCACATCTTACAATTGACCATCAACCAAAAGAATCGGATATTAATTGTTACAGAGTTTCATGGGAGAGCTATTCCCATACAGCCGCACCGTTAAAAGATTGTATCAATTTAGGTGATGGCTCCTGGTTCGGTATGGGTGAAACCTTTTCAACCCCATGGCCACTTAATGGTTGGACTCATAATGCCACCGCTTTCGTTACTAATCACAGTAAAGGTAAATTTTCACCTTTAGGTCAAGTGATTAAACGTTATTGGTTCTCATCGAAAGGAATCAGTGTCAGTGTCCCGTTACATATTCCCTTGTTTTTTAGCTTCAATTCAACCTCGACCAACGGTTTACCCGATCGACAACTTTGTTTGGAAGCTCGTACCAATACATATCCTTACGATTATACCAAAGGTTTCCGTCCAAATTTAGAGTACACCATTTGTACAGGATCTAATGTTAATGATCTTCATACTCATGTATCCCGTACATGGTTGGCCAAAACTCGTAATCAAACTGCTCTAGTTGCTGGTGATCAACAACAAGTATCGATAATACCACAATCAATTTTCCTGGAAAAACCAATTTGGAATATTGATAAAAAAGTTATGACTATTTTAAATCATGAGAAGATGGAAAACTATTCAACTAAAATCGTCGACTTTGGTATCGAACCAGGATTCCTATTGATTGATATGAAATGGGAAAAGTTCATTGGAGATTTAAGAATCGATTCAACTCAATTTCCTGAACCATCCAAAGAGTTTACTATCTTGAAGAGGAGAGGATTTAAAATACTGTTATCTGTTTCACCATTTATTGAATTATCATCACCACTGTTCACTGAGGCTTTTACCGAGAATCGGGTTTTCACCCATCAGCACTTGAAAACTCCGTTGATCACCCGATGTGACCCCGAATCGACTCGACTTTGCGCTGTTATCAATCTAATCAATTCAACGACTCGAGGATGGTTCGAAAATAGATTAACCAATCTAACCGATTACTCTATTCATGGATTGTTGTTTAAAGGAATTCAAGTATCTCGAATGCCTCATTTTTACATTCCCGACAGTTCGAGGTCTATTAATCCCGATATGTACCAAATTTATTATAAAAGTGTTGCCAGAAGTAGTTACAATCTATTCGGAATGGATAGTTCAGCTGGAACCAAAGGAATACCTGGTTTCATCAGGATAGCACCTCTCGAGTCTTCATGGCGATCACTACGAACGATTATTCCAACTGTACTATCCATCGGCCTTGTTGGATTTCCGATAATTAACCCTGGTTCAGTGGGTGGTGACATACCCATTTTGAATACAAATGAAACCACCGATGAATTATACATAAGGTGGTTCGAATTGGCAACTTTCTTACCAGTTCTTCAACTGTCCAATGCTCCTCGCGGAGATATCACCATTCTTAAATTGGTGAAAAAGTTTATCAATATTCGAGAGCATCAATTATTACCTGTGATGAAAAACTGTATGGAAGATCATCTAACTAAAGGATGGCCCATAGTTAGACCCATTTGGTGGTTAGATTCACAATCTCCCGAGACTTATACAATTAACGATCAATTTTCAATTGGAAATGATATTCTGGTCGCTCCGATTCTTGATATGGGAAAAACAACCAGGGATATTTATCTTCCCTCGGGTTGGTGGAAAGATGAAATTCTGGGACAAACAATTCGAGGCGGTAAATGGATGAGAAATTATTCAGTCGAATTATACAAGATCGCCTATTTCACGAGAATGGAACAAGCGTGAAATTAACTGATTGCCAAAAATTGTTCGATCAACAATCAAACTAATTCTATTCGATTGTGATTTTTTTTTCTGATTCACTTATTTTCACAATCAATTTCATACTTTATGAAATTGTACTTACACAAGCATTTTAATTACTTGATATACCCAACGATGACTTTCATAATTCAAATGGAAAACTTTAATTTATCAAAATTAATTTTTAATTGTAATCTCACTTTTTGAATCAACTTTTGCGCCCAAGAGAGTTGTTGTTTTTTCATGCAATTAACACAATCTATTTATTGTAATATAATAATTACTTTTGTTACAATTAAACAGAAGGAAGAAAATAATCCAATTAACACTTGAATTTCTCAGAACTTTTTACCAGATTAACAGAAATCTTTTGATTAGCTAATTGTATATTCATAAGCATGATCATTGATCCTGAAAAGAAAAGCACATTTTAATCCAAATTAAGTTAATCAGTCTCATCGTTTAAATTGTGAATACCACGTTTAATGTGTGTGAGAGAGAAAGTCAAGACTGAAAAAATTTCCCAGTGTGAAAACTATTCAGTTAACAATGAACAATCAGCCAACAATCAGGCAACAATCAATGGGAAGACTGGATAACAATCAAGCAGCAAAAAAAAAACATCAATGAACTTAATCTTATTCTGATATAAGGTTTAAGATGAATGAATTAAAAATTTGACTGTTGAAAATCAACACTGGTCAACAGTCATGAAAATGATGATGATGATATTGATGGTCAAGAAACTATCAGATCGATATGGTAAAGAATAGCATTTCCTGTGAAAAGGTTAAATAATATATGTAAATTCATCAAATTTTCAACATTAAATATCGTTTAACGTGACTGATGATGTAAACCTTTAATTGTGTTCAACAATTTAAACAGGTTTATGTTCATGATAACAATCAACTAATCATCATTGAGATTAACCATAAAGTTAATATCAAGCTAGTCTAATCAAATAATAGTAATTGCAATCAATTTGATCATTATTTTTGGTGAAAATTTTCCAACATTCACTGATCATATTCCGCTGCAATTGATTGTACAATTAACCATAATGATTAAATTAAACAATCATCTATACAATTATCACTAATATTTTTAGTATTAACAACAAATGATAATTAAACGTAATCAAATATTTCACAATTAGTTTTTTAATATCAAATACAATCAAAGATACACTTTGATCACTTTGATTGTTGTCATCTAATTGTCCAATTATTAGTAAGAAACATTGATTGTAATCAATAAGATACAAAGGAAACGGATATTGATTACTGACCTTATTTAACAATTAACATTTTATTTGGATTCAATTCTTATTTACAACAATTAACACACTTTCATGATATATATATTATGATTGAATTTGTATTGTAACGTGATTTAAGTTATATTATCACTGCCGGTAATTAACTGGATTTCAAGGTAACAACAATCAATGAATCAATTTTTGTTCAATTGTGAATGTGTGATAATTTTTACCACAATTTATTTTTAAGTAAATCAGTTGTAGTTAATTTGTTTTGATGATCATCTCCGAAATTGGATCAAAAACTTGCAACAATTTAATTTGGTTGAGTGAATTAGTTTTGTATCTTTAATAATTTAGTTTCTAAATCCATTTACCTCTTTTAACTGATCTCCTTTTCATCTTAATCAACATCATCCCTAATCATTGCCTCGAGGATTGTTCGTGATCAAGTTAATTTAGTTTCAATTGAAATGCGAGAAACAGAAGAAAAAATTGATTTTAATTGTGAATCAGTGACTTTGTGTGTGATTACAATAATAACCATTAGTTGATTACAATAACAATCAATCAGCAAACAACAGAAACAAAACCTTAACCATGAACAATTAATAAATTGCGATTATCAAACTATTATAATATTATAAATTTTTCTTGATTAAGGATTGGTTTTTTTAATCATCAACAATATGAATACAGCAAAAAAAACAATATGTTAACTGTTATTAACTGATTAATTGTTGTTAGATTTACTCTGCTAATTAATTGAGATTAGTGATCAATATTCAATTGGGATTAAAAGGTTATCGGTTTTATTGGTTAATAGATTTAATTTCAAGGTTAAATTACTATTAATAACTAAAATGACTCCCGAATAGCTAATCAGTTAATCGTCATGATTATACAATTTGAATCTAAAATTTACCCTGGACAATAATTTAAAAACTTCAAATTAAAGGTTTACCATTTTGTTGTAATTAATAATAATCTTGATTATAATCATTAAATTAATCAAAAATTTGGTCACTTAATTCCTTGAGTTAATCAGTAAATTGGATCAAAAATGGTTCAACTTTTAATTTAATCCAACCCTTGATTTCAATTACAATTTAAAATCAACGACAAGTTTAAACTTTGCCCATTTTTTAATCTAATCAGTTACAATTTAATGATAAATTTTGGGAAGCAATTAAATATCAATCCAATGCCTCTGATGACATTAACGATTAGATTTAATTAGAATTGATTAGATTAATCCAGTTAATCACAATAACAATTTGAAAAATACATTTTAATCACTATAATTTAATTAACTATACAGCAAAATAATTACTTAGTATTGTTAATCAACATGGCAATTTAAATTGCTCCGCTATCAAATATATGATTTACAATTAAAATTTTTTTCTTAATTACTAATAATATAATTACAATCAACTAAATAACAGAGTTTTGATATTTTGAGAAAAGTGAACTAATTGAATGTTGTCTTGATTGTTATGATTAAGGATTTGACAATAAACTGTTATAAATTGTTAATGAAATTTATAGCTGGTAATTAACGATATCAACAAAGTAACAACAATTAACTTAATCATTTTTTTTTGCGTTGTTGCAAAAAAAGAGGTAAACATATTGATGTTCAACTCTTGATTCTGTTTTGAATGTAACAATTAAAAAAATAATCTGATTGTTGTCATTATTTGGTGGATGATTGTGACGAGTTGATGGAGACAAATCTTCGTAACATTTTAAAATAATTAAACCACAAGCAATTTAAATTGCTTGTGGTTATTGACTTGATTAATCAAGTCAATAAAATGATGAAAAAGACACTCAAAGGAAAACAAAGAGTAAATAAAAAGTAGACTTACCTTGATTATTGATACAACGAGACAGCAATTAAATTGTTGATTAAATACAAGGAAGATGTGATTTAATTGTCGTTAATGGTTATTGATGATTAATGAGTAACTATTGATAAAAGTTAATTGGTGTTAAACGATTGGTCCAATGTGATGAAACAAAAGGGTTGCAATCATAACGATGAATATAAAGTGTCCATGAATGTTGACAGTTTTTATGGTGAAAACTTTTTGATGTTTTGGTTTTAGTTGATTGTTTTCAATAACTAATCAATATTACAAGTTCTATGGAAAAAGTAATTTAATTATTGATAAAAAGTGACAATTTTTATCATAATCAACTGATCAACATGAGTAAAAGATACAACAGATTGTTGATGTTACCTGAACAATGAAGAAAAACATTCAAGTGAGTAACTTGTTGTTGTTCTTGTTGTTAGTTTGTAGTCTCACTAACTGACACCAGAAAACAACCAGTTTGTTTCTTGAATAAACCCAAAAGAAAATGGGTGAATGGATGATAAGAAAGAGGATGATAAACGTAAGTAGTAGTAATCGTGAGTAAGTTTTGTAAGAAGCGCCAATTGTTTGATAATCGAGTATTTTAATCATCTCTATGTAAAATATTATTTCCATGAACATTTTTCAGGTTCTAACTGAAAATGTTTTCAGCGATTTTTGATTAGATTTTGCACTTTCCATTATTTCTTGTAAAACATTTTTTAATTACTTTCTTCAATATTAAAGAGTCCAAAATTTTATTAAAGTTTTTTTCTATTAATAAAATCAGTTTGGTGCTCGAATTCGGATTCGAAAACTTTGGTCTTGATGGTGAAGTGTTGTTCGAGCTAATCATCTATTCTGGCCAAAAGATGGCATTGCACATTGAAAGTTCTTAGACTTTTGTATATTCACATTGGAGGTTAATTGTTTATTTAACTTCACCTTATTTTAAGTTCTTCCTGGTTTATCCTAATTGTAAATAGAATCAAATGTTAATCAACTAACTAAATATAATTATCACAGTTGATTGACGTTCACACACAATAACAAAGGAGAAACTAAATTAACTTGTTTTTTATCCTCATCATTTTCATCTAAGTTCATTACTATTTGGTAACTTTACAATTAACTATCAAGTTTTTGTCATTAAAAGGCCAAAAGTTAATCAGTTAAGCTTTAATCTAGACTATCGACAAGAATAGTTAATCGAATAGAAACAATAAAAAACTGATCGATGTTCAAAAAGCATTTTAATTAACTGATTTTTTCACAATAAGTTATCATATTCATTCGTTTAATTATGTATTCACTTTTTACAAAAGCTTTAAATTGACGGAGATTAATTTTCAACTATTGGCCTTTGATTATGAAAGAATCTCTGTAAAAGAGATGAATTTGGAATTTCCTTTTAACAGTTTGATTAGATTTTAATTTATCGAAATCGTTAACTTGATGATGAGGCAGCAACGGTTTTGATATACAGAATAAAGGAGAGAGAGAGAGAGAGTTTGAATTTCACTAGTTAATTATCGAAAATTTAAGATAAATTAGATCGAAGGAACTTTTTTAGTTAGGATAAGTTAATCACGTTGAGTTTGATAATCATTTTCTTTATGTATCGCCTTAATTAATAGACGATTAGACGGAAGTTGATAATGTTATTTGGTATTTGGATCACAATCAACGAGATAATTTCTGGAAAATCCGTTCATGTTGAGAATCTAATGGAGCTAAGGCAAAGATCACCTTTGATACTTAATGAATCAATGGAATCAATCGGTAGAACTTTATGATTATAGTTGACATAGTGTTGCCCATTTAAAGCGATCATAAGTTTTTGCTCGGTAATCAAAATGATCATATCAAAGTTAACACCCAAAGCGAATGGGAAATATGAGATGTGTCGTTCCTCTTTTGACCAGTCGCCTGAAGTGCAGGTATTACGAACTACCGCTTTCTCATCGAATCGAACATTGAAATGGAAGGCAATATCTTCACCTGAAAGAAGGTCAACTGCAAATCTATGGGCACGTAGTTCAGGACGACCTGAAATGTAAACCATAAAACCAGCCTGAACGGGAGATGGAAATTTACACTTGAAAGGTAATTTCGGTCGATATATCGGATAACCGAGAAGAAACTGTGTACAATCCAGTGAGTGATTATGATCCATATGATAACTGATCTTATTAACAACTACATGTCCATCAATTTCCAGCCTTCGAACTTCACTGAAACGCGTTCGATGGTCAAAGTCGATAAAGTGGACACCATTAACAGCAGCTCTGTAACAATTGGTTTGTACAAGAATTAAAAGACTAAATGGTTCGCCTCGAGTAAAAGGAATGTTATTCTTTGGATTCCTTTCTTCGGTTCCCCATTTATCATCGACTAAACTGTTTCGAACGACACAACGCTCTTCGAAACGAGGATTAAAGTGAAAAGCTTTATCACCAGATCCTGATTTGGCAAGATTAATGCAGAATCTACAGAAAAAGAGATATAAAATAACAATGGAATAAATAAATTAGCAAATCAACCTAATGGTTAAGAAGAAAACAATGGAAAAGGTCAAACGAACTTCTCTGCATCTTCAGGAACTCGACCATTGATATTTATAAGTAATCCTGGTTTACATGGATATGGAAGTAGACCCGAATATGGAACATCCTGAGAAAGAAGAAGAAGAAAAAATCATTAGGAAAACAATGGCAATTGAATTGAAGGTGAACAAATAAAAATAGATTTCAGAATAGAATAATTTTGGAGATGAAAGTAAACATTAGATAACAATGGAGAAGATGAAAAATCGATGTTGAAGACAAGGTAATAAAGAATCGACTGTTCCAAGTTGATTATCGTACAACAAACATCATAAATCATGATAATTATCTTATTAACTCACCACTGAAAATAAGATAGCATCAGGATTAGGATAAGTTAAACATATTTTTGTCATAATCTCAAAGTTTGTGAATGAAATTTAAAAGGACAAACGACAAAGTTGATCAATGATGGACGGATAGACACATGGTTAGTACGAATTAGTTCGTGGTGGATTTAGAGCAGTTCGATTGTAAAACTAGACACTATCATCTGAAGAAAATATATTTACATAATGATGAGAAAAGAGAAATTCAGACAGAGATTAAGAAAGAGAAAGTGAAATCAACCCACACAGAGATTTAACTACTAAAGTTACATGAAGATTGTCTTTGGGAAGAGTTGCAAAAGTGAAGAAACATCGAGACAGAGGAAGAGAGAGGGAGAGAGAGAGAGAAAGATTGTTACATGAAGATAGAGGATGAAAATAGAGAAAGAGAGGAGAAATGAAATAGACAGGGATGAAGATATTAAGAGAGGGGATGATGAACAAAGAGATGAATTAAGTGAGAAAGAGAGAGAGGAGAAAAAAGAAAGAAAAAACTAAGGAAGAGCAAAATCACAGAGATTTATTATTGAAGAAAACGAATCAAAAGCCATAGAGATCTAAAGATTTCCTTTGGATTAATTGAATACCAAATAATCAATATTGTTATTATCGACTTGGAGATAATTTAACTAGAGTTGTAACATCATTTAGTTGATTACAATTAATCATCATCACCTTTGTCATGAAGAGAAAAGGCAAAAATAAACCGGTGAGAATTGAGCCAATAACACATTGGAAATAAGGTGAGATTAGAAGATTGATTATTATTAGATTTATCTGATTAGTAGGAACGATAATTCTAGAGGATCAAAAGATATGATGAAATTGTAATCGGACAATTAGATTAAATTACTACGAGAAATATTTGGATACAAGTTTAACAAGGGAAACCATGAGAGGGAAAACAAAGAGATATTTAAACATGTGACATTAATTTACCTTCATTGAATCTGTCAGTTCAATGTGATTTGTCATTTTAATTGGTATAGATCACAATAAAATTAATTATTCTAAGAGTTGAAGATGACACAATTAATTGATTGTCAAAACGAAGGCAATCGGTTTAGTGTTGATATTGACGAATAAAAGTTAAAGATGAAAACAATGTTTAAGATGCTGGAAACTTGAGGTGAACAATTTAAAAGATTGATGCTGATGGAAGATGAACTGTTGGATGGAAGGTTAATTAGAATCCAAAAAGAACCATAATTGTGATCTGAGAGAGAGAGAGAGTGAGAGAGGGAGAGTGAGAGATAGAATGAGAGAGAAGATCTCTTATCCTCTCTACTGGTCCTCTGGATGATAAGGGAATGAGAGTAGGAGGAGAAAAGAAAGAATTGAAACTTAAGACGATTAAAAGAATAGGAAGAGAAAATTTGAAAATCTATGGAAAGAGAGAAAATGATTGTTCCAAATTGGATTGTAGTCTAACTTGAATCGCTAATGACAATTAACTAAATGATCTAAACTGAGTTGCGATAGTTGTGGTTTAACCGCCATAAATAACTTTCCATCCGGGTTTCAGCATGAGATGGGTGTGTTTTCTATTGACATACAATATAAGTATCTTCTTATTTTTATAATACTATTTATCTTCTTTTCTCTCTCTCACTTTAAAGTAATAGCATTTTATCCTCACACCCCCAAGGGCTGACTAGAGAAACTTGGAAGATAAAATAATAGTCAACTTAGAACGAAAAAGAGTTTTCAAGATTTTCTCTTCTTTTTTACTGGGAAGTGATAAGATTATTTTCTTAGACAAACCTACCATATTCATCTTCATTCTTATCTCTCTCTCTCTCTCTCTCTCTCTCTCTCTCTCTCTACTCTATCGATAGAAATCTCTTGAAGATCAATCAATTGATTGTTCGTAATTCAAAGAGTCGCTTTGATTTTTCCTGAATGAACAGGTTTGTACGAAGAAAATTAAGAGAAAACAAACTTCAAGAAGAAATATTAAAACTCTAATGGATGATTTCGACTGTTAATCAATTAATTACCTTTCAGCTAATTAATTAATTTGTTTAAATTATCATTTCTTTGTTGTCTACTGTTTGATTGACATTTAAAAGGCAAATAGTTTTCATTTGTTTTTAATTATCATTTGAAAGATGAAATTATCTTCCGTTCAAAAGGATAAATTGATTAAATTTGTTTTCTCTCCCTCGATGTTTCCAATCTAATTTTTGTTACAATTAAGATGATAAAGACAATTTTCTCTCTCATTCAGATTTCTATCTTGCTTTTAAGTTAATCACCGAATCGATACAATTTAATCTCTGTAAGCAAAGATTAATAGATCCCTGAGACAAGTTAATCAATAAGATGCAACTGTAGGTAGTTTTGTAAGTATTAATAATATTCATATCAAGAATAAGATTGGATTGTTAAATTGTTTTAATAATAATTTGTTATATGATTGTATCCATATTGTCAATTAATTGTTATCTTAATTATTCACAACAGTAATTACATTGTATCTTAATCAAAACGTTTTACAATCTAATATTAGCTCAATGATAATAAGATTATTTCTCATTTATCTTCATTTATTTCTCAATTTTTTACACACAATTTATTAATCGTTGAAGATACAATGTTGTAAATGAACTTTGTCAAATTAGATTAAATTGAAAACAAACACTTGAGTTTACATAGTTAATCATCTGATAGATGGCGCTAACTGAACTGTTCATGAAAAGTTCATTTTTTGTTGATTAATTCATTTTCTTGATCATTTATACAAACACATGGAGTGGATTGAGATTCGTTGATAATGATTTGCTATGATTTCTCTCAGTAGTAAGGCCAAATTGTCAACTTTTACATTGACTCGTTCTAATTAACTGATAATTTTGGTGCTCAAATTGATAAAATTATTGATTAAGGCATAATTGGAAAAGCATTCAAGTAAAATCAGTTAATTGTGATCCATGTTCATGTTTTCTCGTTCTAAATAGTTCTACATATCGACCAATGAGTCGATATTAGATTGAATATAATCGATGCAAATTTAACTTTACATCAAATTGTTGCGTTGAATTGAAATCCAAGTCGAATTGTGAAAACGATTAGCAAATAACTATTAGAATCACTGAATTGAATCAAAATAAACAATCAAATAGTGTCACCAAAAATAATCCATCAGCAGTCGCTAAGTTTCATGAAAAAATGAACTTTCCTTGATTGTTCAAGACAACTAATAGTATGACGATAATTAAAGCTTGATTGTAAGACGTTGAAACAATCAAGTTATGATGATGAAAGTAAAAAAAGATGATAACCAGATCATTGAGATTGTAAAGATTTTCCATCTCTAGTCAATTTTCACAATTCAAATTGTATGTGTAATCAAACTGATTGTTTACCCGATTTTCTTGCTCAACCAAATGAGATTGACTAATTAAACAACTTGTACAGTCGTAAAATTTAACGAGCAAGAGGTTAAGATGAACGTGATCCATAAGGAAAAAGTTTAATTGGATAATCATTCACAACAAAGTTTACATAATTTGGATGATCATTTGATTGCAATGGTGGAAATGATTGTGATTATGTTTACTTTTTCACGACAATCAGACCATCAAAAGAAATACGATTAACTTGAGCAAGAAAATGTTTAAAGGGCTAAAAGACAATGAAAAGAGGCTCATCTATGTTCATTCAGATGTTGTCACTTATTATCATTTAAAAGGTAAGTGACTTGCGAGGTGACAAACATTAGAAGCATTAATATGAACATGGTAATGATTGAACATTTTGATGCGGAAAATTTACCGACCATGACTACATTTCTCTTCCTTTATCTTCATGATTCACAATTTGAATCTCTTGTAAGAAAAAGTTCTTCTCACAGATTCACAAGAAACTAATCAATGAAAGCAAAGTGTCAAATTGTCGTCGATGGGCAACACTGATTGTTGACAGGAGAAAGAAAAATGAATCAATGTTAATATTCAACAGAAAACATCAATTCTCTTTTTCTAATCTACTCCTTTTCCTTGTTGATCTTCTTTTCTTCTTCTACTCATCATCATCATCATCATCTATCTGTTGCTCATTGTCATGTAATAATTATCCTGACTTTCCGATGTCATGGTTTGTAACATCTTTGATTATACCCCGAGTTGTTTTCTTCAGTTACTCTCATTGTTTTATCCGATTGACAGTTTCCAGTGATATAACTTTTTTACCTTCTCTCTGAACCAACTGAGTGAATCAAAGCATGAACTTTTTTTTACAGGAAGAACAAGACTTTAAGAAAGATCAGTTTTTCTTAATTCTGCTTTTTTTCTGAAACAACAATAAGTTTGATATAAGATATAAGTGAGTTTGTTCATTTATATATTTATAAAATCAATATTATTTCAAAAACTATACAAATTTGTTGATCATGCATCCGAATTTGTTTTATAATTATTGGTTAATTTCAGTCTGGAAAATCAGGAACAAAACAACATTTTTTCTTGATCATTGTTTTGAAGGAAAGTTGATAGATTTTAATGATGATTCGTTGGAATGGATTTAATTTAATTATCTTGGATGGATTCTTGGATTTTAAGGAGAATTGGAAAAATTATCGCAATTTTATTGATTTGTTTTTGATTGTGTGGATGTAAATTGATTTCTAGAGTTGAAAGAGCAATTTTTGTTTTGTGTATCATTGAGGTTTTCCTGGTCAGTTGATTAACCAAACAGAAGTGAATCGCCGCCAATCAACAGGCTTGATGAGACCAATCGTTATGTAATAATTTCAATGGAAAGTGTTTGTGTGTAATGAATGAAATATCAAGGCTTTGGACGTCAACATGAATCAAGAAAGGTAAACAACGGGAAAGATAGAGATACTTTGTCTTTCAACTAGAATGTCAATGGAGCTCTTTCATAGGATTCACTTGAGCTTATAATAGTTGAATCATTTATCCAAGAGAAAAGTAAAAACCAGGATAAGCCAAACAACATACAGGGAGGATTATTGACGTTCAGAAAATCTTGCTTTTCCTTTGTTTGTACATAATGAAGTTAAAAATGGAAGTTGAAATTGCGAATTAACATTTGATTTTGAGAGAAGAAATAAAGAGGAGTTGAGGGTTTTAACATGATGATAATGATGATGATAAGAATGAGAATGAGAATGAAATTGAATGAAACAGAGTAGAAAAGATAGAAGGGAGAGAGAAATGGAGGAAGGGTAAAAGGGAGATAATGGGAAAAATCGAGAAAGACTACAGGAAGAGAGATAAAACCAAAAATGTGTGACGATCATTTTGATGTTCAATATGATTTGGATGGTGACGATGGTTTAAACGATAAAGAGGGATGATTGATCATCGTTGCATGAAATCAATTATTTAAAATAACGGTGGCAATGTCTCTCGGTCAAAACTACGCTCCGACAGGCTCAAAACACCCATGTTGGGTACACTTAATGTTTTACGGAGAAGCGCTTCCCGGAAGCTTCCTTTGGCTGCTAGAAGCTCTTTGATAGCAACTTCTTGTCTCAATCGATCCAAAGCAAGGATACTCTCCACGGCGGAAACACTTCGGGTATATTTTTCAATGTAACTTTCACCATCACAACTATTATTATTATCACAGGAAGCAGCCATTAAGGCCAAAGATTCACGATCTTCAATGTCTTCAAAGGCTTTCGGAATGTTGGAAACAATTTCATAAGTTACTCCGGTTGCTGTTATATTATCGTAACGTTTTAAACTTTTTTTGATTCTTTCAGTGAGTGATTGTTGTTTATAAACATTTATGGCGAGTCTTTTTCGCAAGACCAAGTCCATTAAAGCTGGATGACTTAGTCGGACGGAAACTTTTAGAATAAGATAAACTCTATCATTTGCACTTGTTGGTCGATTAAGGGCTGGAGAATCGTGGACGGATGAGTCCCAAACTGCGGTCGCTGAACAAACATCTTCAGAAAATTTGGTTATTCGAAGATCAACAAATAGATCACTGTGTTCTTTGGGTATCGTTGAATTGGATCCAGCTAATAGGACTGAAGATTCTCCAAGGTTGGATAATAAACTGCTGCTCATTTCATCAGCATTAAGATCAAGAAATATCACAGGTATGTGTCTTTCCATTCCCGGAAGTGGATCCCAAGTCGGTGGAGCACCGGGAATTTCTGAGCCCGCTGGTGGATCATTTGCTGCTTTTCTCTCTTCAGTCAAACTTATCCATTGTCCAACAAGATTTTTCTCTCTTTCACGTTCCTCTTCACTCTTATTAGATTTATTGACCAATTCTTTCATATGTTTAGCCAAATACTCTTTACGTTTACTTAGTGCATCGGACCATTTTAACTTGAGAACAGCAAGATCAACTTCTTGGTAAGAATCTAATGAAGTTTGAACTCGATATCGATGACAAACACAACCAATTTGAATTGATGTTATCGCTTCACAGATTACAGGTAACGAGCCAGAGTCTTGAGCAGGAATCACTTTAACAACAATACGTCTCTGTTGACCTTGACGTAATTGGTAAACACCGCCGGTGTAAATATCATCTTGAGAAGCAACTTCTACAGGACTATATTCACCTTTATCGTTTAATTCATGAATTTCAACCCACAATTCAATTTTTCTTTTCAATTCAGCCCAACGATCAGCCAAAGATCTTGAGACAACTTGTTGAGCTGTAGCGATATCCCAATCTGAATGGAATGAGCTGAAACCTGAACTTCGATGACCCCACACTTCGATCGATAAGGCACCTTCCGAACAATATTCGAGAAATTCTTCAGTCACTTGTATTGTAAATTCTTTTTCATGAGCAAATTTAAATGTTGTTCCTTCAGAAACAAATTTGGGAAGATTTGATTCACTCGAATCAATCGTAGGAACCACAATAGCGTCTGGATAATCCCAAAAAGTGTATTGACAGAAAACATAATTCGAGAGAGTCAGTGGAATACCTCGAGCGGCTTTAACCGCGACCTTAATGGTAACGGTATTGTTAGAGTCTTTTTCACTTGCAGATCCCTGTTCAGAACTAACTTCGGACGATGCATCGCCAAATCTTTCACCAATAGAGCCTGCAATACGACTGACCTCAATGTGCAATCGTCCAGCAACCTCTCCTTGTTGACTGATGATGGGAACTTGGTAGTCCAAGGTAACATCATGAAAGAGCACTTCAAGGAAGATGTTTGCCACACCAATTAAGTGATGCTTTTCTGTTGACTCGTAAAATGGATCAATTATGAGTGACAAATTACTTGAAGATGTACTGGAAACATCATCATCAAGTGCTCCATTCTTTTCTTTCCATTCATCATAGAGATCTTTCATATCGATCAATTTATTCTCAAGTTTTTCCATTGACCAAACTTGTGGTGCTTTGTTTTTCCTTTTAACCAGAATCGCCGGCTCACTAACGAATGCACCTTTTTTCCGGTTAGGACTCAAGTTTGCTGCAGGTATTTGAAGGGTTACTTTGAATTCAGTATTTCGTGACATCTCTTGAGCCAAAAAATTCGCTTCCATCACAAGCGAATTTGCTTTCACTATGTCTTCTTTCAATTTGGTTAGACTTCTTTTAAACACTTCATCTCGATCAGCAGCCCAACGATCAATACGATTTGTTACATTGGGACTTGACAAAGGTGATCGATTCCAGGTCATGGTAAGAGGATCATAGAATCCACTCTTTTGAAATCCCCCATGACCATAGGGTGATGATGTTGGTGACATTTGACTACGAAGAATTTGTAATTGTCTCTCATACATTTCACGTTGTTTTTCCAAGGCACGATTTTTATCTTCTTCCCTTTGACGCTCCAGCGATTTCATTGCATCTTGAATTGGATCATTACTCAATGCTTTCATCATTAACTCTTCCCTGGCAAATTCATAGTCAATGGGTCTTTCCTCTGGTGGTATAATGTTATTACAATCACCGTTACCACTATTTACATTAGCACTACTGTTGTTTGGACTTGAGCGATTATTACTGGTCTTTGGACAGGCAACGCGGAAAAAGTGATTGTTACCCCATAACAATCGATCACCATGATGCAATCGAGTTTTATCATCTATTTGAATTCCATTGATAAAAGTTCTTGCACCTTCTAATGGAATTATAAATAACTCTTGTGTATCATGATCAATCTCCATGACACAATGTTCCGGCATTATACCAATACCGGATAACTGAATATCCTGTTCCTTGGTTGCATCAGCTCGACCCACCAGGGTGCGATTTTTAAGATAATAAACTAACAATTCGTTCAATGATGGATCGGCATTGAGATTTACCAAGTAAAATTTATCCGTTTCGACCTTGATACCAGATGATTTGACAGAAATACCCATTTTCTCAAGAGCTTGTTGTCTTTCTTGGTGTATCTCTTCAGTTCGACGCAGTTTCTCTTCCCAAGTTTGTGTCATTTCTTTAATTAACTTCTCTGACTCAGCTAAACGATCTCTCAGATCTTCAGTTTGACCTGATTGTTTCAACATTTCTTTCAATTGTTCATTTTCCTCCTTCAATTCACGAATCATACGAGCATTAGGATCTTCATTAACAACAGCATGATTAACAATTCTTTTAGCTCTATCGGCATATCGAAGAGTAGAAAGAGTCTCTTCGTAATTATCGGCAGCTGGACTAACAGTAGCGACCATAACCGTTTTCGAATTACCTCCTAAATTGTCCTTAAGTAACCAGGTTAACACGGAATCTCTATAAGGTATAAATTGATCACCTTTCGATTTACCTGACGCTTGATCAGCTAATTTAGAAATTACCAAGCCCAAAGTGGTTAATGATTTATTTATATTTGAACCTTCTTTCAGTCTTTCGCCAACTGCTCCAGTCTTAACTGCTCTCTCTGAACCAGCTAAATCGACTAAACTCATTTTGGACACTTTTTCACCGAAAACACTAGATGAGGGATCGTATATGGTACAAGTCAAAGTTATCGTGAAAACAGCATGAGATCTACTTGATTCAGAATTCATTTTAGTTGCAGCAACTGTACGAGATTTGTTTCCTTCAATCATTAAATTGTCAATCTCTTCATATGAAGAGACAGCCAACGTTGATAAACCATCAACATATGGACCAAGAATATTGTGCTCACGTACACGTAGATTTTGTTTAACACCTTTGGGATCCAAAAGATCGTGAACTTTTTCATTATAAATTTCCATGTAAGACACTTCAACTTTGAAACTTTTGTTTGGATCTGAATTTGCTGCAATTGTTTCAAATATACTATCACATAATCTTGGTATAAGACCTTTAGAATCTGATGAGCCCATCATGGTATATGATTTACCAGATCCAGTTTGTCCGTAGGCAAAGATACATGCATTGTATCCTTCAAAAGCACTTTGTAACACATCGGTGCCTAATTGATTGAAAACTTTTTCCTGGTTAGCGAAATGAGAATCTTTTTCATTAAAAGACCAGAAACAATTGTCAAAAGCGAAAACCTTTTGTCCCCGACGATTAAGTGAACCATCTTTAGTTAAATCATTTGGATTAAATAGAATAATTTGTTCATCTTTAACTTCGATAACACATTTAGTACCAAGTTCGATTTCTCGACGATTAAAAGGTCTCACTCGAATAGCAACCTTAACTTTATCGGTTGCCATGATTGCTGTTTATGAGTAATAATAAAACACAATTTATTATTATTGCAAAGTCAATCTAAACACAGTCTTTGTTATCCTCTATCAATTTCCTCTGTTTACCAGCCAATATGTCAACCAATTATAACTATGATGATAACCGATAAAATTGTTGATGACGATGATGATGAGGTTGTAGAGATGATTGGAATGGTAAAGCTGATTGGGATGATGAATATTTGGTGAAAGCACAGAAAAGTAGATGGTATAAAATTTTTTACAAGTTAATGTAAAATAAATCGGAACGGATGTCAGTCAATTAGAGAGTATTAACAACAATTAAGAAAAGGCTTTGTTTTCTTGGCGATGAATGATGATATCAGAAAGAAACAAATAGAACTGAACAAATAACAGTGAAAAAAAGTGAACCAGAAGCAAGAGAATGTGAAGTTAGAAGGTAAATTCTCATCTGTTAGTGGACGTTTCAAACTCAACTTCCTTGAGTCTGTAATTCAAGTTGAGGGAGAGAGAGAGAGAGAGAGAAAAGAAAGAAGATAAAAAGAGGAGAAAGATAGAGAGATTGAGTAGATATAGTATGTATATCAAATGAATAGAAAAATAAAACAAAACAATTTTCGACCTTCGAAGATCTAAATAACTCGTTGAGAAGATGAAGAAAAGTAAACAGGAGAAGGTGGAATAGATTTTGTTTGAGTTGAATTAGATGTAGTTGTTCAGGTAGTTCAGGTGTTGGTCATCAAGGACATGAACAGTAATTAAAGGTATCACAGTAAAATAATGGTGGAAATAGCACAATCCAGAGGTAACCCAAGGTATCTATTTGTAAACGATAACAGCAACATGAAAAATTGCTGATTAATTGAGATGCAAGGTAGAATGATGTAGAACACACATTGAGAGAGAGAGAGGGAGAAAGAGAAAGAGAATAGAATAGAAGACAGGGGAAAAGAGAGAAGAATAGAAAAAGATGATTTCGTATGTAAACTTGATAAGTAAAAGGGAAAAGGTTTTGTTTTCACTGATGAAAAGAAGGAGAAGAAACAACAGAGTAAGAAAAAGGAAAGGGAGAGAAAAGGAAATTAAGTTGCTAAGATGATTGCGTGTGTAAGGTACTGAATTTGTATGAACTGTTTGGTGTGTTCAGAATATATTAATTATTGAAGAACAATTACATTTTCAGAGTAACCATTATCGAAGGTTTTTTCTTCTTCTTCTTCTTCTTCTTGTTGAGGCCGGAGAATAAAATCAAGTTGAATGTTTAAACTTGTATCTGATTAAATAGTAGATTATGTTGATGATGATGATGTTGATATTTATGCCGATTAATTGAAATGAAAAGAAGCAACATTTTCACCATAATTCACTCATATGAAGAGATGAAGTGATGGAGAACCGATTCACAACCAATGAGTCCAGATTGAATTCTATATGTGTAACAAAATATAAATGAACAAGAATAATTTTAAACAATCAACACAAACAGTTGATAGAAGAGAATGGAAAAGAGAATGTATGATATATAAAATTGTATTAATTAAAGAAAAAGAAGAGAAATAAATTAATTAACAGAAAAACAGGTAAACTTGAATGAGAATCAACTTGATGTCAGCAACACATTAACTTGAATGAGAATCAAGAGCTCACATTTTAAAGCGGGTTTTTCGATTAACCGGTTTCTCAATTTTCGCAAATTCTTTTAACCGTTATCGCTTCCGATTCAATTGTCAACGATAATTTTCCACTTTTTAATTTAATTTAATATTCTAATTACCTGACTATTTATAAATTGATTTTATCACATTTCCTCTTCTAACTGACATCTAAACACTGGAGATATAATGTCAAGGTTAATTGGTTAAACTCTAAATGTGATTTTATATTACAGGTTAAAGGTGATTTTCGGTTGATTATATTTTACCTTTTCTCGAACTGATTAAAAGTGAAAGTGTCCAAATTATTATTATGAATATTGATTGAATTTTTCGTTTTGTTTTGGTGTTTGGATATCGGGAGATTGTACAAGGTGAGATTGGTTTGTTTTTCTTTCTCCCTCGATTTTGATTACAATCAATTTTACATACAAACAAGAAAGTGATTTGTAATCAATTGATACAATTAACTCTCTGATTTTAGATTCTTGTCAATTGTTGATTTGTTCATTTCTGCTTACCAACTAGTGATTGAAGGTTAATTGTAATTTGTCATATGTGTAAACATGGTGGCATTAACTGATTATTTTCTTATTAATCAGGTTATACATGTATATCTGATTGCTGTTGATCACTTTTTTTCATCGTCAACCTTAAATTCAGATTAATAAACTTGCTGGTTACAAAAGTAACAATGGATAGAGAGAGAGAGAGCTGATTATATAACAATCAACAATCAAACTCAAATAACAATACCAACATTAACAGTTACAATCACAACAATCAAAAGTTAATCCAGTTATTTGAGGTACAACACACAATTGACACTACACATACACAAAATGATCTGTCAATTTGGATTTCGAGATTTTTTTCACTTCTTCATCTTAATTCCTCCCCTAATTAAACCTCAACAAACTGAATGCGTGTTTAAGCAATTTGTTAGCCCGTTAAATGACCCGAAATTGTGAGTTCGGACAAAAGTAGTTATCAAGATAATTGGCAAACTCGATTCAGGTAAAAGGTGAAAAAAGAGAGAAAAGATACTTTTTCTTTTTTGTTAAAGAAGATGGAGTCAGAAAAGAAGAGAGAGAGAAAAAAAGAGTAAATTGGAATGAAGCTCAGATGATTTAGTTAATAACAATTAGGTCAACATGCGATTTTGATTCGAAAAGAGAAAGATAAAGGTGAGAGTAGAAAAGAATAGAAAAAAGGAGAAAAAAGAGAGTAGAGAGAGTAAAAGATTTCGATTAACGGTACCAAGTTTTTTTCCTAATGTGAATTACCGATGTTCGGTTTGTAGAGAATCTCGAATAGCCCTGATTATTATTAATGACGAAAATGATTATAATCATTTTAATGATGATTTTTTAATGATGGAAAAGATGATGAAACTGGTTTACCAGAATTTTCATCACAATCTCGATTCTTTGTTATAATCAAGTTAATTTCTGTTTTTTTACCGCGCTTCTGTTTTGTTGGTTAATTTTACCTTGATAATCATCATCATCATTATCATAACAATTACTGTTAATCATTTTCATCATTATCCCTTCATGATTGTCATTAAATTCAGTTCTTTTTTTATATTTCTGTTAAGATTTATCTTAATGATGATGATGATGATTCTGTTGTTATGAATAAACTGACGGAGAAACTTTAATCTGCTATTTAAACAAATAACGACGATGGACTTTAATTGTGATCTGTTAATTTAACGGTTTAAGGTTAACGGCTGAATTAAAGGTTAAATCATCAGCTGATTAAAAGATGAGATAAACTTGAGTGTTAATTTGAAACTCACTGGTTGATTTAATTATTAATAATAAGATAATTTGTTTTATTTTTCTTTCATTCAGTTGATTTTCTCATTAATGAAATTTAATTGACTGTTTATTGGAAAAAATTATCGTTAATTGTACAGTTTCACTGATAAACAATTACAATTAACTATTCCAGGTAAGTATTGTTTAAGTTTGTTTCAATTAAAAAGCAATTAACTAGTTCAAATTGTTAGATAATGTTTAATTAGTTTGATTTTAAAGTTTGTTCATTTCACTTTATTATTATTTTGTTAAACTAAATGTTTCCAATAAGTTTCACTTTCAACAATTAACCATAAACAATTTGATTTCTGCAAATTAATTGTCAATTGGCTCTTTTTGCTTAATTTTTTGTTCATTTTCTCAGGTAACGATTGACAATTAAGTTAATGGAGGATAGCTAATGAAATAATTAACTACAATCACATCAGGAAAATAAATCAGATCAAGAAAGGAAAATCCAATGAATACAATTAATGATAATCAGTAACCCTCCAAGTTTTACTTAATTGTACAATTAGTGGTTGATGAAACATGGTTCCAATTGGGACAAATGGCTTAATTGTACATTTTCATTATCAGTAACGTTATTGTTCAATTTACGTGTTGATTACAATTAAAACTCTCCATTTGTAACCGGAAGACTTTCAATTGCAATTTAAGGAAAAAACTAAGAGATTAAAAACTGTCTGCAAATGGTTACAATTAAGATGATTAACTTTTTTTGCATTAAAATGGTGATTTTCGATGTGAATCGCAGATTGAATTGTAGATTTGATTGTAAATTTGTTCCAATCAACATTAGATTAAGTCTAATCTGTAATAACTTGGATAACTGAGCTTTCAGGGTTTTCATGATTTACTGTAAATACAGTAAGTTGTCAGAATGAATCAATTAGATAAGTTATCATATTAAACTAACTAACTAATTAACAGATTAAAATGACACCCCTTGATAACAATTAGTTGATTTTATCGAATAATGAAATTCTGAAAAAATGAACTAGACTCACCTTAAATATTGATTCACTGATTGTTATTATTATTTAACGAAGAGGTGATTTATTTGTAGCTTATGCTGAATAATTGATGATGATTAAAATTGAGATAATTTCATTATCCAAAAATTAATTCCAATCATAACAATGATTATAAAGTGTCCATGAATGTTGACAATTTTTATGGTGAAAACTTTTTGATGGTTTTAGTTGATTGTTTTCAATAACTAATCAATATTACAAGTTCTATGGAAAAAGTAATTTAATTATTGATAAAGAGTGACAATTTTTATCATAATCAACTGATCAACATGAGTAAAAGATACAACAGATTGTTGATGTTACCTGAACAATGAAGAAAAACATTCAAGTGAGTAACTTGTTGTTGTTCTTGTTGTTAGTTTGTAGTCTCACTAACTGACACCAGAAAACAACCAGTTTGTTTCTTGAATAAACCCAAAAGAAAATGGGTGAATGGATGATAAGAAAGAGAAAGGAAGAAGATGAAAGAAAGAGGATGATAAACGTAAGTAGTAATCGTGAGTAAGTTTTGTAAGAAGCGCCAATTGTTTGATCAGTCGATTGATAATCGAGTATTTTAATCATCTCTCTGTGTTTTAAAGGCAAATATTTAATTACTATTTGTTATCCGATTGAAATAAAATATTAGTTTAATCTAATTGATTTTTAAACAGATATTGGCCATAAATTAGCACTTGATCAAAGTTAATCAACATTTAACTCTGGTGATTTATTATCTACCAGTGATAATTGTAGTAGATGAAATCTAGCAAGTGAAAACAATATTGTTAATGTTAAGCATATAAATTTTATTGTTACAATTAAGCTTTTCTATACAATCATGATTTTGAAGTACTTTTTGTTGTCTATGGTGTTATTTAAAAATGAGATTAGTGCTGAAAGATGAAGATGATTTTTGGAAATGATATTGGCCAATGTACAGACAATCAAGTTTCGTTAATTCATCTGTTGGTGTATTCTTGTTAATCCTGTTAAGTAACAGGAGAGTTAATTGCTTCGATTTGTTGATTAATAATATCGATACTTTTTGATACAATCATTGCCAAGATCCACAACGATAACATGATAATTGTTGCAAGATCACTTTTTCTTTTAAGTACCATCACATTTGTCAACAACTCGAACCGCAATTTCAGTTCCGTCAGGGAGATAACTTAGTTCTGCAGTGACAGGATCACCACCATACTTTTGACGAGATCCAGCATAATCGTAAGTGAGTATGTTCACAACTGACCTTAACTTGGCGAAACATTTATCGATATTTGCCTCACAGAGGGGTGGAAATGTGCTGCTTGAACGAACTGTTCCAAAGTTACAAATTGCTGTCTGAATAGATTGAAGGGTAGAATCGACTGGATGCTCATAGCGAATGAAACAGTTTTCTCTTGGTTCAAGGAGAACATTAATTTTATCAATCTTCTCATGAAGTTCCTCAATTTTTCGAGTTATATGGCGAAGTTCAACTCGCTGTTCATAATTCTCACAGTCGGTGACAATCTCTGACTTTCCTTCTTCAATAAGCTTCATCTGGTTCATAAGAATATTAAGTTTATCCTCCTTCATCTTGTTTGCGACCGAAAGAACCTCTTGACATCGTTTATTTACCAGATCCATCATGTCTTTAAAGGTTTGTTTGATAATCGAAGCAGTTTCTCCGGCATTCTGTTCAAGCATAAGTATCTCTTTAGTTACATTCTTATGGGCTTCATTATATTTGGCAATGCATTGTTGTCCTTTGTACATCAATATCTCTGACAGGCGTTTGATTGCGACTGCGAAAGGTATAACCTAAGTATTAATAAAAAGAAGGAAAAATTAGAACCTATGAATAAACGAATTGGAAAGGAAATGGATTGAAAAACTTACGGTATGTTTACAATTAATCGTTGAATGAGATGAACCATCATCACAAAGTAAACAGAAAACTTTGTCACATGTTTCACAGAATAAAAGCTCTTGGGTGACATGGCGGATGCATTTGGGAATGACATCTCTTCGTTGACGACTAACAAGATCAAGCAGCTGATTAACCATAAAGGAAGGAGGAAAATTAATAGAACCCTCTCCTTGTGGTAAATGTATCAGCTCACGACAAATGGGACACCTAAAGCTCCATTCTCGGGAACTCCAGGTTGATTGCAAATTGATTCCAAGCACAATTTACATAAAGTGTGACTACATGTTAGCAATTTAGGGGCATGTTGACCACTATCATAAGTATTCAGACAAGTTCCACAAGTCAAAAATCCGAAACTGTTACAGGAGAATTTTATAAGCAGATATTGCTAAGACGATTTTACCCATGGTTAACTCGAGTAACAATCCCAACTGATTCATACAGGGTGGTACTACTCCATATCGAACACACGAAATGTTTGAAAGCCTTGCCATCAAGTTTGAAAGCCGTGTTATTGGTCTTGGATACCAAGCTTTTCAAGGGGACAGAATAGAATGACCTGGTTATAGCCAAGACTTAAACCCATGTAACTTTTTTATGGGGATATTTAAAAGATAGAGTATGCCAGAGAAATCCAAAAGACCTAAATCAACCCGAATCAGCCATTAAAAATGAAGTTGCAAACAGCGACGATGAGATGCTAAATCGTGTTTACATAGGATTCCTTCGTCGCCTGGAGGCATGTTACCTATCAGGTGGAGGGCACTTTGAAAATAATTTTGAAGTGTCTTCTTCAATTTAAGACATAAAAAACGAATTTCTGTCAAGTAATTACGAAAATATAACGTTTAAAAAAACAAGGTATTATTGGTCACCCAGTATTACTGCGGATTTAAACATCAATTTGATTCAATTTATCTTTAATCAATCGGATTAATTAGTTTATTTATAATGATTTATGGTTAAATTGATTCGGTTTAACTGCAACATTAAACTACAAATCAAAAGTTAATCAACTGTGATTTACAAAACTCATCCTAAATAATTTCCTTGATGATTGTCAAATAAGCAAATTATGAGGATCATCATGATTAAAGTTTAAACAATCAACTAACGATAATCAGTCAACTGAAATCAACAATTTATTTGATCCAGTAAATTAAATGTAATTCATGAGACGGAAAATATTATTAGCTGATTGTTATTAGATTTAAATAAGTGTTGATATTGTTGATTGCGCTTCTAAATAAAACTTTTATTGTCATTGTTTTTTTTTCATATTATATTTTGTTGTTTGTAAAAATAATGGTTAATTAATTGTGCCTTGGGCTATTATTTAAAGTAATCAATAGATGAAAACAAAGCAATAATAATACAATTGATTGATTGTTTTTTTTTGATTTTCATGTTATGATATTTTTTTTAGTGCATTTTTGTCTCGTTTGAAAGCTCATGTTGTATTATTTCAAGAATCAACTGGTTGATTAATTGATAAAATAATTGGAAATATTCACAGTCAACTTAGATGATTGCTAATTGTTAATTGATTATTTCGAATTGATTTTTGGTTAATCACTTTTTCCGAGCAACACTTGGGTGATATTTAACTGATTCTCCTCCATTTTTGGACCATTCTTTCTCGAACTCTTCAGCCAGAATTTCAGCTCCACGCTTACTGGTCAATCGAGTTTCATCAAGACTCAATTCACACATTTGCATATCATCTTTACCTGTGAATCAATTAATTGAATAAAATTAGTTATGAACAATTGAGCGTTAGAATAGTTGATGAAACTAACCTGCAACTAGAAGTATTGGTTTCTTTTCCGGGTGAATTTCCATTTGCCGAGCGATCCATTGACCATCGAAATGAGCCCACCACCAGCCTCTTTGTCCGGTCGCTGATGAAGGTCGAACAAAAGGAATTCTAAAGTATCGCTGTTCATTGTTAGAGAATGATAATGTCGCTCTATTCAATATTCCATCGTTTAATCCGTGAATATCAACCGATCCTGGATTGTTCATAATAGAATCTGGAGCTCGTTCTTCTTCATTCGTTTCCCGATTGCGTGAATTTTTCAATTTCCATGCGTGATAAACTTTTAGTCGTCGATGAAACTCTTCCTTACATGCTTCAAGAAGCTCAATATCACAGGAAGTGTTGATGATATCTCTCAAATCAGAGTACTTCCATTTGCACAAATCGTATTTTTTATCTCCTGGTAACTTTTTCAATCCAATACCATTTGATGCATGAGGAGGTGAAGCGGGAAGTGGACTTGCTCGGGTAAGATCATCAGATGTACCATTCGTTGTTTCTTGAGCCAATCTCAAAGCAAGAGCATGATCAAGTCTCTCTTGTTCAACTCGTTTTCTCTGCTCTTCCAATTCCAGATCAAGTTCATGTTGTAGCTTTTTAGCCAGTTCGAAGTCATCAACTTCTTTAGATTTAACTGCAGCTTCCATCTTGAAACGTTCATCGAGTTCGGCTCGTTTTCGTTTAAGCTCTTCTTCTTCAGCTTTCCGACGATCTTCATCCTCTTTCTTCATCCTTTCACTAGCCATTTCTTCCTGAACTTTTCTTAGTTTCTCTTCCTCGACAATTTTACTTCTTAATAATTTAATCTGCTCTTCTAAAGCTCCACTAATCCTATTCACTCGATTCTCTAAATCTTTTGTATCAAGTTGAGATGAAGTTCGACAAATTTCTATGGTATCTTTGATTTCCTTTTCGATCTCAACCATTCGTTGATTGAACTTAGTCTTTTCGTCGGATAATTTTAACTTCTGGGTCAATTCGGACATGTCTTTTAATAAATGTCCACTTTTCTTTACTCTCGTAATAGCGATGTACCTGAATGAACGAACATCAAATCAAGTTAATCGTTTGCTTTTCGAGTTCATAAATAATCAACTTACCTTGGTCGATATTTCCTTCTTGCATTGACCATTCTTATGTTTTTCTGAATCGTAACAATCATTTGCCTTCGATATAAAATTTTGTTCCTAACTGAAATAAATAAAAGACGGTTTGAATTTAAATTTGGGCTAATACGATTAATGGCCTGAGGGTTTCTTAAAGTAAAGTTAACTTGATACACCGATAGAATTTGGTTCATTAAATGTAAACTTAACCACTTACGTTTAATCACTGAGAGTGCACACCATTGGAACATCTTCCATCTTGAAATGGTCAACCATTTTTCCACTTTACTGACCAATACTGATAGATGTTGAGGGTCACTTTTCATGAGTTGATCGAATTCTGCAAATTTACCAGATCTAAAGAAAACTTTGGACGAACCAAATCGATAATCTGTCTCATTGAGACCTAAAGCTTTGAATAATGTACGACAAAACATTCGAGGCTCAAGTCGAACAAGTTTAGGAGGTAAATGGTGTTTATACAGATTGTACAAGTCAATGAATGAGGTTCGAGATGGGTAACCTTGCTGCATCAGTTCAAGAACTGAGGTCATTCCGGAACAACGAAGTTGTGACAAAATGTGTGAACCTTCAAATTTATGAGGAACCATGTGAACATTGGGCTTGACACAACGGATGAAATGCGTTCCCGTGGAGCCCAATTTGGTCATCAGATCGTTTAGTTGATTGCGGAATTTACCTCCAACTGAGACGAAGCTAAGTTTACCACTAGCGGGCTTAGAGTGACCATTAGTTGAAGCGTCGACAGGAAATAGTTCACGGATCAAGTTATTCTTGGCTTCTGACATTAAACTAGCCAACGAATTGTGTAAAGCATCAGCATTTTTCTCAATGAATAAACCAGTCTGATAGCAAACGGCACCAGCGAAATGCCTAATAAGAAAACCTTCATCATCTCGAAGTTCTCGATCCTCTTTCAATTTTGATTTTCGAGGTACAGCTAATCTAAAGTGATCCTTGTTATGGGAGAAAACTGATTCAGTGAAATGAGTTGCACTTGGTTTTGGTAGTTTCGATTCCTCATCGAGAAGATCAAATATTCCCGTTGATCGGCCTTCCAATAGGTTGATACAATCACTATTATCAGTGTAATTAATATGCTTCAATCCAAGTCCTTCTTTCTCATAAAGTATTTGCTCCTCTCTTAAAATCCTCTCATTGAAAACTTGTTGTAATTTCTCATTACAATAGTTGATACAAAATTGTTCAAATGAATTGTGACGGAAATACTCAAAACCGGCAATATCGAGAACACCAATGTAATAAGATGATTGAAATGTTGGAATTGATCGATTGATTATCTGGGTAACCAAATGATCAAACAGTTTAGAGTAAAGAGCTTTAGCCAGAGCATCACGAGCGGCTGAAGCTTCATGAACTTTCAATGGAACCAAATAAACGGTTCCTTTGTGTCCTCCCTTATTTGTTTGCATGATACGTGACAAAAGGCATTGTTGTAACTCTTCCGCCTCAATACCGATAAGTGATGCGGCTGTTTCCAGGGAAGACCAAGAAAAACCGGTTTTCACTTGGCATCCGCCCCGAGTATCATCAGGAGACTCTTCAAATGCTATGTTACCCAAATGCAGAACTGAGGCCACCACCTTGTAGATAGCAAGTCGATCTGATACACCAAAGTGACCGAGGGCTTTATCTGTTGCAGCGAAATCGTTTGCATCATCGACAATTGGATCTTTTAAACTTCCTTTGGACGATTGTTCTTGGGACAATCGTTCAACGGGCAGAGACGATTTAGAACCAAAATATTGGGTACAACCTCTATTAAGATAATGAAACTGATCAGGATTACCAAGATGTAATTGATTCCAAATATCAGGTGGACTTCCGGCACAAAGTTGATAAAATATATGGTAGTTCCGTTCACCTGGACTTTGACCACAAATTCGTGATTTCTCAAGTAAATAGTGTGAAATGAAACCTCCAGCAACGGAAAACTGATTCAAAAAAGAGTCAACAACAACCAGAAAAAGAATTGAAAGAAAAAGATAATAAACAAAAGATGGAAGAGAAATTAACAATTAGAAATTAAATTACAATTGAATGAATGAACCAAAAGAACACAAATAAAAATGAATGAGATGAAAAGAGGAGGAGGAAAAAAGTGTAACCACTAATAATTGTATTCTAGTGACATTGACTTTCAAAGTAACTTTTTTTTCGGGCGACTGTTGTTTTCTGTTCCGTCTGGTTCCTGTTTACCAATTCTACTCATATATAAATTACTCTCCTTCTCCTCTCACCTGGTCAGTTTAATTACCTGTCCACTGAAGTGTATTTCGATGAATTTACCGAATCGACTGCTGTTATTATTTCGAACCGTCTTCGCATTACCAAATGCTTCTAGCACTGGATTAGCTGTTGAAGGATAATAAACCGTTATCGAGATGTCGATCAATTTTTTTTATGATCAATGATTGCATCGAGAAAGGAAGAGAAAAGTTGAGAAAATAAACAAAATTCAATTAGTCTCGAATTCTCGAGTTATTGATGTTTCCTTGTTTTCTTTATATTCGATGACCACTTACCGTCGAGAATTAGTCTCTCAATTTGTCCAGAATTGGTTCCCCAAGATTCACACAAATATCTCAGCACGTATTTTGTTGCTTCCGTTTTACCGGCTCCCGATTCACCGGAAACTATTATCGATTGACTTTGTTTGAACGCTTTCATATCACGAAAAGCCTTGTCAGCTGATTGAAAGGTAAAGTGAAACAAAAAGTAAATTAGTATTACAAGTAAATCAACTTGAATTCAATTCGGATCATTTTTGAGTAAACAATTGTGTCTAAATGTTGATGATTTGTTAACAATCGTAATCACTATTGTCAAGATGATGAAACAATTAGATAAGAAAGTTACATTTGATTGATTTTCAGAAAAAAAAATACAATATTTAATTGTTATGATGATCTTAATGTAAATCTGATTGTTGATATAAAAGTTGATCCCAAATGAGTAAAATTTTTGCTCCTACGATCGGTCAAGCAATTTAGCCATCACAATCAACCTAATTAACTGTTATTCAAATGAAAACAATACAATTCCCGTCACTAACTATAAATAAAAATCAATAAAATCAAAAAGTGATTACCAATCAGGGAAGCTTATTAATGAGACCAATTAAAGGGCTTAAAAAGTCAATTGCTAAATTGCTAACAAGATTAGAAGCCCTACAATAAACTGATTGGAAAATCATAACAATTAAATTGGTGATTTACAAATTGTAAACTCAGTGCACTTTGTGAGCTGATTTGATTAGCACCGAAATAGCATTAATTTTAAATACGAAATTGATGTTAAATTATTCAATGAGTCTGAGAAAAGTTGAGCCAATAGATTGGCTGAAAAATTAAGATCTTCATGCATGATGTTGATTGTTTATTGAAATCTAATTCAATTTGATCAACAATCAACATGCATTGTTAACTAAATTAAGATAAATTTAAATAATTCATATATTACCAATAGCGAAAACATGAGGAGGAAGAACACCAAGTGATTTTCCTTGATAGCGTTTGATTGCCTCCGATGAGTAGAGATTGCGAATTTCAAAGTATGGATTGATTGAGATGAGAATATTAGCTACATAAGTCTACAATTTAATTAGAAAAGAACAATTAGTTAATCAGCAATTAGTTGATTTTGACCTTTTCCTTACATAAATCAGATCTCGTTCATAACGGACTCGTAAATTGTTGAGCAGAGTTGCCTCATTAAGAAACATAAGTGCACCTTTAAAACGAAATGGAAAAATAATTAAAGTTGAAATTAATCAATTAATTGTTTAAGAACAATAAAAAAAGAGAACGTTAATTGTTATTGATAGTTAATTATTAATATTTTAGAATAACTTACAATTATCGTCAACATGTTTCTCTATCTCAGGGTCCGCTGGATAGATTGTATTGTAAGGAGTTTTAATTGTCTGTTTAGTGAAAGAAAAATTAACGAAACAATTAAGAGATAATCAATATGTTTATGTTTGAAATTATCTTAATCACAATAATTTTTATGATTATGATTGTGATTAAGAGGCTTTGATCTGGTTTAAGGGAAAAGGTTGAAATGGAAAAGGTTAAAGTAATTGTTGAAAAAGAGATGAATGAGTTTTCATAATTTTCAGTGAATATTGATTATCGTAATTAACTTAAAATTGAATAATGAGAGGGTAATTATATTAATTGTTAGTTTACCTGATTACTTTTCGCACATTTAACGGTTGCAAGTTCGGAGCCAATGTCAACAATGGTTCCCAATATGTAACCATTGTCAGGATCAGGAGCCCAAACTTTTTGTGATTCCATGTCTTTGGTGATTGTCAACTGAATTCAAGCAATGAAAATATTGAAATAAGAAGAAGGAAAAAAGAAAGAAACAAAAAATTGAGTTGATCAGTTGATTGGTCAATTATAATCACTAATTAAGTTAATTGTTCAGGTAAACAAAGTGACACAAGAAACGTGATGTATCCGTTTTCAGTGTTTTTTTTTGTTGGTTTTCCGGTTCAATGAAAATGTTTCAAGTTTGTCAACAGTTAACTGATAAATTATGCTGATTAATCCAAGTTAACAATGTGTTAATTGTTGAAACTTTTATTAATGATTATTTCATCATCACTTGTTGATTGTTTATAAGGTTATCAGGTTGAAAATTGATCAATCTCCATGAGTGTTGATGGTGACAAAAGTTTTCAGGTTCAAATGATAATCACAAAGTGTTACTTGTTGATAACAAATGATATAAATCAAAATACAATTGGTTGATTTAAGTAATTAATTTAAATCCACATATTCACTTATTACCAAAGTGACAATTAAATTGTAATTCCAGGTCAAGTGTATTATTGGTAAGAAATTGAATAAAGTTTCCAACAAAGAGTAAATATAATTGTGTTGGATAGACAAACGAATACGATTTAATATTGAACAAATAACGTTAACGATTACAAGTTAATTTTATTTGTAATTGAAGTAAATGTATTGTGTCAATAAAGAGCAAGAAATTGGTTACTCATTGATTCAATCAATTTGACTGTCAATCAATCCAATTAGTCAATTTAATCAATGTTAACAACAATGGTTAACTTTTTTGATGAACAACAGAATCACAATCTATTATTACACTTTAATGGCTCAAGATGAATTGAGAGTTGATCAAGATCCAGGAAAACACAATTAATTGTCCTTCCACTGGTTTGGATATCAAGGTGAAGCCAAAATGATGATTGTTTGAAACAAGACACTAATTGTAATTGTCTAATTAAATGAATCAGTATAAATACAATCCAATGGTAAAAGGAGATGTGTATGTTTAAACAGCCGTTTACCTGGGAAACACACCGATGATGATGATGATGATTAAATTGATGGATTAGTGAAAAAGATTTAGACTTACCTAATGTTTGATGTTTTTTTTAATCTCCTCTTAATGTGTTGCTGCTTGTGTACACTGATCTTGACGATCGAGTGACATTTACCGATCCAAATGAATTAGGAACTTGAATTGATGATGATGATAATCCGATTGTTATCAAAGAAGAAGAAGAAGAAGAAGAGTAAAGGTAACAAAAAAGAGAAAAGTTAATGAAGAATGATAAGCAATTTAAAGAGAAAAAAATAAAAAAATAAAATGAATCGTTGATTTTAAGATTTTGTGTTGTTATTATGGTTATTTTAACGCCCGATTTCTGGATACACAACCTTATGAACTTTCAGCATTGAGTTTACATGACAAACTGAGGGAGAGGAAAAAAAGTTAAACAAGAGAGAGAAGCGAGAATTGGAGGGAGCGGGAGGAGGTTAGTTGAGGGAGGAAAATAAAAGAGGAAGAAATTCAAAAGAGATGATCAACAGTCTTGAACGGAAGATGAAGAAGTAGAGAGAGAGAGAGAGAGAGAGAGAGAGAGAGAGAGAGAGAGAGAGAGATGCTAGGGAATAGAAAGAAGGTGTGATGTAGAGAGAAAATCGAAAAGGCGATTGTTACGGTTGCATCGGCAGAGAAAAAAGTTACCTGAGTTCCGAATGAGTTATCATGGAGACCAGTTGATGATCTTCCATCCTCTTCTCTTTCTTTATTCCATATTCGTTCTCAATTTTGTATTAATTTCCAATAGATTATTGACAATTTAACTTTTATTCGACTAATCATCAACCAAATCATCAAATTTCTTCGTTGTTTTTTTACCCGATTCTCATTTTCACCTTGATCAACATCATCCTAATAATACTCTTAATGGTAAGAGATAGACAATCACCCTTATCCAACAACAATAACAACCATCATCATTATCATCATATAATAATCATGTATAATTTTTTATCTTCATGACTTTTCAATTCCATTCTAACAATTTTCATCCTAACCATTGATTGACCTCTTCCAAGGTAAAGGTAATTCACCTTTTTCCGTTCAAATTCAGACAATAATCAACCAATTGAAATGGATTAACACACAGACAGAACCACAATTAGTAAATAATAACAGTATTTTTACTTATCCTAAAAGGAAATGATAATTTTTTTAATTTTCCGTTTCTCCAACATTTCAACCAAATCGATAGAATCTTTGTTTTAATCATCTGATTGTCTAATTGACTTGATTAATTACGATTAACCAACGATAACATTTTAATAATCTAACCTTTTAACTCTGAGCTCTCCCACACACCAGGTAATGCTAATTAGAAATGATGGTTAATTTAATCAACAGAAATTAGGTAAGTAAAAAAAAGAACAACAAAAGTGTAACCGCCTCAGGGCAAATTCATCAACTCTTTCTTTCTTTTCTCTTACTTTACTTATCATCTCTGTCTCTCTTCATCTTCTTCAGTCTAACGATCACAATTTAGTTAGTAACAAACTGATCTTCTTTTCATCATCTTCTTCCTTCATCATCAACAAACATTGACAATCAACTTATGAGAAAACTTTTCATGGATTGTTGATTGTTGTAACGGCTTCTTGATTAACTTACAATCAGTGCTCATCATCTTCATCATCATTATCATCAATGTCTCTTTTTTTCCTTTTCCTTAATCTACAGATTAACAGGGTTAAGGTTATCTCTTAATCTTGATTATGGTTTACAACTTGTAATTCATTTTGTTTTGCCCTTTAAATTGTTACAATTCAATCATCTTCATCCCTCATTTGACAATTTAACCTTAATCACTCAATCAAATATCATATTTGAATCTCTATGGACATTTTTTAATTCATCTCCTTAAAATGATTTGTTGGTTATTCATCGTAGCTTGGTGACTTTCCTTGTATCAAGAGTTAATTGTCAGTTATACTTCAGAATACTTGACAATCAGATTATTCTGATAAAGAAGCCAAACAATTAGACTTAATTTTTGTTATCATACAATTAGTGGTTGATGAAACATGGTTCCAATTGGGACAAATGGCTTAATTGTACATTTTCATTATCAGTAACGTTATTGTTCAATTTACGTGTTGATTACAATTAAAACTCTCCATTTGTAACCGGAAGACTTTCAATTGCAATTTAAGGAAAAAACTAAGAGATTGAAAACTGTCTGCAAATGGTTACAATTAAGATGATTAACTTTTTTACATTAAATTGGTGATTTTCGATGTGAATCGCAGATTGAATTGTAGATTTGATTATAAATTTGTTCCAATCAACATTAGATTAAGTCTAATCTGTAATAACTTGGATAACTGAGCTTTCAGGGTTGTCATGATTTACTGTAAATACAGTAAGTTGTCAGAATGAATCAATTAGATAAGTTATCATATTAAACTAACTAATTAACAGATTAAAATGAACACCCCTTGATAAAAATTAGTTTAATCTAATTGATTTTTAAACAGATATTGGCCATAAATTAGCACTTGATCAAAGTTAATCAACATTTAACTCTGGTGATTTATTATCTACCAGTGATAATTGTGGTAGATGAAATCTAGCAACTGAAAACAATATTGTTAATGTTAAGCATATAAATTTTATTGTTACAATTAAGCTTTTCTATACAATCATGATTTTGAAGTACTTTTTGTTGTCTATGGTGTTATTTAAAAATGAGATTAGTGCTGAAAGATGAAGATGATTTTTGGAAATGATATTGGCCAATGTACAGACAATCAAGTTTCGTTAATTCATCTGTTGGTGTATTCTTGTTAATCCTGTTAAATAACAGGAGAGTTAATTGCTTCGATTTGTTGATTAATAATATCGATACTTTTTGATACAATCATTGCCAAGATCCACAACGATAACATGATAATCGTCAGTTGTTGCAAGATCACTTGCTCTTTTAAGTTTAGCGTCCACACTATCGATTGTAAATTTTAATTGGCCTGAATAGTAATCAAATATTTGCACGTAAACCTTTCCTCTCTCAGATTTCGTGGCCAAGAGTTGACCTTTCTTATCGTAGCAAAGTCCACCGTAAGAGTCCCCTTTGAGACAGGAATCAGTGACGATTTCACGAATCAATGTTGAACCATCGCTGGTGAAAATCCTTATCCTTGAATCTGCTACAACTATTTCATCATCTGGTCCAACCGTAACAGCTCCAATGACACCGAAACTCGTCTTGGTAGATCCAAGGATTGACGATGAATTTTTGATTTCATGTTGACTCAAAGCTAATCGTCGACGTATTTTACCACAAGGATGAAATACAAATATTGTTTGGGCTCCGTTATCGGCAACAATAATCTCTCGTTTACTATTTACACATAAGTGAGTTGGCTCACGGAGTTCACGGTGACTAAAATAGCGTAAAACTTTGCCATTCTCATTAATTTCACTAATCGTCTTAGAAGCCCAGTTGCTGATCAAGATGGTATTCAGTCCCGGAACAAGCGCCATGCCCGTAACTGCACGATCCAAGCCCTCAATGTGAGATACAAAGGTGAAGGGTGAATTGTTGCAATCATTTTGAGATAAAATTTTAAGTCTACTGTTGCCCGTATCAAGAACGTAGATTTGATTGTCAATTTCACTTATGGAGATTGCAACTGGCTGAAGGAAACTGTGCTGATCACTTCCTCGAGCTCCATAAATGCAGACAGGATTGATCTGTGAAACTGCTTCAAACTCCAGTGGATAAGTTTTGATTGGACGTCCGAAAATCGAAGCAAGGAAAGAATATTTTCCACTTTTTGGAGCAATGAAATGAGCCTCGTAAGTACCATCACATTTGTCAACAACTCGAACCGCAATTTCAGTTCCGTCAGGGAGATAACTTAGTTCTGCAGTGACAGGATCACCACCATACTTTTGACGAGATCCAGCATAATCGTAAGTGAGTATGTTCACAACTGACCTTAACTTGGCGAAACATTTATCGATATTTGCCTCACAGAGGGGTGGAAATGTGCTGCTTGAACGAACTGTTCCAAAGTTACAAATTGCTGTCTGAATAGATTGAAGGGTAGAATCGACTGGATGCTCATAGCGAATGAAACAGTTTTCTCTTGGTTCAAGGAGAACATTAATTTTATCAATCTTCTCATGAAGTTCCTCAATTTTTCGAGTTATATGGCGAAGTTCAACTCGCTGTTCATAATTCTCACAGTCGGTGACAATCTCGGACTTTCCTTCTTCAATAAGCTTCATCTGGTTCATAAGAATATTAAGTTTATCCTCCTTCATCTTGTTTGCGACCGAAAGAACCTCTTGACATCGTTTATTTACCAGATCCATCATGTCTTTAAAGGTTTGTTTGATAATCGAAGCAGTTTCTCCGGCATTCTGCTCAAGCATAAGTATCTCTTTAGTTACATTCTTATGGGCTTCATTATATTTGGCAATGCATTGTTGTCCTTTGTACATCAATATCTCTGACAGGCGTTTGATTGCGACTGCGAAAGGTATAACCTAAGTATTAATAAAAAGAAGGAAAAATTAGAACCTATGAATAAACTAATTGGAAAGGAAATGGATTGAAAAACTTACGGTATGTTTACAATTAATCGTTGAATGAGATGAACCATCATCACAAAGTAAACAGAAAACTTTGTCACATGTTTCACAGAATAAAAGCTCTTGGGTGACATGGCGGATGCATTTGGGAATGACATCTCTTCGTTGACGACTAACAAGATCAAGCAGCTGATTAACCATAAAGGAAGGAGGAAAATTAATAGAACCCTCTCCTTGTGGTAAATGTATCAGCTCACGACAAATGGGACACCTAAAGGCTCCATTCTCGGGAACTCCAGGTTGATTGCAAATTGATTCCAAGCACAATTTACATAAAGTGTGACTACATGTTAGCAATTTAGGGGCATGTTGACCACTATCATAAGTATTCAGACAAGTTCCACAAGTCAAAAATCCTTCGGTAAAATCCTCATAGTCGATTGAAACAGTTTCAACAAGAGTTGATGGGGTTGTCATCATTTGGAGGCTTGAACAAGTCTCCGTTTATTGATTGTTTTTTGATTCCTCCAAATTAATTTGTTACCAGAAACAAACCTAAAAAATACGAAAGAAAAAGTAAAAAAGAAACAATAATTAATCAAAAAGTACAAAAAAGTACAAAAAAAAGGTTCCATGTAATATGTTCAAGTGATTAATTTTAATCTTTTGCAAATTGATTATGCAAATGAGAAACTTGATCAATTGCTAATAAGGTAGGTGGTAAATTGGTTTTCACTTTTCTTCGTTTAATTTGATTAATTGCTTTCAGTTTTCTTGCAATGTCACATTTACAACACTCCTTGATTTGTACTGCAAGAAACCACCCAAATGTATTTTCCGTTGATTAACGGATGAGAGTGGATACCAAATCGGAAGTGATTCCAGTTATGTTAAATTGTGATAAATTACAATAACCCTAGTTAATGGTCGATAAATAAAATCTTCGAATAAGAAAGTTTTCATGTTAATTGTGTATACTCAAGATCTGATAATCAGATTATGATGATCACTTGTGAGATTAATTGTTTAGATTGTGATAAACTCTCAGCTTATAATTAGTAACAAAAGGATTGAAAAGTTAATCACTTGAAAATTAACAATCTTTTTGTTTGTTTTTGTTAAAATCATTTGTTTTTTGTTTCTATTACATGTAAATTTTACCATGATTTAGGTTGAACAATTTAAGTTTCAAGATGATGACTTTTAGAAAGAGATGATAATTTAACAACTGTTTATAATTAGATCTTACTAATTAATGATCGTCTAAATTTAGATGATTAAAAATATTGCGAATCATGAATTTCTAAAATTCTGATCAAGCTTCCAGGCTTTTTATCGCAATAACATGGCACTTTCATTATTTAAATGAAAAAGATTTTCCATTTATTTTTGTGGTGGCGACTCCTTCATACTGTTGACAGAATTAAAGATTAAGCTTGAATGATCAATATGGCGATTAGCAAACACCAAGCAATAAATATTAAATGAGAAATCTACAAAGCTCAGTGTCTGATATCTCATAGAAGAAAATTGAATATAAATTTAAATAAACTAATAGCTGATAAATGGCCGATGAACTGAGAAACAATTGAAGTAAAAAATTGTTAAGATTAACAAAAAACATCAAATTTTATGAGCGATGTGTTTAAAATGTAGGGCAACTTGTTATCCATTCTTAAAGGGATAGTTTTTGTTTTATAAGATTATGTTTGCCTTAGATTATGGCCCAAACAATACAGGATAACAAATCACTCATTATCCAAATCTGGGTAACACAATTAAGTCAACATATACAAAGGATATGGTTACAACAAAAGACAAGAGAGAGAGAGAAAGAAAAAAAAACAAGTTATATCCAAGACTCACCTTGTATACATACAGGAAAGAAAAACAAATTAGGCTTCAAGAGTAAACAGACAGAGAAAAGGAACAAAAAAAACTTTTAATTGATTCCTTTGTTTTGGTTTCTTAATTGGTGATTAATGAGAATGTTACTGATAACCAATAATTGTATTGATGACAATTGAAGAGCCAAAAGAATGAGAGAAATAAAAATTGTTACTTTTACAAGAATGAAAATCAATAAATGTCCATAAAGTTGAAATGGTTCTTGTAATAATCTGGTGTTGTTGTTGTTGTTGGTGAAAAATAATCTCAATGTTGTCCAGTAAATTGCAAGTAAACTGTTTCTTTTACTTTTAATTGATTCACTGAAATTACACAATTTTTAATAAAATCACTTGATAAACATGACACACAAAATTATAAACAAAACTGTAGGTGATTAATGATTAGTGATTACTGTTAACTTCAACCAGTTTTGTTTTAGTAACCAGGTGAGCTCAACTTCCTATACAATCTGATGGTAATTTAGTTCCAAGCTCGACCAACAGAGGGCAGTTCGTTTCACGACTAAAAATATCAATCTAACAATTAGTTAATTATAAAGACTAATTAATATTCATACGGTTAGTCAACATTTAATATTTTGCTAATATTTTGAAATTAAATTAAATTACTCAATCAGTTTCTGGTTTCAGTTCGAAAGGTTAATTGGTTAATCATGTAAATTTAATTAGTAGAAATTTTAATCTTGTAAGTTAATCAGTTTTTTTTGTTTGTTTGTTTCGAGTTTTAAACTTTCGATTGGGTTGATTAACAAATTCAATTATTGTGAAGATTAAATTTTGATCTTTTTAATTTGTTTTTATTTATTTTTCGTCTGGTGATGATAGTTGACTATTATAACAGGTTGATTGAGATGGAAAAGTTATTCTTATTGTGTTACAAGATTAACAGTTGATTTAGTTTATAATATTAATAGTTGGAGAGACTGTATTATGAGAGAAAGTAAATTTACAAATGTCTAGAAAATTTAATCCAGGAAAATATTTATCACAGCGAATGGATCAAGTTAAGTCAATTGATTGGTTTTATGGATTTAGTAAACTAATGGCACAATTGGCAGAAAATCTCAGTCAAAGTGTTAATTGGACAATAATAACACTGAACTGTCTATCTAATCAATCTGAATATCCTCGGTGATTTGAGTGGGTCTCCCTGAACTTGTACCAAATCCTTGAGTTTCTTTGTTGAATTTAAGTGTTATACTTCCTAGATCACCATCGAATCGGTTCTTGCTAATTTGTAAATACTTTCGCTGTCGAGTATTATTTTTCCATTCAACTTGAAAGATTAAGATATTATCGGCTTCTTGACTTGCTTTGGCTCCACCGAAAATTGAATTTAAAGTTAATTCTCCTGAATCCTCCTTCCTTGGATGGATAACCAAAGTTATATGACAATTTTTCTCAGTGGCGAAACTGCGACATGAGCCGATAACATGATCCTGATACTCGTAACGGTCCAAATGGAAATACTTTTTATTTCGAGTTCCCATCATGAATTGTAGATTATCAATGATAATATGTTCAACTTTATGATTTGTTGATGCCTCTTTCATTGTGGCAAATACATTCTCAAACGCTTCAGCTCCATGGTAATTCATGAAATACATTGGAAGTAAAGTGAATTTATCAGCCCAGTGATCAAACTCATTTATACTGTTATACAATTGTTTTTGCGCAAGTTGATTAATCATCGTTTTACAGAGGCGAGTATTTTGGATTTCAAAGTTACCCCATAGAGTTGGTATTCCTTGAAGACAAAGATCTGTTGAACAATAAAAATAGAACGTTACTAGAATCGCATTTGCAATAAATAAAGGCCAGTTCCTAAGTAGTTAGGAACATACCGAAAATAGATTATCGAAGACAATTGTTGATGAAAAAGTTTCGTCTGGTTAAAGATCAAATTTGGTGTAATACCTAATGAATATTCAGATAAAAAGGTTGTTTTTCCACACCCTGTTGGTCCAGTCAATACAGTGAGTTCACCAGGACGAAAACCTTTCAGGTACTTGTTTAATCCAGGGAATCGTTTCCATGTTAATCCTTGAGATTTTGAATTATTAACAAATTCATTAAAAACGCCTTTTCTGAGTTGAGAAAAAGTCAATAAGCTTCTGTAAGAAATTGACGAAAAAGAGTAAATTAATCAGTTGAGACAAATTCTTAAAGGAATTAAAAACACTTACTTTTTCAATGGTTTACTCATCTTGAGAATTAAAGTGATTACAATTAACAAATTAGTTGGAACAAATAATATTCATTTATCGTGTTAACCTTTTCAAATGTTTTCAGTTTTCAGTCATATGGTAAAACCTTCAAAAATAACCAATAGATGGAGCAAATCAGACGATTAACAAAGTGCTAAATTAGCCTAACACTTTGAGCTTTTGTTTATTTTTGTTGGATCAACAATGATGATTCTTTCTTTGGAGTTTAAACTGTGATTGAAAAGGATTCATGAGGTACAAGAAGCCATAGAGAATAGGGAAGAATGGGCTAAACAGCCTCAAGAAATTCAACAATCAAGACAAAGATCATTACTAAATGACGAAAGACAATGTCAATCATATTTAACTTTAGCGAGTGAAACTATGGATATGTTTCACAATTTGACTGAGACAATTCGAGAGCCTTTTTATAAGCCTGTGAGTATAATCGTTTCTTTCGTTGGTTTCCAGTTTTCATCACGAACAATTTCATTTCATTTCATTTCTTTTCTTTTCTTTTCTCTAGGAAATAATTGATCGTCTAGCTGCAATGTTAAATTACAATTTACAACAATTATGTGGACCCAAGTGCAAAAATCTGAAAGTCAAAAACCCTGATAGATATGGATGGTCACCTAAAAAAGTTTTGAATCAAATCACTGATATTTATTTACACTTAGACTCTGAAAAGTTTTGTGAGGTATTGACGACCAATTGATTGTCTCTATTGAGAAGATAACTGTTTCTCCCATTTTTATCTCTCTACCTTTAGGCCATTGCAGCTGATGAAAGATCTTACAGCAAAGCTTTATTCGAAGATGCAATACTCCGTATGAAGAAGGCGATGATTAAAACTGAACCTCAAATCTACAAATTCCATGAGATGGCCAAGATGGTGGAGAAAATGAGAGAAACAAATGTTAATATGGATTATAGTGATGCTCCTGAAGAGTTCAAAGATGCTCTTATGGACACTCTCATGGATGAACCCGTCATCCTACCAAGTGGAAAAATTGTCGACCGATCAGTTATCATTCGTCACTTGCTCAATTCAAATACTGACCCATTTAATCGTCAAACATTAACCGAAGACATGCTTGTAATAGGTAATTATCACTTCCAATCCATTTTAGCCCTTGCGAATCTCTGTTGACTTATCTCTTCCTTTCTGCTCTTCTAGATACCGATTTAAAAGCTCGCATTGAAGAATGGAAGAAATTGAAACAACAGTCTTTCAAAGAGTCTCAAAGTAGCCCAAGATTGGAATAGTCGCCTCTCGATTCACTACCAAACAGAATTAAAACTCCAAGAAACTAAATCAACTTTAATTCTTAGGAAATGTCGACACGAGTAACTTTCTTGGCAACTGATCACTTGTGAAGAGAATGAGAAGAAAAATTAACGAAACAAGTGCATATTGTCTGAACCTATTTCCATTCAAACTGTTGAAATTCAAAGAACAAAATATATTTTGTAAATTCACAAACTCATCTAGTTGATTATTGACCCGAAAACCACAACAGAATTCGAAAGGATAAAGAATCAAAAATTGTAGATCGCGCTCAAGTTACTCTCAATTTAGAGAACCAATGAAGTTGCTCACATTTTGTTTCCTTTCAACTTTTCTACTGACAAACTTGAGTTATTTTCATTTTGTTCTTTCTGAATACATTTTGTCATGAGAATTGGTTCTAATTTAATTTCTTTTCTTTAGTCTACTCTAGTTGATAATAAGTCTAAGTAAGAAACTAATCCATCTTTCCTCTCTTACTTTGTGTTTCTCATTCTCTTTGTGTTACCAGTTTCTTTGGATATTCATCTCCAGCTTCTTAGGCTTGTTCACCGACCGTTTTTCATGTAACCAATTGTGTCATTTTCAGGTAACTTAGTGAAACAATCAACGAATAAAGTCACAATGAGAACGATTTGAGGTGAATTTGTTTTAATTCTTAAATAGTGTGATTATTGTGATTATTAAATAAATACATTTGTTTTTACATTTATATATTTTCTTATATATAATGGTTTGTACTCTTAACGTTAACTGTCTCTTTTGGTATTACAAAATATTTACAAATTATGATCAATTATTTACAAAGGCGTCAAGTGAAAAATGATGACACAATTCACTGAATGTTAGTCCACATGGTCACATGGTCAAACAGTTTGAGGTACATGGGCTGAAGTCTGTTCTGTTCTTTACGAATACAGATACAGATGAATGGTAGAAATATTTGTAATAGGTTAGGGTTGGTTAGGTTAGATTCCGTACAGTTTATGAACAATATTTTTCATATGATCTGATGAAGGCTCTTGCATAAGAGTCGGAGATTTTGAGAACATTTTGATTCTCAGCTAAAATCTTTTGACCTAAATTTGAGCTGAGATCAATTCCTGATAGAAGCCATTTCGCTCTTGCTTCTGCTTGATTGGCAATTTTAATCAGTTTTTCATGATCCTTGTCATCAAGAAGATCAAGATGAGACACTTTCATCCTAATGTAGATGGGCAACACTGTGGCCTTTTTCAAGGCCTCCCTTTTATCATAATCCGTTTTGCTGATTAATCCAAGTCCTGATGGACTGATTGGCTCACTAATACAATTTTTATCAACCATTTCAATAGTTATTTGTTGATACACTTAAAAAAATGAGCTGACAAATGGATTTAAGACCAACAATAAGCAAAAAACGTCAAGTACTTTGGGAGAGAGAGAGAAGGAAACTGATGAAGAGAAAAAAATGGTTGGCATTTTATACGCAAACAGATTTCGCGCATGCTCATTTAATATAATTGAGCTTAACTACTCTAACTAATCCTTACTAACTAGATGGGAACCTCCCACATCCTTTTCCTTTCTCTTCCATTTCTCAAGGTTTCTTTATAGGTTTTTAAAATTTTCTCACGCTTTAGCTTTTTTCTCAATAAAAATAACTACAACCGAGTCGCGTTTGTATGGTGTTGTCTCGGTCTCAGCGTGCAAAAATCTGAAAGTCAAAAACCCTGATAGATATGGATGGTCACCTAAAAAAGTTTTGAATCAAATCACTGATATTTATTTACACTTAGACTCTGAAAAGTTTTGTGAGGTAATTGTTGACCAATTGATTGTCTCTATTGAGAAGATAACTGTTTCTCTCATTTTTCTTGTTATGAAGAAATGGAAGTTGGACCCAATTAAATGAAATTAATGGTCGATGTTATTGTTGGTTATATGAACAATTATTAACTTTAATTATTACCTTAATTTACTTAATTAATCAAAATCATTTCATTTAATCATCAACATCATCAATTTACTGGAATTCAAATTTCCCCATTGAGTTAACACAGAGACTCATCATAATAACCCAACTTTTAGCTTAGTCCTTTGATTACAATAATCAAACTTATATCAGTTTGAAGAGCATCAAAAACATGACCGATCAATATACAGACACAATTAGTTAATTGTATTCACTCAAAGTAATTTAATGAGTTTTCAGTTGATTTTCAACAGAAACGAGTAACTTGCACACACCAACCAAATGTTGACCAAGATGTCAAGGGTTATATTTATTTATATATTTAGAAAGCTCATTTTTCTACCATTAATATTGACCGAGTAATGACCGATAATGTTTGGGCCATTTCCATTTCCCATAAATAAGGTTTTTCGCTTATTGTAGCTTATTGACATTTACTATGTTGACCAAAAATTATAATTGGTTAAAGGTCATTAAGAAGAAGATAAAATTAAGCTTAATACTTACCTCTAATCCTTTGATCTCTCATACTGGCGCCTAAACCTTTAAACTCAAAACTTACCTTTTACTTTGTTGATCCTCCATATGCTCCTAAGCTCTAATCTCATCCATATGCTGATTTAAATTGATCATCTCCTTTGGCGCTTCAATTCTGTTCACTTTCCTTTGTTAATGAAGCAAAGACAAACTCAACCCAACGGTCACTTCAAATTGACCAATAAGGTTACCTTTTACCTTTTAATTGTAAACGCCTTTCTTACTATTTAAACTCATTTCTTTGTTAATTAATTAATCCAAATGATGATGTTCAAACGTTTCACTTGATTTGACTCTTCATGTTTTCGTGTTTAATTTAAATCAAGTTTCAGTTGATCAATTGATCGACATAATTAGTTAATGCAATTTTGATTGTGATTAAGTTGGTGAAATCAAAAGTTATAAACGACATTATTACAATAGATAATTACATGTTTACACCAAACAAACCTTATTCAAGAAATTTACGTTTCCTGCAGTGTCAATTGTTGGTTATAATGGTTTAATTTAGGCTTATTCATAATTATTGAAAATCAGATAGTTTATTTCATTAATTCTAACATTTCAATTGTGAGATTTTCTCCCATTCACTTGACATGGGAACTCATCAGATTGAGGACAACTTTTAGCTCTCATTAGCTTTGCATTTATCATAATTATATCATCTCGTAGAGCTCAGTGATTACAATAGATTGGTACATTAAGATAATTGATTGCTCAGTTGATTTCAGGGTTATTGACCAAAAAATTTGATTTTCCAAGTATAAAGACAATGAATCATTCGTGATTATCGGTTAACCATCGTTAGTCCGGGAATTTTCTTGTTTCTGGCTAATAATTTGTAATTGGGGATCGTCAGACCGAGTAGTTTGACTATTTTGATTTAAATTTAAATGTTAATCATTGTTAGTCCAAACATTTAGACAATTGCTCATTCGATATTATCAGTTAACCATTGTTAGTCCGGGAATTTTCTTGTTTCTGGCTCATAATTTTAAATTGAAGATCGTCAGACCAAGTATTTAACTATTTTGAATCAAATTTAAATGTTAATCATTGTTAGTCCAAACATTTAGAAAATTGCTCATTCGATATTATCATTAACCATTGTTAGTCCGGGAATTTTCTTGTTTCTGGCTCATAATTTTCAATTGAGGATCGTCAGACCAAGTATTTTGAAAATTTTGATTCAAATTTAAATGTTAATCATTGTTAGTCCAAATATTTAGACAATTGCGCATTCGATATTATCAGTTAACCACCGTTAGTCCGGGAATTTTCTTGTTTCTGGCTCATAATTTTCAATTGAGGATCGTCAGACCAAGTATTTTGACTATTTTGATTTAAATTTAAATGTTAATCATTGTTAGTCCAAACATTTAGACAATTGCTCATTCGATATTATCAGTTAACCATTGTTAGTCCGGGAATTTTCTTGTTTCTGGCTCATAATTTTCAATTGAAGATCGTCAGACCAAGTATTTTAACTATTTTGAATCAAATTTAAATGTTAATCATTGTTAGTCCAAACATTTAGACAATTGCTCATTCGATATTATCAGTTAACCATTGTTAGTCCGGGAATTTTCTTGTTTCTGGCTCATAATTTCAATTGAGATCGTCAGACCAAGTATTTTGAAATTTTGATTCAAATTTAAATGTTAATCATTGTTAGTCCAAACATTTAGACAATTGCTCATTCGATATTATCAGTTAACCATTGTTAGTCCGGGAATTTTCTTGTTTATGGCTCATAATTTTCAATTGAGGATCGTCAGACCAAGTATTTTGACTATTTTGATTCAAATTTAAATGTTAATCATTGTTAGTCCAAACATTTAGACAATTGCTCATTCGATATTATCAGTTAACCATTGTTAGTCCGGGAATTTTCTTGTTTCTATAATTTTCAATTGAGGATCGTCAGACCAAGTATTTTGACTATTTTGATTCAAATTTAAATGTTAATCATTGTTAGTCCAAACATTTAGACAATTGCTCATTCGATATTATCAGTTAACCATTGTTAGTCCGGGAATTTTCTTGTTTCTGGCTCATAATTTTCAATTGAGGATCGTCAGACCAAGTATTTTGACTATTTTGATTTAAATTTAAATGTTAATCATTGTTAGTCCAAACATTTAGACAATTGCTCATTCGTGATTATCGATAAACCATCGTTAGTTCGAGAACTTTCTTGTTTCTGGCTGATAATTTTCAATTGAGGGTCGTCAGACCAAGTATTTTGACTATTTTGCTTCAAATTTAAATGTTAATCATTGTAAGTCCAATCATTTAGACAATTGCTCATTCGATATTATCAGTTAACCATTGTTAGTCCGGGAATTTTCTTGTTTATGGCTCATAATTTTCAATTGAGGATCGTCAGACCAAGTATTTTGACTATTTTGATTTAAATTTGAATGTTAATCATTGTTAGTCCAAACATTTAGACAATTGCTCATTCGATATTATCAGTTAATCATTGTTAGTCCGGAATTTTCTTGTTTATGGCTCATAATTTTCAATTGAGGATCGTCAGACCAAGTATTTTGACTATTTTGATTTAAATTTGAATGTTAATCATTGTTAGTCCAAACATTTAGACAATTGCTCATTCGATATTATCAGCTAACCACCATTAGTCCGGGAATTTTCTTGTTTCTGGCGCATAATTTTCAATTGAGGATCGTCAGACCAAGTATTTTGACTATTTTGATTCAAATTTAAATGTTAATCATTTTTAGTCCAAACATTTAGACAATTGCTCATTTGATATTATCAGTTAACCATTGTTAGTCCGGGAATTTTCTTGTTTATGGCTCATAATTTTCAATTGAGGATCGTCAGACCAAGTATTTTGACTATTTTGATTTAAATTTGAATGTTAATCATTGTTAGTCCAAACATTTAGACAATTGCTCATTCGATATTATCAGTTAATCATTGTTAGTCCGGGAATTTTCTTGTTTATGGCTCATAATTTTCAATTGAGGCTCGTCAGACCAAGTCTTTTGACTATTTTGCTTCAAATTTGAATGTTAATCATTGTTAGTCCAAACATTTAGACAATTGCTCATTCGATATTATCAGTTAACCATTGTTAGTCCGGGAATTTTCTTGTTTATGGCTCATAATTTTCAATTGAGGATCGTCAGACCAAGTATTTTCACTATTTTGATTTAAATTTGAATGTTAATCATTGTTAGTCCAAACATTTA